TCCGTCAAAAAGAATATGCAGAGGAAAAAAGAAAAGCTCAATGTAACCTTATTGCTAAAATGTTGACAATGAGTGACACTGAATTAATGACACTATCAACTCGTGAAATTCTAGAATATTCACATAATTCTAATCCAGTACAAGTCGGTGATGAAGGATCAGAAAGCGGCTCGGATAATGAACTTCCAAGAAATCTACAAGAAAGTGATTCTGATAACGAAGGATCTGAGAGCAGTTCTGATAATGAAAGATCCAATTCGCAAGCCTCAAGATCAAGATCAGAAAGCGATTCGGATAGTGAAGGATCAGAAAGCAGTTCTGATAATGAAGAAAGATTGATATCACCAAGAAAGACACAATTCCCAAGAATAACCTCAGGCTTGGAAAGAAGTTCACAAGACTACACACCACAAAAACTTCCACAAAAAACTCCAAAATCAACTCCACAACCAAGAACTCCACAACCAAACACCCCTATCCAAATCCAAAGGCCGGCTCTGCAAGCATCATTTAAAAAAGTTCAACAGCCAACAAAGAAGAAAACAAACAAACCAAACACTTCGGAACCTTCTTTCGGTATTGGAAAACGGCAAGCCAAACCAACAGCTGCGGCTAATCCAGAATACTACTACTCACCACAACAAAAGAAGCAAAGAAAGTCAACAAAACAGTAATATAAAATTGTGATGATATTTTTTTGAAGTTGAAACTCCCAAGCTAAGTTGAAAAGAAGCTGATTTGGAATGTTTCGGATTCTTTGAAACGCCCCTGAATCTTTGAAACCACCCAATACCTTTGAAACATCCCAAGCTTAAAGGAATGTTTTAATTTATGAAAGCCTATTCAATTTAAATAACACGTTTCAAATGCATTGAAAGGTCTAGAATTAAATGGTCCTGGAACGAGCTTCTAAAATCAGGCAAGAAATGGAAAAGATGGAGAAACTACACAATGAGAAAACTCAGAAAATTGAGAAACGAATTAGATATCTTGAAGGATGGATATGTTGCAGTTTCTTGTCAATCAAGGAAACAATTACTTCTTTTGAGCATGGTGAAGTAATGTATGCATTACTGAACAATGACGAAGAAAAGGTTTGGGATATTGTATCCTCAAAATCAGAAGCAAATGAGTTATGCCAAGCTTTCGCTATTTCAGTCAATTTAGACCTAGATGTTGATTCTTTTAAAAAAAAGGTTGTTGAAGAATTGAAACAAAGACTTGAGCCCCTTCGCAAGTTTTTAAATCACTAAACCGTCTCTCCTTTACTCACATGACACCTTGAGCGCTCAGGTTAAAAGATGTTGGTTAAATGTAAGATATTAATAGTTTTATTGTTGGCAAATGATTTCATGTTGCTTTTTTTAAATTACTTTTCAAAGAGTTATTTAAATACAACATTTACTTCATTATTTACGATCATTGTTAGAAGTCTTCCCCTCGCTTTCTCTTCTTTCCACTTGATTCTTCTGAAACATCAGACGACTCTTCGCCCATTTGTATTGGTTCAAGACCATTCAAAAGGATACCACAACCACCAGTGGTCGAAGTGGAAGGAACTGCAACATTCACAGGAGGAAGATCCAAAATTTCCGAAAATTCCTTCTCGATCAGAGACGAAAAACTACATGAAGAATCCTCACAACACAAACTGGATGAATTCATCCAATCGAATTCTCCTCCTTTCATGTGCTCCGTCATGATCATGTCTGAGAGTGGAATCATTCCCTGTTTCAATGAATCCACCTCACTTACTGTGTTGAATGGATCCTGAAGAGTATCTAAAGAAAAGCCCCCACCTTCATCCAGCAGTACTTGTGGAGATATTTGTGAGAATTTTGTCATGTACGACTCGTAAGGACCAGATTGATTCACGGGGTTTGTGTTTAGATCCATCAGTCTCTGTGAATGAAAGAAACTTGCTTCTCCTGCTCCATAATTGTGACTGTCGACATTGAATGTGTAAGAAGTTGAAGGACAATGTGAGGAAGAGCTCGTGGAGGAATAACTCGTTGTCATTACTCCCTGAGAAGGCAAAATTTGAGGCAATGAATTAAGAATCGTGAAGTTCGACTGATCATTCAACATCTGAGGATCTAGTCCCGCATTGCAGTACGTGTTGGTGATGCTATTGCTTGTAACGGATGCATCGGTCGATGAAAAAGATCCTTGAGAACATGTGGTGACATTCGAAGTGGTTGAGAGTACACTTCCTCTTCTCTTCTTGGAATGAGTGTTGTTGTTATTGTTGGAAGAAGAGGAAGAGGACTTGGAGGATGACTTGAAGGATTTTCCATCTTCTTGAACAAAGGTAAATTGTAACATGGATGATTTCTGAGTTTGATTGGTGTGACTGGTTGAACATCCTGAAGTGGATGGACATGATTTCCTTCTTCCTCCCTTAGTCGATGGAATCGTATGGTTCTTAGCTTCTGTTGTTGTCATTGCATTGCTACTTTGACTTTCATTCAATGGTAGTTGTGAATTTGAAGGATTAGCACTCGCTGACGATTTCCTTCTTCGTTGTTTCTTCTTGTTTTGTTCGAGAAGCTTCCTTTGATGTTCACGTTCCTGTTGAATGCGTCGTTTTCTTTCATGATAGAGATTGAGTTGAAGAACAATTTGAGTGATCGGAGCAGAATTCATGAAAGCACTCACTTGGGTATTGTGTTCCAATTCTTGGTAATGATTGAGAATGGTTTGAATATTCGTGTGGTGGTTAAAGTTATTCTTGTAGTGGTTGAATGTACTTTGTTCTTCATCTTCTTCTTTAAGGAGTAAATCCAATGAGGATGAGAGTTGTTCAATGGCAATGGAAGCATCTTGAAACGTCACTTGCAATTCTCCCCCACCATCAACACCACCAAGACAAGAAGCATGACTATCGTCTTGTTGGTGATTCACATTCGTAAGGGAAACAGAATTTGTCAATATTGATCGTCGATCCTTCTCTTCCTTGTCAATGTTGGATCTTTCAAGCTCGTGATAAAGTTGTTTCACAAACCTCCATAATTCCTTCATACGATTCAACACTCCAAGTGTACTCACTTCTTGCCAAGCATGTGAATCATTCTGATCATCTGAATCATAGACCAAATGAATCTGTGAGGGATAACCAGGAACATCATTTCCCTGTAAGGTTCCACTTCTCATAGTCGTACTCATGCCATACATGAGAGGAGACTTTTTGAAGGCTCTAACTTTTCGTTCAAGACCACTCTCGTGCTCATCGAGTCGATTCTCAATGACCTTATAGAAGGTCAGAAAATCGAATCGAGTCATGATTCCACAGACACTTAATTCATTGTACAATCGAAAGAGAAGAGAGATCTTATCAAAGAGTGGAAAGGTGTTCCATTTGAGTTGAGAAATTAACACACAGAGACTGAATTCAATGAGAGAGCACAAGGAAGGAATTTGAGTGTAATCATGACCATCGGGACTTTCCATGAAGAGTGCCCTCTCCAGAAGAGGGGAAGAGTACGTGCTGCTATTCATCATGATGATATCAGCATTAGTCCTAGTCGTGGTGGTGGTAGTTGTATTGGGAGCAACAGAGATCAGTGAAGCATCCATGTTATTGTTGGAGTTGTTGTTGTTGTTGTTGTTGTTTCCTAACAAGAGGTTCAGATGGATGGAATTGTCAATGTTGTTGTGGTTGGTAGAGATCTCTTGACTTGAAATGCACAATTCTTTCAACTTTCGAATCACCTCTGCATTAAAGAGAAGAAAATGTCGCAATGCCTTATAACACTGAAGTTCTTTCTGAGAGGCATCAATCACCAACGCATTCGATTGAAGAAGAGCATTCATGTTGGAGAATCCAAGAAATACCAAATACTCTCCTTTCAATTCATAGATTTTGAAAAAACTTCGATGCATCTTTTCATCAATGTAATCGAGAATGGCCTTTTTAGTGGCATGAAATTGTTGAGGAGAGGTCTTTTCATTGATCCACTGACCTCGATTGGGTGGATACTGCAAATTCTCAATAGTTCTTCGCATCACAACGATTTGATTGATCGTTTCGCATTGACTCAATGCTTGGCGAATGAGAAGATCCAAAGCAGACTTGTCAGAGTGATTTGAGCTTTCTGTTGTGGAAGAGGAAGAACCAGGTGATGAATTCTTTGCCTTTCGAAAAGTAGATCCTATCACACACATATTAATTAGACAATGAATGGCCAAATTATTCGAATTGACCATAAAGGTCGCAGAGTTGAGAATGGATGCTTCATTTCTCAAACCATTCTCAACGACTTGAGGAAAGAGAAAAGCCTTCTCAATCTCTACCTTGTTCGTTTCTGTAATGTTGGAAAGACCTAAATCGAGATAGATGGATGGACACGTGAGGGTTGTAGTGGTCGTGTTCGTGGTGATTCCAAAACCATCCTCCACTTCCACACGAATTAAACCATGCTGAAAGAGTGAGAGAAGGTCAAGAGTTGGCAGAGTTGGCATTTGTTGGAAGTGATCCGTTGTCGTTGTCGTTGTGGGCATAGCGAGTCCACCCATTGCTGCGTTGTCCTGAGGTAAGGGGTTGTGCACACCACAAGAAAATGACGGATCGAGTGGGTGATGGTACTGTTGTTGTCCCAAAACGTCGTCGCTCTTACTATTGCTACTATCACTGCGAGCGCCAATTAAAGTCCAGTAATGAGGTCGAGTCACCTCGCGCAATGCCATTCTCGTCTTTTGGTTTGTTAGTTGGGCCAACCAGGACTGCAGAATTGAGTAATGAGGAATTAATAAGGGCAATGAACAATTTGGCAAGTACACATAGACCAATGAGGAAATATCTTCTTTGAGCGAGTGAACACTCACTTTTGAGGTGTTGGCGCCCATGACATTCCTTATTTGTTGTTGAGGTTGGTGTCGGTTATTAAGGGAGGTACGATGGATGGTGAGAGAAGGATCCAAAGAGCATGGTTGAGTGGAAGGGTGGATTGTCAAAGTGTTTGAAGATGCAGCATTGTTCAAAATTTGGTTCGGTTCATCGAGAAGTCGCTCTAATAATACAAAGGAGTCTTGTCCACCAAGAGAATTCATGCAATCATTGGTTGGGAGGGAACTGTTGAACTGCCATGGATGCTTTTGGTGATGAATGACCATCGTTGGTCCAGCAGCAGTTACTGGAGAAACAGTTGTATTGCGGGAATTGAGGCCTTGAAGATCATTCATGATCGTCCTCATTTCGAACTGTTGTTGAGATTGCTCTGCCGAGTGGCACTCATTGCTGCTGTCAGTGGTTTGTTCCTCATGCAACAATCGTAGCCACTGATGGATGAGTGTATTCATGGTACTGTTCGCAGTTGAGATTGCTGTAAAACTGCACTGCTGAAGAGAGATTGGATTCATGGTTGGTGCTTGCGTGTACGAGTGTAGCAAGGTCAATCAATAACCCTTATTGAACACAACTAAGGTGATAATTTTTTTCTTGAAAGACCAAGGATGGTGATGTTGCCTGACTCACTTTCGTAGGAAGAGAATCAACGTTCAAGAACGGCCATCGTTCATTCAGAATATCGAGAACGTGTCCTGAATATTCTCCTACAAGGGACATTAACGTTTATCGCCTACTATAGCCATGTCTGTTTTGAAACACCGCTCGATCAGGATCTTTGGACTGTCTTTATTTGTAAGTGACCGCCAATGGTGCATTGCCTTAAAATGAATGTAGCAGAAACCCTCAAACGTGCGCGCATTTTTCTTACTGCTTGGACACGGTGTTGTGGCGAATATATTGCTCAATTCAACCCGAAATCGTACATGAATCGTACATAATTGTACCAAGTGATGATGATGCTTTGGTGATATGTATCGAATGGGTCGAGTTTAGACAGTACCGCATGCTCGCAATATCATCGATAAATTTGAAATTTGGTGTCAACGTTTTACTGTTGCATACTCGGACAACATACCTTTATTAGAGGATGTTTCGCCATCAGGTCACCTCTTATAAATTCTCTTCAAAGTACAACTCTTCGTATAAATCCTCAATGAATGTTTTCATGTGTTGAATGCGTTTCTTGGCAAGCTCTTTTCCAGTGTTTGTTTTCATCATGCGATCCAAGTGAAACAATTTATCATAAAAATGTTGAATGGCAGAATCATCGGTGGCTGAGACAGTTGGCATTGGATTCATTTCAAGTTTTTGTTGGAACATGTCACTAGGAGTGGTGCATGAGGAAACGAATTTCTCATCCTCAGGAATGTAGATGGCTCTTTGTTTTGAGCCGCTGAACACGAGACAACGAGCTGCACCAATGGCTCCAAGGGCATCCAATCGGTCACTATCTTGGACCTTGATCGATTTGGACATGCATGATTTTAAGTTTGTTGAGAATATGAATCAAGGTTTCGAATTGACATTTTGAAATATTAGATATTCACATCGAATCAATTTCAGTAGTATTAGAAAAAAACATACTATTTTCAATTCGATCGGTAATTCATCCACATATTCCTTATTTTCTTGCATTCTCTTGACTTCCTTTGAGAATGAAATGTTATCCACAACATATTGAACTCTGTCAATAATATTTTCAGGAACTAGTAATTGTGATAAATGCTCTTCAATCGCTCTTTGTGCCTTGTTTTGACCGTGTTGATTGGGCTGTACATATTTATGATCATTCACATCATGCAAATAAGCGGCCAATTCAATGACTTGTAATTTTTCCAATATGGAAGGTGAAAGAGTTGAAACATCGGAGGTTGGTAAAGCCAACTCTTTGTGTGCAATAAATTTGGCCATTTTCACCACTCGCTCTACATGATGAAAATCATGAGAACCATCGTATTGGGACATGACACCTCGGACCATTTCGCGAGTTTTAGCAATCACTTGAGACCAATTGTTGATGATCATTTTCATTTGAAAATCAGTGTGGACACAATAATGTTTCAATGAAATGATTAAAAAATTATACTGAAATTCCGAAGAAGTAGAATTCTTCAAAATTGTTTCTGGTTGCCGGCGAGGAGAAAAGTTAACGTGAAGAAAATTTTTACAAAAGAAAACAAGACATCACAGAGATCCCCACTTGATGATCTTTATGAGAGCATTCCCAAGAGTGAAAGAGATGAAATAATTTGTTGAACTTCTAGCACATGATCGAACATTGGAAATTCTCACACATGCCGGGCGCAATAATTCATCGGGAAGAGCAAATGAATGATCATCTTTCCGGTGTTTCCTGTAATATTGAAAACGAAGGGGTGTTGAACAATTATTTATTTTAGAACGTCGATTCGATTCTTACATTGAATTGATTTGCCTTAATGATAATGTGATGCATGGTTTGGTGTCTTTTTAAAGAATGGAAGAATGCACACAACACATTGATCAAACCAATATGAGGGAAAGAACTTTAACTGCTACTACCAATGATTCACTGGATTTTTGCAACGAGATCTATATTTCCTGTCCAACATGTTATATAAATATCCTTCCATCATGTGATTCACCTGATTGAACGTAATTCTTACATAGGGATCAATTTTCGAGGCCAATGCTAATTGTTTCAAATCTGGAGCAAAATATTTGAGAAATATCGTTCGATACCACCAAGATCCACCTTTGGCTTCTTCATGTTGTAAATCCACAGTGGTTGCTAAAAAGTAGGCTGGCATGTAAATATTCTTGACTCGTTCCTGGAATTCTTGACATGTCTCTGCAGTCCATGGTGAGGAAGATTTTGTATGGTTGTGAGGTCTTCTTAGAATTTCATCCAAAATGAGTAATGACTCACAAATACAGGTAATTCCTTGACCATAGAATGGATTCAAACTAGCCACGCTGTCCCCCTTTTAAATGGTTTATTTATGGAGTGTCATGAGTGAATGCATGACAGAGATGGATGAATTCATGATAAAGTATGACCATATGGAAAGTAGAGTGAGTTCAATCATTGATTCTCAATAATTGAAGAATACATATTGACAAGCACGTGTTAAAACACAGTCTATTTCATTCATTCCTTCAATACATTCAACACTTACCAATGCAATAAAGTTTTCCAAGACATGTCTCTTTCCAGTTTCAGGATCAAACCCACCACACGTTGTTCCTCACGAATTTCAATTTTTCCCAACAAGTGTTGAGAGAATTTGCCACCATTACTAATTTGTAATAATTGATCACGAATCCAAAGTTCAAACATGCCTCCTGTCATTTGATAATTCAGGTTTTTGTTCAAAAAGACCATGCAAACGAAACCGATCGGTTTCGCAATCGACTTGAGCAAAGTCAGAATTTATAATGGTGGTTTCATGGGCTCCGATATTGACAATTTCTTGAATGAAATCCATGTTCAAGACACCTCCTAAGAGTTTTTTCAAAATTGCTATAGCTCTGTATTGGTAGACATGAGTTTGATGTCCATGTGGAGCTGTGGATTTGCCTTATGACAAGTCGCCAACAACAACAACAACAACACAATCAACCAATGAATGTCTTGACCATGAATTCGAACTGGAAAATAACTCACCTTCTTCATACTTTTTCTGTTCCACTAAAATGACCTTCTCATAATGAAAGGACAAGAGACCAAACTCGTTAAAAGTCCTCCCACACTGCCACCCATCACAATACATGTTTTACCCTTGTTGAAAGATCCTTCGGTGGTGGTGCTCTTGTTGAGCATCATCCCAATTTTTGAGGTCTCTAATTTCACTTGAGCATGAAAGTATTTCTTAAAGACACCAAACCATAAATAAGTGAGAGTGAGTGGAAGTAACAAACTGGGCACGGTGCTAGATAATGGAGTAAAGAAAATTAAATCAAATAAAAGGCAGAAACTTTTAATTCTTAATACGATTAATGTGTGCAGTCCAAAATAAGAAAGTGAATTCACTAACAGCCAGAGATCCCATAATTGTTTTAGGTAATTAAAATATGGACAAGGTAATGTAATATGTTTCCTTGGAATTCCTTTATAAAGTATATTGTTTATATTTGTAAGTCCACGTCACACCACCTCAAACAATGTATGCCAACCATCGTGTTTCATTGGACACAACAAGATTGGATGATTGTACATATCTGAGTGAGATGGGTGAGGTATGAAAAAGGGACTGGAACAAGTGCAAGGATGTGGGGAGTCTGCTAACAGCTTATTAACAGCTCGACTTTTAGTCATGTCGTGCGAATATGGTGGACAAAATCCGTTCATTTATGAGGGCAAAAAAGTAGGACATTTTGAATGAAATGAGCTGTAAGAGGTCTTTGTGATCATCATGAAAGAGATTCACATATCACATGCACTCTTAAGTATTGTGAAAGGTTTGAGGAACAGAGAAATTTTTAAAAATCATTTCAAAAAATGTCTCGAAACGGTGTAACACAGCTCTCCAAGGTTTGTCTCTACTTTTGTGATTGGGGTGGTTCTTCGAAAGGAATGAGACAATTTCTGGACCAAACATCGGGAACATTCTGGGAATTTGCCAAAAGCTCTCCCGATGTGAAGTTTATTGTCCAATTACGCAGAGGAAAACATCCCTTTGTGAAGGCTGTTTACAAAAACGGAAGAGAGCATGCTCACGACTGCAAGAATATGGATGCTAGCGAAATTGCTCAAAAACTCTACAACATCAAATCGCAATGGGGTGATAAAGCAAAGAAGATTGGAGTTGGTAAATTGACGAAAAACCCTTCCATACAAGGCTTGTACATCCCACAATTATGGCTCAAGACTGCAAGTTTGGCCCGATACAACAAGCAAGCAGATGAGGCCAACCAATAATTCAACATTGCCTTGGCCACCAAAACAACCATAATTCATCATTGATTTGCTAAATTCTCTAAATTTTCATCATCACCAAAAGCATCCTCAAAATTTTGTTGTGCCCGTACTAAATAGTTGAAGAACCATCAGATGGATACATATTAATAATAATAATGAATTTTCATTTGTTTCATCAATTCTATTCATTATATTCAAATTTATTTGTTCTTGTTGTGAGAGTTAAATTATTATAAATTAAGAGCCTTGAAAATGATTGTGTGCTAACAACACGAATGTCGGAAACAAGAAGGAGAAAATGCCTATTATTCGGAACACCTACATAAACACACTGTCATCTTCTGTGAAGCGATGATGCCCATAGCCTCCTTCGACACACGTGTTCCTTGCCCAAAAAGAAGCATTCAGCACATCATTCATCTTACAATCCTGTCTGATTCTTCATATCTTCAATCTTCTTAGCAATCTCGTTTGGTGTTCTTTGCAAATCTTCGGAAATAATGGCCTTTGTTTGCAAGTCCAGATCATTGAATTGTTCAATCAAGTCGCCGTCAATGACACCTTTCACTGGGAAGTAATAGGAACGGTAAGCGAGATGGTCTCTGCCACACAAAGGTGGGTTCTTCTCTCTTAAATGCATTTCGAGATGAGTGAAAAAGTCAATGTCTTTCTTGGAGGTGAACGGAACAAAGACACCCACTGAGCCCGTAATTGTTGCATAGACCAACACTGAAGGTCCTCCAGATATAAGTTGTGTCTTACACAAGCTTGTAATCATGGAACCCACATAGAATTTCACAATCTCTGTAGCTTTTTGAGGGGCTCCATTAAGGAGACCTCTCTCCCAAATCCACTTTTCCTTTCCGTTGGTTGCCTCTTCGATATCATCGGAAACATCATTGGGTAAACGAGAAATGAAAAAGTTGCCAAACTTGTCTCCTCCTGCAATGGTATTGTAGTCCAGAAGTGCCGATGCAGTCAACCACCTTGGTGTGGTATTATCTGCAAAGATGGTCAAGGTATTTTCTTGTACATTATATTTCACAAAGTGGAATGATTCTGAAATGTCACCAACATAAATTCTGTTTCCATCCACAGCAATTGAAGTAATGAAGTTTGGGAATAATTTGTTTTCGCACTTTCTCAACAACTTCTTTTTACCCAAGTCATAAATTCTCAACATGTTCTTCACACCCACGAGCAATCTACCACGGAAAGTATGCAAACCATAAGGTACGTCCTCTACTTCTGTCTTGTGAATAAGTTGAAGTTTTCCTTCGTCTGTTACTTGGAAAAGATTAATATAGCCACATGCACACTTTCTTGTTGGGTGTAGTACCATATCTTTGGCAGTTCCTACCACGATTAAGGTTGAATTTGGTTTAATACCTTCCAGAGTGGTAGAGAATTTGCATGTTGTTATACTGAGGGCTGCTTCATTGTCTTCAAATTCATACTCATCCACATGCTCTTGTCTCTTAGGAGAGTATACACGAATGGAAGAGACCCATTGACCAGATCTTGGTCTTGTCTTAATGGCACCATATGCCACATCATTGAGTTCACCTGGTGTTGCTTCTGTGTCTTCAAAGTTTAGGTATTCTGGTCTTGTATTTGGTTTCAATGTGTTATAGTCAGATTGGAGAATCACCATATTTGAACTCTCATCGTGTACAACAAATTTTCTTGGAGTATAATTGAGAGGCATGGCATCCTGTGTAAACTTGTCAGCTATGGACGAGATGGAAATAATTCGTAAGTCTTCTCCAACAATAGAAACCAAACCCTCTGGAATTTGTTCAGAGGCAAAATGAGTAGCTGTCGTCAACATTGGATAGGAGAGAGGTGTCATTTCAACTCTACCATGATTGAAATATCCTAGCCATGGTTTGCTTGAGAGGGCTAGAATTGCGTTTTGGCCCTTCACTTTAATATTTCTCAACTTGACAGGCCTAGTACCTAAAAATCTAGATCTTGTGTCTGAGAGTTCTCCTGAATGTGGATCTACCGTTGACCTGAGAAGAACACCATTACTGAGGCCAATGTTTAGATAAAGGGCAAGTCCATCGTGTGCTGATAGACCAGTAGGTAACTCGATCATACTCAATGACTCTGGATCGGCTGGTAAGGCTTGTCTAGAGAGAATTGACATCATGTCATATTGACCCAATGATATCAATCTTACAGTTTTGTCATAGAAACCAACTGCAAGGAATCTAGCTCTTGTATGTCCTTCAGAGACTGGGCACAAGGCAAGACATGCTACATCTTGTGCCATGTCATTAGTTTCTGTGTTAATTAATTGTCCTGAATTAGTATCATACTCGAAATAAATGATTTCTCCTCCACTTAGAGCAACCACGATTTGATAACCGTTAACAGTTGCTTTTTCAACTAGCTTATTTCCAGAATCCCAACCAGATTTACGCTCACCTTCACGGCCAATGTGAATAATGCCTCTTGGATGAATTTGAACCAAATCTTCCTCACCAATATTTGCTGCATATATCGTTTTGGTGTTTGTTAAGAAGCCGCTATCAGCAACTTCTTCTACTTTTTCTCCAATTGAGAGAACCATTGTAAAATCAGTGAATGAAATAATAATGTACTTGTCAAAATCGGATGAAATTGATTCTTTCACTGTAAAGATGGCTGGTGGAGATTGTTCCAATGGAGCTGAAACATTTTCTTCGACAGGCAAGCCATATCGTAAAACACGCAATGATGAATGAGGACCTCTTCCGTGAAGAGCATAAAACTGGGAGGCTCCTTCAGTCATTAAATCTGTAATTTTCATGTCAGTAATTGGAGCCAAGCTTTTTAAATCCTGTACTTTTTGAATATGTCTATGACTCATGTAAGGTTTAAATGTTGGAAAAGATTCAAGATCAATCATTTCAAAGGATTCTTCATATTCTGAATGCTGAATCGATTTAAGTCTGTATAATTTGTGATCACTAAATTCTGATGCTGAGAAAATAAAACCGTTTTTCAATGTTAAGAAAGTGTTTGCCACTGGAATTGTATCAAAGTAGTGAATAGAAATGTTTTTCACATTTTTCTGTTCGTCCAGATCGAGTGAAACCTTGTAAAGATCGCCTAACTCGCTTTGAACAAGCAAGAACATATCCGCAGCTTTTTTCACCATATGCATGCTTGAGCTTACAATCATGAGCCCTCTCTCACGAGGCATACCTGCTCTTCTTGGTATTGGAACCCTAATGTTGTGAGAGTCTTTTCTATAGGTAATGTAGTTTTCGGAGCAAATCAAAACACCTCTTACAGGCTCAGGAATTTGAATGAGCATGTTCGATGATCGATCAATCTCATATGCTGACTTTTTAACAATTGTGTTTTTTCCTAGGTCCAATTCATAAATAGTGAGAGTTTTCTTAATTGATTGATAGGCTTCATCGGATTCATCAGCCCCTTCATAATTCACTTCAATACAAGCAAAAGTAGGATTATTGTCAAACCCGACATCCAAAGCAATCATTGAATAAACGAGAGTATTTTGTGAATGGCCCTCCAATGGTGATGATATTGTCAAATGATCGCCATCCATACGGATTACGTAGACAAACTTTTGTTTTTCAATGGCACCAATCATTAGAGCTCTTCCTTGGGGATCTGCAGCCAAGTATTGTCCCGGAACAATCCTTCTACATCCAGTCTTGCCATACGTCTCTACGTGAACCTGAACAAACTTGTTAAGATTCGCGTTAAATTCTAAAATAACAATAGATCCAGAATCAGAACCAATAGCAATATAATCTTTATCACCGGTGTTGCTGAATTTAAAAGCAACCATCGACCGTACGACTCCAAAGACATCTTGCGATAGTAAACATGTGAGAGGTGGGACATTCTCTTCGGAGCAATCATAGAGCTCCAATACGCTTCCTTTTGCTACAAGTATCTCGGTGGCTCTCACCAATTTCTCATTTCTCTTTACCTTCCGTCCAGAGAAGCAGCCTGTGATCGCCGTGTCGATGCTTCCTGGCTTGATGAGAGTAAAATGATACAGCTGCATGTATTTTTTTCTGAAACAAAATAAAAAATATTTTTTTGTTGTTTTCGAACATCATCATGATTCATTCAACCTGACCCTGAATTCAGCTTGCTAGATAGAAGACGAACCATAAAACAAGCAATAACATGAGCAGCGTGGTAACTAACACTGCTTTGAAAAGAGAGAGTCGTTCTGACATCGTACTGATTAGATCAATTTTCTCATGGGATATGTCTCTCGTTTCGTTTGTGGTTGTGCAGGATGAGGGTGGTGTCGAATAATTATTCGTACTTGCCTGCTCTTCATGTACAGTTTCATCAAGAAGTGAGGAAATATCCAAGCCATCATCTTCACGCTTTTCTCTAATCCATTGTAAAATGCTTTTGTAATTATTTCTAATATAATCGTCCAATAATTCAAGCTGTTGCTTTAATTTTCGATTTCTCGAATACTTCTTATCAATTCCAATTTTTTGATTGAGGGAATGTCCAGTTTCTTGTAAGTAATAAATGCAACATTGTTCAAAGAAATCTAACGTGGAAACGTCATATACTTCATATTTTGAAAGTAAAATTTCACGTAATAGGCGGTCATTACTATAGAGTATTAAGCTATGCAGTTGTTTGGCAGCAGATACTGTATCAAATGCAAGTAAAAATACATATTTAGGGTCTACTAGGCCAATAATGAAATCAGAATACAAATCATAGAATCCACTCTCTGCCATGTCTGCTTTGTACACATGACAATAGTCTTTTTCAACAAATCGGTTCATGATTCCCATCATTTGAGAGGATGCATTGGAACCTTTTCTCCATTAGCTCTTTCTGATGGATTGAGACAATATGCAATTATTGCTGCATTTAAGGATCATCGTTTTGATCCCATTGCGATGAGTGAAGTTCCTCAATTAAAATGTGCAGTGAGCTTGCTGGTTAATTTTGAAGAGGTCGATGTTGGTAACGTGTACGATTGGGAAATTGGTACCCATGGCATTCGTATTAAATTTGAAGTGAACGGACGGGACTATGGAGGTACTTATTTACCAGAGGTTGCAAAAGAGCAAGAATGGACGAAAGAAGAGACTTTATCTTCTCTCATTAGAAAGGCAGGGTTTAAAGGAAAGGTGACACAATCTTTATTAGAGAGTATTGAGTTGGAACGATACCAATCGAGTAAGGTTGACATGACCTATGAAGAATATGCGGAATGTAAGAACAACAGGGTTGGTAGTCGGCAGCTCTCGAGTAGCAACAGTTTGGGTGATGTGGACGATTATGACAGCGACGAAAGTAATGAAGATTATTGACAATCGTGTTTTGCGTTTTTACAGTGTAAATAAAAAGGTTCTGGTGATTAAATGCGTTGTATATTACAATGGTTTTAATGAGGTGCAAGCTCGTGTAGCTCAGTTGGATAGAGCACAGGACTTCTAATCCTGGGGTCGTGGGTTCGAGTCCCATCTCGAGTAAGTTTTTTTGTTGAAGAGTGTTGTTCAGAATAGGGAAAGTTAAACTTTACAATTATTATTATTATTTATGTAATTTATTTATATAATTTTTATTCGTTCAAAAATCTACCACTTTTGAAATGATGCAAGTTCATGTGTATAAATGTATTATTTGTTAGTTGGCTGGTCGAACTTTGCAAAGAGTTGCCAAAACGTCACACTTCATTGTGAGGTTGTAAAGATCTCTGTTTGGAAATGAGATAATTAAATCTCGATATTTATCATACAGAGTCAGCTCTGAATCGACGGATCTGCTTAGCTCTTGTGTTTGGATTTTAACAATAAACTTGTTTCCATCTCTGTATTGGAAAGAGCTTTGTAACTGCTGCTTTGTGGATACAGGCAGGAAAGATGGTTCTTGTCGATTATTCTCGCTGTTGCCATATCACACACAATTGCATAGTCTTTTGTTAAACTGTTACAAAACACTTTGTGGTTAGGCCAATCCTTGACAATGCTTTCCACAATATATAACAGTTTTGCATTTCGCACATTTCGACATCTTTTCAACATGAGAATTGCAAAAAGCGCACCGTTGTTCCAATTTTGTTAGTGTTGATGGATGTTCATTCTTTTCTTCGTTACCCTCTTCAACAACTTTTGTAAGAGTAACATTGGCAACACTCCTCAATTCTTTAGAAAGTTTCTTCATCAAATTGGATATTTCTTTTGAATCAATATTCAGATTTTTCAATTGCTGAGCTACAACTGTTGAGTTAATGTGACAGTTCGATTCTTGATAAATTCCTGGTCCATTATTGTTTGAAACTTTACAATTATTAAAAGAGACGAGTGCAGAGTAATTAATTCCAATTCGTACACCGCCACAATAATTACTATTGATTTGTCAATCAGTCACCTCTAAAGGGCAGTCATCCTTCACAGAAATGCCATAGCACAAATTTTCACGTATTTCACAATCCTTTAGCTTGGCAGAGCCTGTTTTGTCAACGCTTAGGCCAAAATGAGAGTTTTTGAATATAGAAACGTTGGTAAAAAAGGCACTGCATTTTCCAGCAATCAAAACGCCTTCTTTTGTATGTGGACAAGGTATTATTGGTTACAATAATGGAAAGAAGGTGAAGGTAACAAAAGTTAGTTTACCTTCCGAACCACAAGCTACAAGTGGCTTGAACAAGGTCCAAATGAAACTCAAGAGTCAACTGAGGAACAGAGAAATGGTTGAGAATATTTTGTGGTGGCCAATAAGGGAGAGATTTTGTGAATCTCAAATGTGTTTTCAGCACATTGCTTTAACATAGTTTTGATGGCATATCACTTGAACAATCACACAACTTGTGAAAATTGTTTTCATCCTCAATCATACATTACTATTTTATTTCAATTCATCAATTACCGTACAGATAGGTAATAGAAATTTACGACGCTAGTGGGCAAGTTAGAGTTCTTGCGATGGTGAAGCCTCCTTTTCTGTGGTTTGTTCTGCAGATGCATCTGTTTTGTTCATTCGCATTTGCTCTCGCTGTTTCATGAGAAATCTCTTTCGTTCTTGAATTTCAATCTTCTTCTCGGGTGTTAGAGTCTCGTTGTGAGCCTTTAAATTGGCCTCCGTTGCATAAATTGCAATTTTGTTTGGATAGAGAAAGTTTCTCATGAATCCAGCTTTTACTTTTATCACTTCTCCCTCCACAAAATTATTAAAATTCTTTTTAATGATGACATTGGTATTGGCTACGGCTCTGAGAAATCGTTGTTGAGTGGATGAATTTAATGTAATCAAAAAAGTAGAGCTCGATGATGATGAAATTCTCTTTCCATAATTTGATGAGACAAGTTGAATTGTTTTGCCCGTATGATGATTCACGAGGCCAGAGGAGAAGCCAACTTTGAACATTTTTGTTGATGAAGAAAAAATTTGTGCCATCGGAAGAGTTTGTGGTGGTGGTGGAAAAAGACTGGCGAACACTCAATTATATTTATTATCAAGAACAACAAGAACAATTTCTAAAGTGTTTGCATTGATTATTTCTCAAGTTTCAATTTTGTTGAATCATAATTGAAGCACACGATCATCATGTTCGGCACGGACAACACGAACGTTGGTGAGCAGCAACCATTCAAAATTAATGCACTCATTCATGTTCCTCCATCATGTGCCAATACCATCAAGAATCATCCACTTCTCCGTAGTTATGTTTTACTTCAATTAATGGAACAATCGGAGAGTGGGCAGGTGGTCTTTACACATTTCCATCATGTCATTCCGACAACCATCTCCCTTCAACAGAATATATTACAAGTGGAACTCTCTTTTACAAGTCTTTTATCATTCTCATCCAATTCCTCATCAAAGAGTGGGGAGCAACCACAGGACCTCACCTCTTCTTCCTTTCAATACTTATTTCCGTATCGGATCGGGATGGATTCTCCCATCATTTTCAATTTCAAAGTAGCAACACAAGAGATGGCAGATAATTCTCGTTTGGCCAACTCACAAGAACTAGCGATAATGAATTCATCAAAAACAACCTCCACTCGACGAAAATACAAATGTGGAGGCTTGAAAAAAGAATATGATTTGCTTAAAAAAACCCTTAAACAAATGATTGATTTGGGAGAAAATAATGTCAGTGCTGGAGTTTTGGTTCATGGTTTGTCTGGAACTGGCAAGGATTTACTTGTAAATACAGTTTTTCAGGATTTATTTGTAGAGGCATCGTCTAGTAAGGCCTGTTCGCAGGGACAAGATGAATATGACGGCAATGCTAGTGACACGGAAGAAAATTATCAACTCAATATCACTAGTCTCCATGCTTCAATGTTCACAAGTAAGGTCTACGGCCAAAACGAGGCCAAAATGAGACAATTCTTCCAGAATCCAAACCAATTTGGTCACACTCACTCTATTTATTCATACAAGTTTATTATTTTACAAGATTTAGACCAATTAGCACCCTCGAATCAATTGATTCAGGATAGCTCTATAGCATCAAAAGGAGGAAAAAGGCTGGTGAGCACTCTATTGCACGCTCTAGATGATTGCCCAAAAAAGAGAATAATAGTTATTGGTATTACTAACCAATTTTCAAAGATCGATGCCTCCATAAAACGATCTGGTAGGCTTGACCAAGCTGTGATCGAGTGCCCCATTCCTGGTGAGGCAGAACGAGCAGATATTTTGAGAGTAATTTTTGAGCAATGCAATATTGAGATACAAGAGGATTTAATTTCCAAAGTGGCAAGTGTCACACATGGTTTTGTTGGTTCTGATTTGAAATCCTTATGTAATGAAGCCATACTTCAACATTTCATGAAAGGAGAAAATATATTGTCAAATGAAAACAATGGTGGGAATGATGAAACGACTACAAGCAATACTCCCCCAACTTTGAGCCTGAATTATGACTTGTTTGAGAATGCCTTAGTGCATGTAAGACCTAGTGCCATTCGACATATTCTTGTGGAGGTTCCCAAAGTTTACTGGAATGACATTGGAGGACAAGATAATGTCAAGCAAGCTCTCAAAGAGTCGATTGAATGGCCTTTCAAATATGCAGAACATTTCAAGAGAATGAAGATACGAGCTCCTAGAGGTGTGCTGCTTTATGGCCCACCTGGATGTTCAAAAACATTGCAAGCAAAAGCATTGGCAACAGAAGCCAAACTGAACTTTTTGGCTGTGAGAGGTCCTGAATTGTTTAGCAAGTGGGTCGGTGAGAGTGAACGAGCAGTTCAACAAATATTTGCAAAGGCCAGACAAGCCGCACCAAGTATCATCTTTTTTGATGAAATTGATGGTCTCGGTGTTGAGAGAGGTAGTGGAGGAAATTCTGTAGGTGATCGAGTACTTTCACAACTTCTTCAAGAATTAGATGGAATTGATCCACTTCAAGGGGTGACTGTCATTGCGGCCACTAATAGGCCAGATTTACTCGATAAGGCTCTATTAAGACCTGGTCGAATTGATCGAATGCTCTATGTGGCACCACCAGATGCTTCTGCCAGAAAAGAAATTATGAACATTCAATTGAAACGAATGAGTCATAATATTACCCCTGAACAAATTGAACAAATTGTAAATTGCACAGAAAACTACAGCGGAGCAGAAATGACAGCTCTCTGCAGGGAGGCAGCTTACTTGGCACTACAGGAAAACATTCATGCAGAATATGTGGAATTTAAACATTTTGAAGCTGCCAGAAAAACCATTCTTCCACGAATCACTCAAGAAATGCTTGATTTTTATAAGGAATTTGCTAATAAGAATAGAGCGGACTAGGGATTGAATTATGCTCTCTCAGACCGTACTCGGGAATCTATAGGTGATTTGTTTTGTTTCTTTATGGTATTTCACAAACTTTTGTGAATGAAAAGTAAGAAAAAATGCTTAGAAAGGATTCAGCGGTGGTGATCAACACATGCCAAATCGCCACACAACCCGTAAATTTGGGATTCAATATTGTGTGCCATGAACGGAATGATCACAAAGATGACATTAAATCTAATTCCGAAGAATTGTTGGAAGGTACTGATGGTGATATCAATAATAATATTAATAATGATCCTATTAAAAATCGAGATCAAGTTCGATTTGTTGTCATGAGTGACAGCCATCAATTCTATAAGAATCATTTGCAACATTTGAGTGATGTTTTATTGAAACAAAATTCAAAATTTGGGGAATTATTGCGGAATGAAAATACTTGTCGAACTGAAATTGAAAATACTAATCATCAATTGCCACAATCGGAGCACTCTTCAAAGGAAAATAACAAACAATACAATGTTTTACTGCATTGCGGTGACTTTGGATTTTATGGCAAGAAAAACAGTTTACTCAATTTCAATAAGGAATTTCTTGGAAATATCAAAGACATGTTTGATGCCATCGTTGTAATATTGGGAAATCATGATCATCCATTGATGGAAGCGCTAGATTTTGATGTGGAGAGTTTCAAACAGATGTACTTGTCGAATGCAACTCATTTACTGTTTGATTCATCTGTTTCACTCTTCGATCAACGAGTGAAAATTCATGGATTGTCATGGCAATCGAAAGAAGAGCACACATTTTGCTTTAATCAATATCCATCATCCCAACATGAAGAGATGATACAACGATTGAAAATGAAAAAACTATTGAAAATTGCTCACGACACCAATATTTTGTTGAGTCATGAACCACCAAAAGGATACTTGGACGATGGTAATGGAAGCAAGGCTCTCTCTCAGTACATTTTGCTTGAAGCAAGCCTTGCCTTGAAAGTGGTGGCATTTGGACATGTTCACAGCAAATATGGCTATGAATCTTTGCAAGCGAACAAGGGAAGAACTATACACATAATCAATGCGGCCGTAAATATGACAAATGCACCCGTTTATTTTGACTATTTTCTGTAGTTGACATGATTAAATTAATGAAATGTTCATAAATGATGTATAATTATTGATATAAAATAAACATTTGACTCTAAATGTGCAAAGTTAAAATGTGTGCAAGTTTCAAGTAAAATACTATTAGATGGTTGATTCTCTGTACAAAATCCTGCAACTCAAAAATCCTAATTTAATTCCATGTTTCAGTTCCTGCAATAATATTCTCAATGTTGTGACAAAATGGGTGTGGTGTTTCACCGTACTGGATACTCAAAATTCGGTCCCACAACTTCATAGCAAGTGATTCTTCCTTTGGTGGAACTGGAACAGGATATTCAGTGTCTTCATATCTAATGGCACTAATTGGGGCAACTACACAAGCAGTTCCTGCACCAAATGATTCGAGTAATCGTCCATTCTTTACGTCGTCAATGAAATCACTCATAGTGTAGGTCACTTCAGAAGCCTTTAACTTGAAATCATTTCTTACAAGGTGGAGAACAGAGTCACGAGTGACACCAGGTAAAATCACATCTCCCAAAGGTGGTGTAATGAGCTCCTTCTCTCCATCCTTACCAATTCGATAGAAGAAAATGTTCATGGTTCCAACTTCGGTAATTTGATGATCAGATCCGAAAAGCCACAAAACTTGTGAATATCCCTTTTCAATAGCTTCCAATTGAGGCATAATCGTTGGTCCATAATTGGATCCAACCTTTGCATTACCAGTACCTCCTGGGAAAGCTCTAACGTATTTTGGATCAGCAAGAAGTTTCACTGGAGCAAAACCTGATTTAAAGTAAGGGCCCACAGGAGAACAAATCACAAACAATTTAGCATTGTTTGGTGGCAAAACTCCCATGGTGCGTTCAGTACTAATGACTGTTGGACGAAGATACAATGAATAACCTCTCTTATCTGGAACCCAATCCTTTTCAACCTTAACAAGCTCAGCCAAACATTTCAAAAATTCTTCTCCAGCAAAATTCTGAAAGCGGTGACATGGCATATTTCATGTAAGCAGAGATATGAGCGAATTCAATCAGGAGTGCCGTGAATTGAATCAATTTTTGCCGCACACAGACGAAAATCATGATTGGACAAAGTTTGTCATTTCCATACGAATGGAATTCAATGAAAGAAGAAGAAGAAGATACATATCCATCGAATCGTACACATTTTGATTAATGATGGCCATTATTATCATCATGTTATATGAAATTTCAATTCCGATGGGATTGTGGTTTCATTCAAAATAAATCATCATAGAGATGGATTCATTCAAAACATCCATACCAATAGATATTTCAGAATTCAATATACATCATATTTCAATCATTTCAAAAAACAATCAAACTACATACTGGTAAGCCTAATCGAGCACAAGACCTATTCATTCTGTTGGCATTCATTTCTGGTCTAAATAAATAAACATTCTCTCCATTCTTATAAGCCTTCAATCCTTCAAAACATTGAATGGCATAATGCAGAGCAGAACATGATGGAGGAAGAACTAAATCATGATAGGGAACAATCCGAGGAGCAGTCCATCCCTTCTCAGCATTCCAATCCACTTCAAGCATATGGTCAGTAAATTGTTTACCAAAAACCAAACCTTCCCATGGTGGTTTTACGAGTGGAGTTTTGGTGTGTTCAATCGTGAGAGCTGTATGATAAAAGTCTCCATAGGGACATTTTCTGATGGAGGTATGGTCGTCTTTTAATTCTTCGGTAGCAACTGTTTGATGATAGAATCTATAATGATGACCCGAAGATGAAGAGGTGGAAGACAAGGCTGAACCAACCATCATCATGGATGGAGAACCACCGTTACTTCGGTTGAGTTTCATCAATGATGATGAAGAAGAAGCAAGAAGACTTGATTTGAGCATGATTATTATTATTGGTCGAGTTTGATAGGAATAGAGAATAAAAAAAATCCAACTGAAGGTGGTTATTGTTGTTGTTGTTGGTGCGGTATTAAAAATTGAGAAGATTCTCTTTTTTGGAGAAGAGGAAGGTGAGGCTCAACAACCAGAAAAAAACCGGAGATGGGTTGAAATGGTTGTTTTTTTTGGGGTTGTTTTGCATGGTGTGGTTTGGAACGAACAAGCACACAATAAAACGAAATGATAAATGTCGAAAGAGAAACAAAAAAGAGCCTGATAGATGCTGCATGTTGTCGGGAGGAAGAGGGGAAGTAGGACAGCATGTGTTGTTACTGTCTGCTCGATGTATTATTGTAACGCTTTCTTGCATCATAAAAAATCTTTTGACCTGGTCTTGAGTTTACAATGAGATTCTCTATATACCGCGCTCTTTGAATCTTCACAGCCACGCACGGCTGTGCAGGGAATCTTATTCGCTCACGACATGTCGAAACGAATGCACCAACAGAGCATTCAAATCATCACCTGAGGTTTCAGGATGTGCTGAAAACACTAAAATTCTACCCTTGTCGTTTTGAAACCTTCCACACACAGCCGCCGCACTTCCCATCATGTATCCTTGTTGAATTTCTTTTTGAGTCATAAATTCGCACGAATAAGTGGCGAGAACTTGACATGTGGAAGGATCGGTGACATGAAGAATTGGACCATTTCGAAAGAACATATTGACCTCCTATTTGTGAATTCAGAGAGTATTTTGGTATTTAAAAAGTAGAGATTGATAAAGTATGATTATATGAATCACACCGACCCGTTCAGAGGTAAGACATCAACAATGGGTCAGTTAGGTTTCCAGAAACGATGTTTGAGAAAATTCAACCTTAAACTTACCGATCTGGAATCATTGAATATTTTCTGACCTAGCTCAGTGAGTGTCACCTAACAGCACGTTGAGGACATACAGTTTTTAGAGAGACTCGAAAAATAAAAACTTCTTACCTTACTGGTTCCAAAGCCTCGTTTCCAAATATGATTTTCTCGATCTTTGATAATTACTCCCTACAACATGTTGAAAGTTGTTGCATGTTGTTCACATGAACGTGTTGCGAAATTATTATAATCCACAGAAAGTTGTACAATGTCACTTTCTTAAATTTACAACCTCAAACTACGCACCTCTAGTAAATCTAGTGTTTTTGGAACAAACTCTTCAAGGTTCTTAAAACCATCGATCGAACTCTGAGCAAGCGCACAATAAGCTCCTGCACATGATCCCACATAACCCTTAATTCATAAATACAATGTATTACATATACAATTCATGTTCAGTAACAATGTTTGAATATTAAGGTTCGTGCGAGGAAAAAAGAGCACATTCACATTCATGGGTGGTAGTTCCTATCATACAAACCTTTTTTGGAAGTGACAAGAATTCCTTCACTTTTTTCATACCTGTCTCTTCACCAATTAATTTATAATGTTCTGATGGATATCCACCAGGCATAAATAATACATCAAATCCATCATCAATGAGACAATTATTGATGATCATTTCTCCTGTCACTTGAACGATTGAAAAATTATCTTTTAATTTTTCCACAAATTTCTTCCACTTGATATCCTTTCCATCTAGTGTACTCCCAATAAAATATGCAATTTTTAATTCCGAGTGATGTTGGTTGTCACGAATGAATTCCGTTTGACAGAGTGAGAGAGATGCAATTCTTTTCGCGAGTAATTCATCCATTTTTTTATTCAAAAGTAAATCATCAAGCTCTTTTGATTTAAGACATAATAATTATTGAAACAAGTCAACGTGTCCATTCATGAATGTCTGAAGAGAGTTCTGTCTGAATCTTTGTTTGAAACAATCACATTGTTGTTTAAAAAACAAAAGAAAAAATGTTCCAAAAGCATTTTCCATCGGGCCCTTATGCAACCAATGACCGAGTCGGTTCGGGTTTCTTCTATGATCGATTCTACACAAAATTCAAATCTCCCAAATGGAGGGCCATCGTTTTGTACGGTGCTGTTATTACCTTGTGCTATTATCCGTCCAAATTCATCTATCGTTTTGTGTTTGAACATCCGTATTGGGAGAGAAGACAAATCCGAAAGGAACAAGAACGAGAAATTAAGCAATTGGTATTGATGAGCTCGAATCGGAATAGAAAGGAAGCACTCAATGAAATGTTCAAAGAATATTATATTGGTAAATATGTTCAAAAACAACAACAACAAGATATCATGAGCCATGATGGGGCATCTTCTCAAGTAGAACCCAATACCGAAGAAATACTTGAGAAGATGATCGTTGAGTGGTATGGCATTACGAATGAGCCTGACCGATTGGCCTCACCACGACCTCGACCAACAACAGTTATCCAAGATCAGGGTGGTGATGGTGCTGCTTCTACGGCATTATCTTCTCCAAGTAGTACCATATCAAGAATTATTAATACATCCGAGTTGTTCCAACTATTCAAACGATGAAAAAGTGAAGGAATTTTTCTTCTGATATCTCATTCAAGATGCGAGGTGATTCAATGGAGCAAAACCGTCATCAATTTAAAGACGACAACAACCAATAGCCACAAATGTTCATTCTTACACATGGCCCGGAGTGAATGCCTCCACATATATATATATTTCAGTGCATGTAGATATTGCATTATACACCAAAAAGTCTTGATGAAACATTGTGCGCACACCACAACATCACAACACCAAATACCGACACAAACTACGTGCATTGGCCAGCATTGCAGATTACACACTCACAATAGTCAAGTTGGTTATTCCGCTTTTGACATAATTTTCGAGGTATTTGGAAAAAGTGAGGCACATTTTTGGTCAATTTGAGATTTCTTTTTAATTTTTCCTTGTGCACTATTTTGACGATATTTAGGGAAAATCTCAATGTTGAGAATGTGCCTATTAAGACCCCGTCAAACCTATTCTTGGTCCACGTGGCGTTTTGCTAATGTTCTTCTTGTTGACGCAATCAAAAAAAGTCAAAATATCAATCTCTGCATTTTCAATCAGAAGTTCCAACAACACATTAGATAACCATACAGTAGTAGTGCGCAAAGTGCTCTCTCACCATCATCATGGCCTCTGGTTATCCTCTAGGTAAACAACCTTCATCATCATCACCAGCAACATCAGTGAATATAAATGCAGCACGAATTCTACCGCATGATGAAGATACAAATGATAGAGTGATGTTACCATCATTGTCCCATCAGCAAAACATTACACTTCCTAGCATTCATGAATTGTTGAGTCAACAACAAGATGGTGAAGACAGTGAAATGAACATAATTGATACATGTGGTAGCATGCATCAACCTCTCAACTCTGATCCTCTACTGAATCCTCTTCACATGTCACCACTGAAACCATCCCAAATGCTACTGGCAAATCCCTCAATAAGTTCATCTCCATTTATTCGTGCATCGCCGTCTAGTAGTAGTAGTTTATCAACATACAGATTTGATGAAAGACCGCAGCTGTATGCACACGAACCAAACATTTTGTCATCATATGACTCTTCCAATCCTTCACAATATATTTCCCGTCCCTTACCGTCTCTAACTGTGCCTTCCCTTCAAAAAACACCATCCCCACCACTGTCAAGAAATTCTCCTTCTTTGGTAACTAAGTACAACGATCACAATAATGACTTTTCTGGGCAACAAGAGCAACTTCCAATGTCAAGACATAATCAGAATTTCCAAATGGACCATAACCAAAAGCTGATACTTGGCAATTCGAGTAGTTATACTTCCCATGACATCTATCAACAGCAGTCACCCTCGCCATTTAAACAACAACAAATTAATTTAAATGAAATGAGTGTGATGGATGAAACGGGAAAAATCGTAAACGAAAGAGGCATGAAAACCTTCCGAAAACAACAACGAAAGACAAAAGCAAAACTGGAAAATCAAGAGTCTAAATCATCGACTCTTAATTTTGTGAACAACTTTGTGTCAAGCACGCCCGTTGACAGCATGACCATGACATTGGGTGACATTCAGGACTCGTCTCAATCGGTTCAGTTTTCAATGCATTCTCCTCGTTCATCCAAGCCAAAAAGAGGCACTAAGAAAGCGACATCTGACAATGCATCAAGCCATACAGCATCATCCTCAGACGAGGCCACTCAAAAAACATCCAACGACGCAACACGTTCTCAACCAGCAGCCATCGATGGCTTGTTTATGGAATTTGTGGGTGTGCAGAATCCTAAAAAAAGAAAAGAATATCGAGACATCATAACTTATAAGGATGAATTCTTTACAGACTCATACAAAAACACCGCAACACAGAAACGTTTAAGGGAATCCAGTTCGAAATATCGATCAAAGCAACCTCTGAATACAGACAAATCAAACAAACACGCCAATAAAGAGAAGGAATGAATTGAGGTGTTGTAAAGTACTTGTTGTTTGTCATGGTTGGTTGACTGCATGTTAATTGATTATTCGTGTGCATTCCACAAACTTGGAAATGGAGGCACATGGTGAAATGCAAGTACTGTGGAGCTTATTCTTTTTTCTCCTCGCTTGTTAACTTGTTCAAAATTTGATGCATGTGATGTTTAAAAACGGGTTGACCTCGGTGATTGGTTCTGCGCATTTGTTTTCGTTTCTTTTCTCTTTCAATATGTTTCATTTGTAATTCTTCTTTTTTCTTTAATTTCTCTTTAACTGCCTCCTGTTGTTCTTGTTTTTTCTTTTCGAATTCCTCTCTTTCTTTTTTAAAGGGATCTTTTCGTGTTTCTTTTTTCTTTTTCATCTTCTCCAACTTGCGTTTGTGATCCGTGATTGATTCCTCAAAATCATATCCCATTTTCTTGATTGTTTTCAGATATGCAAATGTCATTTTCTTCTTTTCTTGCTTGTCCTTTGAGATTTTATCTAATTTTCGTTTGTACTCCCGATCTTGTTTTCCTTCGGCGAGCAGTTCGAGGTTGTTGACTCGTTGAGGGGGTTGCTGTTTTCGTTTGTTATGTGCAGGCATTTTTTTTATGGGATTCAAAAAACATGAAGACGTAAGAATGCAAGAAAAGATCTAGGATCCTTTCATTAGGTGAGAACCAGCTTCTCAGTTCAACCCAATGTTATGGTTCAAAATCGTCCTCCAAGCGAGGAGAAGGAGGATTAGGAGAAGAACACACCTGTTGTGGCTACATTTCAAGAAAAGTAAGTTCCCAATTCAAAAATGGCAAAAGCTTTTTTGCGCCAAAACCAAGTACAACACTTTCGGTTGAAAAACCAACACTTTAAAAAAAAGTTTCTTGGGAGAGCACGTACCACATCAATCGCGATTGGGCTTCTTCTTGTTGGTTGTAACAACAATACCGAATTAGATTCCACCACTCAACATAACAAAAAGTAAGGATGAGTACAGCCCGATCATCTCAATCTTCTTCGCGAAAACCAACAAATGACAACCCGATACTGAGGTTAGGTCCTAATCATGTGTACGGAAAGAAAGTGAAACCAGATGCTGAGGGAGCTCTCAAGGTGGTGTTGTCATGGCAAGAATTTCATCCGAATGCCCCTTCAGAACCTCCAGAACGTGATTTTAAAAAACTCAACAAGCTCTGTATTAAGGAGCGACAGCTCTCGGGGTCTCAAATTTCAAATTTCCGAAAGTCGCATCAAGATTTAACACTCATGACCAGCAAGAGCAGTCACAATATGAATAGTGTCATGTTACCTTCCGATAAAGATCCAAACTTCACGTATGGCCATAAAAATGTGTTCGATCAGAAAGCAAAGGACCTCATGGAACACCGATTTGCACAAGAATGGCTGAAGGAAAGAGAGGAAAAGGCACGAGAACAAGAAGCAGAAAAAAATAAGGAATTTCTTTCATCGGTCAACACAAAGGCAAAACTTGACATTATGAAAAAGCGAATGGAATCTCAATCAAAACTGAAGCCTGTAGAGGAGAAGGAAGAATTTAAGCTTTCACGATTTAAGAGAGTATCATCTCGTGTGGATACAAGAAGACCAGTGAGTTCTGTTCAAGAAAATCATGGTAGCACAAGTAAATCACAGCAGCAACAGAAGGATACTCTCCACCATAACCATTAGGAAGTTGTACTCTCAGAATTCTTCACCCACAGCCCTTTGCAGAAGTAAAAATTGAAGAGGGGCCTAAATTCCTCTTCATCCACGTGTGATCACTTCAGCCTCAAGCAGCTAAACCATCAATGAAAATAATGTTGGATTTATGGGTAATTTTCAAGAACTGTAGATAACTTTGGTATCAATGTGTCAAATCCTGTTACTGCTTGATAAAACATGCTGTCAAATCTCTTTTGTAATTGAACTTGTTCATCCAAAGATATCCCATCGATTCTTCTCTTCTCGTTGGAGAGTACCTTGTCAGCGAAAACTTTTAAATCAGTTCTTAAGAAAAAGATCCAATCATCCAAAACCTTTTCATAGATTTAGTCCATTCCATTTGGTGTTCGAAATTTCAGAAATATCATTATTGTAACCAATAAATCAAATAGTGTGAGTATTGGTTAATATCAATTCTTAATTCAACCATACCTCAATACGTGTTTCCTTATCCCATTGACCTGAACTCTGTTTTTTTCTAGAAATTAAAATTTGTAATTCACTCAGAGCTTCTCCTTGTTTTTCAAATATATTGACAGTCACAGGATATTTCGATTTGATGGCATCTGATGTTTGCAGAAATGCTTGTTGTTTTTCAAGAACTTGATCAATCAATTCATCAACTTTGAAAGGAGGTATCTCCACTTCTACATATGAACTGGTCTTGATTTCATCGGTATTTTTCAATTTGATTGAATTTAGAAAGTGTGACAATCTGGCATGTTCAATCCACAATAAACATCTCAAAATGTAAATATACTTCTTTCTATTCACTTCAAGTTTGTTACGCAGATAATCCACATAATTATCTTTGGCTACATTCAAATAATGATAAACTGTTCAAATATGGTGAATTATCAATGATCGTGAATAAGACCTCATTCTGAAACAAACCTATCGTTCTAATGTTAAAAAAATAGTGTGACCAAAATTCCTTCATTTCTTTTAACCAACTGTCTCTGTAGCAATAATAGATAATGTCAGTTTGAATAAACCATTCCATAACTGTGGGATTTGATTTCTTTGTATAGGATAATGTTTTTCTCAACTCGTATCCGACAAAATCAATTTCTGTTTCCTCTTGATTCATACCTTTCAAATTCACCATAACTTTTTTTCTTATTTCCAATTCTACTTCATCAACAACTCTCAAATACCACTCCAATGGATGAACATAAACAAATCTCACATCATAATCACTTGAATCCTTTTCAGATTGATCATGAATATTCATTGCTCGACTACCCGCATCACACACAAATAAAACTCTGACATTAAATTCTTTCTCAATCTCGGAGGAGAGTAAAGAAATAATTTTATGTTTTGGAGAGTTGTGCAATGAGTTCGGAACGACTGTGTTGTAGCCTTGGTGATCAGAAATTAGAGATGGTTGATGTGGAAGCATTTTTTTGGAAGCGAAAGTATTCATTCATTACAACAACAATTTTGAAAACGAACCAAAGACATTAAAACTTTTCAAAAATGTTCACTAGGAAAGAATGGAGCAATGTTGATTTTTGCCAATATTGAAAGATTCAAACTTGGCACTACGTAAAATTTAATTATGGGGTATTCTTAATGACATTGGCAAAATCAACTCCAAGATGTTTCTTAGCAAGGGCATAAATATTGGTCTTATCTGCTAAACCCACATGCTTGTAAACAAATTTTGGTCCAGGTTGAACGAAAATAAGAGTTGGTAAGGCTTCGACATCAAGTGCTGAAGCAAGATCTGGTGATTGATCGGAATTGATGGTCACCAATTGGACATGACCACGTAAATCCTCAATAATGCTTTGCAAGATTGGGGAAAGCCTTCATGGTTATTAACAGGTGTTGTGTTTATAAAATCGGTCACAACCATAGTCAAAATGAAGAACAAAAAATCCAATTCACGGCCATGATTTTCAAGTTTGCAAGAGATGCATCGTTCAGCATTCCATTTCGTCATAACGTAATAATAAATCAACAAATCATCAAAATAAAAATATATATCAGAAAACAAACATTTTACATGGTCCACACCAATCAGCATAAACATCAATAATCGCAGGCACTTTCATGTTTGTTATATAGTTCTCAAATTCTTCTTCAGTCTTGATCGGAATGATGTGTTTTGAAGCTGCAGCTGCATAGAATCTAGGTTGAGAAAGAATTTGAGATTTCATTACGAGCCATTTCGTGTTTGTATTCTTGAACAGAGATGCGGAAGAGGACGACTTTAAGACTTGTTTGAACATTTTTTTGATTGGACCAAAATTGAGCAGCAACATGATTCGCCGAAGGAATTTCTGCGAACGAACAAAAATTACAATATAGGAATATATGGCTTTAATTTATTGTAGTTTCTGTGTTAAGCTTGTTACAGCTTAAATAGGTCTTTTAACACCTGTTGCGAGATGACACGCACACATATCCTTAGTAACTTTCAAACATGAGCTTGATCAGATTTGGTATTTTGCCAGTGCTTGTCAAAACGCAAGGAGCGCACTCAATATCAGACGGGGTGTTACACCAGTAGAATCCTGACAAAATGTACAAATTTCCACCTCCCCAATTAATAATAGCGAGAATAGAAGCCAGGATCAAGAAACCTGCCACGACGCTTTTCACAGAACCAGTTGTTAAAGGAGGCTTACTTGAGAGCTTGATGAGTCTGAACTTGTCCAAATACAGTTCAAACAGACTGGCCACAAAACCAATCAGTGTGATCAGAGGAAAGCTCACAAACCCATTGTAAATGATGTATTGGCGATAAATGAGTTCGAGATACTCTTCCGAAACATCGAATTCTGGTTTGTGAATGACTACCTCCTTGTCCTTGTTGAGAGACCCTCTCACCTTGTAAATAATCCATGGGAGTAAAAACTCGACAGTTATGGACAGGCAAAAGTCAGTGACCATTTGAATCATGTACTGGTTGCCCATAACCTTAATGACACAAGGTGTTGCAAAAAACCCTTTGGTGAACCCCATGACAAACACACTGAACAGCTTAAAGAATAGAAATTTGAAGGTGTTGTGCTTTCTGTATGCAGACCATGTTTTGTGTCTCTCTGTGGGACGGTAAAAACAACAAGCGTGTGAAAAGGTTTGGAAGTGTTGAATGTCAACATTGATCATTTCATGAGAAGAAAAAACACGTACCAAAATTCGTCAAATATACACAAATTTTCTTCCAAATAAAGGACATGAGACTTATCACGATCGAAATTGCAATTGAGATAGCTGTCAGAATATTGGTATTTTCGGAAAATGTAGAATCTGCCAGCTGGTACATGGCATTAACGTTCTGTAAGATTGTAAACCCCATAGTGACTACAAATGCCACCATCATAAAAATGAAGAATACGAAATAGCTCAAAATCATTCGGACAATGTGATCAATTAGTTTGGTTTTTTGGTTTTCCTTAATCTTATTGGACTCTTCATCCAAAATATTCTCCTCACAATCATACAAATCTCGCTTTTCGTAATATGTATGTACAATCCACCAATAAATTGGACCTATCGCTAAACTTATAAATATACAGAGGGCATTTGTTGAAATCCAAACCCAATACAAATTTTTGCTGTACGCTGATGAATACAATAGATCAAAGATTGACAAATCTAATGCTAAGCTATTTCGAATGTCTTGAAAATCCACAGCAATATGAGCTGCAATGTTGAGAAATTGAATAAAAAACAATAAGGCATTCAATACAATCATAATTCTTGCAAAGTCAAAATACAATTTCACTCCCAGGCCATATGCATCTTCCATCGTGGACCATCTTGCCCACACTCGAATCTTCTTTTCTTTTTGTTTAAGTTGTTGTTTGGATACATCGAAGGTATCTCTCACGAGGAAAGGATGTCCCTTAGCAGTTATTTGCAATTTGTAGCCTTGTCGTGACCAATCTTGAATCGATGGCGGAGGAGGTTGATTGCTATGAATTTTTGCTGTGAGTTTTCTTGTTAAGGATTGGTTTTTCAAGTCATATACCGAAGTAGGAGGTCGAGAATTCTTTTCCTTGTATTGCCTCCATAATTGATATTGGTTTCCGTATATTTCTCGGTTTCTCTGTTTGAGCTCTTCCAAATTCTTCTCCTCAGTAGGCACATGAGGCAAATTAGTAACGGTTGTCTGAAAGAAGATTTGAGTATTTGCATTGAAATTTGTTTGAGGAGGAACTCGTGAATCTCCCTCCCGATCATTCATGTTTCTTTGTTGTTGAGCGAAGGCTTCATCTCGAGCAGCTACCATGGAAATTGGATGATCCATCGAGGATGATCGGCCATTGTCATTGTTCATCAAAATCGGATGGGTGGCTCGTTGAGGAGGAGAAGAGGAGCCTGTTGTTGCAATTGTTGTCATGGATGTTGTATTAAGATTTCCACTATTACTATTATTGTTGTTGTGCGAGTAGTAATAATTGCTCGTGTTGTTGTTGTTGTTGTGGTGGTGATGAATATCAAAATAATAAGAAAGGGGATATGTAGTCATGCTCGGATGTTCTTGTGCTCCCGATTGGTTGTTGTTGTTGCCAGCTGATGATGAGGAGTTGGCAGTGGTGGTGGAGGGAGAGCTCGCCACTACGGGCACCACTCTTCGACTGTTCTGATGTTTGCCCATTTTCTTCTTGTCTCTTATATCTCTCACTGTAAATGCAACAACCAACATCCTCAATTATAACTGACACGAGTTGAAAATCTTAATGTGGATGTTTGGTTCCTTATTGTTCCCAAATCTTCCATCAACGTCTCTTCTTTGCAAAAAAAGTAAGGGAAATAGAGAGAAACAGCTGGTGATGGAAGGATGATTGTTCTCAACTAGCACCTCATATTCATCTAGCTATTGCAAAGAACAACAGATCTGTTGTTAATATGATATGGATCGCAAAATTCTGTGACCAAGTCATAACATATTAACAACAGAGGTGTTCACTGTGACTTGGTCTCATCATGTAAAACACAACACCACTTGGGGAGAGAATAAACGTGTCCCTCTCTGAGAACACGTGCCAATTTCCGACCTCACTTTGAACGAGTATCCTGTTAGGATCAACCAACAAAAATGTCTCAACAACATCAAACAAAAGATTCTCTCTCATCATCATCAAACAAACCCTTGAAAATTGCCTTTACACATCCCGATCTTGGAATTGGTGGAGCAGAGAGGTTGATTGTGGATGCTGCTGTTGGATTACAAAATTTGAAAGGTCATCATGTTACTGTATTCACTTCTCATCACGATCCTAAACATTGCTTTTCGGAAACTTGTGATGGAACTTTGAAAGTCCATGTCTATGGAGATTTTCTTCCGAGAGCATTGTTTGGATATTTTCATGTCTTTTTTGCAATATTGAGAATGTTCTATTGTTCTTTCATGATGTATCTCAATCATTCATCCGAGAATTATGATATCATCATTGTCGATCAAGTGAGTCATCACATTCCTCTCCTGAAATTATTCTTTCCAAAATCAAAAATTATTTTCTATTGCCACTTTCCAGACAAGTTGTTGGTTCGTTGGGACGATTCAAGAATTTCCCTTCTCAAAAAACTGTACAGAATTCCATTCGATTATTTTGAAGAAGTGACCACTGGAATGGCTCATTCCATTTGCGTGAATTCTGATTTTACCAAGCAAATTTTCTATGAATCCTTCAAAAGACTTGCCAACTGCACCGTGCAAGTTCTGTATCCACCCATTAATGTCTCTTCCTATGATGAAGAACCATCTGATTCTGACTTGGAAAAATGTACCTTCTTTAAGAGAATTCAAGAATGTGATCTGAGTGTCGTCTCCATCAATAGATTTGAAAAGAAGAAGAACATTGCACTTTTGGTGAAGGCTTTTGCCAAGTATGTGAAGCCCCAATTTCCAGAAGCTCTCCTTATTTTAGCTGGAGGTTATGATCCACGAATTGCGGAGAATATTCAAGTGTTGGAAGAATTGAAGCAACTTGTGAAGGAGAATGATCTTCAGGATCAAACCATCTACGTGCCATCATTCAATAATATTGATCGTTATGTCATGTTAAGGTACTGCACGGTGGTGGCCTACACACCACAGGGAGAACATTTTGGAATTGTACCAGTGGAGGCCATGTATTGTGAGAGATGTGTGGTTGCTCTCAAGAGTGGTGGACCCAAAGAGAGCATTAAGGACGGAGAGACAGGTCTGTTGGCTGAAATTCATCCTCACAACGAAGAAGAAACCGTCCGAAACTTTGGCAATTGCATTTGTGAATTCTTGGTCATGACACCAAAGCAACGAGAGAATTTTGGACAAAGAGCGAGACAACGTGTCATTGACAATTTCACTCTCCAATCCTTTGCTACATCCTTGAATCGTATCATCAGGTCGTGATCATCATTCCGTGATGTAATTCTTCAAGACAAACCACTGCCAGATAATAATAGTGAAAATGAATGAATCTGAGTATGGACGATTCGAAGAACCAGACCGAGGCAGCTGTTGAAGAATATTTTCTTGTTGATGATAATAAAACATCATTGGGTTGAACAAATGAACTTTTAATTTTCAATTCCACAGTGATATCAAACACCCATAGTGCTGTTGTTAGTTTTATTATTGGTTCCGACCTAAAATAATTACAAAATTCGGTAATCTTCTTCTTCTTGTTAGAGAGTCGTTTACTTGTAGAAGTAGTATTGTCTAATTCTAGAGTAGGTATCTCCTTCGGCGTATGGGTTGCTCTTAGAGGAGTGGAGAACCTTGACCACCTTGTTGTGATGGTCTACCCTCAAGACTGTTGGTGATGAGCCTTCATATTTTGGTTGGAATCCGAGCATGGCCACAAAGCTGTCCTTTTCGACTTGGTTAAGCAAATTTTCATACTTTTGTTGTTGTTCGTTTATATGAGTATATTCATGTGTTTTATCAAGAATTGAATAGATTAATATCATAATCATCACCATCATCAATTGATAAATTAATATTAATTCACGAATTAATCTTCTTCAACACTTACGTCGGTCAATGGGCATGAGAATCTAGCCAATTGCTCATATCTCTTGCAAATTTGAGCGTTTGGATCCTCCTTATCAACACCATCAGCGGCATGATCAGCCAAACACTTTCTCCAGACTGAGAAGTTCAAATAACACTTCTTGTAGAAGTCAGCATTGTTGGATGGGAATCTTGGATCTGGCAAATTCTTCTTAGTTCCCAAGAAAGTATATTGACTGTACTTTTGAACCAATCTATTGACTGGGAGTGCAGGCAACTCATTGGAAAGCTCCTCATTGTAGGTTCTATGAGGCCATGGGTTGAAGCGGTAATAAATGTTGTACAAGAAGGACATGGTTTATTTTTTAGTGGTGTTTTTTTGAGTTCATTTTTAACGATTTGTAAGCAAGAGGTTGACCGCCACAAAATTCACCATATTTGGCCAAGCAAAAACAAACCTTAATATTCAATCGTAAGTGTGTGATTTCATGGAAAACATCAACATTGTTGAAGAAAACGAGTTCTTCTGTTGTTTTCGTCATCATTAACATCATCAACAACATTAAATTCCAATATATTATAATTTTTAAATTTTTGAAACAAAAAATATGATTCCAACAACTCGGAGCAATCACCAAGATCTTCCTTCTTATGATCAGCATGCGACGGGCAACAATAACCAGCATCAACACACTACCCATTCGAATGAAGAACTATTGAAGGAAACTGAAAACAGAAAACAAATACCATCCTATATCGAGGAATGCATGCTTCGGATCAATCAATTGCCAGTACAGGACTCTCGGGATATATTTGCTCTCATTCATCCAAGAGTAAAGGCCTATATTCTTTCATGGACCATACTATCATTCGAAAATACATCGGAACGAAGAGAGAATATTTGTAAATTATCATTTATCTGTAGAGAATGGAGACAACTTTTGAAGGATCTTGTGCGGTATAAATGTTTAGATTTTGATATGCATTCAACAACAATTTTGGGAAATATGTTTGATGGTTTCAAGGTTAGTTTCATGGTGATTTTTAATTGTCCTTAAATTGGACGGTGTTTGTAATTATTTCAATATTTGAAATCGCTATTCGATTAATATTCGAATTCGACCTGTAATTTCATCACACAACTTGACTCGCCACGATGATGGAACGGAATTGTGGTTGATCTTTCCATTTACCCAATTTTTGTTGAATTTGACCAACGATTTTCTGAATTTTCACACACATCATTATTCCATTTACTGTTGGAATTTATTGCTGCTGGACTTGATTTTCTTTAGATTGTTCCACTAAAAGCAATTCGACAACGATACATTATCATTGGAAACGAGGAGAATCGACGAGTTGGATATTTTCAATCTGCATTGGCCAGCTTTGGCTTGCCTCCTGCAGAATGTGTGACATGGGAGACACTTGTCTCTGCAGGAACAGTGAATCCAATTAATCATCAAATCAACGTGGTCGATAATAATGAAATTGCTCAAGTAGATTGGGCTGCCATTATTGATAAAATCAAAAGAGCATACAAAAGGAAAACAAACCAAGACTTGAGAACAGAGGATATTATGGTTCGAGTGGATTCTCCAGGAGAAAACTTTTTTGTAGAGAGAGGATTGTTTTCTCTTGGATGTCAAGCAATGAATAATGAAGCTTTAGGAACTCGAATCTCGGAATATGACATTAATAATACTCTTGCTTTTGATCTGGGGCAAGTGAGATATGTCAAACAGTGGTATTTGGGATTCGTCAACGCCCTTAATCAGATATATTCTACTCTCAAACATCATGGCCTAATTAATTTTAATGCAACTGCTGAGGAAATTGCCATAACTTTTGATAAGCGATTATGTCATCAACTTCTTTCCAGACATGGAATTCCTGTTCCAAAAGCATTTTACAATATTACCTCCTATGATGAGTTGTTATCAGTAACAAGAGAACATTCCATGAATAGAGTTTTTGTCAAGCTCGCTCACGGTAGCAGTGCCAGTGGAGTTATTGCATATTGTTACATGGAGCAACAATTGACTGAGATTATACCTCCTGTCCTTAAGGAATTGGCAACCACTAGTGCTGAATTGGTGAGAGATCGAAACTTTCCTCAATTCTTTAAAATATACAACTCGCTCCGTATTAGAAGATACACTAGAAATGAAGATATTAGAGAGGTGATTAATTTTGTATGTGGTGAGGGCGTAATTGTCGAAGAATGGTTGGAAAAGGCAAATTATATGGGACGAGGTAACTTTGATTTGAGAATTGTGGTGATTGGAGGAAAAATTATGAATTTTGTTGTAAGAACATCAAAGAGTCCAATGACCAATCTCCATCTCGGAAATAAGAGAGGTGAATGTGATGAATTTTTACGTTTAATTGAATACAAGGCTCCAGGCTCATGGGAACGAATCAAAGAAACATGTCACAAAATTCACACACATTGCTTGCCCAACGCTTTGTGTTTGGGTATTGATGTCATGCTGTCTGAGGATTTCAAAGAACATTACATTTTGGAAGTGAATGGATTTGGAGATTTGAGTAAGTATGAATTTGTGTATTTCAATTTTTGGAGCATTACATGTTGTTTTCGGATGTATACAGTCCCACGGGTGTACTATGACAATTTTGACACCTATCAGAACCAACTTCGAGAGGCTCTAGAAAGGTCGCTCTTTTTGTGGAATTAAGGTAGACAATAAGACATGATGTTGTGTGATTATTTTCGGAAATTTAAATATAGTTGCAACATTGAATCGATTTATTTAATTAATTGCTACAACTTCAACATCAAAGATCAAAACTGAATTAGCAGGAATTTTGCCCATTGACCGAGATCCATAACCCTATAATTTTATAAAAAATTGATGAGAAAATGCAATTTTAAAAAGTATCAAAACAACACAACATTCACTTCAAAGAACGGCAAAAAAGATTAGACTTACCATTTCAGGAGGAATCACCAATTTTCTGTTGTGAAAGACGAAATGAATTAAATTTCAGCAATTCGTGTGGGTGAAAAGAACATACCTCTTCTCGGAGACACATGCTCCTTGTAAGCCAGCATCCCAACCCTGAATGACACTTCCTTGTCCAATCTACATGATTCAATGTTAATCCAATTATTTAGGTTTTCATCATCAAAAAATTCAAAACAAAATTTTCATCATGATATTCGGATCCGAGTCAGCAAATGTTCAACAAACTTGCACCCCAACACTTACAGTAAATTCAAATGGTTGATTTCTACTATAACTTGAATCAAATTCAGTTCCATCAGTCAAAGTTCCTCTATAATGAACGCTCACACGATCGCCGTCTTTAACTTTTCTATCGCATTGATCAGGACGATATTTCACTCCGACTTGTAATCGTTTGATATTGTCATACTTGGAGGAGGCTTCAACCAAACAAGCAGCAGAAATCAAGAGAGTCAAGAGAGTCAAAAGAGCAACGAGGAAGACAACACGACGATGAATCATTTTTTTTGTAATTTTCACACGTTTTGCTTTTCACTTTGACCGAAACGAGGAAAATAATTGAACTCTGGGTTTGCATCTCTGATGAGGAAAGAAATCAAGTGCTTTTGAGTTGAAGATTTACATGGATTTATTCTCGACAAAATTGTGTGTTGTTGGGCTAGATTGCCCTCTCTTTGTGTACAATTATCATAACACTCCAGCATTCTAATAACTTTCCGTGTTTTTCTCTGTTCTCTTCTTTGCCAAATATTGTTCATATTCTTTCAATGTGGCCAATCCTCCATCATGATCTCGCACAGGAGCTGTACTTTGTGCGCTTTCATAGGCCTTTTCACACACCTTTCTAATCTTTCGATGCATCATCTTGGCAGTTCCCTTAAAGAATTTCGCTGAAAATGAATTTGGAATCTTGCCTGCCATGTCACCAGTTTCAAAAACTGTGTAACGAACACTCGCTCTCGTGTACTTTTCCACAACATAGATGATTTGATGGCTTGCTCGAATGGGATTTGTCTTGGCAGGATATTCGTGATGACTCGATGGTTTCATGATCAATACATATCGATCGTATAAACCAGTGAGAAGATCGTATTGTTCTGGAATGATGGTTTTTGCATAGATAAAGTCTCGATTAGTGAAAGGGAATGGAAGAGCGGCCTCAGCATACATGAAACTCGTTGGATATGGAATGTCCTTCTCTGGATTCATTGAATAATAATCCACTTGAAATCGAGTCTTGTACATTTCATTGTAAAATTTCTGGACATGTTCTCCATACAGTAAATCAATCCATTCTCGAGTGGTGCCTGGAACAATTCCACTTTGAGCGACGTAAAACCTGAGATTGTTGGAAATTTCCTTAAGAGAATGTTTAGAAGAAGAGGTGGAGTGCTGATACTTGGAATAATTGAAGGTATAGATTCGAGGAGAGATGGCTGTCTTCATTCCGATTTTCTCATCCACGACTTTCCACGATGAATTGTTGTGAGTATCGCTGTAATAGGAATGATGTAATTGAAGAGCCAATTCATAGTCCTTCTCAGTGATACAGGTATTGGTTTCATCGAGAATGGGCAGAATGGTGTTTGCATGGAATGATGATGATGATGATGATCCCGAGTGGGATGCATTCATTGCAGAAAAAGAACTTGTTGTATAAGAGAAGTCGGTGGAAAGGTGATCCGAGGAGTGAGATTCATAAAAGTTGGCAATCCTATCATCTACGGAATGGTCCTCCTCTTCTGTGGTGGAGGAACTATCATGAGAGTCCATTTCCTCTTCATGTTGTTGTAGAGGATGATGAGAGGAATGAATCGATAATGAGGAAGAAAAAGTTGTCCCCGAACTAGATTCACTAAGGCTAGCCTTTCGAGAGGAGGAAGCCTTAGTGGATACTTGCCAATCAAGGGCACTCAAACTGTTGGAGGAGGAGCAACTTGCAGCAGCAACATCCTCACTACTACTCGTTCGCTTCTTCATGGCTGGTGCTGCTGTTGCTATGAGGCTAGAGGAGGAGCTAGAAGTAGTAGTAGTAGTCGGAAAACCACTCAGACCACCAGCACCACCGATAGCACCACCACTCAAACCACCAGCACCAGCACCACCACTGGTCTTCCACTTGGTTCCCAACTTGTCCAACACGTGATCATCGCGTTTCAACTCTTTCAAGAGAAATTTTTTAAACATTTCCGAATGAATGAAACGAGGAAATTGATCGACTTTGAGTTCAATGAAAAGCAAGTCTTGAATGCGACTGAATAAATCGAGAGGGCATTGGAGATCTTCATTGGAAATGTCTTGATTGGTTTGTGTGATTTGTTTCCATCGCTTGAGGAGTTCGGTACGGTCATTCATGGATAAGTTCAGTTCATGAGAGGAACCAACGAGAATGAATTTGTCAATAATGTCTCGAGCCAATTCGTATCGATTTCTATTGAGGCGTGTCTTGTTGTATTGTTCGACGGCTTCATAGAAAATGAAAGGTTCTATTGGATTGGGTTGAGTAGAATTGGCAATGTTGAATTATAAAGACGTACAAGGTAAAAAAGTTGTGTAAACGTTGAATTTCGTTTTGTTAGTACATGTGACATCAAGTTGACACTACTTACCTTCATTCAAGCAGTCCTTTCGTAAGAACTTTCTGAATGTTTCTCTTGCTTCTTTGTGGTCAAAAACAGCTTCAATCTTGAAAGAGTATTGTTGAATCATTTGTTCGTGTGCGGCTGTTTGTGGACAAAATGAGAAATGCACAGTTGAGGTTGAAGATAATGCGTTGTCGGTCGTCATGAGTGTGACCATCTGTGGTGAGTTTTATTGTAAATGGCTTGCTGTCAGGTGTTATTTTCTTTTCTTTTGAAAATTTCGTTCCAATTCATTGTCCTCTCTCTCTCACAAAGAGAATTGTCCGCACTAATAATATTATTAACTCTTTGTGTTCGAATATTGCGTTCCATAACTGCGAGTCTTCTCTGATCACAGTTGTGCCCACGGAACGCACAATATTTGCACGGTCATTTGGCAATTCTGCTCAGTTCACATAATTGTATCGTTGCAACCCTTTTGAGACCTTCGTTACGTTTTCCATGAAGGTACAATTTCACAAAACAGAAACAAAATTGATTGAATGAGAGGAAGAGAAGGAAATGCGCATCATTCATTTGGAAAATCTACAATTACTTCTTCTGGTTGACACGTATTCCATCCTCATTCAATCAAATTCAGGTGATACGCGTTTCAACTACAAAACCGGCTCATTGACAGATCACCAAACGGTGGAATCTCTTAACACTTTTGATAAAATCCTCAAAGAATTATATCAATAAATTCTCGCTGGTTGATGAGTTATTAATATTCGCTGTAGCCCCCTTGACGCCTGTAGTGCTGCTGGACATGGACAGTTGGTTCTGTTGTGTGTTGACATTTTGCCACGATTCGATAATGTCTCTCACTTTCTTGTCAGAAGCTTTCAATCGTTCGAAAACGTCTGTAATGTCCAAGACGCAATGCAGTTGCAAGAGGTCAAACATTTTCTTCTCTGGTTTCGACAATTTCAATTGAGCATCCCATTCTGGAATCATATCTACCAAGTTTGATGGTAAATTAAGCTGAACTGGAGAGTCTTCGTCCAAGTAGGTTTTTAAAATGTACTTGCCAATCTTTTGTCTTTGTTTTCGTTTCGATTTTTTGAATTTTTGAATATCCTTCCATGCTAAAACAGATTCACAACAATACGACTTGCGAGCATAATCGAGTAAAATGTTAAAGGTCTTCTTGTTCCGTAAAAAGAGCTCAACAACGCTGGTATTTTGTATGGATTCATTGAGCTGAAGTTGGCGTTGCTTTTCCTTCTCTTTTCTATAGTCTGAAGCGATTGCATAGACACATGGTAACGTGACGGTGACGAATACTTCCAGGATTGAATAGATCACTGGAATATTGGCATATGAAAAGAAGTAGTCTGTTAAATATTTAACAATTTGTAAATTGCTCACAACCATATAAATGATACCAAGCACCACTTGCACTAAAAACACAAGAATTGTCTCAGCTAGGTCACCAACACACACAGGCATGCATCATCGTTATTAAGGAAAAACACAAATTCCATTAAGTCATTGAATAAATTGTGCACCAAAAAAACTTACTCTTCATGAACCAAGTATCCTTCTCAGCAAAGAAAGTCATGACGATCACAATCAATTCCACAATATAATATGCAACGATCAGGGCTGCCATCACATAGGTGGCATTGTTGCTAATGATGCATCCTCGAGTGAAATCAAACATGGCCACCTCAATAGTTAACAATCTTTCACTAATTCCATTCACCACATAGGAAGGAGCTACTGCATAGTCAATGGCTCCCAAAACAATCCACAAAATCAAGTGGAGAAAGAACAAGATGATATACACAAAGACCACACACTTGTAGCTCACAATAAAACGATACATTCTCAAAACTCGGAAAGAGGATTCTGTGAGAGGATAATCGGAAAGACCATCATCATTAGATTCATTAAATATTGCAAGAGTATCTGCTGCAGCAGCTGTTGTGGTTGATTCCGCGTCTGTGTTGGTGGTCGATGTGTTTCTAACATCATCCTCATCATTATTGATATTGTTTTCATCCTCGAGTCTATACTCGGCCATAATAATGGCATCAAATTGAGATTGTCTTGATGTAGTAGTGGACATCATGGCATCAACGGTAGGAGAAGTCATGTGCAAGGATTTGGGTGATGTCGCTGCATGAAGGGAAGGAACACATCGGGACAAGTTTAAATCCTCTGCAGGTGATGATAGTGCCGCTGTATCCATTCTTAATTGGTGAAGATCAAACAACTCGAATTGAACATTCGGAATGATATCATAATGTGGTTGTTGCGTTTGTTGTGGTTGTTCCGTACACTTTTCCCCTAAAGCATGATTGAAGGATGAAGAAGGCTCTCCTCCGTATTCTATCGTCGAGGATGATTCTTGTTGATGGGCAGTTCTGCTGTTATTAAACCCATTATTATAAGAATGTTTCAGCGGTGAAAAGGCTCTTGGTGCAGCTGACGACTTGGAAGAATAGGTGGATGATGAAAGGTCAGTTTTTCTTTGAGTGGTGGTATTAATAGCGAGGGTGTTGGTGGTGGATTGAGTCGAGTGTCGCTTGGAGAGAATTGGTGGAAGATGCCGTTGTTGTTGTTGTTGATGGAAGGACTTTTCCAAGTCATACATGGTGAGCATGTTTTTCGTTTCCAAAGCTATTCGATACTTGAAAAACACTCGAATGCCTTTAAAGATGGTTGGCAACAGAACCACGTAGGGCAATTCAAACATGTTCAACGTATGCAATGTACAAGGATAGATTTTACGAGAGATCATAAATCTCAAACAGGAAGTAAAGACAAAGATGAAACTTCCAATCATGACAAGACAAAGATAGACTGGACTTCTAGAGGTAATGTATCCGTTTTTTCTTGTTTTAAAGAGTGCCAAACCTGAAACGCCAAGCAAGATGAGGTGGATGAGAAGAATGGTTGCACTCGTGATGGGTGTCAAAATCGTGTCAGGACATATACCAAACGACACAGAAGGATCCATTGCTTCAACACTAAATTTACCTAATTGGAACAAGAGAGGGTGGCATAGAGTGGAGTTTGTGGAGTTGTCAGACATGCTTCACAATGTTCAAGGAAGAGTGAGCTCTTCTAAGTTGATGTTTAGGTTAAGTCGATGATGATGATGATGGAGGTGTTGATGGTTTCAATTTTCTTGTCGTCTGCCTGATAGCCAACTGGGGATGTTTCTGCACTTCTTTTGAGTGAAACACCCCTTGATTGAAAAGTACACCCGTAGTAATTGGCCAAATTGGGCTTTGACGCACCCAAACACTAACAATCTGCGTGGAAGAGATTTCTTTTTGGGTGCGATTCAAAAGAGATCTTTATTATTTGATATTTGATAGAAGGGTGGGTAATTAACAAGTCACTCTTCTGGGAGACAATGCTTTGAGAGATTGCTCCGAGAATCATCATTGGACTGTCTTTCGGGTTGATTTTTATGTTGAAGAGAAGTAACATGTTTCTTCGGTGGTGATTAACAATGTGTTCCCTTTCAGCATTATGTGTTTGAATAGTTCAGCATGAGAAATTGGTGTGAAAAGTCCCCTGATCATCATCAAGCTGGTTTAGCTCTCATGAGCCAACCAACTCTCTCGATCATCAAACTCTTATCATTCAAGCATTGCACAATCTCTTCCTCAAAACTCTGTCCTCCAAACAAACACAAAAGCTTGGAACTGTAACTCTCTTTGTTTGGGAAGAGCAACTTCTATACAAGGCAGAAAACATGTCATAGCTAGAATTGTCAGAGTCTTCACTGTCAGTCTGTTCGGGGAGCATTTCCAATTCAATTTCGTCTCCTCTCACTTCGACAACAACACCCATCTTACCATGGAGCTGAGGATCTAAGCTTTGCAAAATGGCAATGTCGTCATCGACATTAACCAATACAGTGTCATTCTTTTGAATCAATTTGTGAGTATTGATATTGGAGATGAATCTCTTGATGGATCTTGTTGTAGTAGAGGACACGAGACTTGAAGTTTGTGAACCACGAACAATGGACTGCATCTTCTTTTGTTTTTGGATTCCTCGAGAGGCTGCATTGGCTTGCATCATGAAAAAAGCCTCCTTGTTGATTTGGCTTGAATGATGATGAATAGAGATCCATACCATTATCAGCTGCAGTACAGTTCGTGAGTAAACTTGAGGATGCGGATGACATCTTGGAAGCAGGAGTAGCTTGAATTCTTTTTACGAACATGATGATGATTAGGTTCCGTAAAGGTTTGACAAAGCTTGTGAGAGAGGGCTATCGGAATAGGATGGCAGAGCGAGAATGAGTGGTTGTGAATTTTTTTTTGCTCGTAAATTTGATTCCAGAGCGCCAACGAACGTGTTTTTAATAGAAATTTCCGCCAGTGCACCTTCAAAAAATGTCTCATGCAAATTCAAAAAAATTTTGCAGTGTCAAGGAATTCAAGTTCCGTGAAGAGGAATCCGGAAGAATTTGATTTTGATCTTCATCAAATCTCAACAGATCAAAATGTTTGGTGATGAAAGACTTTACAACCACGTAAGTGTTTGTCAGCATCGTACGAGATCAAAGCTTTCATATTGTATGTGAAATGAATGATTGTTGGCTCATCATGCTGAATGGTGAAAAAGATCACAGAACCTTTTTGGTATGCCAAATCTAACAACACAACATCACTAATACATTAATAACTGAGATAAATACAGAAATAATTATTTACATTCAATTCTTTCTGAAATATATACACACAAAGGTCGTTCCTTTTAAAAATCTAAATACAATTTGTACATGACGAAACAAATCCCTTTCCACCAGGTTGATATTTACAGAGAGTGCATCTCGTTCTTCTCACAAGATCTAACGTTCCCACATCCATGACATTGTGAACAATAAGAAATTGCAAATCCTCAATAATTTGTCGTGTCTTTCGTGTCATGGTAGGATCTCTAGAAATGAGATAGGAAAACAAATCTTTGGGAAGAGGATAATCGGATTGAGGTTTTCTTGCCTTCTCTAGGGCTTTCTTCAAAGCTCTGTATTGAAAGAAACTAATGTCTTGCGAGGAGGAGGATGTACCAGAAGAAGAAGATGATGATGAACTACTTCCACTACTACTACTCAACATTGAGGTCTTCATATTTTTCACAATTGGAACCATTTCTTTGAAAAGCTTCTCAACATCAATGAGTCTCGATACTGGAACGCTGGGATAAGTTTGTTGATTTTCCGAGTTGATGAGACAAGTTGCAAAACCACAGAACGGAGATGGCCGTATGTTGAAGTTTCCTTTACCTAACATGGAAAGGAAGGGTTCCAACAATACACCCACGCTGGCTGGGAAGAAATCTTCCAATCGTATTTGTTCTTTTGTGTCCTCTTCAATGAGTTTGAGCAATTCGAGAGGATCCACATTGTAGGCCTCATCGTTTTCATTGTAGTGACTTGTTGAGCTACATTAATTTTCAGTGATAATATTAAAATTCGTGTAAAAATTGACATAAGGATTCAAAGAGTTTGTGAAAAGTCAAGTATCAAATGAAATCAAATTCCATATTGTTGTTGAAATGTTGTCAATTAAACAACTTGTTAATTTAAGCAAAAATACCCACCTTTTGAATTGTTTCATTATTTGACTTGGAGTTCTCTCTGTTTCAATGATAATAAATCGACAAAAACCCTTCATCGGGAAACGAAGTAAGTTAAGAATGGCGTCTAATCTAGGAAAAGGGCGACTCACAACAATTCTCACAATAATTGTCAAGTTGGTGATTTGTTTGAGTGCATTAAATGTGTTATTCAGCTCTACAGCTGTTTCTTTTTCAAATCCTTTCTGTACAAAAATTTGAATGGATGGATGGATGCGAGGATTCAGCAAGCACGTGTCATTTAATTGTGACAATTGTACAATTCTGAGAACTGACAATTCAAGTACAATAGCATTCTCATCGGGAATATACTCCAGCACCAGATTTAATTTCTTATTGAGTGTCACAATGTCCTCAACGAGTTTTCCATTGACTCGAATAATGACCTTTTTGTGTCATTCATTATTGGTGGTCATGGAACAATTTTTAAGAAATAAATGATCCAATAATATTTTGGGTAATGTTAAATAGTGTAATGTTACGCATATTATTATGATGGATCATGATAATTATTTAGATACATTAACTGGATAAATACAGTTCACTACCTACATTTTTCTCTTTCGGTATTAAATTCATGGTATCATAAATAGATTTGATAATGATATCATCGGGAATAAATTGCTCATCACAAAAAACATCCAAATCAACCATGAGTGGTGTATTTTCAATGATAGTTGCATCATTCTGAATTTGTTTCTCCAGCTCCTCAATTTCAATATTAAAATTGCTTTTTGTTTCCATAATATCTGGAGCATAATCAAGAGTTTTCATGAAGAAATCAAAGCTCGAACAGATTTTAATTTCCTGATCACCATGATCCAAACACTTAATGACCAACCAAATATCATCTCCCTTCTTGACAATCAATCCTTCCTTCCAATGTTCCTTTTCCAAACCTTTTCCTTCCTCTACAAAGGAACAAATGGGGCATATCGTGTGCGTCAAGAAGAGAATATTAATATCATTACTTGTACTAACATAACGTTGAGGAGAGACCGCGGAAGAAGAAGGAGAAGAAGACAAGGAGGAAGGAGGGCTGTTCGGAACGGCCAATATTGGCTGGCTCAAATTCGGCACTGTTTGTCCCGATGTTATTATCGTTGTTGTTGTTGAATTGTTATTATTGGATGGTGTTGATGGTGGTGAAGAAGAGCCAGTCGGTGTGGACGGAGTGCTTTTCGAAGAAGATTTTTTGAAAGGGATAATAAATGAAAACATTTTTTTTAAGGTGCTCTTTACGTCGGGGGGGAGCACGAAATCAACATCAACCATGTAATTGGTTCAACCATTTACATTACAATCTCATAATTCCTGAATTAGCTACAGTCAAAAATTGGATTCCAAAAGGTAGTCGTGATATCATTCCGTATTTCAAAGAAACTCTTGAAGATATTGTTTCAAAATCCTCCTGTAAGAATGCATGTATTTCTGTTGACGGCATGAAGGTTTTGAAACATATTGACACACTAAATTCAGAATTTGTTGGAGTAGTGTTCCCATGTAACTCATTTCAAGATCTATCCAAATTGAAACCTTAATCATTGACAGACGAGATGATATATTTTGTTATTAATGCCATTGATAATTCTTGGAATATGCCTATCGGATGGTTTCCTAAAAACGAGTCAATGAACAGCACACAGTTTGTAATAGATCGATTTCAAGAAATATTGAAAATTATTGATAAATCTGTAACTGTTGTTTGTGGTTGTGCTGATGCTGAAATTGATGCTCAGGCTGTTCAACACGCAATTCAAGCTACGCATAAGGATTTTGTGTTTCTCAATGATTATGTTCACAATTTTAAGAATCAAAGAAATGCCCTATTTACCTCTCAAATTACTTAACACAAAATATCAATGCCAACAATAGTCAATCTCATGCAACAATTTCCACACTTGTATGAATTGCTTGATAGAGAGGAAGTAGCTCCTAGTGATATCATGGCGTTACAATATTGTTTAAATTTAACAAGCTCACCGGTCATTGAACAGTTGAAAGCAATCAATACTCCACAATCATTAGCCGCAGCAAATTATTTGACGTTAATTCGAGAATTATATGACTGCATTAATGATAATAAGTGTCAAGTTGAGCAATTACATAATATTAAGCAACGATTTGAGCAGTTAAATCCGTTCCCCTCAAAAACAAAAAATATTTGCATACACACTATCAATGGATCCATCACTTTGATCTCACATTTTCCAAATCTTCGATCAAGCTGTATCACCACAAATTCTAATGAACTATTTTTCTCTATTGTAAGACATAAGTATCCTCGAGCAACAGAAAAACAGTTCTGTCAAATGGGTTTGTTAACATTTTTCATATATTGTATCCCTCATGCCCCTGATGATGTTCGAGGATTTTCTCTTCCTGATATTCCATTAACTGATCATTATAATGGAAAAGTGACAAAAATTCCAGATTTTTCGCCATACTGTAACCCAAACTCTCAACTTAAAGGATTCGAAAAAGAATTAGTAAAAATTAATCAACAAATTGCAAATTATGCCAGAAAATCCACTTTGAGATTAGATACTTGTGCTCCAAAGCGGATCTTTCTTTGTTGCCCTGTACCTAATTGTAAGAAATTGAAGCCTTATCTTGTAAAAGGCTGCTTTAAAAACCATTTGATCAACAAACACAAATATGATCAGAAAGCAGCTGCTGAAGAGGTTAAGAATATGGAATGTCAAGAATTTCTTCGTCAAATGCAAAGAGATATTGAATTGCGAAAAGTTACAATGTCACATGGTGAAGAAGATCAATACAAAGATTCTCAATCAGAAAATGCTACTACTAATAATTCAATAGAGGAGCTTAAGCATAAGCCTAATGAATTACGGTCCGTATTTAAAGATAAAATTTCGGTGATACATTCTAGACCTCAAGGGATAATATCATCAACACAAAATCTCATGAAAATCGGAAACAAATTATATCATATTGTGTTGATGGATTTGGAGACAACGGGAGTCAATGTCAACACCAATACTATCGTTCAAATTGCTTTTCTATCGCTGTCAACACATCAATTACATTCAATGTTTGTCCAACCAGAACCAAATGCAAATTGGCATCAAAAAGCTGCAACAATGCATCAGGACAAACTGACCATATTAGCCAAAAGTGATTTTCTTCGGAATGTGATTCCTGATGTTGTTAATTATTTGACATACGGAGAAGCAGCCGATGTAATATTCTTAGTTCATTCATGGAGTTTGGATGAGCAATTTTTCACAAAAGCGTTAACAAGTCTCTCTCATCAACCCAAAATTAAATTTCATTATTGTAGGACGATGGAGAAAATGTTACTCGGAAGAGTGGCCTTGGAGAAACAATATTCGTCTCGGATTAGCAATGATCTTCCGGGAACTCCTCACAATGCTGCTGTTGATGTGGTTATGTTGTATGATTTGCTGTTGGGCAAGTTTACGACTGACAAGAATATAGAGCAAGCTGTTGTGAAGCATCTGCAACTTCGTCAAACCACCCTGCAATAAACATTTTTTTGGTTTGCTACTTTTATAGTTAGGCCCAAAATGGAAGGCAAAAGTCTGATTGCCTACGCTCTCGATCCCCCGCTTTACGTTGACGTCTTTGAAAGTTTCAAGCTTTTGTCAAGACAGATCCTCCAATACAAAGGTTCATCTTGTTGGGTTGTTGTAGTATTCATTCATACTTGACCTGTCTGGGTATACTCCTTTTAAACTTTCCAACCAGATTTCACCGTCGAACAATTTATTTGAATTTCTGTTGATTTTGGAGTGAAAACCAAATGCATCCCGGAGTTAACTCCGAACTCTTACTCCTGGACGCACTTTGGTTGCTTCTTGTGATCAAGCAGAAAAAAAAACCAACAACAAACCGCCTCTCTCTCACTCACTGACATTCGGCCTTCCAAAAAATTCCACGAGCGTGTTTTTCGAGCTGGATTTTTTCATCATACCAAGGTCTTCTGCTTCCAAATTCTCAAGAACCGACACTACTATTAACGCTATTTATTGCTATTCTTCTTCTTCACCTTCAATAGCTGGAACCCCTTTCTGAATTCTCCAGTGTGTTCAAGCGAAAATTTATATATTCTCCATCCAGAAATATTTCTCATCCCAATTTATCCAAACACATTCAATCCATCACTATACATCAATGTCCTCTATTCATCTTACAAGATTAAATCCTCCTCCTTCTTCCGCTTCAGATATTCTCTTCCTTGGCTTCAATCAGGATTTTAGTTGTATGGCTGCTGGTGTATCCAACGGCTTTCGTATCTATAATTGCGATCCATACAAGGAAACCTTCAAAAGAGAGTTTTCTGGCTCTATTGGAATGGTAGAAATGCTCTTCCGTTGCAACATTTTGGCTCTTGTTGGAGGAGGTAATGATCCAGCATTCAATAAGAACAAGGTCATTCTCTGGGACGACAATCAATCGGCACCCATTGGAGAACTTACATTCAAATCCGAAGTTAAGGCTGTCAAGCTGCGAAGAGATAAGATTGTTGTTGTGTTGGACAAGTATGTGTACGTGTACAACTTTGACAAGTTGGAAAGAATTAGAAAATTTGAGACGTACAAGAACCCAAAGGGACTTGTTGCTTTGAGTCCATCAGATGATTGTGTCCTCGCCTTCCCGAATACAACAAAAGGTTCTGTGCGTGTCGAATTGCTCGATCAAGATAGCTCCATTCACATTCCAGCTCACGATGGTGCCATCAATTGTCTGGCTCTAAATTCTGATGGTACGAGACTTGCCACTGCCTCCGAAAAGGGTACATTGATTCGTATTTTCGATACACACAAGGGAACAAAATTGCAAGAGGTCAGAAGAGGAGCTGACAAGGCTGACATTTATGGCATTGCATTCTCTCCAGACTCTCAATTCTTTTGTGCATCCTCTGATAAGGGTACCATTCACATCTTTGCCAACAATACAGGAACTGGAAACAACTACACATCCTCTTCGCAAAACAACAACAACCAATCGTCATCCACACAAATTGCCACCAACACTAGTAACAGCAGCCTTCCACCCACTGGTACATCCCCAGACCAAATCACAAATCGAAAATCCAAAATGTCATTCTTTGGTGGGTACTTTGGCTCTGAATGGTCTCACTCGTGGTACAAGGGACCCGAATGCCCTTCCATTGTGTGCTTTGGTCAAGACAGTCGCTCCGTCATTGTTTTCACAGCAGAAGGTTCATACATTAAGCTTGTTTTCGATCCAAAGAAGGGAGGAGAATGTCAAAGAAAGTCGTTTGCTCGTTTTGCAAAACCAAACAAGCACTAAACATTGGTTTTATTGCGTCAGCATCTTTGATGATTCATCATGTAACATTTCGAAGGCACAGTTGTGCCTCCTCTTATCCCTTACTTTTTCCTCACCACACACGCTATCTTTCTCATCCACCAATCATCTATTAACAGTGTGAAGTCTCTGCTAACATGTGAACCTTTATTAAAAAACTTTTATTCTTCCTGTTGAGACATTGTTGAGATTGTGTGAAATGTGAAGTGTGTACGACAACATGACGATATATCACATTCTAAATGAAAAAATCTTGGTCAATCGATTCACTATCAACATATTACTGAGACTTGAATTTTTCTTTAAGAAACTTAATATTCTCATGCATTACCTCCAAAGCACCTTCTGCAGACACGATCAATCGTTCATCTTTATCCTTAGAAGTTTCTTTTTTAACTATGGCGTGCATCATTTTGTGTAAAACAGATGCTCCTAATCTGGCCAATTTTTCAACTAGCTTCTTTGGTACTTTGCCTATTTTCCATTCAATTACATTTATCCATTAAAAATATAATCCATCATCTTGTCCAATTCATCACATACCTTTCAAATCAATCCAATCAAACGAATAATACTTCAGCGTGTCATTTGTTTTTCTATCCACCACAAAAACAGAATAAATGAAAACTCGAACCACATCTTTCATGATCACAGCTTCCTCATGGACTGAAGGTTTTTGAATAAATATTAATCGATCAAAGGAATCTGTTTCCTTATTATACAAATCTGGAATGATCGTCCTAGCCACCACTGCTTCTCGTTTTGAAAATGGAAAGGGCGACTGTTTTTGTTGTCACAATCGTCATTGAATCATTGTGTAAAAACACAATCATCAAAAATTCAATCAACCATTTCAAATGTCAATAGTCAATACTTTCAAAAATTTTACAATATTAAAATTACAGACCTACTTACGTCAAGTTCCAAATAGACAATTGTATTCGAGTAATCAATATTACTTTCAGGATCATATTCGATGTGATCCAATTGTACTCTTCTCTTACACACTTTTGAAATCATCTCCTCCATCGATTTTGAAAGAATCATTTCGAAAAATTCAGTATGTTTTCCTGACGCCAATCCAGAACAACACACAACAGGCAATGCTCCATCGGTCGGATTCAAATAAAAATTATTGGAACTGCTTAGTGTTTTCATTCCAAATTTTTCTTCAATAGTTTTCCATCTCGAAGAATCAGAAAGAGAGCTTATTAATTCTTTCACCATGGCATAATCTTTGGAATTGACATAGAGAGAGGTATTGTCAACGAGAGGACGATCAGTAATTTTTGTTTCTTTCAATTGAATTTCAACATCATCGGCTGTTTCAACCTCGGCATCACCATCGTCCTGACTGCTACTACCACCATTGCTTTTATCGGATAGGTTCGAAGACGAATCATGAAGAGAGTGTGACGAGGAAGATCCGTGCTCATGTTCAACTGAGTGACCACTACTCGTCGACGAGTTAGTCACCACTCTCATGGTTCCCAATTGATCCAATACTTGTTTTGGATCATTGCATTTCAATTTTTTCATTTCCTTCTTGATGAATTTTTTGAAATTTTCAGAGTGAATGAAACGAGGAAAATTGTCATCTCTGAGTTCAGTGAAAATGACATCTTGTGCCTTATTAAATAAATCTGTTGGACATGAAATGAAATCATCGAATGCACGCAGATCATTCTTTTCTGAAATTTGTTTCCAATTTTTCATAATTTCATTTCGTATCGTCATGGATAAATTCAATTCATATTTCGAATTCACTTGAATGAAATTACTCATAATCTCATTGGCCATATTTGCTCGATTCTTTTCGAGTCGAGTTTTTTGATACTTTTCGACGGCCTCATAGAATAGAAAAGGCTCTTCATTGAGTGATTGTTGTAGATGGTGTCGAAAGGCTTCTCTCGCTTGCTCATGATCAAAAATTGCCTCAATTCGGAATTTGTAGAGAGAAATGTAGTCTTCGAGAGAGAGATTGGAAGTGTTCAATGATTGAGTAGAGATGGTATTCCCAGTGCCACCCTTTGGAGATGATTCATGAGATGTAGTTTTTTCATGAGAGGTGGAGTGATGCCACTTGTCAAAGTGACGATGAAGCATTTTTTTGGAGATGATTAACTTTCAAAATGGCACGGGTGGCCAACTCAAGCGTATTTTTTCGTGAACACATCAAGCTGCAAGAGAAAATTTCGCTGGGGATTTTTAATAAAGCTACGATCATAGTATGATTTTATGATGATTTCAACCCCTCAAAACTTGCCAATGCAATATATTGTTGCTGACACGTGAAGGAAACACTACTTAATAATTGGTGCGTCAATAAGTTGAATTGGCATTACAAGAGCCGTGGTGGTAACGTCCTAAAACTTTGTCACGTCCAGGGTGGTATAGTATTGAAGGGGCCCTTTCCCCTCTTCGTCACATTATCAACACCATCTCTCTCAAACCACAACTCTTACATTGAGAAACGTGTTATGAAATTGTTGCTAAAATGTTTTCAAACTTCTCTTAGAAAAGGGTTTTAAAAAAAATTTCAATTTGTGGAGTTCAATATGATTGAGAAGAGTTTGAAATTAACACCAAGCCCGTCAAAAGTGCACAACAAATAGAACATCCTTGAGTGTAAAGTGGTCTGTTGTTCTAGAATTTCATGCTGCTTGTTTGCACTTTACACGGGCTTTATGTTTAATTCAGCCAAAGTCAGTGACACCTTTTTTTAAGGGCTGTTATTAATTGAATATTAGGTCTCACAATACCAAACAAAAGAATCTGAAACTAGATGGAAAGAAGCATCTACCATATGAAAATCTTGGTTTCAGCATGCTTAATTGTAGAACAGTTCAACTCTGAAACAAAATTTGAATAATGGTCGGTGTTATTAATCGAGTAAAAAATAAAAGTGCGCTCGTAAAGAATCTTGTCTCGAATCTTGGTCATTTTTACTGAAGGAGTTGGCCACCCGTGCAAAATGGGAGGAGGTCAAATCAAACAAGATGATCCTCTCATTTCTATATCCTTTAAGAAAGAAGAAACAGTTTGCCATGCTCTTGAAATATGGAGAACATCATCATCAAGACCCACAACCATTCGAACCACAAGACAACCCACTCGCCGAATACTAAAGTTCTTTCCAGATAAAACGCGATCACCAATTCGGAAACCAAAAATCGGTTGGATGGTCGGTCGGGGTAATGACGCGTAAGTTCGACAGACCACACAAAAAAATACCACAGCGTGTCCAGAGTGTTGGTTTTTTTATGCACTTTCGAAAGTGGGAAAGTAGTATCGAGGAGAGAGAGATTGCGTTGTGAGATAAAAATTTTCTTTTAGTATCCTTTGCGAGCATACGTTCATTATCAATAGTTACTATTATTGATAGTATCGTCGTGTATTATTAATATATTCATTATTTATTATTCTTTTTTCCACACGAGTATTTAAAATAGATTCAAAACATCAAAACTATCATCATGAATTATCCGAGTATCAATCAACGATTAGATATTGAAAATGAGAAGGTTTGGATGAAGCTTGGTAAGTTGATGATAATAATGGATGTTGTTGTAGTGATGGAGAATAATGATCCTATAACTGTGGCTGTGGCTGTTGTTGTCGATCATAAATTCGTAACCTCATCATGGTACTATTATTATGATTTCCATCTTCATCCGAACCAATGTTCTTTTTTTAATTGATCAATCAAATTTGATCATCACCATTTTTACATCCAACAATACGAACAACAAACATTACGCTCCATTAACAACAGGCCAACTTGCCGATGCAATGAACGAACCCGAGAAGGCCATTCAATACTATGAACGAGTACTTCAATACAATCAATACAACGTTCCAGCATTGACAAGCGTTGCTTCAATTTATAGAATGAAAGATCCGCCAGACTTTCCTAAAGCTGTTGAATACTATCATCGTGCTCTCCAAACTGAGGACAACAATACAGAGATTTGGGGAAATCTAGGTCATTGCTTTTTAATGATGGATGATCTCACCAAGGCTTACACAGCCTATCACCAAGCAATTTATAATGCAAAATTACAAAATAAGACCAAACAAGATCCACATTTGTGGTACGGAATTGGTATTCTCTATGAAAGATACAACAGCTTGGACAATGCCGAAGAAGCTTTTAGAAGTGTGCTCAAAATGGATGCACAATTTGAGAAAATTAATGAAATTTACTTCCGTCTCGGTATTATCTACAAACAACAGAAAAAGTATGAACAGAGTTTGGAGTGTTTTGGACGAATCCGTAAGAACCCACCACCTCCTTTGACTGAAGCAGACATTTGGTTTCAAATTGGACATGTCTATGAATTGAAGAAGGATTTCCAAGAAGCAAAGAATTCCTATGAAAAAGTTCTACAATTTAATTCCAATCACAGCAAAGTTCTTCAACAACTGGGTTGGCTGTATCATCAAAATACTGAGTTTCAAAATCAAGATATTGCCATTCATTACTTGCAGAGATCGATCGATGCAGATCCAAACAGTGGACAAACTTGGTATTTATTGGGAAGATGTTTCATGGCCCAGAAAAAGTATCGATACGCCTACAATGCGTATCAACAAGCTGTGTTTAGAGATGGAAAAAATCCAACATTTTGGTGTTCTATTGGAGTTTTATACTATCAAATTAATCAGTATAGAGATGCGTTGGATGCTTATACTAGAGCCATTCGTTTAAATCCATACCTAAGCGAAGTTTGGTACGATTTAGGTACACTCTACGAGTCATGCAACCAAATTCCTGATGCATTGGATGCCTATCAACGTGCAGCTGATTTAGATCAGAACAATGAACATATTCAACAACGATTAATTTTCCTCAAGTCCATGGATAGAAGTAATCCACCATCAGAGGAATCAAAGAATTTGACCGCTGTTGAGCCACCCACTGCTGCCTCTCAATATCAGTCTGGAGGTGGATTTTTCTCGAACAATGCTCCCTCCATGAACCCGCCACCATCGAATGTGCCATCTGGTTCAGCAAATTATCAGAATACACCATACTATCCACCACCCACTAATGCTCCTCCTCCAAAACTTTCCATGGATTCCATGCCACCATCGAGTGCTCATCCTCCCTCTATGAATGGTCAATATAATGCATCTGGCAGTGCCATGTCTGGACAGTCATCTTTGCCGCCTGTGAACTTGCCACCAACACCTCGTTCCTCTGAGCCTGGTGTTCTACCACCACCGACTGCCACAATGTCAACAGGAGGCGTCAATGATAGACTTCCACCACCACAGCAGTATGTTGGTGCCACCAACACATATGGTGGCTCCTATCCACCTCAGCAGAATCCTCCCAAGTCGGCCACATCAAGTGGTAGTGGTGGTGGAGGTTTTGGACCAGTGTCTTCTCAGCCTCAAACCTCTCCTCAACAATCGCAATTCTCGGCAGGTCAAGGCACGCCCTATGCTGGTCAGCCTCCTTCCTACACCTATCCTCCACAAGGATCACAGACACTTGTTCCCCCAAGCACAACCAATTTGGGAGAGACGTCACCTTTGAAGAGAAGGTTAAGCCCCTTGCCACAACCATCTGAGCATCAAAGTGACGTGAAACGAGTAAAGCAAACTCCAAAGAATGACGCTGACAGTGAGGACGACGAAGATGAGCAAGATCAAATGGTTATTCACGAGCCAGAAGATTCAGAACCAAATTCGGGCACTGCTCAAAATTCGACTCCTAAAATTGTGGGTACTGCCTCAGACGTTCATCAAGAAACAGAACCTCCAATTGGTAAGGCAAAGAGTCGATTTGTAAGAGCAAAGAAGCTTAATGATAATTCAGAGGAAAAAGATTAATAATGCTTATAAATTTTCATTTGTTCTCGAGAACATTCGATTTCAGATGCACGAGGATGATCATTAAAGTTTCAAATTATTATTCATTACCATAAAAAAATGAATGAATTTCCCGAAGATGCTCCTTCATCATCGGTATCCATCAATACTTCTTGTAATACTCTCAATGTTGCAATGTCTTTGGGAGTGCAGTTCTCCACTCCTACAAATATGATGATCCCTAATAATCATAATGAATTAAAGAATGAGAAATCAACAATTTCTTCACTTGACTTTAACATTTCAAACTTATCGGAAAATCGTATTACAAAGAATGATTCATCAACCTCATCACCATCATTACAACTTCCGACACTCCTTTCCAATACAACATCCGTATCACCCAGATCTCCCCGAAAATTATTACCGCAACCCATGAACATCACTAATAATACAGAATACATTTCAAAATCACCCAAAAAGATTTCTAAAGTTAAACACTTACCTCGTGTAAATAGTATATTTAAATATATTCAAGGAGAATTGGATTTAAATTCGAGAATAGCTTCTCTGTTACACAAATCACCTGTAAAAACACCATTATCGGCCAATCAATTATTTAGTGAGGCTTTAGTGGGAAGTAGAGCGGATTTACCTAACAATGTTGCAACTCCAACTTCAACAACCATAAATACCATTTCGAGCGAGCCTTCTTCCAGGTTGAATGAAGAAAAATCATCAGCAAGTTTGAAGAAGCTCACTTACGGAGAAGAAATACGAAGGAGTATTTACAACTTCATTGAAGTTCCTTTCATGTTGGAACAATATTTATTTTTCGGATTTTTCATTTGTTTTGATTCATTGCTGTTTCATTTCACATTTTTCCCTTTGAGAATTATTTTTGCCTTAATTGGTTTACTGACAAGAGGGATTACAAAACTGAGCAATTCGAGTGTTTGTGATTTACTCAAACTATTTGCTCTTGCTGTGAATGTATATATTGTATTTATTACTATAGATTATTCTCTATTGTATCATGCAATTAGGGGAGAGAGTGTACTAAAACTGTTTATGCTGTATAATATGTTGGAGATTTTTGATCGTCTATGCTCGGCTTATGGTCAAGATTCTATTGTATCCATGATATTCACTTCAACAGATCCAAAATTTAAAACTCAAACTGACAGTTATGGAAAACGAAAATTAATATTTAACGCAGTATTCTCCTTTATGTCACATCTTGTCTACTTGTGTAAGTATTAGCAGCGATGTGATCGTTACAAATAATAGGAATGGATACATTTAACACGTTATTTATTGGTTTTGTCTGAAATATCCATATTATAGATATACACACAATGGTATCTCTGTTGAGAATTATCACCCTAAATATTGCTCTAAATTCTCGAAATCAATCCCTTCTCACTCTTTTAATTTCTACTAACTTTGTTGAGCTAAAGGCCAGTATATTTAAAAAATCAGTGAAAGAAGCTCTCTTTCAATTATCTTGTACAGGTAAGTGACATCTAATGAATTAATCAAACCATTTCTATGGCATTGTTAGACATTGTTGAGCGTTTTGAAATGGTCGTATTTAGTGTAGTGATTTTCTTTCAAAATTCACTATACAGTGGGGAGTATGAAATTGAAGAATTTCTACAAATTATTTTTACGATAATATCCTCTGAAATGATTGCAGACTCTATTAAGCATGCTTTTATTTGTAAATTTAACAAAATTAATTGTGAAACATATGATAATTATATTCTCAAATTGTCCTCAGATTTGACAAGCATGACTCATTTTGATGTAAGTGTTAGAACAATAAGTCATCAATAATATATGTGTGGACATTATTGAAATTTGGTTGAAAATGAAAATTCGTGTGACTAGTCTTTTCTTGATAATACAAACATTGTGGCAAGAAGAGTTGGCTTTGTTGAGGGTCCTCTTATTTGTGTGGTTTTGAGAATGTTTTTGGAATCTATGGAAAGAAGATGGGAATTCATTAGATCGAATACTGCGCTTTGGACGTTTGTGACCATTTTATTTACCTATATATGTCTGTTTTTGTTAAAAGTTCTAATCTCTATCATGGTCGTAGGTCATGCTGCAAAAAGAATCACAAATAGTCGCAAAAAATAAATTCACAATAAATGAATTTAATCTTATCGTTTATTCTTTTTGGAATAATCTCGATTGTCTTCTTGGTGCGAGTCGTATTGTTTTCGCTTGTGGTGTGAATCATATGCCTCTCTTCTTGAGTCTTGTCCTCTTGGTGGTGCACCGTGATGAGGTCGTTGATCATAATTATGGTATCTGTTGTAATGACCATAATTTCGATTGTGACTGTCTTTGTGTCGATCTTGGTTATTTGCGCGTGTGGGAGGGGTACTTGGTCTAGCATCGAGTCTACGCTCGCCACCTAGTCTGCGCTCATTATTATGCTGTTGCACAGTAGTTGTTGTTTCAGGTGGTATCGTTGAAGAGGGAGCATGATGTTCCTTCTTCTCCTTTTCATTTTGCCACCACAATTTGGCCACAGATTGAGAAAAATCGACATGTATTCTGGAATCATCAATAGTCACCTGAGAGAAGGGATAATAGAAATAATTGTAAAGTTGGAAATGTAATCGTAAAATCCAAAATTCGAATTGAAATTAAGCGTTATTTGATATCCATTCCATTATCAATTTCAGTAACATTCATGACATTTTAAAACTCCTGAAATCAATAATACACTTACATTCTCCATTTTCAGGTATGCATTTTCACATGCCTCACTAGAGTCAAACTCAATGAATGCATATGTTTTGCTTTTTCCTGTCACCTTATTTCGCACAACTTCACACTTGTTAATTTTTCCAAATTGAGAGAAAATCAATCTCAAACTCTTATCGGTTGTGATAGGGTTTAGCTTACAAACAAAAAGGACATTCTCTGGAGGTGTCACTTCAGCATCGGGCAAGTCACCAATCATTTCTAATACAACTGCTCTTGATTTGGCTTCTCTCTCTTTTTTTGACTCATAGTCTTCCTTTGTTTCTACCTCTTCATTGAGAACTTTTTGAGGAATGGCAATAATTTCATCATCATGTATGGAAGGTGGACTCTTGTCTGGAATCATCATTTGCACATACTTGTAGAACGATTCGAATTGTTTTTTCAGCGCTTCCTCTTCCTCAAATGGATCAAACAGAATTTGTGCATGTCTTATTCTCACTGTTTGAATTGGTACTTCAAGGTCACCTTTTTTCTCTGTGTATAGTTTATCAATAGCATGTATCACATCAATACCTTCTTCTACACGCCCAAAAATTGTATGTGTTCCATCAAGATAATCTAAATGTCTGTTCGTTGTTGTAATATAGAATTGACTTGCATTGGTATTAGGCTGTTCCTTATTAGCCATACACAATAATCCCTCTTGATTATGTTTTTTCCGAACATTAATTTCATCATTAAAATAAATTTCTTTTTCCTTCACCAATAATTTATTCCGATCGGAATCCTTGCTCTTATATTCTTCAACTAAATGAAAAATAGAATGTCCTCCTTTACCCGAATTTGTTGGATCTCCACTCTGAAACCAAGCATTCTTTTCCACATGAAATACTTTACAATTATTATAGTATTTAATTTTACATAACGAAAGAAAATTAAAACACGCAATCGGACACTCTTCCACCCACAAATCCACCACAAACTCTCCGAGAGAAGTGTTCATGAGAACGCTCATTTTTTTTTTCGAATTTCCTTATTTGGACAACTTGCAAGCTGTTAACGTTGTTGACATCCATCTAAACCATTTTATTATAATAACCAAAAGAACACGTGACTCAAATGTGGAGTCTTCAAGATGGAGAAGATGATGAATATTATACCTCTTGAATTTTTTCATTCGTGAAAGTAGATCTATCAGTCGATTACAGTCGCAGTATGATCAATAACAAGGTTCTGAAAATATATATATGGAGAGGTTTTAGAGATCGGAGGCTCTGAATTGGTGTCGTGAGAGGACGAATTGGAGTGGAAACATCAAGCGTCAGGCATGAAACATATATCCATCACCGGTTATCCAATCTTTGGCCAAACGATTCCAAATACTCTCTCATCAATCAAACTGACAGGTCGTGTTTGCACTGTGGTTTGTGTTTATCTATTCATGATCAGAAGAAAATGCAAGTAAACAAATTCTTTCATTCTCTCAAACGAAAGCTTTCTCCGAGGAAACATCAAAATGTTCATGAGGAAGATATTGTAATGATGAATCAAGAGAGTCCAAGAAGTGTTGGTAGTAATCATAGTTATGGAGGAGGATTGGATGTTGTTGTTGTAGATGATGATTGGAATTTGGAACGAGTCCAACAACAACAACAACCACAGCAACAACTTTTCCAATCATCATCTCTACAACAACCACAACAACAACAGAAACCAACTCCTCCCTCTCCACGGAAACATTTTCTTTTTGGTCGCCGAAGAGGAAGTGGAAGTGCTTTGCATCATGAAGAAGAAGGAAGGAACAATACGTTAGCCTTGTTTACTTCAAGAATTGCTGGAGCTCTTTCTCCGAGAGGAAATAGATCCTCATCCTCATCAACAACAGCTGCAATGACTTTATCACCTCGATCCGATCACAAATCATCATCCAGAGTTGCAACTTGTTCATCATCATCATCAACTAGAACCCATCAACCGTTATTGTTGTCGGATCATGCTGAGAATTTGAATAAGAGCTCTTCTTCGGCTCATCATCCTCCCCTTGTTCCGAAACTAAATACCTCAGAATTAGGAGGTTTGAATTATGCACCGAAAGAGAAATTTAAAGTGAAACCATTGTGGAAACAAGAAGAAGACTTGTCTGAGCCATCATTGAAGAGTTGTATTGAACTGGCCATTCCATTCCCAGAAAATGCACAACTCACTCATCACACCATTAATAGATTCAAGAAACACCAAGAGAATGAAGGTATCAGCAACAACAGCAACAACACCACCAAGTCACATTCGTCATCATCATCGACGAAAAGAAAAGTTCATAGTTTAAAAGCATTTTCTAAACGTGATGATATAAATTCAGAACATCCTTCCTCCTCTGGTTCAGTGAGTGAATCAGCATCCTCATCCTCATCAACAGCAAACACCGAAGAATGGGGACATAATGATAGTTCCTCTTCATTTGATGCGTTTTTTGAGCGATATGCAGCAGCCACTTGTCAAATGCATGATTTGAAAAGTAGCAACAATTCTACCAATGATTCATCAAATGCATGCAATTCTTTATCCGCGGAAGCAATTGAAATGTCAACTAGCAATGTTGCTGAAAATAGAAAATCGATTGGAAACCATGAATTGTGTTCCACCAAGAATTTCCTTCGTAAATCCAGCAAACAACAATTGAAATCCGTCATTGACAACAACAAGAAATCAACCAACAGAAGACACTCTCATCAAGGGTCCTTTGACAGCTCTTCTTCATTCTCAGCAGACACCGAAGAAATGCTCAATCGATTTGGAATTGTGAGGATTTCGTTTGAACCTCTCACGACCAGCACTACCTTAGACTCGAATTCAGATCAACAACAGCAACAACACCACCAAACAAACACTGGCGTTCAAACCTTCAAATGATGCAGCACAACCTCTTTGTGTGTTTGCCGCTCTTGTTTCCTCAAACCTTTCTTCACCATCTCAAAAACTCCGTTTTTGGTGCACTTGATTGGTTTTTATGGAGATTCTGGTGCACTTGAAGAATGGCGCCTTCAAAAAGAAAATACCCAACAGCGCAACAAGACATATGTTCAACCTCACAAGTATTGACATGTTTTCTTCGTTTGGTGCTTTCGCAACAACATCAACAGCATCAATCAACAACAACAACAACACTCAATCTCTCAATGACACTTCCGTGTGTCATCCTTTACTTCTTGCACAAGGAAACAAAAGCGAGTTGGGATTGTGTGACGACTATCCATCATCACGAGTGATAGCTGCCATCGTGTTGATGGTTCATACATGTCTGCTGATAGCATCTTTTGGTGGGTTGGCATACAAATTAGTCAAGTTATCAAAAAACCGTGGTGGGTCATCACAACAAAAAGTCAATTTTCTCACCCTCGCACGTAATCCAGCATTGATAGTCATTGGATGTAGTGTTGGTTATGCATGTACCTTTGTCATGTGCACTAGAATTTTGATAGGACGAAAGATTTATCCGTGCTTCATCTTTACACTGATTTATTTCTTTTGCATTCCATGGATTGCAGGTACCACAATATTGAGATTTATTCGATTGATTGTGTTGTCGTGGCTCAACAGTGTGAAAGTGAGGATTGGAAAGAGAGAGCTTTCGCATGTGACTGAGAAGGACATGTCTTCGAACAGATCATCGTCAATAAGCATGTCGTCAGGATCTACTGCGCTCACAAGAGGAAACTCCAGTACTGGAAACATTCGACTGGAGGACATATTCAAACTAAGTGAGCAACCTCGTAAATCGAAAGAAACTGATGTTGCTGCCTCTAATGACGCTCCAGAAGAAGACGACATCATTCTCAAGAAAGACACCCTACTGCAAAGTTTTGAAAAAGGGCGATTGATTGATTTATTGAGATTTTTAGTGAGCTCAAAATTCATCTATTTGTTTTACGGAATTATTGCTTTCATTCATGTATCGATATATTTGATTATTGGAGGAATTGATTATTACAATTTTGTGAATGGTATCAAAATTTCATCCACCAACAGGAGACAGGCCTTTGTTGTGGACACGTACATTTTTTCACCAGGCGGATGTGGAACAGGTAAGTAGAAAATAACAAATGTGACATGCCCATTGAATGCAACATCACTACCAGGTACTTACAACACAAACATTTTCATTTCATTCTTGGCAGTTTATGCTAGTTTTGCAGTATTATTTGCAACGATTGCCCTGTTGATGAAAAAAGATATTTGGTTTGTGAAGATCGAAATATGGTTTCTCTCGTTCAATTGGGTGTTCTTTGCGTTGTTGTACGGAATTCCAAGTATGTTTTCACAGATTACAACCTTGTAAGTAGTAGGATCTTGTAGCTTAATATTATGACTTACACAATTTCTTGTTTGAAATTATTAATTATTCATTACTATAATAATAATAATAACTGACAGAGTGGACTACTATTTTCCTTGGGTTATGACCATTCTATTTGGATGTATTTCAGATCTTTTCATGTCATGTTTTGTACCTGTATTTATCTATCAAAGAGTCGGAAAAGAAAATCATAACAGAGAAATTGAATTAACATCTTCCAACAACCCTGAGAAAGACAATGCGATTCGAAAAATATTAACAAATGCAAAATGGAATTCCTTATTTTTACAATTCTCAGAAAAGAGCTTCTCATCAGAAGATGTCATGATGTGGCATGCTGTGGAACAATTCAAGAAAGTAACATCTGAAAAGTTAAGAATTGAACTCTTTTTGAAAATTTGTGACACTTATTTACGAATTGGAGCACCACTCGAGTTAAATATTCCAAGAAAGGAATTTGGTGTTCCTGAAATTATGTCATTGCATTCCTCATTACGAGCGAGTAGACGACACTCCTCAAACAAAGGAAATTCACCAACCATTATAGTACCATCAGTACCATCGACGACGACAACACCGACGAATGTGGTACCACAACTCTTTAGGAATGAGCCTGTTGTTGCTTCTAACAACGTCACAACCACCACAAGCGTCATCACTTCTCGGAACTGTTCTTCACCAAATATTATCCCGCCTAACATCTTTGATCGAGTGCAACAATGTTGTGAGCATAATATGATTGACAATTATACGAGGTTTGGACTCGTCTACTCGAAACAACTTTCCTCAGAGCTTAATATTGTTTCCACATTTTAAAAAGTACTCGAGTTTTGACAGACCGAAGATGATATTTTTTAGATCTGATTTTCCAGTTTCTATTAACAGCATTGAAATATATTACATGCATAAGAAGGGTACTTTTATTTCTCACGCTCTTCCATGTTCTGTGTATTGTCTCGATCTCCTCCTTCCGGTCGATCCTTCTTCACACGCCTTTCAATGAAAGAAGACTTTTCATCTTCCGGTATTTGTGCCCACAATCCTGCCAAGAGCTCTACCATATTTCCTCCTTCAAGGTTTTGTTTGGCCTCTTCTCTCTTGTCGTCACGGAAAAAGTTTACTGCAGTGTTCGGTGCGTTGGTGTGCTCTTGTTCTGCCATTGGTGCAAGTGGATAAATGTGAAAAGGTGGATGTGTGGTTATATTTTTTTGAAAGTGAAATTTCAGAGATTTGATGGAAGTAATCGATTTATCCAATCCTCGTTTTCACAAGCTTTTTCTTCCTTCAGAAAAATTGTCAATGACATGCCTTGTTGAGCCGAGATATCACAGACACATCATGATCGCACTTGCTAAAATTTCACATCCGGATTGTTCTCAACTGAACTTTCAAAAAATAACAGACATTGATTGCTAGTTGGATTGTGATCCGTAGCCACACACGGTGTCTGCACAACCACCAACTGATCGCTGATTCAAAGCGCCTATTTATTCTCAAACAACCACAAGAATCATCATTCACTGACCGATAGTCATTACTGATTATTAACAACATCAACCACTCGTTCATGGACATGAACAATTCTTCATCTTCATGGAATGACACTCTTGTTTGTCATCCCATTCTTCTCGCACAAGGCAACAAGAGTCAACTCGGACTTTGTGATGATGAAATTTCAGCTCTTGTCATTGCTTCTCTTGTACTTGTTTGTCACGTCTTCTTATTGTTCACTTCCTTGTTTGGATTTATTTATAAATTACATCAATTAAAGAAATTGGAAATGAATTCCACAACAAAGAGGAATGGACAGCAGGTCAATTTCTTAACGGTGGCGAGAAATCCAGCATTGATGATTATTGGAGCATTGGCTGGATTTATTTACAATGTGGTGATATCAGGACGTGTATTAATTGGGAGAAAAAATTATCCTTGTTTCATATATTCTTTAATTTATTATTTAAGTGTTCCTATTATGGCAAGTACAATCATTTTGAGATTTATTCGATTGATTGTACTGTCGTGGTTGAATAATGTGAAAGTGAGAATTGCAAAAAGAGAAATGATTCTGCCAACTGTCATTATGAAGAATAAGGAAATTCAAATGAGTGAAGTTACGAAATCTCAGGAAACCAGTTTAACCAGTGCTCTTGTTCCATCTTTAGAGAATGTGACATCTGACACCGCCCCTCAAAATCACACTATTACCATTCCTCAACAAGACTCTGAAGAAGAAATCATTTTCAGAAAAGAGACCTTTCTTGAAAGCTTTGAAAAAGGAAGACTTTTGAATTTTCTGAAATTTTTAGTGAGCTCTAAATTTATTTTCCTTTTTTATGGAATTGTTTGTTTTGTTCACATTTCAATTTATTTAATTATTGGAGGTGTGGATTATTATCATTTTATGAATGGAATTAGAAGTGACAATAAGAGACAGTCCTTTATGATTGACACGTTTTTATTTTCAACAAGTGGATGTGGAAACGGTATGTTTAACGAATGTTCATGATCAATTATTTAAATGACATTTGGCATTTGGTATGCAATAGGTTCTTATAGTACCACACTGTTTATTACGTATTTAGCACTTTATGCTTCGTTTGGAGTTATTTTTGCAATTATTGCTCTCTTTATGAAACGAGATGTTTGGTTTGTGAAAATGGAAATTGTTTTCACAGTAATCAATTGGGTATTCTTTGCATTACTGTATGGAATTCCAAGTCTCTTTACACAAGTCACGACATTGTAAGTTTGGAATTGTCAAAACCTACTGAATTCCAATTTCATTCTTTTTCATTCTTTTTTGGTGAAATTTCCTGATAACGAATGAATTCTAATGAATTGAATCGAAATAGAGTGGATTATTATGTCCCAGTTGCGAACAGTGTTGAAATTGCATGCATGATGGATACTTTTATTTCTATCACACTTCCAGTTTTTGTGTATCAGGAAATTGACAAGAGGAGGAAGAAATCATTACATATTGAATCCTCCACCACCGTTTCATCCTCTCTATCAACTCAACACGATGAATATCCAAATCGCATTCGAAAAATTCTGACCAACGAAAAGTGGAATTCCTTATTTTTACAATTCTCAGAAAAATGTTTTGCATCCGAAGACATTTTAATGTGGCATGCTGTGGAACAATTCAAGAAAGTAACATCTGAAAAGTTAAGAATTGAACTCTTTTTGAAAATTTGTGACACTTATTTACGAATTGGAGCACCACTCGAGTTAAATATTCCAAGAAAGGAATTTGGTGTTCCTGAAATTATGGACTTGTACTTGTCGTTGAGAAGTAGTAATCGACAAATATCGGCTCTAACTCCCATGAAGGATTTGAGTCAGTCGAATACTTTGACAACAATTCCTAAATTAGGTAATAGTACTGTGAATACGCCACATGCCACAGACATACCAGTGGTTTCAAATCCAACCATGAAACGTCTCTCCGTAAATGCACTCACCACTCCTGCAAATGAAACTCACCATGCAAACAACCCATCTCAAAATGGCATGTACTTGTCTCCTTCCAACGTCACCACCACCACAACAACTCATGCGTTTTCCATCCCCAATGACATTTTCGATCGTATTCAAATCTGTTGTGAACACAACCTATTGGATAACTTTTCAAGATTTGAACTAGTGTATAATGACGATTTGAAATCCATTCTTTGAAACAATAACTGACACCCAAGTAATATAACTAATTTAACTGCAAACAAACAACTCTTAAAACATGTGACACTCCATTAATTATTATAATGGAACTTCCTTTTGGTGTTTCTAATTGTTTTAAAATTTTCGGAGTTCACATTCGAAGATTCAAGTGTGGATGCAATCTTTAAAAAAAATAACAGATCATAAGCTTAAATTGTCTGTCGTTGAATTCACTATCAGTCGTTGAGTTCTTCATCATCATCATCATTTAAATAATAGTTATTCGAAAAGAAATTATTCAAAAAGAAATTATATTTCGGAATTTCATACTCTTGGATATTCAACAAGGAAATTATTGAAAAACATGTTCTCCAATTCAAACATGATCTCCGAAGATCATCACAAACGATCGGAATCTCATCATGATAATTCTTTATCAAATCTTCAAGAGTACATGAAAGAAAACAATAACAACGAAACCAATCCATCTTCCATTTCATCTCATCCATCAACAACACCTTTATCCACAACAACAACACCATCCATCATGACACAACACTATTTTTTGGAAAATGCCAAACCTTCATTGGTTTCTCTCTTTTCAGCTTCTTCGACTGTATGTGCTTGTAAAGGTGTCAATCCTGTAACGAATTCTCAGAATGTAAGCACTTTTCACAATGAATCGACGACGTGCACGATACAGGAATCATCGATTGTGTCCTCAAAATCTTCCGAGATGCCATTCTCTTCTTCTTTAACAAGTTTGTCATCTACAATTTTGAAAACGACGCCTTCTGTGACCTATCGATTGAATGACGAATTTGATGAAATTGATTTATTTGAATCTATTGCTGATATACGAGATCCGGAACATCCATATTCGTTGGAAGAGTTAAATATTGTCAATGAACATTCTATAGTTTTTGACTCGAATAATATTGTGAAAATATATTTCACACCTACGGTCAAGCATTGCTCTTTAGTGTCACATATTAGTTTATGCATACGGGAACGATTAAAAAATCGATATGGAAAGCATACTTTTACCACAAAATATAAATTGGAAATATATGTGACAGAAGGATCTCATAATGAAGAAGAACAAGTAAATAAGCAAATGAATGACAAAGAAAGAGTCACTGCAGCCTTAGAAAATCCATTAATTATGGAATTGGTTCGTCAGTGTATTAAAGAGGAATAAATTTTGCGAGTAATTTTATTGGTCAAAATAGAAATCTCGAACAGGATTTTTGGCTTATCTCTTAATTTAGATCATTTCGTGAAGAGTAGACATGTCAAATATCTGGCTCTTCTTCCACAAAATTTTTGAAGTCTCCAACTAAGGAACTTGTTTTCTGATTAAGACGTTGTGTCACAATCCTGAACGAAATGAATTCATTTCTTTCAAAAACTCTACTTTATGCTGGTGATCAAGATGTCCACATTTGAAACCTATTATCATCCAAAAAAGTGCTACCTTCCACTTCTTACTGTTTTCGTTTCCATACATCCATTCAACTCGAATGATTATTGATCATTGAAAAAACTCATGTCCAAAATATCTTTAGCATTTGGTCTCTTGTCTGCATCAAATTCTAACATGGCAAGTAATAAATCTACAAATTCCTTGCTGTATTGAGATGGAGCTGCTTTCTCAATACTCTCAATGATGAAGGAATGAACGACACTCAAATTGGATTGATTTCTCAAATAGAGTTGAGCTAAGGATTGACTGGAATCGAATGTAATCATGATAAAGATACTACATCCTAAACTGAAAATGTCAGTGTTGAAACTGTATTTTGATCCAATAAGAAGTTGAGGACTCTATAATGATCATTAAATATTTTTGATGATAAAGGTGAATGGATATTTTGAATTAATCAAAATTGATAATTTGGTTAAAGTTATTATTTCAATAAATGGTCATGATGAAAACCAAATCGATTCAACGTTGAACATCAACTTTTTCAAACTTACCATAAAATAAGGAGTACCAGCAAAAGAGAAACTACTCATCATGTCACTTTCTTTTGCAAGACCAAAATCAGATAATACCACTCGAATTGTTTGTTCCTTCTCATCAATTGAATCAATGAAAATATTGGAAGGTTTAACATCTCTGTGAATCATTCCACTTTCAACTTGAATATAATTCAATCCTTTACACACTTGATAAATAATTTGTTTTAACATCTTTTCTGAAAGTCGTTGTTTTGCTTTCACTTTCATTTCCAAATCTCCAAAACTATAATATTTCATTGCTAAAAAGAGTGACATGGTATTTTGATCGACAATGGCATCTTGAAGTGTCACAATATTTTCATGCTTATTCTTGAACATGTTGACAGCTTCTTGGAATTTTTCATTCAATTCTGATAATCCTGTGAGATTCACTCGCTTGATTGCAACAAACTCAGATTCTCCTGCTTTTCCAGAATATAACAAATATCTTGCCTTAAAGACAGCTCCAAAAGCTCCAGCTCCAATTTTCTCAATAATTTCATACTTTTTGCTAACAATATCAATCGTTGAAGAAGTGATGATACTATTACTTGGACTTGGTGCATGATCTGTTCTTACAGAAGAATATTCTGAAATAAAAAGTGAACTTGTATAGTTGGTCTTTGAATCTGTGTCAATGTTGAGAGGAAATGGGCTACTGCTATTCAATGTTTCAGAAAGTACAGTAGAAGGAGATTTTGAATGGAGAATATTCCCTGTTTTTTCAGAAAGCTTGGAAGTGATCGTTTGGACAACTTTTTTTTCTTCTTTGGAAGTGCTGTTCGTCGTATTGGACGATAACAACAACTTCCTCTTCTTTAACACTACTCTTGGATAAATGACATAGTATCCAACAAGAAGAACAATGGTCACGATCAAAGTCACCAAACATGCAAATAAAATTAAACTTGCAATCACAATGCCAGCAATGGCTCCTCCACTTAATCCTTCCATTGGTCCTCCTTTCGAAACCTCTTGATAAATGACTGCAAAGGATGATAAATGTGAAGTTTCACACACAATGGTGAGAGATCCATCTGAAGAAGATTGAACAAATGTCGATACTCCATTCGAAGACCAATTTTGATTGTCATAATAGACACATAAAATTTGTAAATCTCCATTCATATAGGAATCAAAGTCTTGTCGAGGTGGTTGAAAAGTATCGAATAAAATCTTAATATTTTCTGTAAGATTGGTGACTGACAAGATGGAATTATCTTCTAATCGTGTGAAATGAGCAGTCACCACCATTGGAATTACAAAAGTGTTTGCAATTTTTGTTTCATTTTGTGGTTGACTGACCGTGATGGTTGAAACAGCAAGTCGATAATCTCCATAAAAACCATTATCGACAATACCACTTTTTGGGAAATTAATAGAAACATCCACTGGGTTGGCTTCTAAAACAGTAATGAGAGATTTCACTTCTTTCAAAGAATAGAGATATTTGGTGAACATTTTAAATCCCTTGAGAATTATGCTTGAATTGGATGATTCATAAAGAGCATGCAAGACTTCCACGGCATGAACGATATTGGAAGCATATTGTTTCATATCTTGATTAGATCCATCCATTGCAACATCCACCAAAAAAGAGGATGTTCTGGAATTGAAGAAAGGAATGCTCAATCCACTTGTAGTCACTAATTGAATATTTCCAATAAGAGATGTTTTCCAATCTCCATTTTTCATTACATCATTATAGACTCCTGTAACACTTGTGAATGTCAGTAAATTTTGTGTGAAACTTTTCAGTAATTTTGCCAAATAATCGTCCATATCAAACATGACATTTTTTGCCTTTTCCACTTCTGTCAACATTATTCCGGCAACACTCATTGCAGATTGTCTTAAATAATAGAGTGAAGCTTGATTGTCTGATAAGGTACTTCCATAGGGGCAATAAAGAAATATTCTCAATAGAGTGTCCATTTCAGTAATTCTTTTCACACTTGTGAGAGGAAGTGCAGCGATTTGATTGCTAATGTAGTCAAGAGCTGAATTCGCATAGCTCACTAAATTGTTACAACCTAATATAGTTAAAGCAGTAGGACCACTGTAAGAGTTCATGTAATAGGTAGCTATTGCTTTACCTCCATATTTGTGTGAAAAGATAAACTTTCGATTACCTGTAAAGTATGGTGTTTTGGTGTAATAAACGTTCCTCTTTGTAACTATGAGAGTGCTTGGAAAGGTCGAGTCATCGTTTACAATCTCAACAGGTTGAAGATCTTGATTAAAAATGTTTTGTGAGTACGTGTCCCACTGTGACCAAGAATTGGTTTCATAGACACTGAACTTTTGGCTGGATGAAGAGTAATCGACTTTGTTGGGAATATCAAACTTGACAATTGAAGTGGTCAAGTAAATGTTCATAGTGGCACCATTTGGCATGGTGATCGTATACATCTCTGCATATTGAATCTTTAAACAACTATAAGCACTAATTGTAATGTTGAATATTGTTCCTTGTTGAGTATTTTTCACAACAGTAGAAGATGCAAAATTCGAGTATTGAGCCACTTGACGATTGATGGTCATTGGAGTGGCAATCGAGTCCACAAAAACTCTCACACTAAACGTGGGAGGACTAGATCCAAAACAACTAATAAATGGATCAATGGGTTCTGCATACAAGTTTGGAAGAGAGGTCGATGAAATTTCGATCATGGCTTTCAAAGTCGCTTGTTCTCCATAAATAGAGGTCAATTGAGCAGTGAAAGAATATTGACCTGTTTTGTTAAATGCAAGAAAATCTGATGCCTTAATTTGATTATTGAATCCACTTGTCAAAAAAGATGAGAATGGACATGAATTTCCTGAGAAAGAACAAGTCCAAGTGACAGAAGTCAATAAACTCAAAGGATAATCTTTCAAATTAGAGGAACCAATGGATATTAATAAATCTTTATCCATCGAATGTGTTCTGTTTCCTCCCTTAATGAAATAAAATCCGTACAAATCCACAGTTCCAGTAATCAAGGTTGTGAACGTCGAATTTTGCAAGTTTGGTGACAGCACAAGAGCTGTTAAATTTTTCACATTTCCATTATTATTGGCAATAGTATTAGCGAAAAGAAAACGTGGTGAAATTTTGATGAATTGTTTTCCATCCCAATCAGGAACAGGCACTCCATCCATCAAGTAACGAATGGAGACCTCCCCAACAGCATTCTTACCAATTGGTTTTGGATTGACATCTAAAAAGCTTTCATAATAACAATTAGCTCCATCGCATCGCATCACATCACCTGGACTCCACAAATTCGTTGATTGTAAATTCAAAACTTTTGGAATCGCAGTAAGAAAGACTGAATTGGTCACATTCTGCATTCCACCTCGTGTGACCGTTGCTTTAAATTCAAAAGTTTGAGGTTTCTCCACGACAGCCGCATAGAGAATCCACGAGGTTGGCAATGACACAAAAGTTTTAGAGTTTTTTGGATCACCAATGACAGGTGTCGATGAGCAAACATCACTCACACAATTAAAAACCACCGACGTGTAGGAGATTGTAAATGGATAGGTTGGATTGAGTGTCAATAAGACTTCTTGAGAACCAGCTACAACAGTTCGATGAGAAATTTCGAGTTTGTAGGTTTGGGCATTCACTCTGTGCAGTGACGAAAAGTACAGAAAAAACAGACAACAACAAAAGAGGAAATGTGTCTTGAAAGAGTTATCATAGGATATTAAATACTTTGAAAAAGATGATGACAATGATGATGACCTCGAATTGGATCGGTCAAAATGATAACGATCTCGTGTGGGATGGAAATTCCTTTCGCTCATAATGATGATGATGCGGTTGCGTTGTTGTTGTTTGCAGATGATGAGGTGAGGCAAAAGTGTGTTCTTTCGAAATATTGGAGATGTAAATAGTAACGACAAGCAATGCACAATCTCGAGGTGTTTTTTGAGTGTTTTTTGAGTGAAAATCACAAGAGATGATCATCCTATTGAAAATTGACATTTGGTGTAGAATCTTACTGCAAAATGTCCGAATAAAGGCATGACTTCCCTTCACTTGGCACACACATCAAAGAACTTCATATTCGAATGATTGTTCGAGTGAGACAAAGTTGAGTGGACATCAAAAAGGAGATACACTTGATGAAACATGAAATGTGAAGTTCTTCGGTGATTACACATGATCATTCAAGTGTGTATTTCACTCTTATGATTCCTTAACTGTTACTTAACTGCTATTCCTTACAGGGTTTCTCATTGGTATGAACTGCTTAAACAAGAGAATAGTATTAATACATCGGAAACCGACATTCCCGCCAAAAAAAAATTTTTTAATTTTAAAAAAAAATGGCTTCTTCTCTCTCGCACATCAAGCCTTTCTCTTGGGCTGATAAAATCATCTTTTTGTGGCTTTTCATTGATTTGATTGTACATGGTGTATTAGAGAGCTCGTTTGTCTATTTTTCTCTCACCACAACGGTTGCAAAGGCTCAACCACAATCTGCCATCGGAAAGATGTTGCATTGGGTGTGGCTTGAATATGGAACAAAGGCCGATGCGAAGTGGTTGATCTTGGATCCATGTGTAGTTTCTGTGGAATTATTGACTTGTACAGTGGATACCTTGTTGTGTGCAATTGTCATGTATACTGTATGTTGTGTGTACATTGATTGTTCGTTTGTGTGTGAAAAAATGGTGATGATTTGTGTGGTGATTTTTTTATAATTATTTAATATTGAAATTATTTGGTATTCCATTTGATTTAACATTGATATTCCCATTAATCATGTGAATTTTCGTCAAAATTATTTGCTGACATATTTGGAAATTAATATTTTTCACATTATCCCAATTGGAATTCCATTCCATGACTGGTCACTTATTGATATTAAATAATAATAATAATTGTGACAAAACATGCTCACCCAATAGATGTGGACAAACAAACCATCAAGACACTTTTGGCAAATTATTTTGTGTGTTTGTGAGCTCTATGGAGACTGGATGACATTTGTACCTGCAATATTAGGTATGTTTGTTGATCATTTGAATTCATGAAATCACTTCATCAATAACTAATCACTTAATCATGCATTTGCCAACTCAATATTATTTTCTCGTGTGAATGATTTTGAATGTGTCACAGAGGGTGCAACAAATTTGAACATGGATCCATATTTCTTTTGGCTCTACACTGTTGGAAGTAATGTTGTCTGGGTTATTGTGCCATTATTGTTGTTGTGTCAATCGTATGGTCATGTGGTGAGTGCTTTCAAGGCAAAACAAAAAGCAGAATAAAATGTGAAATTCGGTAAGTCAACAGTGCTTTGCGACAAGAAGTATTCATGAAAGTGTGTGTTCATGGATTCCATGATGAAGAAATACCCAAAAAACTAGAAGGAGATGGTTATGGCAACGAATGACAGTTTCAGAACAATGTTTATTCTTCCTCCTGGTTGTTGTCTTCGTCTTGTTGAGGATCACTGTTGTTCATCTCTTCTACCCCATCGACCCAAAAATAATATTTGGAGGTCCTTCTATCGATGATCTCACAGGGGATGACCAAACTCTCGTCACTCTGTGAAGGTCCTTGCAACAACCTGTATTGGTCCATGTGATCGTGGACGTGTTTCAAAAATTGTGCAATTCCTTGCTTGTTCACAGGCTTCACCTGATGACGAGTTAACATTCCACCATATTGATGACTCCACACTTGCCACTCGTGCTGGTTATACCCGATATAGGCCAATCCATACTTGTTCGCAAGCTGATCACCTGGCATGTTATTGAACGATTCATTCACGTCGTTGTCGTCGACTTGTTCATTCACTTCTTTCATGTTTCCGTCTTGATATTGTGAAGTGACGACATAGACAGCTCCACCATATTCTGTCGTGTAAGAGAAAGAGTCATCAAACAAGGGATCTTTGGTGAATCGATCGACAAAGGTTTTGGTCATCAATCCAATGTGACTATTAATATTGCTGACATGTTGAAAATGCTTTCCTTCTCTCGGCCATCACACAAGATTTGGTGTGATCACAATCACGAACAGAACATGGAACACCTTCCGGGCGCCCATTTATTCGAGTTGACACACAAGCTTACAAAACACCCTTGTATTTCATGTCGCTTCCCTTAATGTGATCGACAAGCCATTGCTTGATGAATTGAATGACACCATCATCCACACTAGTCAAGGAAACAGCAGTCTTGACAAAGTTGTCGTGAACTTCCTTGTGAGCATCCTTTTGGTCCCATGCGACTCTGTCAAAACCATCCTCTTCAGTCTTAAAGTGCATCACAACGTAATCGAGCAATTCCTTCAAAACTGCTCCATTGGTTCTATCGGCATCCAAAGCATTGATCAATTGGAAGAGCTTCTTGTGTTGTTCATTAATTTCGGCATTACCAACACAGAAAGATTCGTCCCATTGGAATGGTGATGGAATTTCGAAAGACATGGTGATGATGATTAAGGTCTCGAGTTGAGGTGATTTTTTTGTTTTGGAGAGATCGAGGGCGAGTGATGAGGTGTGCCTTAAATGTCTTTCTGGAATCGAAGACCACTCTAAAAATTTGCTATTTAAGGCAAAAAACAAACACATGACGTCAACACAAAAAAACCAATCATTTTTCGAGCTCAACTGAAATTTACAACGGAATGGTTTTGATCGACTTTTTCGTAGCATGAATGGGAATGCAATGTTGTTTATATGGAATTCGGTTTGAATTTGGTGGGGGCGTTTATGAAACCAACAACATCACGATTAAGATGCTTGTTACAAAAATCATCACCAAACATTTTGATTGGTTGGTCAAATGACAAAAAAATAACAAGAAAGATCATTACCCGTGAATGTGTTGATTAAAAGACCAACTATTTGAGATTTGCCTAAGGTGTTGATTAATAATACTTGCAACAAATTCATCCTTGCAACAAGATGGAAAGACGAAATGGTTGGAGAATGGAGAATGCTTTCTCTCTTCCCCTAACCATTTCTTCTTTCCAGCTTAGAGTTTGCACAACATCAACTCTTCCAAAATTTTGAGATTGAGCATTGCTAGCAATACCTCACCCGATCATCCGGATGCCATCAGAGATGATGATGATGATGATGAATGATTTATTGTTCAAGCCTCATGTTATCCATTTCTCTCTTAAAAAAATGTCCAACAATTCTCCCCTACAAGAATTGCCTCATGAAATTCTCACTCACATCTTCTCCTTCCTCTTGCCAGGACAAGATCAATACCATCACTCAATGGATATTTACAAAATCATGGTACGGGATATTTTACCATCCAGTCATACATGTATGGCCTTTCGGAAAGTGATTCGGAACAATCAAGAACTTTGGAAGTATTGTTTTTTTGATCTGCTGTATGGATGGATGGCTTCTGATGATTTCTTTGATACACGTGTTGTTTCTTCGTTGATGAGAGAAAGGGACGCTCATAAGACAGACAAAATACGCGAGCGTAAATGCTACATTTATGAAATTGGTTATCACACAATGATGAAATTTATTCGACATGTGGCAGGTGAACCATCCCATGTGATTCAGAAGATGACTCTTCAGAATCCACCATCACATTTGCATCAAGTCGATGATAATGCAACAATTGATGATTTGTTTCAAGAGTCAAGTACTGTGATCGAATGGATGGACCTTGTTTTTGCTGATCTAGCCAATGTTAGACAGTTAGTATTTATGAGCTCAACTGTTGCCGAAGACGAGGTAATTAATTGTAAAGCAACTAGTACGCCCAAACGCCTATCAAAATTAGAGAATCTTTCCCTCTATATGGACGACTGCACCAAAATGCTACCGATTCTCGTGTGTCACGAACAGTCCAAACTGAAGAGCTTTCTGTGAGTTACAATCTCCAAGAAGCGCTTCAACAAATTTCTAATTTTGCCTCTCACTCACAACAATTCAAAACGGGCTTGACAGAGTTCGAAGTGACCAATATGATGAGATTTGAGGAACAGTTAAAATATTTCTCTTGGAATAAGTTATTGGTGGAAAGAATTGTTGTTCGTGATTTGCATGAACTGTCAAAGTTGAATCAATTTTACAATATTCAATATTTAAGTTTTCAACACTCCGTTAGAGGCAACATTTGTTTGAATTCGAGCATCCATTTGCTAAATCTAAAAAGTTTGTTCCTAACTGCAGACTTTGACCATATAATAATATGTGAATTTGATGCACCAAAATTACAAACTTTATTCCTTTCCGTCAATAGCTGTACTTTCTCTGAAAACCAATACTTTCCATCATTATCGATCGATTCCAAGGAAATTATGAAAAGGATTCTATCAGAGTAGATTTTTCATTACCTATCGGAAATAACTTTGAACAGTTGAAAGAATTGAATAAGATCATCTTGTGGGAACAAAAAGGAACTCTTTCAAGTGATTGCATCACAGTGATTGAAATTAATGAAGCTTCTTCCTCATGTCATGTGAAAAATTGCAAGTCGCTCAGATACATTGATATTCGAACAAATCAAATTGTTCACATAGATTGGGAAAACCTTGGTGTTGAACAGAACACAGAGATTACTGTCAACATCTGGGAAGGAAATGCGTTTCCACCCTTGACAGGAATAATTTACAGCAATGCAAGACACGTCTTTGAGAAATTTGTCAATTTGAGCCTATACAATGGTAGCTATTTTATTGACCTTCATGCATTGCCCAATTTACACACCTTTAGTTGGGAAAATTGTAATACCGAGAATCACAACAACGTGATCACCATGGATAGAGACAAGATCCACAAAAAGATCAAATTTATTAATATTAAGAATGTGTGTTTCGAGACGCTCCAACTGAAACTCAATGCCCCCAACCTGCGACAACTCATTATTATGGATATTCGAATGATTTCATGTCGACCAAGTGCGTTAGTAGAGCTTGTTCACACCCCACGACTGCTTTTGAAAATTTTGGAACTTTCAGAATAGATGTTCAATTAAGATGAAAGTACATGTGCACCAAATCCAGCTGGGATTCTAATTGACAACACAAAAGTGTCGTCAATCTGCATTCTTGTCAAAATAGTAGAATTTGTGGCATTTTCCAACGAAAAGGGCAACGAGGACTAAACTAGTGTCTGAATGGACTTGTATGAATCTGTATTTCAACAAGGCACAAACATTGGGAACAGAATAAGTACCTCCACACAACAAACGCCATCTGTACTAGCTGGCAAGAAAATGCCTTAACATGTGAATTCCACCGCCGCATAAATCATTTCATTTTTCGCATTTTTTTGACCTTAATGAAAACATGCAAAACGAATGAAAATGAAGCGATTAAAGCTTTTCTGATTTTAATGCATGGACCCAAGTGATGTTTTCAATGTTGGTTGATCGTACCTCTGTTCATTGCAGGAATTACGTCTCACTTTGATTCTACTGCATCCAATGAAACGAATTCCTTTCAAAAAACATTGAACAATCTTCGAGGTGCAAAGTCTTCAATTTCACTTATAATTTTGGAATAGGTTGAAATCATTTCCTTGAATGAGTTATCAAGAGATTCAATTTTGTCTTCATTCGAATGAAGCACAACAGAGGATACTTCAAGAAGTACTTCAACAATACTTCGAATGGATTCAAGTAATTCCTTTCTCTTTCCAATTCCGAGCAATTGTAAAAAGCTTTCCTTATTTTCGAGTTCAGATAAGGAGATGTGACGTTTGGACTTTTCATTGCTTTGAATTTGAGGAGAAGATGGAATCATTTTAGCAGGGAGAGCGTGATGTTTGGTGAGTTGAGAACTATTGTGTGGAGAGATGCTTGTCACGTTCTTTTTCTGATGTTGTGGATGTTGGTGTTGCAACTGACTTGTATTTTCACCAACGAGTGTTTTCTTGTTGAGGAGAGAGGTGTGTTGCTTAGAAGCATGTTGATCTAGTTTGTAGCGTTGTGAATTCAAGGCTACGGAGGTTTGGGAAGCAAAGTGGCTTTGGTGCTTGGAAAGAATGTTGGCACATGCAGGTGAAGAGTCTTTCACCAATTCCAAAATCATGTTAAAATTAATGGAATGTTTTTTGCATGATCGGCGTGTCGAGCAAAATATAAAGTCAATCAAATCTTCGAGTGCATTCACCATTTCATTCTCTGTTTCACAAATCATGTTAAAAAGTGTCTGAATGGATTTGGTACTATTCAAATCTCCGCAACAACATAGGGCTGACTGAACGATGAGATCTTCCACTTGCCAAACTAAATCTTCATGCACCAAACTTTCCCAAATATTCTGAATTTCTTGTGTCTGTTCCTCCAAGTCAATTTTCACTTGTTGGAGATGACACACCTTTTCAGTGACCATTCTCAAATTTTCACTCATGTTACCCGAGTAGTTGCGGCTGAGATGATTATTATTTGGGTTTGGAACGTTGGTTCTTCTTTTGAATGCATTCTTGTACTTTTGTTTAGTTCTTTCCCATTCTTGAAGTGCTTCATCCTCGTCATGATCGACGTCCTTATTTTGTTCGTAGCAATCCTTGTCACCTGATGAGAGAATTTGATCGACATAATAAATTTTCGAATTGCTATTGAGTGGTGACAAATCATAGGCGTTTCCACCTTCATCATCACTTTCATACGAATACCTTAACACGTTCAATTTGGTGGATCTCTTCTTGTGTCCATAGGCAGGTGGTGGACGAATATGAGAAGCATTGGAGGTAGTAACAGTAGTAGTTGTGGTTGCTGTTGTGACATTTCGTTTCGATTGTGGTAAAGCAGAGGCAGCTTCTTTGTTTTGACCCAGAAGAACTCTGACAAATTCTAATGTGTGTTGGTTATTGGAGCAATCTGATGTACCATTTCTTGTGGATTCCTCCTTCTTACATGAAGCTGCCACATGGTGTTGTTTGCCCATCACTGTGTGGTGATTTCCAAGATGAGGATGAACCATCCCGTGATGGCATGATGGCATGCAAGCTTTCATCATGGTTTCTGAGGTGTTGGAGGAGTGTCGTTGTGTGTTGGTGGTCTGATCTTTTTTTAAGGCTTGTCTTGTCGTTGATGGGTGGCAGCTATCAGTACAATCTTCAGAGCACACTGTTGTTGCTACTTTCAGTGATGAGTGATGATCAATGTTCGGATGTCCAGTATGCTGAGGATGTGGCGAGCCTTGATTGGATTCTTCAATGCCAAAGTCTAAATAATGTTGAGTGGAAGGAATATATCTCTTCTTATTGTCGAGACTTGTCTGTTGTTGTTGTTGACTCCAAAGATCAGGTTGAATGTCAACAATTGCACTCTCTGATAAGGCTTGTGTTGTAGTCGTGATAATACTTTGAGGACTCTCGAAAGGGAGTTCAATGTTGTTCTTGTTTTTTTGCGGCTCAGAAATTGTACGACACGCTGAGTGAGAGCTTGTTGTTGATGTCTCGTGATGAGGTTCTTGAGAACAATGTTGATGTTGTTCAACAACAGGTGAAATGGGTGTTGTTGTTGTTGTTGTAATCGAGCAGCATTGATGCATGTCCTTATTTGGATCAGTCATCAATGATGTATGGGTGGTGGTCGTGGTGGTAGTAGGTTTTACAACAACAGCAGCAACATCACCATTCAGAGCCATAGATATAGAGTCAGCAGCACCAGCAACTAGAGTACTTGCTTGTTGTTGTTGTTCTTCATCAACACCATGAGAATCTTCAAAGAGAGAAGAATGAGTGTTGTGTTGAATGTAAAGTAAGGGTGAAGTGGTGGAAGTGGAGGATAAGGTCTTTCCACAAGAGGATGAAGAGCTGCCATTAAGATGATTGGCCTGACCTGTACTAGTAGTACTAGAGGAGGATGGTGGTTGTTGATGTGATAGTTGTTCTTCTAAATCACCATTGGTGTTCAACAGGTTGGATTTCTGAAGATTATTTGGAAAACCCTCTTCGAGTATTCTCAAATCTTCATCGAAAGGTTCCAAGAGATGGAGTTTTGGAAGAGTTGTTGTATTCACCACGACCATTGTATGATCCTTCTTCTTCTTCTGTTGTTGTTGTTCTTGTTTCAACAACGGTACTACAATAGAAAGATTGTCTCTTGTTGAGCCATTCATTTTCGAGCTTTTACGGTGATTCGTGTTGAAAAGTGAATGATCCTTATCCACAAAACTTGTCGATAAGGGTGGTGAGAGAGAGTAATGATGGTCATTGTGGTCATCATCGTCGTCGTCGTCACAGAAGGGAGAGAAAGTCCTTTGACTTTGAACAGAACCATACAGAATTCTAGTGTTGGAATGAATGTCTTTCCATGGTGACTTTTCATTCATTTTCAGAGGAGTACTTGTTTTACCTCGAGTTGTAGTAGTAGTACAACTATAGCCACAACTCGTGAAATCTGAACTGAAAGTGCTGTAGACTTTTGAAGAAGGAGGTGTCGTTGTTGTTGTTGTTGTTGTGGTTTCATTACAAGACGATCGTGTACGCGATTGAGTGCTTGGCCTTAATATGGACGAAGAGAGAGGAGTGGCATAAAAAGAGTTGTGACTACCATTCGTGCTACAACTGCTGCTACTATTACTAGTAATAGTGCCATTACTACTACGAGTATCAGTTCCATGACATGGAATCGAATGGCGTGTCGATTGATTGGTGGAAATGAGTAAAGAATGTTTCTTCTGTGTCTTGGTATTCAATGTAGGATTGGTAGCCCTACCTGGAACACTTGTGGAGGAGAGAGAATAGGAAGTTGTTTTCATGAAAGGGTGATTCTGGTGAAGGGGAAGAGAGTGTTTGACCCCAATCGGTGTGGAAGAGTTGCAACAATGCTTGCTTGTTGAGAAGGGTTGTTGTTGTTGTTGTTGCTGTTTCTGAACGATCGTGTCGAATAGACTGTTGTTGTTGCTGTTGAATGAATGGCCATTCATCAACAAGTGTTGTTTCTTACTGGTGTTTGGCTGAGAAGCATTCGTGGTGGTAGTGTTCGTAGTGGTGGTAGTGGTCGAGGTGGTGGAATTGGTTAAGCTTCCGATCATCATGAGGTTGAGATTGAAAAAAGAGGAATTGAATAAATTAATTGAAGAAGAGTTTGTGATGAAAATACGTGGAATGAAACCAATGAACGGAATGCAGAGTGTTGATGATGTTGGAAAAGGTCAAATTGTTCTTGTTGGAGCGGTTGATGTTGTTCTGCACTCAATCTATTGAGTTTTGTCTTCCAATATTTTGTTTTCTTTCAAAACACAATTTGCAAGAACATGAAATGCAGAAGGATAAGGAGTTCGTTTCAAAACAGAAAGTGTTATTAACGATCGTGCAATCAGATTTCTTGTTTTTCTTCACTCCAAATCCTAGCAACAATACTTTTCGGGAAAGTTTGAAATTTGAAAATTGGGTTTTTTTTGAAGACATGAATTTGGGAGGGAAAGATAGATATCTCGAAAAGGAAAATGCATTGTTTGGAGGGATTCTTGGGTGTTGTGAAATCTCTCGAGAGAGTGTGATGGCTGTTCTTCTTTCTGAGAGAAAGGGTAGTGAAAAGGAGAATGGTTGATTTGAGAGAAAGTATTATTCAATGCGACACGTCACTTCTGAACTCGGACGAAACAATGAGAGAGTTGAAGCCTTTGCGGAAAGTCTTGTATCGCTCATGCCTTCAAGGAGGATGCAACAACAAATAAAGTAGGACAAGAGATGGCCATGTGCATATATTGTTCATTCATTACTCTCTCAAGTTGTACAATGTGTAGAATATTGTGAGGAGTGAACAAGAGAAGAAAACAAAAATTGAAACCATTCGAATGCTTCCCGAGTACATCCATCATCATTTCTTTTCATCAAGATCCATCAACAAGAACACAACGATGCGGAATTCGATTCATAAATGGATCAAGCTCTATTCTTTCCTTCCCCAACACAAGCTTCATCCATCATCATTGCTGAGAGTCGCAACACCACTCACCGACCAAATCCACCACAATTTTTCCACCAAGGTCCGATGGCAAAGCAATAATCAAGAGAGCTATGTCGAATCAACCACCACCAAAACAACAACTTCCCATAGCCTCTCAGATAAGACCAATAATAGCAGTAGTAGTAGTAGTATCGGTAGTGGCAACAGAACGAGTAATCTTCGTGAAACCTTTCATCATTATGCGTCCACAATTCCGAGCCACTTGGTTCGGGAATCCTCTCTTCTTCATCACCATCAGCATCATGATGAAGATAATAAACCCTTGGATCCCAAACATCCGTACGGTCCCGATCAAATCAAAGTTCATGAAATTAAATTACGAAAACAACGAAGACAATTGGAATTACATTTTGAAATTACTCGTTCCATGAATGATGATGATGGTAAGGATGATGAATCAGCTGCAAGTCTCACTCTTGTGGGCACTCTTCCGGCCGAGTTATTGAGAGTGGAGAGTCCCTCTGCAGAGGTTCAAGGCGAGAATGGACAAAAGAGACTCATCTATGGAAAGAAGTTTGTTCAAATCTCGCAAATTGAAACCGTTGGATCGTATGCCATTCGGCTCATATTCTCCGATGGGCACGATAGTGGAATCTACTCTTGGAGTTACCTGTATGAAATGGCCCGTCATAAATATTCTCTGATGAAGCAATACATTAAAGATTTGAGAGCAGCAGGAAAGAGTCGATACCCGAGAGAGTACTTGAAAAAGATGAAGGACCAACAACAGCAGCACCAACAATGACCTCTTCAAGTCACTTGAAATTGATGCTGCTAATATCCAAGAATTATTGTTGAATATTTCGATCATGTTAATTTCATTGTTTATTTTTGTAATAAAATTTTTTTCTTGTAACGGCTAGTTTTTCCCCGCCTTCAAAATTCACAAATTCAAAAAATGTTCAAAAGAGACCGAAGTCAATTTGAGTCCTCGGCAGTTAAAAAGTGGTCGGAGGAAGGAAATCACCAGAACGGGGATGATAACGATGAGAGTAATCTAATATCATCCACACTTGATGAAAACATTCGGGATCATGCTGCCAAAGAGTTGAAAAGAATTAAATTTCTTTCTCCTCCTTCTCATGCAACTATGAGTATTCAGGATCATCATGAATTCAGCTCGGAATCATCCTTGTTTGATGGTATTCATTATGAAATTCCTGCTCTTGATACTGATTTTATTACTTGTGTTGGATCAAAGGGAGGTGATATGTGTTATTTGACTTTTGTAGAGGAGATTCATGAAGAAGAAACATCCAATCAAAGCAGAGAATTCACATTTGCTAGCAAGAACATACCTGCCAAAAGGATTTTGAAAACTCCAATGAGTGAATTGTTGGAAGATGTACAACGAATGAGATATGAAGAAGAGGTCAAGAAGAAGGCAAGAGCACAGTTGGATTCTTCGCGTCATGCTTCTACTATTATGGGTGACATGATGAAAGATGATGTTCCTGAATCGAGTAGTAGTAGTAGTGGCAGCAACATTCATTCAAAACAAAAATATGAGCTACTCGTTGACAAGTATGCTCCAACATCTTATTTGGATTTATTAACTGATGATGTAAGTAATTAAGAGAGAGAGAAAATCGTGTGTGTTCGAATAGACAATATGAACCTTCTTGTTAACAATGGCCATTCGTTATCATTTATTAAGAAAACAAATGCTGAGGTACTGAAATGGATCAAAGAATGGGATCCTATTGTATTTCCAGAAACTGCCAAGATGAAAAAAACCAACAAATTATCAACACAAGAAAAGCCAAAGAATCCATTAATGCTATCTTTTGGAGCAAAGAGCTCACAAAAAACAGCAAAAGATGAGAAAAATCCTTCGAACAAATTCAATTCAAAACCCTCAAACAATGTCACCAAAGGCCCAGATCATCGAATTTTACTCATCTCAGGTAAGTGTTAAATTATTATTCATCTTGAATTGCGAATTTGATTGATGGCCTAATTTGACAACAACTATGTGTTAAATTTGTGATAACAAATCGATTTACTTGTGGATCTTGAAATTATTTTGTGTAGGTCCTCCTGGAATTGGTAAGACAACCCTAGCTCACATATGTGCCAAGCAGGCAGGATATGAACCACACGAGGTGAATGCATCGGATGATCGTTCTAAAGACAAGCTCATTCCAGAAATTCAAAAAGTAACCCAAATGCAAACAGTGTTTGGTAGCAAAAAGCCGAAACTCTTAATTTTGGATGAAATTGATGGTGTGCAGAGTTCTGAAAACAAATCAGTCATTTCAGAAATTTTGAACATGACCTATCCTAAAAGCAAAGCATCATCTCAAAATGACAACAATGAAAATACGAACAAATCGAAAAAGACCAAATCAGGAGTGAAGGTAGAAAAGAAGGCCAAAAAGAAGAAGGATCAAGGCATCATGAGACCTATCATTTGCATTTGTAATGACCAGTAAGTAGAATGACCTTATAGAGACTCGTGTGAACAACCTTTATGAACGAAACATACACATCACCAGTTATTCTCCTGGACTCAAAGAATTGAGACAAAAAAGCAAGTTAATCATTTTCAGAAGAGATGACTACAGAACTGACAATACACAACGAATTGTAGATCGACTTGGTTTGATCTTACGAAAAGAAAATCATCCTTTAGCCCATGTGAGCAAACATGAATTGACACAATTTGTAAAGGATTCTGACAATGACATTCGTTCATGCCTGAATACCATTCAATTTATGGGATTCCATAGATCGAATTCTACAAAAGAATTAATGACCATCTCGAAAGACGTGAAATCTGATATTTTCGATGCCATGAATCTCATCTTTAAAACCAAAAAGATTGACAAATCTTTAATTTCAAAATATCAGGAAAACCGTATTTCGCTCTTTAATTCGTTTTCGAGCGAATTGGACAAGTTTGATTCTATTTTGAATGGATGTTTTGAAAATTATTTATCATTCTGTTCTGGAAGTTCTATGAATGAAATTGCAAACTTACTTTCATTCCTCCAGTGGTCTGACATGATTGACGTTTCTTCCAATAGATATCAAGAACGATCTCTCCAAGTTTACAGAGCTGCTTCACTTGTGAAATTCTTTGTGTTTTGCAAAAAGAGTGGATTCGACTCATCCAATGACTTTATCCAATATCCAAAACAGCAAGGAGATGCCAAACGAGCATTCAATCACAAACAGAACGTTCTCAAGTCTCTATTCTTGAATTGTTTTGTCACATCTCAAAGTCATGAATATGCAAACAAGAACGATAGTGAAACATCAAGTTGTAATTTCACAACGGCTTCAGTTAAAGACATGGCCACTGATATAGTACCGTACTTGTATCAGATTCTCGATACAAAATGTTTATCAGGTCTCAATACTGGAGCTGCTCTTTCTTCTTTAGCTCATTCTGGAATGAAAGGCCTCAAACAAATGATCAAGAGTGATCAAGAACGTCAATCCTTTGAGGCCATTTTGGATATTTGTTTATCGTATGGTATTGGAGTGAAGCAGACCTATGTGAATGAGAAATATGAAAGCACATTAGATCCTCCTTTAGATGAAATTGCATTCTATCCTTTGAATTCGTCATTGAATGATGATGGAGGTAGTGGTGGTGGTGTGAATTTGAAAGGAGTTGTCCTGACCAAAAGTAGGTCTGACATTGCCTCATACTTTAAGAAACCATCTTTCAACAACAAACAGCCCTCAATAGAGAATGGTCATCCATCGAGTCGACATGTCTTGTCTGATAACTTTAAAAAGATACTCTCTTCGGCTCTTCACTTTGAAAAGATAGAAAGAAAATTTGGAAAGAAAGATCATAAGGATGGCAAAGCATCTTCCTCAACAACAGATCTTGCCTCTCTCTATGCTGCACAATCTCCAAAACAAACAAGTGCACAAACAGTCATGGAATACAAAAAGAGAAGAAGGTCACAATTGAAAGGAACAATTACCATGTATTTGGAATTTCATGACGGTATGACAAATTCAATTCGAAGACCTGCAAAGACTAGTGAGTTTTTGTAGATGACAACAATGGATTGCAAATATCCATCTTTCTTCTTGCATACTCCTTCATGTAAATGTCTATTAAACTATTCAAACGATGATTCAAAAAGCGATGCAAGCGATTTGAGCTAGCTCCAAATTTGTGTTTCAACATTGAGTTGAGTGTTGAAAATTCAAACGAAGAATTATCCTCAAGTATTTGATTCCATCGAGCATAACCATGTTTGGCACAACCTCTCAGCAAAATCAAATCATGAACTCTTTTCCATTCCAGAAGAGAATTTGTTGAATTTGTTGGTGGGGTGATCATCATGTCGACTGTTCTGATCTCGTTCAAGAATGGCTTCCACTTCTGACCAATCATCCTTGTTTTCAATGAGCATGTTCTTGTACTTGTTCACTACATTATAAATGATAAACATGGAAGCAATTTGTTGCAAAATTTTCACATTATTCAATCGATCTGTAGGTGTACCATCTGAATAGTGTGAATAGCGCTGATCGACTTGTTCTGAGAAATGATCCAACATGAAGGTTCCAAATTCTATCACTTGCTTCAATGTTTTTCGTAATTTGGAAACCTTTCTGAGAATATTATAAAATTCATACCACTTCTCGTCTTTGCTATTGTTGCTATTGGGAAATCCCAAACCATACCTCCATAATGTCGCCACAAAAATCATCCTTTCCATTGGAGAAAATCCAACCACAGAGACCGAGTTATTGGGATAAATTTTGATTTTCGAGTTGATCAGCTGTTTTTCAATAATTTTCAATTGAATCGTTTCGTCCTCAATTTGAAATTTCAAGGATCGAATATTGGAGACAGTTTTCTTTCGCTGAGCGACATCTTTGACTGTTTTAAGAGTGGCACTCATGCTCTCTACTTGAGAAACAAGTGCATTCAGATTGTCTGATAATTCAATGGCCACAGTTTCAGAGTATTGTTGAATTTCTTCGTCACTGTATAATCTTTCTTCTTCGATCGTTTCCACAACTGGAGAGTTCAAAAATTGATCGAAAAAAAGATCCATCATTTCATCATCATGATGTAGAGATAATTCGATGGCAGTTGTGTCCTTTCTTTTGATATCGATCGAGACATCATTTTCCATCTTCACAGCGCTTTTTGTTGTATCTTCAGATTGTCCATTGTTGATAAGACTCGTCCAAAATATTTCACTGCACATGTCGACAATTTCTGCCGCTCTTTGAGGTCGATCTTTTAGAGAGCTTGTCGTTACAGAGTTTTCCTTCCTTTTAAAGACGGATATTTTCACATTGCTTTTTTTGAATGATGATTCGTTTTGGGAGGAAAGATGAATGTTCGAGGCATTACTTGTCTGATCAGATTCCAGTCGAGTTGCAAGTGAAATTTCATTCCACACAGTGTCCTCTGATAGTTGCATCCATTCGATGGATTGTAAAATTTCTAAACCTTCTTGAGTAGAAGTTAGTTCATCTTCCGATGGCTCTCTCGCTATTAATGAGGAATCCGTTTCGTTGTTTTTAAATAAATCGTTTGCGAAAATTCGTAATGAAGTTTCCAATTCTGAGAGTTGTTTCAAAAAAATTCCTCTCGTCCTTTCATTTTCAGATAAATCCAAAATCATAGTTTCAAATTCTTCACAACATACGAGACGTAAAATGATTGTGTTTTTGTCAATTTTGCAAAATCTTGCAAGATGTTGTGCATCAATAATTGAGTGATAAGCAGAATCCATGACAATAATCTTATCGAAATTAAATAATTCAATAGATGGATAAACCTGAGTGCTCATAATTACAATAGGTGCAATATTGGTTGTTGCATGATTTGTCTTCTCATTAGATACAATTACTTGATAGTGATATCCTTTGAAGCGAACCATCTCTTCAATCACATATGGATAAGAGGATAAAATAAGTACTTGTTGAGAGTTGCATTTTTGCAGTATCATGTCCAATAGAACTAACTTGGAGGAAGACTGAATGAAATACTTCATGAACAATTCATTGTTCTGAGAAAAAGGTTCTTCCTTGTCGAGAAAGAATTGCAAGTAAGGATGTTCACATGTTCTCAAAATATCTGAAAACATTTGTTGAAAGAGTGAAGAGTATTGTGAAGTATCATTATTCTTAAAAACATTGAGGAGAGCATTGAAATAGGTGCTCTTCTTAAATATTTGTCGAAAGAAATATTTGTGCAGTGGTGTTAAACTCACGGTAAGTAATAAATCTGCTTTCGGCTTGATACATTCAAGGATCTGTTGACGTTCTCTTCGTAAGAGCAGTTCTTGTGGAAAATTTTGTGTTGAATTGTTAGAATTCAGCAATGAAATAAAAGAGCCACAAGTCTCTGAACTGTACATTTTGTCACATAAAGAGTTTAAAATCCACTTTCATCTCTTTTAGGATTAGGTAAAGATTTGATTTTGTTCTTTTCAGCACATGTGCCTGGTCCACAACAGCAATTGGCCACAGAAAATAATTGAACCATTTTTCATCGTCCACCATACTTTCACTGGTTGTCAATATAATATTTACAGAGAAATTCATTCGATCCGTAGGTGTTAAATCTCTCTTTTGAATCGTTTGAATAATGAATTGCTTAATAATTATTCTATCTTCATGTAAACCATCATAAACTGCAACTCTGAGATCGGGTGCCCAAAAATTAATTTGCTCTTTCCAATGTTCAATTCGATTTCGAGGAGAAATTATTAAAAAAGGGCCAGGTACAATATTATAAATGGTCATTGCTCTGAGAAAAGACACAACTTGTGTTGTTTTTCCAAGTCCAGGTTGATCTAGAGAGAATATCGTAAAAGACCTTAAATTCAATCTTACATAAAAAAACTTACCACATAGCATACAATTTTTGTGTTGAATCCACATAGACTTCATCCATGCAACGCCTTGAAGTTGATAGTCAAACAATTCAAAACTGTGGCCTCCAACGTTAGTGACGCTAATTTTTGAAATGTCATGAGCAGAATTTTGAGATTCCATTCTTTTTTTTGAAAGTTCTTCTTCTGAATGTATCTTGTAGGCCTTTTTTCTGTGTGTGGTTATGAATGTATAAAATAAATCTGCATTGTATCCATGCTTTGATATATCTTTCTTAGTTTCCCAAGTGCAACCTGAATAAGGAACGTCTTTCCACTTTACAAAAAAATTATTTCCATTCGAAGCAATGATTTGCTCGATTTTTTCACAATTTGGATTAAATAGATCAATTTCCAAATCCCTTCCATAATGATCTTCGAACCACATGAGCTTGAGAGTGGCATTTTGCTGAACTTCTTCTCGTGACAACCATTCACAATGCCAATGAGACTGCCCACGTAATTTCACAAAATATTTCATTTTGCCATCATTATCTCGTTTCCGTTTTAAAATAGTGTCAATCATATTTGTGTTTTCATATTCTATATGATTATTAAGTTCAGTATTTTCTTCCTCTTTTTCTGCTCTCTTAGTTGGTAAAATTACAACAGATGATGCTTGTTGACTGGTTGACTTTTCCAATTCGGAAATATTTCTAATCTTTTTACGAGGTACCAGTGGTTCCACTGAAGTGGATGGTTTCGGAGATGGTGACGAAGGAATAATCACCAACTCATCATCATCATCCGAATCTGACAAGCACGTTCGTTGATCATCCACATTTTCCTTCTTCCGTTTCTTGTCCTTCATGATGGAATGAGTTGAAGAAGAAGCAGAAACAGTTGAGGTTCCAACTTGCTCTCCCAGTGAAGACATTGGTTGCCTTCCATGTTGACTTCGGAGCATCGTTGAGCAGGATGATGAAAGGGGATATCAGTGATGAATGAGGCTTGTGCATTATTTTTTTTTTATTTTTTTTTAAAATCAAACATTTTATTGGCGGGAGATTGTTTTTACCGCTGAAGGTTGTGAATGGTTCCACCTCTTGAGAGAGAGAGAGAGAGTGAATATTATCTTATTCTGAGTCCTCATTGGTGATTAATTTGTGATTCACAGGTGACACAGGACACATACAAACTAGTCTTATTCACCTCCTACTTTTTTAAATAAGGATTGCTTTTATTGACAGAGGTTCTCTCAATTCACCTCCCACTCCTAAAAATCCACCTTGAGAAGTATCTGAACGAGATTCGACAGATTGGAGAAACCAAGTCGCGTTGATTCGGAGCCACCAACAAGTTCCTCTTGTTTACTGCTGAAGGTAAGGTTGAAAATCACCAACAACAACAAATGGAGGTGATCGAAATGATGATGGCTCTTTCTCTCTCTTATTGAAAAAATGTCCAAACGACGAAACAAGGCTTTTTTTTCATCTGATTCACGAGAAAAGGATGAAAGAGTATCCCCATCGTCGGGATCTTATACTCATCATCAAGATGATTCGTATATTCCAAAAGAACGGAGGAAATCAGAGGATCATGGGAAACCTTCAGAAAAAGAGGAGAACAAGAACCCTTCCGAATCATCCAATTATTCTCGTTACACCACTAAATTCTCGTATATTCTCATTGCTGTATTACCCACATTATTAACTTCCATTATGGATCTGTATATGGACATGCACTTGACTAAATATTATTTGGAAGATATTTGTAAGAATAATGCTTCTGATGAGAATATTGATCATCATCCTTTATCATGTATTTCACCATCCCGATTTGGATTAATTCATTCATTTATCCGATCACTGAGTTTATTTACTGATTTTTTCAGTGCCACTATTATTGATAGTCATTCCTTTCGCCACGACACGTTAATAATGATTTTGGCACCGTTGTATTGGTTCACTAGTTGTGCCTTATTTATGGGTCCTTCCATCATGATGATTCATCCTCTCTTTCAAAACTTTTCTTTCACCGATGTTTGGTATATGCTGTGTTCCTTACTGAAGAATATGATTCCATTGAGGGTATTGTATGATTCCAGCATGATGAGAATGTGTCAAACATGGAGTGTGAAAGATCGAGCAGATTTATTTTCATTCAAACATCAAGCGTCCTTGTATGGAAGTTTATTGGGAGGATTTTTACCGACACTTGTGACCTATGTATTGGGTAGACCAATCTTTCCACATTCTTATGTGGGTATTGGTTCATGCATGGTTGTACTTTCTTATGTGGTCATGGCTCATTTCTTACGAAAATCAACGGACAATAGTTTCACCTCAGAGGATTATTCATCGCAGAGAAATAGTTCACAACAAAAAGTTTCATGGATTCCTTCGTTAAAGAAGTGTTTTGAAAATCGAGCATTTTTAATCTTGCTCTACTTATTTACATATGAAACATTGAGAGGATTGTTGTGGAATGGTCTTTATATTTTGTATTTAACCAAAGTGTTACATCTTGAAGGTTCAGATTTTGATTTTTATTCTGGGGTGATGAATACTGCTGGAATGGTAGGAGCAATGATATTTACTCCAGTGTGGCAATATATTGCTTCAAAATATGGAAATTATAATTGTTGGCTCTTTTCTTACATGTTACAAATTCCCATTGGAGTGTTTGTTTATTTAGCCATTGATTATTCGGCCACAACCTCTCAAATTTATTGGTATTTACCATTTTTCATGCTGCTGACAATCACAGGAAGAGCCAGTGGATTTTTATTGGATGGTATTAAGAGTACAGTATTTGATTATGATGAGTTAAGAACTGGAGAACGTCGAGAGGCTTCTATTGAGGCAACTTGGTCAGTAATTCCACGCTATGTGGACATGCTATCAAGCTCTATTTCTTTTGGTATTTTATCGTATTTCAATACCTATGGAATGTCACCGAATGAAATTGCCTCTTTGAAAAATGGGGAATATACAATCAATGGAAGACACTCGATATCCGTACAAGCAGCCTTGCTTCCTTCCCTGACTTCTATTTTTTGTCTGTTGTTAATGTACAAGTTTCCAATTAATGACCAAATTCATTCGAAAATCCTTGCAGAGCTCAAGAAGAGACGTGAGAACAATGAGAAGTCTTCAATGGTTGTTGTGGTGGACCCAATTACCAAAGAGAAAATTCGAATGAATGACCATGTTGTCGTGACGTCACAGGAGAAGAATCATTCTGAGAGCATTGCACGAGAGTCATTCACACAACAACAACCAACACTCTTGAGGACGATTTCCAAAGACTACTTTTTTTCGTTCGAGATTGAGAGCATGAAGAGAAATGCATTCCATTTGAGGCATGTAGTGCATATTGAAATTGTACTCAGCGCACTATTGTTTGCGTGTTGCTTGACTTTTGGATATCACTTTGTACAGTCGGTCTTATTGGGCAGAGATATGTTTGCGTCTTTATTTTTGTGGTTAAGCTCGTTGACATTCACATGGAGTGGTTTTCATTTGAGTAGAATAGGCACAGCAAGAAAAATTATCGAAATAAATAGTTATCAAAATTGAAGTGTTAAAAATTTAGCCATTAAGAACTAATTGTACTACATCCTCATCAGTGAGCTCATGACTAAGACCCACGCACTGCGGCACATGTTTGGCACTGAGTTACAGAACATTTTGATCATTCACCAACATATAGGTATTGTTGAATCCAGAATTAATAATTATAGATTCTCCAAAAAAAACAAAACACATCGAATTCAAAAACTTACCTCTTTCCCCATACGTAGGCATATTTGAAATTCTTCTTCATGTCCTTGTGAATGCTATTACAGATATCTTCCACCGTGGCTCCCTCTCGTAACACAACAGGATCCTTAAAATCGGGTGCACATCCCTTCTTCTTTGTGTAGACTCGAATTAATCCAAGATGTTCCCAAATTTGATCAACTAAATAATCCAAATTCAAATCCCAATTACATGAAATAACAACAGAGTTTTCTCTTCTTGCCAATCGATCCACTTCTTCCAAAGTTATTGTATCGACCTTGTTGTATACATAGAGGCATCTAATATATTGTCTATTTCCTTCGACCAAATCAATAAAATCATCAATTTCGGCGTCATATCTAATCACAACTTCTGCATTGTGAATTTTGTGTTCTCTCAAAATGTCAGCCACAAGTTTTTCTGTCAAACCCTTTGTTTGTTTGCAAGTTGTCGTATATCTAAGCCCTCCTTGTTTGAGTGGTTTAAAATACATGTTAGGTTTTGGTTTGTTCAATCTAATGCCGACCGTCTCCAATTCTTTCTCTAACAATTGTCTATGAATTTCTCCTTTAGAAGCATCCAACATCATCAATACCAAGTCTGCAGTTCTTGCTGTAGAAATGACTTGTCTACCTCTTCCTTTACTGTACATGATGTTGTCATGAAATTGTGTGTTTGCATACCATGGAAATTATTTGTTGTAAATTTACAGATTATTATTTGATGATCGTCGTTCAGTAAAAATTTGCATTCCAACAAGTAAATAATTTCCAATGTTGTGCATAATTGAGTAATTTCCGATTATTGGAAGAACCATCATCGTGGTGAAACAAAGAAAATTAAAAACTGATAAATAATGAGAATCACAATCAAACATACCCTTCGGCTGCTCCTTCAATGATACCAGGTAAATCCAACAATTGAATTCTCGAGCCATTATATTCAATCACTCCCGGAATACAAGTTAATGTGGTAAATTCATAAGCTCCTGTTTCCGATTGAGTACCAGTAATCTTGTTGAGGAGAGTGGATTTACCAACGGATGGGAAACCGATGAGAGCTACACGTGCATCACCGGCTTTTCTAGCTTCAAAGCCATCACCTGCTCCGCCTCCTCCTTTCTTTTCAGAGTCAATAAGTTGAGAACGTACTATTATTGTTGTTATTATCATTATCATTATTTGAATTATTATAGTATTATGATTCATTCATCATCATCGGTGATTCACCATCATCATCACGATTATTATTCATCATTGGTTTCAATGGTTTTAGAAACAAAGAATAATGGATGATATAATTTTACAATTTTGTTTCATCACTTACGTCTAGCCAATCTAGCCTTCAAGAGACCAAGATGGTACTCGGTGGCTTTGTTCTTTTGAGTTTTATTCATTTCATTTTCAATATCTATTTCATCATACAACCATCAAAGCAGCATGATCATCCAATTCCGATCGCATCATGATGCACAAACATGTCAGATTTTCTCCCTCTCGTTCAGTCACTTCACACACTCACCTTTAATCTTTTCAAGGAGACCCATTTTTTTTGAATGTGCCAAGACACGATGCTGGAATGGGCAAAAGCTTTCATAATAAGGTTGAGGATGACTTTGGGAGACGACTTGAGGTGTTAACGATTCAGCAAGATCATGGAATTGACGTACTTTGAAGGCAATGGTATTATCGTTTGGATGAAGAAGGTGATTGTTGCTGCTGCTCTTGTGAAGCGGAAGAGGAAGAGGACTCTTTTTCTTTCTGCTTTTGTTTCATGTTGTGACGTTTCACTGCAATATAGCGTCGGTAGATCCATTTTTCAATGCTCTTTCTCATCTTTTCTTCGTCTTTCTTGTATTTTGTGATCCATGGATGATTCATGAGTTGTGATGCGGAGGGTCTTTTCTTTCGATCAAACGTCATGCATTGATAAATGAACGATTTGAATTCTGGAGAAAATTCCTTTTCATCTATTGGGAACGGTTCATCTCCTGTTTCTTCCAAATATTCAAACATGGACCAAATAGTGAATTCAGGTTTCAGTGTGAATGGAAAAATTCCCATGCCTAATTGTGCAATAGTTAGCCCAAGACTCCAAATGTCACTATCAAAACTATGGGATTGACCTCGAATTCTTTCAGGCTGTGTGACCATTACGGGAATAACACAAAAATTGTCGTAATTCAGAAACATAAAATATGAATTTCACACTTAAAGTCCTCCTCACTTTCAAAAAACTTACCGACATGTAGACTAAACATGAATGAGCTCCTCAAAGTCTCCGCTAATATTATACTTACTGTACGTTCCACAAAATGTGTCAAACTTTGCCGTTTTTTGAATTTCTTCTAATTTTGACTTGATCCAAAATCCACTCATTCCAACTATCGTTTCCCATTAGGAACAAGGTCAAAGTTGATGAGAAATGTTGAAAATCAAAATTCACTCTCCACTTACAGTCTGCAATTTTACATATTCCCTTACTATTTATCAGAATATTGGCTGGTTTTATGTCTCTATGGATAATGTAACACTCCTCATGAATATATTTCAGCCCTTTCAATATTTGATAGGTTATTCTACTCAAAATCTTCTCAGGTATTTTTTTGGTGAGCTTAATCACATCTTCCAAAGATCCACAATCCATGTATTCCAAAATCATTAAAATAGCACCTTCTCTATAAAAAGAGTCTAGTAACTTAATAATGTGAGGATTTCTATTCGTGTAGAGAGCTTTCACTTCATGAATAATAGATTTTGCTAGCTGTTTCTCAACATAAATTTTCTTCATGGCATACACCTGTCTGTTGCGTTTCTTGTTGGTGTCCTCTTTGAGAGAGTCTTCACTATCTAATTCTCCCTGAGAACTCGAAGAGGTTAATGGAGGAGCTTCTCCAAATGTAATCTCAGAGCTGGGAGTGTGATAAACTTTAAACACAGAAGCGGAGCTTCCACTTCCTAATTTCACAAAACCAGACAATTCCTCATATCGAATCAACCCAGTCATGGAATTTAAATTATCATCGCCCATAACCGGTGAAGTTGTAGTAGTAGTTGTTTCTTGTTGGCCTGCTGATACGGCGCAATTTACATTCGGAAAATCAAAAATTGAAGAATCCATAAATTGTGTTGAGAGAGGAGTCTTTTCACGATCAATACCTCGGGGACCAATGCTCAATTCATTCTCATACTCAAATCGTTCACCGGAACTGTTAATTACCATCATCATATGATGATAAAGAATAAAATTGTTGCCAAGGAAGCAAGATTAATTTATCACCAAATTAAATATAAAATAATATATACAAAATATATATTTCAACAATGTTTTAATTTGTATACAACAACCATTCATGAATGATTCAACAATACCTACATTCTCACCGACTCTTCATTAAAACTCTTCTTCTTACTCACCACGGATTCCGATGGTTCTGCTTGCTTGATCTCAGTGGGAGGCACCACTTGTGGAGGTGGTGGTTTTTGAGGACTCATCCCCGATGCATTTTCAATCCGATTAAAATCCACGTGATCCGATGGATTGCCTAACATGAGCTTGGCTTTGGAACGCATTTTTTGAATGTGTGTTTGGAAAATTAAGGCGAAATGGAGAAAAAGTTCATCAATGAAATAATTGGAGCCCTTTGTTGCACCTTTTTGTGTATTAATACACACTCAAAATGAATCAATCGTTTATTCATTATTCATCGAGTTTGGAAAGTAATGTACTTGTTTCCGTCACTTCGTCGCACCACTGATGTGCTTAATCCTGGAATGATGTTCTGTGCCGCATGATTCATGCAAAAATAGGTGAGAATGTATTCGTCTGAAATAGAGTCATCGAATGGAACAGCTGTTTCGGTAGCGGCTGTGGTTGTTGTTACCTTATTTCTTTTACCTTCGTTATGTGAACTTAAACGAACCAGTATGATTGGAAATTTGGAATCATTTGCTTGCCGAACTGCAAATTCTGTAAATCCTGAATAACTCACAAATAGTCCAATCACTCTACTTGATTGTGCCTCGTGGTGTCTAGTCGACAACTCATTGTCAAAGTTGTTTTGATTCATTGAATGTGTTCTGTTCTGAATAGTATTATTGGCACCTTGTTCTCTTACATGATAATGGCTTAATACTCCCTCAAATTCGCGTATCGATTTCACGCCTGTTGTATCCTTTTCTCTTTTACATTGTCCCAAAATAGGGATGGGTTGAGATGTTAGTTTACATTTGAATGGTAAATTCCAAAATCCTTTAAAATCAATTCCCTGATCGTGAGAGGAGAGTGTTGGTGAGAGTTGGAAATCATAAAGTTCTTGTGATAGAAATTGAATGACCTGCTGCTCGTATAATCTTCCTAATTCTTGTTGTGAAATGGTTGTTTGTGGTAATGCATCGGAAACAGTATTGTGATATTGTTGAGCAGGTTCCATCTCTTCAGAACTTGAATGTGGAAATAAGAGGAATGATGAATCAGAAGGTGATGATGACTTTATATGACGGGTTGATAAAATATGGAAATTTAATTGATTGTGCTGATCATTATTCATGAACAATGATGTGTGTTTGGAGAGTAATGGCGATGATATTAATATATTATTGATGTCCAAATGATGTGTTTTGCAATCCCGAAGGCACTTTTTGGAGAAATTAAAAAGTGTGGTCCCACGTCTATTCATTTTTTTTAATATTTTGATTCATTAAATAACGATTTAATCAATTTATCATTAAGCGTAAATAATAATAATAACGAAAAGATGTATTTCTTCATTCTCTTTGAATGTAAAAAAGACCATCCATCCAGTAATTCCCGAACTCACTGTCAATAAATTCATTGAATTTTCCAAGTGACAAAAAAATGCCAAAGAAAGAATCCATTCTCAAGCGACATTTCAAACAAATGCTGAAAAGCAGCAACAACAACAATACCGATTCAGTATCTTCTCAAAAGAAAAAGAAGAGAAAACATGATATTACAACAAATGGTAGCAGTAATGAAAGTGGTAGTGGTGATACAAGAAGTAAAATAACATCGGAAGCAACAAGGAGGAATGAAACGCAATTTGATGATGAAGAAAATAATGCTGCGAAATATAGCCATGAGGATGAGGATGATGATGAGGTTGATGAATATAAAGAGTATGAAAATTATGAGGATGATGGTGATGATGATGAAATGAATGATGTTGATAAAAGTAATAATAATAATAATGAGAACATGAATGAGGCTCATCATCGGAATACTTCTTCAAGCAAGGATCAAGAAAACCAAGAAAACTCGTCCAATCACTCAACCAAAAACATTCAACATTCGACAACTAGTACGGTGGAAGCTCCATCCATTGAACAAACTCAACTCAATTATCAAGCAAAATTAGCCCTTCTTTCAAAGTCTAAACCACTCCATAGAATTGATCTCGGAAAGAAATGGACAGCTCTCAACAATCCACCCATTCAAAGTGAGCTTCTTTCAGTGATTCATGATGATTTCAAATTTACTCACATGTCTCCAGTCCAAGAAAATACAATTCCTTTGTTGTTGAATAATAAGGACGTTGTGGTACAAGCTCTGACTGGCTCTGGTAAAACTCTTGCTTTTATGATTCCAATTTTTCAATATATACTGACCAGACAATTTGAGGGAAGGACTCCATCGGAGGAGGAAATGGCCTCAAGGCGGAAGAATGTCTATTCGATCGTGTTGTTACCCACACGAGAGCTAGCTAGACAAGTTTATGATGTGGCAAACAAATTTTCTTCAAAAACAAATCTGATAGTGAAATTATTTATTGGAGGAGAGGAAAGAGAAACCCTGCAGCCTGCCTCTGAATTTTCACAAACCTCAAAAGATAAGCTGTCAAAGTTAGAAAGCTCGTTTCTGGATTGCAACATTGCCATTGGAACTCCAGGTCGAATGCTTGATTATTTAAAATCAAAACTATTGAAAGTGAAACATTTAGAAATTTTAATTATAGACGAAGCAGACATCATTTTGAATATGGGTTTTCGACAGCAAGTGGATGAAATATTATCACATCTACCCAAGCAACGCAGAACTGGATTATTTAGTGCGACTCAAACCAGTGAACTTGATGACTTGGTTCGCTCAGGTCTTAGAAATCCAATGAAAGTCACAGCAGTTGAATCTCATGACAGTGGAAACGACAAGAAAAAAGTCACAGTTCCCTCCCAATTAACTAATTTCTTCTTGTACTGCGATTACAGACAAAAGCTAAATTATTTGATTCACCTTCTCAAGAATGACGATCCAATTCCGAGTGGAAACAGCGTCATTGTTTACTTTTTAACATGCGCCTGTGTTGATTTTTATTCTAAACTCTTTCGAGAAATTTTGGGAAAGAAGGATTTACAATCGATTCAATTATTTTCATTACATGGTCAAATGGTTCAAAAGAGAAGAAATGCCGAACACCAATCATTCAAGACTGCCTGTGAAGAAATTTCGAAACAACAAGAAGCCTCCAGCGAAACAAGCAATGAAACATTGCCCACTCCAACCCACAACAAGAAGGCAGTTCTATTTTGCACAGACGTTGCAGCAAGAGGTCTCGATTTTCCAAGTATTTCAACAATTATTCAATTTGACGCACCGACCAACCCAGATCAATTTGTACATCGTGTGGGGCGAACAGCGAGAATGGGAAAGGAAGGCCAATCCATGCTCTTTTTAGCACGTTCAGAAAATGATTATATCGACTATTTGGAATTTAAGAAAATTCAGATGCATGAATTGAGGCCCTCTCAGAACATGATTTCACAAAATTATGTCAATAAGGAAACTCTCAAGAAGGTTATTCAAAGTGATAGAGATATTTTCGAGAAGGGAGAAGAAGCACTAAAGAGTTTTGTAAGGTCCTATAAGGAACATCAACTGTCTTATATCTTCAAATTTGACAAGTTACGATTTGATCAATTACTGGAGGCGTATTGTGTGTTAAAACGACCCACCATTCGTGAAATTAAACAACAGATGGAAAAGATTGTTCTTCCTTTTGCCAAGGATATTATAGATCCTGATGCCATACCTTACAAAGATGTGAGAAGAGAAAAATCAAGATTAGAGCGAATGAAAAAGCAAGAAGAAAACAAACAACTTTTGGAAGAACGCAAAAAAGAACATATCAAGGAGCAGAAAGAGCAAAAGAAAAATTCTGTGAATTATTTGAAAGATAAAGTCAGAAATAGGAGTGACTTGTCTTCGAGAGAGAAGAAACAAATATATAACAGAATTGAAAATCATGAATTCAATGAAGAGGCCATGTTGTTGAAACGACTCAAGAGAAAGGAAATCACTGAGGAAGAGTACGAAGAATTGACTGGTGAATCGAAAATGGAAGAAGAAATTCTCAAAAAGCTTTCTGAAAGAAAACGAAAACAATTACAATCTCAATTCAAAAAGAAATAAACACACTGTTTTATTGTAGAGGAGAATGTTGATCGGTTCTAGATGAGTGGTGAGAAGGAGGATTTGTTTGGTGGTAGTGGTAGTTATTTACATTGTAAACTAGGCAAGAGAGAGATAAAGATAACGCAAAAAGCAAAGTTCATATCCAATAGTTTGTTAGACATGCAAATTTAGATCGACTGGGAGGTCCTTCAACTCTCTCATTAATATTTCGCATTGTTGTTGACATTCGTGTGACGACAGGACTTTCATTCCCGTGATATCTTTCAACTCGACTTGTTGTTGAGCAAAAATTCCACTGGATAACGGGATGAGATCATTGTCATTATCAATGTAATCTCCATAGAGTCCATACCATTGTTGGAAGTGATCGATCTTTTGTTGACGATAGAAAGGCATGTTCATTAAATCTGATGATGAAGGAAGGGAAAAACGTCGTGATGACGAGGGTGATGATGATTGTGGATTTGCAATCGTTGTGGTTGCCATTGATATAGAATCATCCTCCACCATTTCAGAAGAAGAGCTTGCTGGTACCTGCGCAGTATCATTCATTTGATTGGAGAAATCGTCGTCATCATCATCCTCTTGCATCATGTGATCTTGTGAAAACTCGTCACGATGATTTTCGAAGGATGTCGTTGGATTTGAATGCAATATTGTACTACGAATGGTTGTCGTTTTTAAAGTTTGCAAAGGCGCTGGAGAAGATATGGCTCGATCTCGGCCTGTTGTCGACAAGTGATGATGATGATGATACATCTGTGAGGAGTATGGTGGTTGCTGTTGTTGTTTCATGTTGTTGTCTCTACTCAACATGCATCTGGGTGGTGACACTTTCTCACAGCAAAAGCTTGTGACACAAAAATGATGATTCGCTCGTTTTTTTTGGGTGTGAAGTGAGATTTCATGGTTGTGACCGTTAACAACAACGCTGGGTCAAGTTGAAAGTGTGGTTCATCGCGATGATATCATGCAAAGAGCAAAAATTATCATCCAGTAGCCAGTTTCCTGCTCAACGCTTTGCATGTTTATGTGGAAACTTCTCAAGAATATAATTGACCAATAAGAAGAAATATCTCAAGCTCGCAAAAAGAAAGTAAAGGTCATGATGGAGATTAGTGTGAATATATGATATCTCTGACGACGTAGACTCCCGCTCTGGCTGTAAGTAGAGACTACAGTTCTAATGAATAAGGGTATTTTGAATTCCTTTACCAAAATAATGTAAAAGTAACACTCTCGAATGTTCCAAAAAGATCTGCAAAATGCATGTCACATGCCATCACCAGATTGATGCCTCTCCTTCCGATCGTATCAACGTAACTATTGCTGTTTTGTTTGTTTTGTTTGTTCGGGTGATTGTTTTTGCCTTCCTCTCATTCGAGATCCCTCTTGTTTGACTTCAGCAATCTTTCTGAATAAAATCTCCGGATCTGTTTGAATTTTGAGTGATGTTCCTTTTTGACAGAAACCAATGTCTTGCAAAAGAGGTTGACCCTGATTGAGGAATGACAAAATGTATGTCATCTTGTCTGGTAAAACTGGATAGAGAGCAATGGCACAATTTCTAAGTGTTTCACCAACCAGAAACATCAACTCCTCCACATACAATGTATTCTTTTCAGGCACTTTCACTAATTCCCAAGGTTTAACCTCATTAAATAATTGATTGCAGCGTTTTAGAATTTTTGTAGCTGCCGCGTTAGCAAATCTCACTTCAAGTTTATCCTCATACGCAGATCTTACTTGTTCTTTCAAATCGTTCAATAGTTCTATCAACTCTACGACAATATCATTTGGATTGACTTCACTACCATTATCATGTTCAAATTTCAAGTTTCTGTATGGAATTTCTCTAACTTCAGAATGGAATTTTTTGTTAAAAGTTCGAGTTAACAAGTTACCGAAAATGTCTGCCAATTCGTTCACCTTTACAGGGAATCTAATCATACTAAAGCTACTATCAGTACTCAACAATGCTTCACTCAATAAATAATATCTCAATAAATCTGGTTGAACACCAGTTTCAGAAAGTAAATCGTAAGGAGAAATGACATTCTTCAATGATTTTGACATTTTCACGCCATCGACAAGCCAATACGAGTGTACGAGAAGTGTCTCAGGAAGCTCCTTTCCGAGAGCCATCAAAAAGGCAGGCCAATAAATTCCATGGAATTTGAGGATATCCTTTCCAATGATTTGAATCGTTGGAGGCCAATTCAATGTTTCATTGGCCATTGTACATCCAGCTGTCAAGTAATTGGTCAATGCATCGAGCCAAACGTAAATGGTGTGTTCAGGGTCTCCTGGAACAGAAATTCCCCACTGCACTCGGTCTCTGGTTCTTGATATACTCAAATCAAGTGACTCGGGATGCCGTTCCTTTTCCTTCTTGATCATTCCCATCAATTCATTATATCTTTCTTTTGGTTTGATAACATTTGGATTTTCTTCCAACCACTTCTCGACTCGATCAATGTATTTGCTTAATCTAAATTTATAATTTTTCTCTGTCACATATTCACAGCGATTTCCTGATGACTTGTTAATAGTCACCCATTCCTCTTGGCCCGATTCATGTGTTATTTTGTATTGTTCAGTTTCTGTAGTAAAGGCTTCATCAGTTGTGCAGTACCATCCTTGATATTCTCCAATATAGATATCACCTTGGTCTTGCAAATGTTTCCACACCTTGACGACTGTCTCTCTGTGTTCTTTAGTGGCACTAGTCCTCAAATAGTGTGTATAATGGATATGAAAATCGTCCATGAGCTTTTTAAAACGATTCGAAATTTGTTCACAAAATTCCACACAAGCCTTCTCAATTAAAGCTGGGTCCTCGAGGATCGTATCAAGAACAGGTGAACCATCAGGGTTTGATTTTTTCAAATTTTCCAAATAGGCTGCAATTGCAGTTCTCTGAACTTTACTTCCATGTTCATCGGTACCTGTAGAGAAAATCATGTCCTTCCTATTTTTCAATATTTTGTGATAGAGAAAAAGAGTATCGGAAAGAATAGAAGTAAAGAAGTGTCCAATATGAGGAGGTCCATTGACATAATAAATAGGAGTTGTAATTAATCCACCAGTTGTTTTTTCATTTGATGATTGATTTGAAGTCACCACAGTCGTATCATTCGTCGTCGTCGAATTCTGTGATTCATTCCACTCCGAAGAGTTTGTTTGATAAAGTCTTTGATTTTTCCATCTGAGAGAACATTCATCAGAAGAAACATTAAAAGCACTCATCATATTTCCTCTCACTCTACTCTTTAGAATGGATGAAGAAAAAAGCTCGTAAGCCAAAGTGCGTTCGTTGTTGCAATTTCAACATTTTTTTGATTGAAAAGTTTTGAATTCGTGAACGGAGATTCGATAAGCTGACCACAAACCTTCTTCCACTCTTCGAAGTTATCACATAGATGATGAAGAGAATGTCATCTACTACAATAGATACTATCTTCATATATCTGTTCTTCTTCCAAATATTCACTTCACAACAATAGTAATAGTCATGTATAAAGAGGGCATCGACGTTTCCACATTTCTAAAGTGCTAAAAAGACACTTTTTTGGTATGAGCCCTTTTGTGAACTTTTTCGAAAGTGTCAAACATGGATAAGTAGTGGTGGTTCTTTCTTCCACTTTTTCTCTCTCACATAATAAACACATTAAAAAATGTCGGCATCTTCTTCCTATGTCTTTGTTTTGAATCGTTCGGGAGCCGATGGTCAGCCAGGAGCGGATGGGACCAATGGTGTTGCTGGACTTGGAGGTCGTGTAAGTATAGTGAAAAGATGTTTCTTGATTCGATCCATGAATGTGGATGACACCACCTCATGATCCAACTCTTTGAATGAATGATGATATTGGTTTGGAATGATTATGTTGGATGTGTGGCTTTCGAATTGAGGTTAGAATGGACTCAATGGAATGGTAGGTTGTTCACTAAAACAAGTTCTTCGTTCATTCACAATGATCCAATTCTCTGACTGATTCACCCTCTCTACACCAACCTCTTATAGAATGGTGGAAGAGAAGAATCACGAATGGATGGTTTTAAAGGCCAAGATGGCCAACCAGGAAGTAAGTTTTGTGAAAACCAATTTTGTTTCTTGACTTTCACAAACGTTGAATCCATCCATAAACACAAAACTCATGTTCACATCTCATTAGCAAATGGTTTGAGAGGAACAGACGCCAGTAATGGCCAATCCGGACAAAACGGAGGAAATGGAAATGTCATTAAGGTGAAACTCATTGGAGATTCGAATCAAAAAATTCTCGTTCAAGTCAACAATGCTCAAGATCGATACATTTCCATTCCTGATCATTCTCAAAAGGCTATTTTACTAGTTGGAAACGGAGGAAATGGAGGTAAGGGAGGAAATGGTGGACATGGTGGACCAGGAGGAGCGTAAGTAACTTTCATCTTACTGTTGAACATTCACATCATGTTGTTGCCAAATCCAACATTTGAATCTTGTCTTCCACTTGACATTCATGAAATTGAATTATTTATTCTCATATCACCACGCGTGTCTCAGAGGAGGTGATGGAGGTTGGGGAGGAGTAGGAGGACCTGGGCAAGATGCCTCACAATGGAGTATTGGTGGCAGTGGTGGTCCAGGTGGAAATGGTGGGAAAGGAGGTGATGGTGGTAAGTGTGAAACGATATTGTTATTCATCTCTCAATCAATGATCATTGAACGTTCGAACAGGAAACGGAGGAGCTGCAGGTAAGTATTCTTTTTACAATTGACCCTTACATGATCATATTCTCATTACAAACGTTTCATTTGGATGAACAAAAGGTCATGGAGGAATGGGAGGCGATGGTGGAGATGGTTCCATCATTGAGGTTGAAACCTATAACCCTGGATTGTTAAAATTTGTCACCTGTGAATGTAGATCTGGAGTTTCAGGAAAAGGAGGAAGTGGTGGACAAGGTGGAAAAGGAGGAAGTGGTGGTAATGGTGGACCAGGAGGAGCGTAAGTAACTTTCATCATTTTCTCTTAACAAGGAATGATCATTGGAACGTCGATGAGAATAGAGGAGGTCCAGGAGGTGCTCATTTCATGTTCACCGATCAAAATGGTATACTTTATTGCAATCAAGGAGGTTTTCCTGGAAGAATGGGAATGCATGGAGAGACTGGAGCATGTGGTTTAAATGGTGCCGAGTAAGTTGGATCATCTTTTGATCATTCAGTTGTCCATTGAAACTCTTTTTCTATTTATGAATGTATATATATATTCAAAAATGCAATAGTGGAACAAATGGAAGAGATGGCAGAGATGGAAGACCAGGTCAAATCATTTTCAGAGTGCTTGATCAATATGGTCATGTTTTGGAAAGTTCAGACAATATTTATGATCTGCAAATCGATTCCTTTGCAATCATACCTTGTGGAGTTCATACTGATTATTTCCAAATCAATGAGGACGATGGTATTTTAGAACCCGGAGAAACCATTTACATTTGTGACATTCAAGTTCAAAATGTGGGTGGAATGACTCTTCCAGAAAATACCATTCTCAGTGCACCAACCACAATGCCATCGAGTCGAGAAAATTATCATCCCTTTGTTGCAGCACAAGGTGTCGAAAATTGCTGTACTCTTCCTGCAATTCCAAAAGGTGGATTATTTAAAGTACCATCCTATCTGAAAGGATATATTGCAGCAGCTTCACCTCCTGAATTTGTCAACTACAACTACTTGACTGGTTATGAAAAACCTCCACCTGATCGTTTCAAGAAGGAAATGAAAATTGAGACTCTGGGAAGCGTCTTCAACTCACCTTTTGAGAAATCCAAATGTTCGAGTGTGTTCACAGTTCAGTACCCTATTCTCATTGAGACCATTATGGGTCCTTCTCAATTAGGAAAAAATAATGACACCGCTACTGTGACCATTCGATTTTCAAATATTTCTAATTTAGATTATGGTGCCTCTGTGAGTCAACACAAAAAACTCTCCTTCTCGATTTATTTCGATAACAAATTCATGATTTTGAATGAGAGAAACATTAAGGAAAGAGACAAAATGCAATGCGTTCATGAACATATTGAACTGATTCAAGCGAAACGAAGTTACGAAAGACATTTTCTTGTATCCGTTCAAAACACGTCCGAGTACTTTGAGAGACTTCGTATTTCAGCACATCTCTTATTGAGAGATCAAACGATTGAAATTTCTGAACATTTCATTCGTGTCTCTCCTTCCTATCAACCATGTACAAATACTGTTGAAAATCCTCATGATATCTTGTTTATTACGGACAATCATTTGTCAAGAGTCGAATATTTGAGATATATGAGATTATTCGAAGGCTGTGGTCTTCGTGTCAATTATTGGGATATTGAGAGGTATAACGGTGTATCCATGGATGCCACCAATGGCACAAGACATGAATTTTCATGGACCGATAAGAACATGTACCAAGGAAAAACTGTCATATTCCCACTTCCTGATGAAAGAAGTATCCACTTGTTAAATCCCAGAGATCAATTTTCAGTGTTGAGAAATTTGGGAGAAGACACCAAAAATGTTCGCGGTGGAATTTTACTATTAGGAAATTTATCGTGTGAACAAATTAGAGACTTTTTATTTGCATCGACAGATTCGATTCATTTACCAGAACAGCTGTTGACTGAAAGATTTTTCACTCACAAAGCTACGTATGAAGATTTAGAGAAAATATGCAGCAAATTCATTCATGAATTGGAAGAAGAGAATCCATCGAAAATTTACAAGTTACATGACGTGAAATTTGAACCATCAAAAACTGGAATTGGAAAATATTTATTAGGATCAGCTCAATACTCTGTGCTTCCTTGTAGCGCTTGTGACAATTTATACAGGTAAGGTTCAAAATGATCAAAATTTGTAAACTCTTATTTCATTATTGGAAATAGTATTCAAGTGGAAGACCGTTCCTCTGAAAATTATTTGTGCAAAGATAATATTGCCTTTACTGAAACAAAATTTTCTCTTCAGTCACATTGTGCAACGACCTTAATAGGAATCATTTTCACACTTTCACCCCAGAGAAGAGTGGAAATATTAGCAAACCCAAATTTGAAATGTAAAAGTGAGCAATGGAGTATTATCAAGGAGTATCAAGAACGTGAAAAGAAACTTTTAGTCACCAAGCATCAAGAATATTCCATCTATGACATTATTGCATTGTCTTTCTATAATGACATGCATCATGATGTCACTTACAAGGATATATCTACCAGCATCATTGCTCCCTTAATTATGGAGGCTTTTGAAAAGCGTTTAGTTGCTTTTAAAGGGATGAATTCGTTTGAAAAAGTCAAAGTGGCACAATGCATGTGGTATGCTTTCAAACACATCAAACATGATTTCAAATGGACAGCAATTTTCTCTTCCATGAAAAATAAGACGAAACAATTCAAAGAACTATGCTCTCACTTGGAGGATTTATTATTCAAGAATATTTTAACAGAGAAGGAGGACAAAAAGATGGTGAAAAAGCAAGTGAAATTGCTTCTTTGTTCTAATCATTATTTGATCAAGCTCAACAATTTGAAAAGACCTCTGCTCACTCCAAGACAAGAAGATATGGAAGAGGATCACAAGGAATCAAAATCTAAAAATGGTCTAGTTGCTACAATTAACATGCATTCATCTCTCGAAGCACAAAACAATTCGAATGGAGGCTTTCATTTGGTTTAGGCACTGTCGAAAGTTTCCCTTCAACCACACATTAAAAAAAATTTGTTCATTTGCTCTCACTCCACTCCCCATAAATTCACTGTCTTGTCAAAAGACCCAGTCGCCAAGAAGGGACGATGATTGCTCCACTGAAGACTAGTTACGGGCTGTTTGTGTGAGTTGTTGGGCTGTGAAATAACGTCGATGAAAGAACCTGTTTCCGTATCAACAACGGAAGGGAATGTGTCATCACGACATTTGAGAACAGCAAGATATTTGTTGCTGAAATCAAAAGACAATAATTCACCCGGCAGATTGTCAGCATTGGTGTAACAAAAACTTGACGTAATATTTGGATATTGCCAAATCCGTATGGAATCTCTGGTACACGTTGCCAACATGACACCATCTTTGGACCACTCGGCATTGATAATTGGTCTGCTGTGGGCAAGTATTTTCACTGGTTTGAATGTTCTTCGATCTGATATGACGAGTCTTCGATCCATAGACCAAGTGCAGAAAATGTTATCATGAGTTTCGTTCCATCTTACGCCCAATATTGCATCTTCGTGGTTACTAAACTTGTGAACAACTCTCTCACTCTGAGCATCATAGAAAATAACCTTGCAGTCTCCACTTGCGCTTGCAAGAAGACTTTCTTTTGGATGAAATTGCAAATCTGAAATGTAGGCCTTGTGGGACTCTATTTGTGTTTGGAGTTTTGGCTTACCACTCTCGACATTCCACAGATAGACCAAACTATCTAAACCACCTGCTGCTAGTAGTGTACTCTTTGGATGCCATGACACTTTTGTAATTGGTAAAGGATGTCCGACGAGATGCTTTGGTTTCTTCTTTGGATTTTTAGTTTCCATCAATCCAATGTGCCTTTGCATGTCGAAAGCTAACATTTCACCATTTGGCGAGTATTCCAAAAAGTTGCAAGTGGATACAGTAGTCACACTCTTTTGCTCATTGAATATTATATTGGATTCATGGTCAATTGTTATAGCGAAAGTTTTAGCTTGGAAACTGCTGCTTGTTGCAACTTTATCTCCTTGGCCAAAACTAATTTTCATTACTGGAGTTTTCATGGATAATGCTGACTGAATCATGACCACCTGCTTTTTGCTAGAATGTGTCCCAGAGGACTGATCTTCAGAGCTTGCTCCTATACCATCATTTGTTTTTGGTGCATCAGATAAATTCGAAGGAGTATTATTATGGTTTGCCTTTCGTTGTTCATCATTGACTTGCTCTTCCTCAACCTTATCATTTGTTTTGGGAATATTTTCTGAATTTTGAATGATACGAGAATTGATTGGTCGAGGTCTTTCAGATAATTGATTCAACTGAGGATACAATTTACGTAGTAGCTTACTCCTCTTGAGGATATCTTGAACTGAGGCAGTTTTTGTTCTAGCCTTAAACACATGAGCTTGGATCATGACGTCTTCTTGATCATTTCTTGGCTCGAACATGGACATTTTTATGCCTACACCTCTGTCTTCATTGTCAAACATGAGATCAGGTACCATTGGTGGTTTCGTTTTACTGAAATTTTTCCAATCGATACCTTTGAAAAAAGGATGCTTCCGTAAAGCAAGTCCTCCAAGTCTTCTCTCCGGATCTGTGCAGAGAAGACCATCAATAAGGTCCTTGGCATCTGAAGGAAGAGTTTTAGGCCAGAAAATGTCACGATCTACAATCTTTTGACAGGTCACGGCCATGCTTGAGCTATAAAAAGGGCTTTTACCACAAAACAATTCGTAAATGATACAACCATAGGCCCACCAGTCCACCATGATGCCATACTCGTTATTTGTGACCACTTCTGGACTATTTATGTTGAAAATGTTGTGGATGATAGCATGATATGGTAATGTTCTAGATCATATTGAAATCACATATCACTACTTACGCCAAGTATTCTGCAGTTCCACTATTCGAACATGAATTAGGGGTACATATAACAAACAACATATATGCATTTCAATATGAATTAGGGAATACATATTGTTTGTTTGTTGTGTGTATTTACATGACGATGATGTTATTGGAAATGGTTTGATGTTAACGGATTGCAACTTACCAAAACGTATTGGGCCCAGGCTTTTCAATTTTCTTTGCAATACCAAAATCAACCAATTTCAAGTTTCCATCACCATTGAGCATGAGATTCTCTGGTTTCAAATCACGATGACAAATGTTCAAAGAATGGATATAGATGAGAGCTTCTAACAGTTGTGCCATATAGAATTGCACCACTTTTTTGAGCTCTTTCGATGATAGATTGCTCTTAATGATACATTCGAACAATTCCCCTCCTGTGATCAGTTCCAATATAAAATACAGCCTCTTCTCATCGGTGAATGTGTAGCACAACTTGGAAATGTTCGGATGATCCATCTCCAACAAGATTTCCTTCTCAGACTTTACATATTTTGTTTGTTTTGCCTTGATTAGCTTCTCCTTCTTGAGGATTTTTGCTGCAAACTGAACTTCAGTTGCCTTATGAACACACAACCGAACTTGGCCGAAGGCTCCTTCTCCCAAGATTTGTCCAAATTCAAAATCATCTGCAGGTAGGTAGGTATATGAGGATAAAACCGAATGAATAGATTAAGGATGAATAATAATAGTACATATTAGAAGAAGGATAATTTTCAATGATATCCTGTCGAATGATTATATTCTTACCTTTCGTTACTGTGGCTGGAATGCGAATGGTGTCCATATTCATTTTTTTTGTTTTGCCCTAAATGGAGAGTTTGCCTCAATGTTTATCAACGCGTTATCCTTGACATTGAGTCTCACCATCAACAACAAGAAAGTGTTCTGATCCAACCACCTCTTCTTCTCCTCCATGACAAGTTTCAGAAGAAGGAGATCAATAGCTATTGATGGGAGACCTCCTAAAAAATGTTTCGACGACCTGTTGGGGATCGTCGTCCAACATCTACTGCTGCCAAAGAAGTAGAGAATGAGACCCACGATCATCCTACAACTTCTCCATCATCAATGCTTCAAAATAATAACAACAACAACAACTCGGGATCGGAAATTCCTACACCTCGGTCAGAAACTCCATCATCCCATGAAAGGACTCGGGAATCTTCAAGTGATGCTACTACAACGAGTCCACTTACTCCCAACAGTCAAAACAGAATTCTCACCAAACTTCCCTCTTCTCTCAAGTTGGACACACAAAAACTAATAAGAAAGACATCATTGAGTTCATTCTCATCACTCTCAAAAAGTTTACGATCATCCATGAATCCATACATGGCGTCTGACTCGAAGCATGTTGCAACAACAACAACCTCAAGTAGCGGCCAGAAAAATGTTCCGAGCCATTTACATCCTCACAACATTATGATTATTGAAATTGGAAGAAAATATTTCAAGTGTGGATTGGCCATGGAATATGCTCCGAGGGTCATCTCAGTGGTACCGAGTGAATTGAGTGAATTGTTGTGCATGGGTAAAAACCAAAAATTCAATTCGTTGCATATGAAAGAATCGTTTGAGAAATTCATTCAGAAAGACCTTGCATTTTCAATTCTTAAAAGAAATGATGATGATTCGACACAGAATAGTAATGACGATATGAGCAGCCTCACAAATTCAATGATTTTTAAGGATGAAATTTTCGAGGAATACATGAAGTTGAGTGAAAATTCCCCATCCAATATTCACCACCTGGATGATGCAGAATTTGAGAGAAAATTAAGTACTTTATTCTCCCAATATATGAACAAGTTGTTCATTGATGAAATGAAATTAGTGATGGATAGTATTGACGGAATTATAATTTTGGAAAATACCAACCAACTTCATCAACATTTACTGAGGAAAATCATTGAAAATGATATTTGTACGGTACGAAAATTTCCACGCCTGAAGAGTTTGAAATTTATGAACTCGCAAGGTTGTGCAGTTCTACCAAGTTTTTGTTCCATGTACGCCAGCTCGAACAATCAAAAAACAAACCAAACACGAACCTTTGATAGCAAATTATTTGGATTGGAGAGATTATTCATGAAAGAACAAGTCCCGATATTGCAAAAGTCTGTTGGAAATACAACCATCGATTTAAGATTTCAACATGCTCCTCGAGGAGCTCTACCAAAATCAGATGCTTCCCAATCACATGATTTTGGCATAACGGCCTTAATAATTGATTGTGGTTACAGTGAGTGTAGGATAGTTCCTGTTCTCTTTGGAAGCATTCTTCCATTGTCTGTTGAAATTCTATCTATTGGATCCAAGAATGTGTTGCGAAATTTGGAAAAGCAGTTATTTGGAAGCAACGAAGGTTCAGCATACAAACTCTTGGATAGTCAAGAAAAACATGAAATACTCGAGGATATTTTGTCACGATTGTGTTTTTGCTCGAATGACGACATAAATTCGTCTCAAACAATCATGTACAAATACAACTTGTCGTCAAAGAAAATGGAAATTCCACTGACCCATCACGTTCGCTCCAAAAGTTGTGAATTCATGTTTGAACCCCTCACGAGCGCCATTATTGACTGCTTGAAAAGGCTCGAGACTGAAGCGAGAGGGAAAATTCTAAGAAATATCATTGTTTGTGGTGGATTGTCAGAATTGAATGGATTCAAGAAACGGCTCATCTCTACCTTGCACAAACATTTATCTGAGCAAAAATTTGGAAGTAGCAAAAATTGGCTGAAATATATGGGAATTAACACATTTAACCCTACAAGATCTTCTCTCTTGAATTGGTATGGAGCGAGTATTGCATTTTCATCAATAACACATTATAGCCAACTTCAGACCAAGCTGGAATAAGCACCTTAGGGTGTATTATTGAGGTATTTAAAGCTCGGCTGTTGTGAATGGATTGGAATCCATGGATTGGCACTTTATGATCTGTTGTGATTTCTATTGCCACAAAAAATCCCAAAGAACTTACTGAAGAGGAATTCATCAATTTATTGAGATCCATATTTCACCCGATTCCTGTAATTAAGGAGTTCACTTCCACATATTAGGAAATGACAACCATCATTTGAATTCTTCTGAAGGCGTTTAGAAACAGACCAAATTTCCAAGCGATTAGGTTTTAGTCGTTTCATTTAACAGATCAAAGGATTGAAAAAATGAACGAAATGAATCTCAGAATCCCATTTGGTATGATGGAAAATGAAGACAAATTGAAAGATCAACTTCATCATTATGGCAATGATGCGGTGGTCCTCCGATTAGATGACCATTTCAAAAGTTCGTTACTGAAAAAACATTATCATTCAAATTTTGAGCTCTTTTACAAGTGCTACAAACGATTTATAGAAAATTTATTCAACGATGGATTTTCGTATCCGACCATATGGTCCCAGAACGACTCGTCTTATCATCTCCAAAATGTTCATTGGATTGCAGAAAATGATCCCGATTTCGCTTGTTCACTCATGAAGCTTGGATTGCCATTGTACTATTTCGGAGACAAGTTGATGAAAAATCCCTCCTTTGTTAAAAAAGTCATGAAAACAATGGAAGTGAATTACTTGCCCTATGGCAGTAATGATCGTGAATTTATGAAAGAAATTGTTACGGAGGCTGGATATGCTTTGCAATTTGGCATAAATTCCATACAAGATGATAAAGAAATCGTGCTTTTGGCCATTCAACAATGCCCATGGGCCTATCTATATGCAAGTGACAGATTAAAGCAAGATCCACAAGTCATGATGGAAGCAGCTCGGCATGGATGTATTTGTGGAGCCTCACAGGAGATTGCTTCGAATCGGAAGATTGTGTTAAATGCTGTCAAGGTCAGTGCCTTCAATTTGATGTACGTGAGTGAAGAATTGCGAAACGACAAAGAAATTGTCAATGCAGCCTTATGCAATGATCCTGGTTGTTTTGACAATATTGGATCTGAATTGTTGAAAAATAGAGAATTTTGTAAAAAGATGGTCCTCCAATGTGGATACAAAGCCACCAGAGTCATTGATGAATCTCTAATGTCTGACTCAACATTTTTGAAAGAACTTGTTGATTTAAGATTGGACGATCTATTCGAGTTGAGAGTTGGTTCAATAGTAGATCGTAAATTTTCCAAGGAATTGATTCGAATGTGTCCATGGTTTATTCGCACCATGATGTTTTCCAAAGACGAAGAATTGGTCATGGAAGCAGCCAAATGTGATCCAAAAACAGTTCAATATGCACATGATTCATTGAGAAACAATTCAGAATTTGCCATGAAATTAGTGGAATTGGATGCAAGAACTCTCTTGCATTTAGGTCCAGAAGTGAAACAATGTTTCCGAGTGGTCATGCAAGCGGTGAAACAAAATGGTCTCTGCCTGCCATATGCGAGTAGTGACTTGAAAAACGACCCACACATTGTTCGAGCGGCATGCCAACAAAACCCACAAGCCATTCAATATGCTGGATCAATGCTGAAAGGCTCTCAGGAATTTATGCTTGAAATGATTCAACACAACCTCTCTGCGTTACAACACGCAAGTATCCATTTGAAAAGAAATTGTTTATTTTTACAACAAGTGAAACAGATTGTACTCTCACATCAAGAATTAATGCGTGTGAAAAATCCTAACATCGATTTTTCATCATTGGATGAACTCAAATTTGCATTATGAATTTTATTGCACTCATGACATTCAGCTACGACAGGATCGATCGCTTGTCATGCAATGTGTGAAACAAAATGGGCTTACTCTTCATAATGCAGTGGAAGAACTAAGACAGGATAGACAAGTAGTATTAGAAGCTATCAAAACAACGCCTAAAGCTCTACAATATGCACATTATTCGTTACAAGATGACAAGGACCTTTGCTTGGAAGCAGTAACGAGAGATGTTTCGAGCTTTGCTTATTGTTCCTCTCGTTTGAAGCTGGATGCTGATCTCATTCGTGAGTGTGTGAAACAACAAGGGTTCACTGTTCTCGCTCAGTATTTACCATCCACGAACGCACTCGGAAAGACATTTGCTATGGAGTTATTGGAAATGAATTTCAAATGTATTCAATTCTTTCCAAGAGATTTGACTGAGGATGAGGAATTCATGAAAGAGGTGTTATGAGAGAACCTCGATGTATCGTGTACACTCACTCGACTCTCTTGTTGAATGTTGAATTCTTGTATGAAATCTTTCAAAATAATTTTAAGGATATTTTCAAGTTAAGAAGAGAAAAAAGATACCAATGCAACAGCGAGGAATGTCACGATTGAGAAGCGCTTTCAGAGAATTCTCATCTTGAAAAGACTTAAAAATAGAATGATCACAACGTGAAAAAAGTGAAAAAAGATTAATTCTGACATTCACAGAGACCATCACGCTTTCTCCTCTTCTCCGATTCATTTAGTAGTAGATGTCTCCATCATCCAACTATCCTCTTTCGATATTGAACTTGTATCCAAAGTTTGACACTTGTGAGATTGATTCTCTGAACCCATCCATGACTTGTGATAACCATGATAACAATATTCACACGAACAACAATTCTGCAACTACTACTCGACACTCTTTTCAACAACCATTTTGTTCCGATGTGATTTTTGAAATTCTAAAATATCTTAATGGCTTGTATATCATTCAAGTGTGTATGAGAGTTTCAAGACAATGGAGAGAACAGGTATTGCACTTGAATTTGACCTTGTCGATACCTGTTGCCCTTCATCGTCGCAGCCCTGAATTTGTGACCTCCATTGCAGCATCTCCGAATTTGGAGAATGTCACTGTTCTTAATTTGAGTTGTTGTGACATCAACAATGAAGATGTAAAAGCTATTGTTAACAGTAACTATATCAAAAAGTTAGAAATCTTGAAGTTTAACATGAACTCGATCGGCAATGAAGGTGTGAAAGCTAGTTCAAATAGTGAAAATATGAAGAATCTCAAAGAGTTGTCATTGCTCAAAAATTCCATCGATCATGAAGGTGTCTTTCAAATTGCCAACAGTGTATATTTGAAAAATTTATCTTCACTCGATTTGCGTCACAACAAAATAGGTAATGAAGGTGTGAAATCTATTACCTGCTTGAAGAATTTATTACCTGCTTGAAGAATTTAACAAGTTGTGATTTGAGTGGAAATCATTTTGGAAACGAAGGTGCAAAGATCATTGCAAATAGTGAAACAATGAAAAAGTTAAAATCGTTGATTTTGGACGAAAATCACTTCGATGAAGAATTTGTGAAACATCTCGTGAATAAGTTGAGGACTGCAACAGTTGCAAGTCCAAAACATGACCACCACGAAGGTGTGGAAACCATAAGGATTGCAATAAACACTGAAATATAATTGAGAACATTTTCCAATTTCACATTTTTAAATGAATATCGACATTTTTATTCTTGTGCACACAAAAAATGCCTCTCTTCGGAAAGAGACTCTTTTACTTGTTCAGACACAAGTATGAAGTGTATCCTTCTCTCTTTGAAGATCATAGCATTCGGAGAGTACGGAATAGACACGATTCTAGGTTTTTATTTGAAGGATTTATTCCGAAAATGTTGTTGTGTTGGAGTGTTGCCTTGTTTTTGGCACTGTGGGAACGATACAAGATTGAGAAGAAATGGGATCAATTTCCTGGTGCTTTTCCAGATATGAAATATCCGGAATTGTATCGACCGTATGTGAGAGATGAAGCCAAACACTTATTATTCCCAACCGGTTTGAATGAAGAAGATTTGATGATTTCTCTTGAATTGCATCGAGAAAAAATGAAAACTATTTCCGAAGTTCAACGAGAGAAAACAACAATATTGGAAAAATTCAAACGCACAAGACAATTTGGAGAACAACAAAAGTAGATTTTATTGACAACAGTTTTATTGGATGTGGATTAAACAGGTGGTGAGCGAATTTTTATTCATTCTTGAAAAGTGGAAGAATTGAATGCATCATTCGAACAACAAGTACACAACGAGAGGTGATGAGGACCCGATTGGATAGCACGTTTGAGAAATGAAAAGTTTAATGGGAATTTAAATTCTTCAATTTTTCCTCGTTCCATAGCTCTCCAATTCTTCAATTTTTCTTCGTAAAATAGCTTCTTGTTCCTTCAATTTGATAATGATATTTTGTTGGTGTTGAATGGTCTGAATGAGCTCATTCTCTGACAACTTTTGTTGAGCAAAAATTGGATGTTGTAACAAATGATAGGCAGAAGGTCTCTGTGATGGATCAATGTGCATCAGAGAAAGTAATACATCTTTGAACATGTTCGAGTAATGCATGGGTAAATCTTTCAAATTTCCATTTCTAATTTCATGCCACTCAGCTCCATTAGTTGGTAAAGATCTTCCAATTGCACATTCATAAATTGTGGCACCAAGAGAAAAAATGTCTGCCTTAGTCAAGTCAATATTTCCATTTTCATTGCCCAATAATTCCTTTGCAAGGTATCGAGAGTCACCTTCCATGACATCCTGCAGAGTTTCCAATGAGCTTGCAGCAAGGCCTAAATCTCCAATTTTATATCTTGGCTTGTCTTCCTGAGCACAACTAATGTAAATATTGTCAGGCTTTAAATCGAGATGAACAATGTTTTGTCCATGCATTTGCATAAGTCCAGAGGCAAGTTGTCTCATCAGGTCAATCAACTCCATCTCTGAAAAGGAATGCTTGCCAACTCGTCTGGCTAAGGATCCTCCTTCACAAAGTTCAGTTTGTAAAAATAGACTAAATTGAGGAAGTTTTCCTTCAATCCAACAACTATAATATCTTACAAGGTATGGATTATCTACAAGGGTTGCGAGAGCTTGGACTTCTTTAAGAATCTTGTCCTTATCTTTGGATCCTTTGATTTTCCTCTTCATGGTTTTAATCGCATAACACATGCCATCGAATCTGTTCTTGGCCTTTGTGACCTTACCAAAGCAGCCGTCTCCTAAAACTCCAAGTTCTTCGAATTCTTCCAAATATCTGGAAAAGTAAACTTCAAAGATCGGATCCACCTCACTTATATTATGTGAAGAGTCAGTAATTTCTGATTGTCTCTTCTTTTTCGAAGATTTCTTTACAGTAGATGTGAGTTTTCCTTGAAGATACGAAGAAGTATTCTTATCATCATTAATTGAAAAGAAATCATCTTCAGGTTTTGTCTTTTTGAAATTTCGTTCGGGAGAAAATGGATTTTCATGCACTTCTTCAGTAACGTTTAAACGACCTGGAACCAATTGAATATTTAACATGGATGGAGAGGTGGATTGAGAGAGTGTAGCTCTAGGTGGAGTAGAAGGTTGCATTTGGCTTTGCAAATCGTTGAAATCTTCAAGAGATCCATTGTCGTCATCACTGATCATTCCATCTGAACCGTCAACAATGGCATCATAATCAAAATCAGAAACTGATTTACTAGAGTGGAAAACATCTTGAAGAGTTGATGACGTTTTGAGGATTGGAGAGGTGACAGGATTGTTTTTGGCAAGATGTTTAGTCTCTGTGAGACTTTGGAAATAGGTAGAGCTTGAAGGTTGTTGAGAAGATGTATTGCTGCTGAAAAGAATTGGTGAGGGAGGTGTCGTCTCAATAATTGGAGTTTCCAATAAAGGATTCGAAGGGTTATTGGAAACAGAGGGGCTTGCAAACCAATTCATTGAGGCAATTGGCGAGGTTGTCGAGGGAGTAGCACCATGTTTTGGTTTGATGGTGCTGGGAGGTGGACGCATCACGGCAACATTGCTTGGGGAAGCAAAGTCGTCACTCGACAAATCCATATAACTTGTAACTTTTTTACAGGGAGGAGGAACCACTTTGGAATCAGGAGAAGAACACGAAGAGGATCCAGAAGGAGGCATCATGGTATGTTCATCAAAATTGAAATTAGGAGTGCCACCCAAGAGAGAATGTTTGGTACTGCTGCCTCCACTAATACTACTACTGCTGTAATCACTGCCACTGTAACTTTTTGTGCTTGCAGGACTTCGAATGGCGTCAAATGGTCTCTTCTTACTGAGACCAGGAGGTGTCAATTCATCATCGTCCTCACGATCATTATTTTGGGCTAACAACACAAAATTAGGTTTTGCACTGTTTCTATTGCTGAGCGATGATGAGTGATGTTGTTTGTGTGAAGAATTCTTGTTGGCCATTGGGCTTACAAGTGAAAAGTCGCGATGAGCTTTTGGTTGATGGGATGCTTTGAGTGTGGGTTCCATAAACAATGTGGTTGAGGTTGGATTGATAGTATTGGCAGTGGTAGTAGTGGTCATTGGAGGAACAGGAGCAAGAGGAGATCTATTGTTATGGAAAGGAGTCTTGGATAAAGGTGTTGGTTGAATCTTAAAACGATTGGGTCTTGATTGATGAGCCGAGTGCTTGAGTTGAACAGGCGAGCGAATGACAAACTTGTTTTCATCACCGCTATCACTCTCCTCACTCTCCGAATCAAACAATGGTGTTTTAAGGCTTGCCATTGATTTTGTGTTGGTGTTGGGTTTTAGAGCTGTGGTGGCTGGTGTTTTAGTTGGAGTGGGAGGGCAGAGCTTTGGAGTTGAGAAGATGTTATCATTGAAATGAAAGCCAGACCCTTCAGTGGGTGTACAGGGTGATTGTTCACCACTGTTAGCATCCTCTACTGTGCGACCAAATCGTTGATGATGATCTCCAAAACCAACGGCTGTTGGTGGCTCTTGAGAATCGGAGGTGTCCAAATTCTCGAAGAGTTGTTTCATAATGGGCTGAACAAAGACCCGTTTAGCCTTCATGGTGTGATGGTGGTGATGATGATGATTGGATTAATATGGATGAACGGATGATGGGAGTTAGCTCGTGTAGTGTACTGGATGATGAAGAGGTGAGCTAGCTTTACAGACGCGCGTATTGAAAAAGTTGATGACGGTGTTTACCGTTGAATTACTGTGATATTACTATTACCACTACAAGACAATTTCAATCTTGTGGCACTGCGGGGCAATACCAGTCTGTGATGATTTAATAATTCCACAAGGCACTCGAGCAATGTGGAAAAACGGTCCTCTCTTCTTCGGCTGAATCAACAATAAGCAGTGCCAGTTGATCAGGCAATTTTTTTGGATGTGAAAATTAAAATTTTGGCGGTGAAAATAGGCGGAAAAAATTCCGTTAACAAAAATATTTAAAAATTATTTAAAAAAAATTATTGTGAAATATTTTACAACAACTTGCCATTTCAACATCATATTTCATGACTTGTATTTTGTCTCATTAAATTACTATTGCTTGTGTTTCTTTTGAGGAGGACCAACATGATGTAAACCAGAGGGATCCATCATGGCCTGCTGTTGTTGTGGTGGTTGTATCGAAGCAGTCGGTAATGGATAAGCTTGCTGTTGAACGTACATGTTGGCGCTTACATTGGCTCCTGGTGGCGCATGATAATTCACAGAGTATTGAGTTGGTGGCTGAATGCTCATGGGACCAGTGGTAGGAGGCATAGAGGTTGGCAAGTAGCCCATTGGTGGTGGTTGCTGTGGAAGAGTAGTGGGTGGCATGGTTGGGTGATGATGTTGACCCACAGGAGGAGGCATATGATGCTGTGGTGGTCCAGTGTAGGGATATTGAGCGGTTCCACCCTCCATGACCATGAATGCTTGTTGTGGAGGAGGTTGTGTTTGAATAGGAAGAGTAGGTTGGTGATGCACATGATGTTGTGTATGATGCACGGTGGGAAGAAGAATTTGATGTTGTTGTTGTTGCTGTTGTGCTTGATAATGTTGTTGTTGTTGATAATTTCGCATTTCAACAAGTTCTTGCTTAACAGGTTCGAAATATTGTGGATCTTTGGGTGGTTTGAGTTTGGCCTTTGGATCCTTTTCGAGCTGTATATAGAGCTCCTTCATGACGCAATTTGCTTTCAGTAATTGTTCTTGTACCTCAGTAGAGGGTTCCTCTCTCGCCAAATCGTAATTATTCTCAATGCATTCTGCAAAAAAGTTTTTCAGTGTCTCTATAATGTAAGGATTGTGAAAAACTTGTGAAATATATCTCAACTTGTCACACTCATTGGTAACTAGGTCAGTTTTTTTAGGCAGGTTTTTGATATTTCGTTGAATTTTACCAAAATCATTTGAGAGAGTTTCATTCTTTTGGAAAGGTATAACGACTGACGTCTTACTTTGTTTAAGGTCATAGTTGTAGGATTTAAGGTTGACATTTTTTGTGAAAAGATCAAATTGCTCACCAGAAACTGGAATATCCCACGAGTTGGCATGTGCCATTTCATCAATCATTTGTCCCACTCCATTGCATAGCCATGGATAGGCCAAATTATTGCATGCAAGTTGAGTTTTTGGTATATTTTTGGAATACTTGTCACTTTGAGACACTTCCAAGAGCTCATTAAAAACTCCTAGAATGAGAGAAGAAGAATCTCCATCATTGCAGGCTGTAATATAAGCAAATCGTTCAGGAACTCCACCCAAACTCACAATCGCACAAATTCTTTTTGCCTCATTGCTCAATGTTGCCTGCTCATCGTCTGCAGCGCTATTTGTGGACGGAGGTGGAGGTGGTATATTCAATTGACGTCCTTTCAGTAGTGTTTGATGTAAGAGCTGATAGAATGAGGCTGGAGCTTCATCTGCTTTGCAAGCATCTGCCTTAATAATCTTCTTGTGTTTTCCATAGAGAGTTTCTCGGTCGCGTCTCGAAACACGAACACCGTAGGCTTGTTCTGTCTCGTCTGGGTTCAATGGTAAAATAGTGTGCTTGGAGATACATTTGGGAGAGGAGAGTTCTGTGCCAGGGATGAACCCCACAATGTTGAGAATGGGAGGGACATGACATGATGATCTCTCATTTGCAGTAGTGTTAAATGAAGTGTCATTAAGTACGAGGGTGGGATGAAGACCTTGTTGTTGTCGATCAAAGAGCCACATGACAAGATTTGGATCAGGATGCAATTCAATTGGAGATACAAGATGTCCAAAAACTAAATATCCACTGTACTTGTCGTAGTGCTTCTTGATGAACTCATTGATGATCGATTCATCAAGAGTAATGGGATTTTGTGGACTAGTGCTCACAGTTGCAGTGGGTGACACAAAGTAACAATGACCTTCATATAATTTAGAGAGCTGTTTGAGAGAATTGTTGATGGTGGATGTTTCTTGAATGTTCTTTTGGGAGGGATTATTTGAATTTTCTTCTTTCACTTTTGGAGTTGTTGCTAAGATTCCAAGTTTTGGTACCTGAGTGATGGAAGGTGTATGATGTAATTTTGACGTGGAGAAAATATGCAACTTGACAGGAAAAGGAGGTCGTATCTTAAACATTTCATCCGTCGAAAGTTCGGTATATTCAGTGAATATAATAATTTGAGTGTGAGTGTGAATTCCGAGGGTTTCTTCAATGTTTTTAAAGCATGCAACAAGTCCATTCATAATATTGCATGATTGTGTGCTTGAAATTTCTGCTAATTGAAAATTAATTTGATCAATTTTTGCACAAATTTCATTGGTGTCTTTTGAAAAAGGATTTACCACTAACAAGTCTTGGCCGTCATAGGATAATAAATCAATTTCCTCTAACTTGTGATTGGCATGTATCCGATGAACAACTCTGGTTGCATCTGTAAATATCAAAGTATTGGTGTAGGAATTATCATTTTCAAATTAATTATTAATAATTATTATTGTTGTGCATGGTTGTTTTTGTTGATCATCATCAAATCCGATAATAAAAAAATTTATAAAAAAATATTAATCACAACCGTGAGTCGAATATATTAGGAAGCAATGACCAGTCCATTTCTTCAATAATTATATTGTCATCATATGGAATTTGAACCTACAATTTTTCAAAATAGGAGCACTGTTCGTCATGGATGCCGATTGAACAGCAAAGAACAACAGAACAGTCGGCATTTTTTTTCTCTTTTATCCTCAACATTTATTACAAACACATATTAAAACACAAATACAGTAGAACTTGAGTATCATATTCACCCATGATGGACCTACGACTAACGACACCCATGAAACCCTCATAACCCAAGAAACATTGAGCAAATTTCATCAAACTCTGGGCTAAAGAAGGAACTTCCACACCTTTTTGTAAATGTTATCACAATCTGCCGAATAGTTCCAATTTAAGAACGGCAATTAAGCGACTCCTTAAAAAAAATTAATCCAGTTCTACTATTGACGAGTACGAGTTCTCTTCTTCTTCATTGAGTGGAATATCCATGAAGAGGGAGCTCCATCATCTCCATAACGGGGGCGGAATAAACTGCCCTTCTTCGAATATGAATGGATTGCAAGAAGGCAATGTTGATGATGATCCAACAACAACAACCATCAAAAACACAACCACCAACTGGATTGTTCCTTCACGTTCTCCAGAATCTTCGGCTTGGTCTAATGCTGAATTTGGTTCTCGTTCTCACGGAAGCCAGTTGGAGTTAGGTCTTTTGCATCACAGTAAGATGAATGGATCCTCCTCTCCACCCTCATCCTGTCCATCCAATCCCATGAACACCTCCATTGAAATGTCGGTTCCCATCCATGCGCATCAAGATGAGGAAGCCTTTCCTTCCTCACAGGGCGATGAGAACACATTGAAACATTCTCTTCAAAAAGGCTCCTCTGTGAAGAAAGAAGCTTCTCATCATCATCACTCCTCCAAGTACTCTTCTTCCATTAAGACGTTGCTCCTTCATGCTGTTGAATCAATACCTTCTTCTCTCATCACAGTCATGAATGTGTTAGTGATCTTTTTCTTGTTGCAATCACTCATTACGATTGGAACGACTTTCTTCATTCTTTTCTTTGAAGGTTCAACGGTAAGTTTAATAATTTTGAAACTATCCATACAAATCATGTTGATGGTTATGAACAGCTGTCTGACAATGCTGAACTTGTGGCCCATCAGGACCGCTTTCAAAAACTCATTCGCAATCTCTATGATTTTGTAATACCGGCCGAAATTGTCACGTCCTCTCTTCATAACCAAGTGTTGTCATTCATTGAGGAACCTTCGAGCCATAACAGTTGGGCTCGACTCTTGAGTACGACAAGTGTTTATGATCGACAGCTTTCGTTCATGTACTTTGGAGATGGAAACAATCAAGTAACCATGTTAAGACAAATCAATGGAGTGAGCAACATTATGGTTCCTTGTCACGCGCATCCACAGTCCAAGTCTCTTAATGCTGTGCAAGATGTGATCACCAAGGACTTTGATCTGACATTCTCTCAAAATTGCCCAAAGAGCCATTTAAAGTACAATGTGAGTAGTGATGGAGTGATCTTGATCGAACAAGGTGTTGCAAACGTTCAATTAGACCTGAATGTTTCTTCCAAATATTGGTTCACAAGCGTTGCCAATAACTTTCCTCAAATATCATCAGAAGTGCCAAAAAGACAAAAGTACACTGCATGGAGCGACGTCTTTCTATTTAATGGTGCTCTGTCCATCTACGTTTCATTATTAGTGAGAGATTCCACGAACAACTTTGTTGGAGTGGCAGCTCTGGAATATTCTCTGAGTGATCTACAAGTACTGTTGTGTAATTTAGTCGCAACTTCAGGAGGAGCTATTCTAGTGCTGGATCGAGAGGATAGAATTTTGGGAGCATGTGCACTATTGTCGGATTTTTCTTTTACAGAACTCTCCTCAACCATGATTCAAACGTTTCCCAAAGATTTCAGCAATAATACACTTTTTGAATCAATTTTCAAACTCATGAATGATGAGGAAACTCATTCGAGTAATCAGTCGGTGACTTTTTCGGATGCCTTATATCCCGAGCCACAATTGAAGGGAATGATTCATAATTTCATATATTCCATATCAGAATTTTCCATGAACAATTTAAGAGTTAAAGTCATTGTCATTACGGAACATACTGGTTTTCTCAGTATCATGATCAACTCGAGAGTGAGCTCCCTGGTCATTTTGTTTCTTGTGGTGGGTTTAGGAATTGTGTTTTTGATGATTGTACTGAAGGGAATCACATACCCCTTTCAAAGGTTACGTCAGGTAGGTGTTTGACGAGTCATTCGATTCGTTCTGAATGTAATGTTTTTTATGAATTTCAACTTTTGGTGTTTTTATTGCTTCTTCTTTGCAAGACCATGGAGAATATTTTAAAACTCGATCATTCCTTATCCATTCCTGTGCATACCGAGTGTTTACTTGGAGACGTACGTCGAATGCAAAGCTATGTGGAAACGTTTCGAAATGTCTTATTTTACTTTTCATTGTTTTGTCCAGAGCTTATTGTCAAACACATTTTAGCGAGTTCCTCTAACCAATCGAATATTAAGGCCGGTGTCAATGATCAAATCATCCCAACAAAAAGCCAATACATGACCATACTTGTGTTGGAGCTCAAGAATTTTTGTGACCTTCAACAACGAATTGGAATGGACATGTTTTGTAGAGTGTTAAACAGTTTTATTTCGGAGTTGACCTCATCCATACATTCCAACGAAGGTTTTGTCTTTGACTTGTCTGTGAAAAACAATTTAAAAATAATGGCGCTTTGGAATGACTCTACCAAGCCCATTGAAAATCATGAACTTCGAGCTGCAGCCACTGCCATTGAAATGCAAACAATCATGGCAGACAAGATCGAGCACATTAAGCAAGAATTTAATTGCCCTTGTGTGGAGATTGATTACAAAACGGTGATTGCAACGGGCATGGTGTTTTTGGCTTGTACAGGTACAACCACCTCTCGAGTTAGTTTTTCTTGTTTTGGGGAGTCTGTTGCGGTTTGTGATGTTTTACTGGAGCATTGTCGTAGTGGCGAGGTGTTGCTATGTCAAAATGTTTTTGTGAAAGTTGCCGAAATGTTTTTGTGTCACTACCTCCGCACCGTTCCAATTTTCACCATGAAACAAGAAAAACGAGATGTGGTCATGTATTCCTTGAAGAAGTATTTGAAAGAATCAAGTGGTATGTAAAAATAGTTGCATTCTCAATTTGCAATTAATATTCCTCAATCATTCCGCTTGCACAGCCTATGAACAACATGTCGCTTCCAAGTTATTGCAGTTGAGAGACAGAAGAAGAGAACTTGACATTGCAGAGGTTTCCACTGATACACTTTATAAGTCCTTATGCAAAGAATTACAAAATTTGGGTCATGAAGTGAATGCTGACAATGATTGACACATTATCATTTCCATTATTTATTGAGATTGAGAGACCATCTCAATCGTAATCCTCTTTCTCTCAATAACTCTGATATTTTTTGGAACTTGGATAAGTCACTATGATCATTTTCTTCGAAATTTCCTAAATGTTGGTCATTCATTAGTCCAAACTTGTTCTTTAAATTATCATAAATAGAACGTATGATAGGAAGAAGATCTTGATGTTGATTAATGTTCACAAAACCTGCATCAATTAACGAACAGAAAATAACGAGTGGTTCCATTTCAGCTCTTTTTTTGAACATTTCAAAATAAAGTCTAATGATAGCCTCGTTCAGTTTTACCCTACTTTCTAGAGCATCTTTCATCACAGTAGATGCTCCTTTCAAATCGTTTTGAAATTTGTAGGCTGTCAACATCTTCCAATGTATTCGAATCGAATTGTTTTTGAATAACTTAATTTCTTTCATTCTCCTCAAAACAATCCATGCTTCTTTCATGTTTCCAACTCTACAATAGGCATCAATTAAATCTTCCATCATGTGTGTCGTTGGTTTTAACTGTTCTACCGTTACCGCATGGTCATAAATGGTGAGAATCATGTCGAGATTCAATTGTGTTGTTAAATTAGAATGGGGTGGGATATATGCATGAATCAAGTGTTCAAACACACTTGTAAGCTCCAATTTTAAGCCATGTTGATATTCTAATGCTTGTTCTGTTGGAGATACATCTTCAGCATAGCCAATAGTCTTTGCAGTGGATTGATCCAAAGCAAATGACGAGTGACTTCGACTGTCTTTGAATCGTTTTCTATTTTTGAGGAGTCTCTGGAAGAGATTACTTGCAATGGTTGGATCAAAGTGATTTTTTGCCAAAAACATGGAAATTGATTCATAACATTTCAAATAATAGAGTCCATACTGATTTTCCATAACATCAAGAGTATCCATCATGACCTGAATATTTCTTGAACCAAGTATCACAAAGCGAAAAGTATCTTCATCCGGTTCAAAACCTGAGTCAATCATGATTGAGAAATATTTGGCCAATAAAGCATTGTCCTGAGACACAACACTGAGTGCAGCATTGGAGGTATCTTTGTTCATACTATCAGTTCCAACAAGGGCTAGAGCTGACAAGAAATGATTCCAGTATGAAGTGTCCAAAGAAATTGTGTCACTCCATCTCGTGACAGCCAATCGGTAATAGTGCACAGCTTTCTCAACCTTGTTTTCAATTCGACAGGCGTCTGTTAAAAAGATGAGAGTTGTTAAATTGGGCTTAATATCGTGCTGTTCCATGCTTTTTTCCAATTCCCAAACGTGTTCAGTCGAACGTAATCTCACAAAAATGTCTAAAAACATGTTAAAAAGATGAACATCCAATGTAATGTCGTTTCTTGTGGTGGGTTTTTGGTTCGATGGTTCATCAAAAAATCGTTGTATTGCTTCCTTAAACATGTTATTCACTTGATTAATAAACTGTTGTCGTTCCTGAAGTACAGTTTTTCTTTCATGTGGGTGTGCTAAATAATATTGACTTCCTTGAAGAGCTTGTTTGATATTGGAAGTGGAGAGAATCGTTCGATTATTCTTTAAAAAACTTTGTTGAAAATTCACTAATTTCCTCCGAATTAATGCAAGTTCTGAACGCAACGTTACATCATTCCATCGAGTCGTGAACTGATTCAATAAAAGTGCAATATTTTGTTCGTGTTTCGCTTTCTGAGAAAGTGTTGTTGAGTCATTTTGATTGTGTTTGAGATGTTGCCGCAAATATTCAACATTGGTTAAATAATTTCGGAGAGAAGAACTACTCTCAATGACATGATCCTGATGAAAACTTGATGCATAATTTCTTTGTTGTGAGGATATCCATGAACCATCATGATGTTTGTTCATTTGTTGTAGTAACCATGGATCATGAATAGTTGATGCTGTTGTGGTGGAGGTGGTGGTTCCGAAAATATATTTTCTGGTGTAATGAATCCGAACTGAGAAAGATAAACAACACTTTGAATTCAACATTTTTTGAGAATATTATACTCGAGTATCCAATTCTTAGTATAAAGATCGGGTCAAAACAATCACTCACTCAGCCTTCCAATCACACACACAACAAGAAGTGTTTTCAATATTTTTTTTTTAATTCCAAATTTGTTTTCCAATCGATGGCCTTCAAATCAATAATAACGGACATTGTTCTTCTTCATCCCAATACCAGCTATTGTTGTTCATGAACCTATGGATTCAAGAGAGAGTTCCATTCGCTTCCTTCGCGAATACCTGATTGGATGATTTTCCATTTATAGATAAATGCTCTTGATCCTCCTGCTTTCGTCATATCAAAAATTTTCAAAACAAAAAAAATAGTAAAAGACCACACAATAATTCTCTCTCTCTCTCGCGGTGCATGCAGACTCCTCTGAGTGGTCTGCTTTTGTCATTGAACACCAACCGATCTTGATTTTTTTAAGAACAAAAACATTGTCATCTTCCGAAATCATTGAAAATTCAAATGACGCAAGTACCTTCACTCCGATTTCTTTCAACAGTTTCTGTGTTTGTTTTGAAGAAGGAGGAGGAGGAGGAGACTCGTGTTGTTGGAGATTATTCATCACCTTCGCTGAACAGAATCACTTCTCCTTCATCACCTAATGTTGTACCACATGGAGGAAATTCATTGTTGTGGACTCATGAGATCGGAACGAACTCTACAGATGGACGAAATGGCAACAAAAAAACAGGAGCTATGAATGTTACAACTCACAGAAAGAATGCAAACACTTTTAAAGAGTATGCAATGATGAGAGGGCAAAATAGAGATAACTTCAATTCAAAAAAGTATAACCCACCAAAGACAGACCTAATTTTTACATATCCCAAAGATTTGACAACCGATAAGACTGTCACAATTAATTCGATGCCTTTATTTTGTTTTTATTCTCATCATCATGAACGAAGTATGTCTGAATATGTATCAAACAATTCAAAAATTAGACTTGGATCTATGGGGACGAGTTGTAACAACAACGTACAGCTCTTTCCGTTCGTAATGACAGACTATTTCAAAAACGAATGTTATTGCTTTTGTGTATTGTTTGACAATACAACACATAATGAAAAGGTTGCAATTGTGTTTGAAACACCAATTCCTATTTATGAAATGATGAATGACATTATTCTGGAAATGTATAGTTTTGGACTCTTCCAGGTGTTTTTAGATGCCCATTTCCGAGATCATGAAATGAGAAATATTGGAGACTCTTCTAATTTATTCATGAATAGTTTTAATAATGATAATAATTATCAACATTTATTAGAAAAGAAAAATTTACTATTGAATAGACTCGAAATGATGATTCATCACATTCCCATTCCGCCACCTTCCAAAAATATCTATACTAGCTTTACATTACTTCAAAAGAATTATGTTTTGAAATATCCAGATGTTGAAGAGTTGCCGTTTTGTAATGTAAGTGAAATTCAAATTGAGATTTATGAGATCACAAAAAACATTCAATGTCATTAACATTCTACCATTAATTATCATGATGATGAAAATTCACACAATTTGTAGATCCCAATTTCTGAAACAATTTTCAAAACATTATCCAACGACATGATTGTAGACCTTGTGAATTTAATTTTATTAGAAAAGAAAATTATTCTCGTCAGTGAAAGTATCAGTCTCTTAACTTATTGTTGTGAATCTTTGCGGACATTGTTGTATCCTTTTCAATTTCCATTAATGTTTGCTTTCATTCCTCATTTGCCTGTGCAGCTGCTTGAAACCATTCTCTCACCTGTGCCTTACATTGCTGGAGTTCATAGCTCTCTCAAGCATGAATTATTTATGGTGATTGATCAGCAGAATCGAATGTTAGAGCAATCCTCTCATACCACTTCGAGGATAAAATCTCCCTCGTCAGCATCTGAACGTGCCCTTTCACCCTCTGAAAATGACACAAGTTTAGTGGTCTTAGATATTGACGCATCAACCTTTATTTATGGAAAAGCTCCAGAGAGGGAACAACGATTTCCCGAACGATACAGACTGCAATTAATTGAGAAATTAGAACCCGTTCTCAGATCCGCATCGAAGAGTCTTGATTTTTTATCAGGACCTATTTCTAAACGTGAAGAACGAATTTCCACAGATATCAGAATTCGAGAATTGTTCACATGGTTTTATTGCAAAATGTTAATACCTCTTAATATTCACATTTTGACAAGAAAATGGAAAAAGAATAATAATAACAAACGAAATGGCACAGAATATATTGATAACATAAAAAGATATGTGCTGGAAGAAGCTGAAGAAATTGATTCAAATCAGAGAGCATTCTTTTCACATTTATTTTCCAACCAGATATTTTCAGAGCTACTGAACCATGGTATTGAAGAGCAATACTTTTATCAAGAGATGTGTTTTTCCATCTTTGTGAATTCTGAAGTTGAAAATTTAATGAAAAATAGAAATCATGTCATTCCATTGGAAATTGATACTACTGTGAAAACTGAACATTTAGATGAATTTGTGTTGCGCGAATCATTTGACACTGCCTTTAACATGAACAGTGTCCAGGAATGGTTTTCGAAAGGTCAACCCAATGATGTCTTGCTTTATTGGATCAACAACAAATTGGAAGCTATCAAAAAGAAAGCTCAATCCTCCACTCAGCATCTCTTGAGTACTAATTATAATCTATCACGATTAATGTTAATGAGATCTTTTGTGAATGAGAGAGCAACAAGATTCGAACAAGCCCTGGAAGATGCACTCACTGCCATGTCCACAGCAACCGATGAAAGACTAGTTCGAAGAGAATGGTTCGAATCCTTATTACTTCGCATTCCCAAACAATCTCTCATGAAATTTGTGGCCAAAATGAAGACAAAATACAATCCAAACACAGAAGATCTTTTTAAATTGGGCTTTCTTGAGAAGATTGTTCTCGACATGCATCAAGGTCATGTTCAAGATGTGAAAGCTCTATTTCAACAGGCAGAGCTTATTGAACCAGGTTCAAGTTTTGAGTTGAGACCTCGGAGAAAATCTGTTCCAAATTCTTCACTTTCTCCTGTCGACTCGGCAGAATCTGAACCTCACACAGCAGAGTCATTGGATGACAAACAATTAGTCATATTCGACAACAACACTGATAATCATTCACAAGATATGCCAAGAGCCAATTCCTTCCCAAGTGGAAATCCTACTCAATTGCCTTCAACGGATGATGAGGTAGAGAGTCACTTTGATTCTCCACCAACCTTGTCACCTCGTTCTCCAACTCAAGAAGAAGAAATTGATGATACAGAATCGTTGGAGGCACTTCAAACACCTCTTACTTCAAAGAAAAGATCCTTTTCGAGCACTTCCATACACGAATACAACAATAATACATCTTCTTCAGCCCCTCAAACAAGTGTACCACCAACAACGAAAGCGACAAAATCAAGCTCAGGAACTATTCTCTTGTCATTACCTTTTATTAACTTTTCAAGTATTGAACATCAATTAATTCCAAAGAATATTGACACACTTTCACAATTGTCAGCCATGAATTCAACATCACGAAGAAAGAGCACCTTGTTTACGAAGAAAAAAAATTCTGAACTAGATGCATTATCCAGAATGGTGAATATTTCGAAAGAAATGTTCTCAATGGTTGCATTTGAATGTGGAATGTTCTTTTCAAAACAAGATGGAGATCGAATTTATGATCAGCTTGTATTAATTCAGAAAGATTCACTACATGTTGTTGACGATACATCGTCAACACTGAAACCAGAGACTCTGAAGAAATTCTTGAATTGGTTCAAAATTGTCAATCAGTTCAATCAATATTCAACACTGAGATTTAGAAAAATTGAAAGCCCTCAAACAGTGGCAGTGTCTTCCTACGAGCAACAACAGCACAATAATGAATCCATTGTGATTTTGACTCAAAGTACACTTTGTGAAGCAACATTTTCATATTCCACACTGCTGGAGGGAAAGGAACATTCCCAAGAGTTACCAACACATACGAATATGATTCACCAAAATGGAAGAATTTGTTTTTGTAATGATGGTTCCATCTATTTTGGAATTTCCAAGTTAGAATTGGTGGTGTCAGACATGTCACAAATAATCAAAATTGATCACTATCCTCCTCAATCCATTCTGAAACAACAACCTGATTTATTGAACTTGAAGATTGAAGGATCTGTCAGAATTGTGGTACGAGTGGATTCGAATACCACTCGACATGTAGAATTTAAATTTCCAAACACCATTCAGAGTTTGGTGTGGTATGGACATTTCTTGAGTTTGATGAATTTCAGCACATCCATTACCATGAGCATGATTATGAGCAAGAAATCACACACAAATTATGTGCCGACAAATCCAACCACTGTCTCAATATTCAGAAATATTACGATTGATCATGTTTTATATCTCATGAAACAAGGATCAACCAACTAGGTAGTTCAATTAATTTATTATTCAAATGATGATTAAAATTGGAAATTTGCTGCTTATGAACGTCGTTACAATGTAACCACTGTTAGAAAAAATGATTTTTCAACTTGTAAAAACCCTTAATATCCTTGTTGTTGCACATAATGTCAACGAACGTACTTAGCATTATTTCGACCTTGCACTCCACTTCAGAATATCATACACAGTCATAGCTAAGGCCATGGTTCCTGAATTATACATGAGCTTTGAGGAAATGCCTTGATTAAGTTCACAGTGTAGCAAACATAAATATATCGATGCAATGGTATAGTGTGTTGTGGTATTACTTGAGACTTACCCTTTGTAAAACCTCTTAAACCCTCTCTCTTCATTAAATCGGCAATCACTTCTCGAATCGAGGATGATCCAAATTTGTGTGATCCCATCGAAGGAGAATTATCACTCCCACTCAAAGCTATTCCCGTCTGAATTCTCAACCTTACAATATCAAATGGATGAAAGATCGATGCTGTCACAACACCTGTCATTGCTCCACTACTTGAAGCAGACATGACCATTATTTCAAAATCCCTTTCACCAACATAGGGCACTAACAGTTGTGAAATATTTTCTTTGAGTGCTGAAAAAGTTCCCCATGAAATTGCAGATTCTGGTCCATAGGTCAATAAAGTAGGAAGCGTTCCTCTGTAAAGACCTCTCAAACCTTCCATTTTCCAAACCTCTCTCACTACATGTGAAAATTTGACATGTTCATTGGGATGTGTCACTTGAGAAATCATTAATCGTTGAGAAACAACATCAAATGGAACGACTATGAAATTTGAAATCACTTCAGCGATTAAACCAGAAAGAGCTTGTCTTTGAAACGTGCTTAATTGAGAAATATAGCCATGATTCTTTCCATCTTCATGTTTTGAAAGTAAATATTGATTAATAAATTCCAGAGAGCTCAAATATGTAAATTGCACAATGCATTTTCCAGTAGCGGCTGAAAAGTATCCTCTGTGTGTTGTGTGAGTTAGCGAATACGAATGAATGGTGTGTGAATTTATAAATTCAAAAATAGCCAAATAATTTTTCAATCTTTTTTCCAAAACAATAGTTACCTGTAAAATCCTCTTAGTCCATGTTGTGAATAAATTCGTTTGGCCACTGTAGACATGCTTTCATGGGCCTATATCATTTGAGATCCAAAAAAATTTCCAAATTTGGTTCCATTGTGTCGTGATTTAAATGTTTAAAAATGTTTTCACCAGATCATGAATTGTTTGTGATCAATATGAAATATTCAATTAAAAATATTCAATATGAAATATTATATTAATAATATATATTAGTAAAATAATTAAATCATCCCCAATCATTTCACAATTAAATTCCGATAATATAAAAAATCACATGACGATTTATAGGAATCATGATCGAACGAATATTAAAATTCCAATCTATTTTGTAAACTTATTCAACAATAGATCTATTTACCTGTAAATTTGCCACCTGATGAGCTCCAATTAAACTAATCGGAAAAAAGATGGATCGCAAACCATATGAAGCCAACACTCCGATCGAATAGAATTTAGTCTTGTCCAATTTATTCCATGTCGTAGTCACATCAGGATGGTGATGTAAAGAGTGGTCCGTGCCTTCCGAGGAATCATCTGCCTTGTGATCCTCTTTATTCGATGAAGGCTGATGTTGCATTTTTTTATTTTAATTTGGGAATTAAAGATAATTCAATTTATTCATTCGAAGTTCACTATTCATACAACTACTGAGTAAACTCAATGGATGTTTTGAAAGTCATAATGAATACGAACACTCCCTTCACAACATATTTAAAGAGAGGTAATTCCAGTGGCCATCTTGGTCTGATATTTCATGCTGTCAATAATAGGTGCAACTTGAGAGGCAAGTTTGGATGGTTCTTTGCCATGCAACTTTTTCGATTCTGAAACTAACAAACACAAATCAATGGGAACACTCACAATTGGAACGACACCTTTCACCACCAAACTTGCCAAACTTGTGGCTCCTGCATTGCCGTGAGTTAATTGACCATTCTGATTAATATTTCCGTATTTGATGTTGACCAATGCATTCATAAATTGCAATACTGGAATACTTGTGGTAGCGGTGCTGTGAGGAATGTTAAATGTCAACAATCGTTGTTCAATCAATGGATCGGAAATACGATAATCAAAAACAAGTGCAATAATTTCATTGACAGTTTTGGCATCTCGCTCCAGAGCTGCTTGAATTTCCTGAGCTGATTTCTTGGCATGTTTCCATTCCGATACAGCAGCTCCAACTGTGGCAGCTGTTCCTCCTCCGACCAAAGCAGCTCCAGCTCCTGTGGCCACCAAACTTCCACCCAAAGTCAATGGAGCTGTGATTAATCCACCAACAATTAAGGTAGCTCCTACAATATTGGTCACTGTTCCGCCCATCTTTGCTTTAGTGGTCGATTTGGCATGTTTGTTCAACTTTTCAGTCATCTCAGAAAGCATGCGGAGAATGGCCTGTCTTTGCTCAAACCATCCTGTGGCCAATCGTTGTAAATGTTGAAGATCGCCTTGAACTGGAATGAAGGAAGTTGTCGTTGTGGTAGTGGTTGTACATACTGGTTGTTGAGGAGGAGAATACTGATAAGGTTGAGGAGGTTGAACGATGGGTGATGAATTTGGATGATTCATACTGACGACCTCATTCCCTTTTTGAGGATACGGAGAAAGTGGTTGAGATGGATTATATGATTGATGATTCATTAGATGCGGAGGAGGAGGTGAATATGATTGAAATGGTTGTAATTGTTGTTGAGGAGAATGAATTGGAACCACAGGTGGTTGAGAGGGTTGCGGAATGAACCCATGAGGATTTCCGTAATTCGATGGAACAGAATAGGGTTGGAGTGGTTGTTGCTGATGAGGATAGGAATAGCTACTAGAATGATAGGGATGATGTTGTTGTGGAAGTTGCTGTTGTTGTTGAGATGTTTGTTGTTGTTGTTGTTGCATTTGAACGTATTGATCATACGGAATTTGCGGTGGTGGATACATTAGATTGTTAGGTTGGGGATACATTGAATAGTTGAGTGGTGGTGGTTGATTCGAGTTGTAGTTGGAAGGGACTTGTTGAAAGGTCATTTTGAATAATATTATTTTTTTTGTTTATGAATGAAATTCTTTCTCTTTAAATCTTCCATCAAGATTCTATTTGCTGATTTTTTGAATGTTACACAGCCAACACATTAATTCCGGATGTCAAGATTCAGCCTGTTGTGATCTAGTGAAAAACAATTGTATTGTACATGTTCATTTATTGAAATTAAAAGACAACTGACAAGACCTGTTATTGTTTGATTAAAGAGCGGTAATTCCAGTGGCCATCTTGGTCTGATACTTCAAATTCTCAATAATTGGTGCAACTTGAGTGGCCAACTTGGAAGGTTCCTTGCCGTGCAACTTTTTCGATTCCTTCACCAACAAACACAAATCAATGGGAACACTCACAATTGGAACGACACCTTTCACCACCAAACTTGCCAAACTTGTGGCTCCAGCATGACCATGAGTCAATTTTCCATTCTGATTGAAAGCGACTTGCTTTTGATTGACCAAAGCTTGAATGAATTGAGAAACAGTCACAGTCGTGTTGGCGGAGGTTGTAGGACTCATGAAAGTCAAGGGTTGTTGATCAATCGATGGATCAGAAGTTCTATAATCATAGACGAGAGTAATGATTTCATTGGCGTGTTTAGTGTCTTGTTCCAAAGCTTCTTGAATGGCCTTGGCTGATTTCTTGGCATGTTTCCATTCCGATACAGCAGCTCCAACTGTGGCAGCTGTTCCTCCTCCGACCAAAGCAGCTCCAGCTCCTGTGGCCACCAAACTTCCACCCAAAGTCAATGGAGCTGTGATTAATCCACCAACAATTAAGGAAGCTCCAACAATGTTTGAGACGGTTCCACCGACTTTGGCTTTGGTGGTGGTACGAGATCTCTTATTGAGTTGATCGGTCAACTCGGCAAGTTTGGCAAGAACTTCCTTGCGTTTTTCGAACCATTTAGTGGCACAGTGTTGAAGAGTTTGAACCTTGGCATTGCCTTGAGTAGAATCGACCATGGTTGGAATTCCACTTTGAACAGGGATCGTGGTGGTAGTGACTGTGGTGGTGGAGGTCACTACTGGTTGTTTCATGGGTAGTGGAGGTAATTGTTTCATTGGTTCTTGTTCTTGCTGTGGTTGTTGTGGTTGTTGTTGTGGATATTGACTCATCATCATTGGAGAATACTGGTATTGTGGTTGCTGCATTGGTTGAGAAAATTGTTGTTGAGGAGGATATTGAGTATAAGGTTGCATAGTTGGATTTCCATAATTTGGATATGGTTGTTGAGGAGGATATTGAGTATAGGGTTGCATGGATGGTGGTTGCTGTTGTTGTGGGTATTGAGGTTGGCCAGGCATCATTGGTGGATAGGACATGGGTGGTTGTTGCATAGGCGGTTGTTGTTGTTGATACATCATCATGGATGGATGCATAGGTTGTTGTTGTTGTTGTTGCATGGGTGGTTGGTGCATCGAGTGGTGTGTGTTTGAATGGGTTTGTTTTTTTGTCCGTCAAGTTGTTACTCGTGTTTGCTGGGGTGATTAAAAGGATATTTGGGAGTGACTGAATCCTTCATTTTTCAAATGAGTTGGGAATTCATCGAATTGTTTATTGGTCGTCGCAAATTGGGCTTGTTGTAAAAAATTTGAAGTGAAAAATATCTGACATGCTGGCGTGATTCCTAATTTTGTATATCATGTACAATTTTTGAAGAAGAACCTTCACTGCTAACTGTTGGAGGAGTTGGTGACATCATGTAGCGATTATGTTTAGCACAAAGAAGAGGAATCAACTCAACCTCAAGACAGTCCTGATTAGAACTCTTTTCGACTAACTGACCTGAATCAAATTTCACCTTCTCTTCCAATATTCGTTTCTCATGCACGTAAATTTTAGTTTCTTTTGTTGACAAAATATTGGACAAGACAATATCCATTCCGTACTGAAAGAGGTTCAGAACAATTCATGCAACATGGGTTGATGACGACAATTTGATACAATTTTTGATATATTCCAGTGATATCAATGGGTCAGTGAAAAGCAAGACCAAGGAGTGTTTGGCACAAGTATTGAAATAGAAGAAGAAACCTACGTTTTGCATCGCTTGTTTCACCTTCTCATCAATAATTCCAACATCAGACTCCAATTTGAATGTCACAACAAAGGCCTGTGGACACCATTCTGACTTCACCATTTTTAGCATTTTCGGAGTTTGTGATAATACAAGCTCGAGCTTCCCGTCCTGAACATTTCTTGACTGAATCTTATGCTCGCTCTATCATTGTGTTTCCACATTTAGAAAACACCACAATTATGAGATAATTTCAGGGTATCATTGAATGTTTCATGTATTATTATTTATGTTGTGAATATATCATTTGGATCATAATGATGGCATATAAATATTTGAAAAATTAAATAAATTAAAAGCAATTTCGTAGATGTGATCATGTAAGCTTTCTATCGGTCACAATTCATTTAAATTAGATTCTTACCATTTCATCGTATGGAATGTAAAAATCAGAGACTGCAGCCGCCGCATATAAGATGGCTCTTCTTCCTAAATTCAAGTCACCAATAACATCTTTACAAATAAATTTGAGCATTAATAAATATTCAAAAAGTGTATCATAACTAATCTCAAGCAATAATTTTTCACTGTTCACTTTTTTTCGTAGTCGCACCAATTGTTTCAATTTTTCATTGGATGAGGAAAACGAAACCAATCCATCATTCTCATTCAACGTAAAACTATCAGGATTTACATGTTCTAAAATATTTAAAGGTCTTTTTGCCGATTCGTGTGTTAGAAAAACAACAACATATCCATTCTTGAGAAATTCTTCTGACGATTGTGCTCCTCTTCGTCCGGTTGAAAAATTTGAAATATATCTCACAGTATTTCGTTCGAGTGGTACATTCATCTTTCCACTCGTAATGAACACATATTTTCTCGGAGATGTTTTATCCTTCTCATGATAGGTTATGAAATCAATTAATTGATCTTGTTTTGTTTGGAGTGATGCTCCAATGAGTTGCTGATAGGTGTCCAGAAAGGCTTGAATATCTTCCTTTCGTTCGCTCATTTTTTTATAGTGCGAGTGTTTTTAAATTTTCCTCCTCAAAGGTTCGCTGTTCATGGTGAAAGTAAGAGGGATGTTGAGGATTTATTATTGTTATATTAGCTGTTGTTTTGTTCTGCAGTGGCATTCGCGATGACGGACTTTTAACAACGGTGACGTTGATCTTTTTAAGAATAGATCGTTTTCAAAAGGTGTGTCTCCTTCTTCCTTTTTATTCTCTTCTTACTGAACGTTTTTCAAATGATCAGTTACATCGATTGAAAGTAATGAAAGTACAAACCTTTGAGACATTTTCCACTTGTGTTGGTAAGATTGCGCATGTGATCTTTGCGACTTTTCAACACAAGTTGAAATTAGAATTAAAAAAAAAACAAACGAAAAAAAAATGTCGACACAACAACCCAAACTTGATCCGCTCTCCCAAAAGCAACTCGAAATGATCAATCGGCAAGAAAAATACAAGGCCGAGATGATGGCCAAAAAACAACAACAAGAGGAGAATGATGGAACAACAACAACAAAAAAGAGAAAATCAAAAAAGAAGGATGAAAAAACTGATGGTAAAAAGAAGAAGAAATCAAAGACTAATAATACTCAAGATGTGCAGGACGGAACCAATGCCATGTTTTACTCGATGGGAGCATATGTTGATGATACAGAATCGGCTCCATCCTCTCCGTCTTCATCGGCTCCAAATGGAGATGGCTCTACGGTCGATGGTGAAGTAAGCACAGAGAAAGAGGAGAGAAGAAGAGGCAAAAAGGAACATCTGCTCGGATTAATAACTTTTAAAATTATTGAATTTTTGCAAGAGGACACATCCAAAAAGTATTCATTTAACCAAATACTCGAGTCAATTGATTATAACAGCTGTACTGAAGAGGTAGATGAGGAAGATGAAAAGAAAACAAAAACCGTTGTGCGATATGAAGACTCACTTGCTGCTCATTTGGACGACAAAACTAAAAGAGCAATTTTCACAAAGTTAAAAGACAACCAAAAAGTCGATTACACTCCAGGTCCACTCAAAACTAAGGGAATTGATGACGCTGCAGTTTTTAGTTTTAAGGCCATTCACCAATCTGTAAAAAACAAGGAAGATATTTTAAATTTATTGAAACATCCAGAGTTTGTGATTAGCGGAATTCCGGTTTCAGAATTGGCTGAAAGCTACAAAACTGTTGGAGAAGATGTAGAACAATTGAAGAAGGCAAAATTGGTCATTGCCATACCCAACCAAGACAAAAAGTGTGAAATTTTGTATTATAACGATCCTACTGTTGCCATGCCATCCATTGATCCCAAATTGAAACAATTATGGGCAGATACACGAAGTAGGAAAATTTCGAATAATGACTTGAAATCTTTGCTCGAAAAAGCAGGACTTCCACCGATCCAGACCGTGGAATGGCCTGAAGACGAATACAGAAGAAAGAAGGAAGCAGAGCGAGAAGAAATGGCAAAGAATACCAAGATTAAACGTTCTCGAAAGATGAATATCAATAAGATGACAAACAAGCACTTGAAGGATGCTTTTGTTGCAGATCAGCAACAGACAACGAACAAGTAAAATAAATTGAGTGTGCAGTCCTTCCATTCAGAGGAATTGATTGGATCTTACGACCTTTTGTGTTCACCAAACAACTACAACAACAACAACTACTCGTTACAGAGCACACACTCACGGTACTAACTCTTCTCGTGACCAAAATGGCGCATTTGTTGTGAGTTGTCTGTCAGTCTTCCAACTTTGGATGGAACTGTTACTGGAAAGTTTTAATCAGGTCGTAATAATGATTGGTTCATGCAACATCTCTCTTGTTGAGAGTGTCTTTTTTGAATGCAAATTCGCAACTTTCGACGAATGGATACGGCTCCTGGAGTCCTGAATAGACAACCGATTTCTTTTCTGTTATCTGTTGAATCAAACCAGCAGATCACCAATTAAGAACCTGCATGCCAATCTCACCCTTCTTGACTCATCAAAAACGCCAGCTGTCACTGGTTTGGTTCGCTTGTCTCTCCCTCGATTTGATGAATTTCATGATTTAAAAAAGAACGCTCGAAACTCCTCCATCATTGCCTCGCTCTCGTTTCGCTCTCTCTTCAGTACAAGTGCCAACTCTTTCGCATCCGATCGACCTCTCTGGAGTCTCTCTCACAAACGAGAATCGTCTGGAACCTCTCACATAACCAAACATAATAATTGATCTGAACCATCTTTCTCCACAACAACAACAAACACTAAAAAACAACAACAACAACGATAAACGACTCAGAAAAGTCCTCAATTAAATTATTGGACATCATCCTCTTGTCATCTTTTCAGAGAGTGGAGATAAAAACAAACAACTACAACAACAACAACGACAATAACAATATTCCAACCAACAACAATCCCTACATTCATCAAATCCCATCGATCGTCATCATTATTCACCTTTTGAATTTTCATCCAAAATAACAACCACTCGATCGAGAGAATTATCATCAACACGATTGTCATCATGTTTTCCAAACTCTCTGCCATTCTTTTCAAGAACAATAATAACAACTCGATTCATGATCAGGATCACTCCTCCACTTCGGGAGACGATACAGCCTTCATGATCTCTTCTCCCATGCTGTTGACAAGTCATGGAAATACATCATCGACGTCGTCTTCATCGAATACCACTCCTCTCTATACCATTCTCAATCCTCAGGACCATGAGAACGTTTTAACCACCACTTCAAATGTCAATCATCATAATCATCATCATCAGGAGGATCATTCCATGATGAATACTTCCTTGACAACTACTAGTACTTCGACGACAACCTCTTCCAATTCTTCTCCATTCATTCATTCGACAGTGAGCGGTTCTGGTGGTTCTTCATCGACCACTCCTTCTTCACCCTATATCTATGAATCATCAAAGAATCGCAGTAATGGACAAGCAACACAATTTTTGGATGGAGAGAATTCACAACAACAGCAACAACATTTTACTACTCAGAGTCCACCTCAACAACAACAACACTTGTTGCCCTCCAATGTATCCAATTCTTCGTCATTGTCTCCTTCACGTTCGAGAGAGACCATGGATTCTTCAACTCCTCGTGGTTACGGTCAACCTTTCATGTCAAATATATTTGGAAAAATTCCACACGAGTTGTTGAAAGACATTTTCTCCTTTCTTGATTATAATGACAGATTTAGAGTTGTGAGAGTGGTGTCACATCAATGGAATAGTTTTATTTTCGAGAGTGAGACTTGTTTGTTTTTACATTTTTCGAAAAACATGTTACGTTTCATGACTCCACAAAATGTGTTGGATTTTGTTCGAAATTTCCAAAAGTTGAGTTGCATTACAATTTATGGTGAATGTCACTCTGAATTGAGAAGAAAATGTATTCGAGAAATTCAAGCAACATCTCCAAGTGTGAGAGGATTGAGAATTATTGATACGAATGAATCAGAATTGAATAGTGTGAGAGATTTGACATTTGCAGGATTACAAAAACTCTATATTGAAACACCAATTGTGACGAGTAACATTTTGACCATCATTCATGATCTTGCTCCAAACATTACTTCTCTCTCTCTTAAATATACTGTACAGGAAAAAGCAGATTCTCTTTGCAAACTTTATAACAACTTTAACAAACTCAAGGAATTGAAATTGGCTGTCACACAACCCTCCAATCATATTTATGATGGCTTAAATCTATCTCAATTGGATACTCTTGAAATTCACAATTTTATGGGCTTCATTGGATGCAAACGATTTGCCAACTTGAAAACTCTCAACGTTTCTGGCTCTGTGAATGATATTCCAACCATTGTACATCTCTTTCCAAATACTACTTCACTTGATATCAGCACTCTGTACGGATCCAATTCAGATCCTTTCGAAACCAAGTTGTATGAAAATTTACCAAAACTTCAACATTTGAGTCAATTGACCATGACCGATTGCACCACAAGTTTATCCATGCTTGATGTGTGGAGCTGTGCATGGTCAACACTCAAAGAACTCGACATTTCAAGAACCACTGTGAATGACTCACATTTAGAAAGACTTGCAAAATTGCAAAATCTTGAAGTGTTGAAAATGAGAGGTCTCTCCATCACTGGACAGTCGAGTCGATTTAATTTTGGTGATGTTCTTGTTTCATTACAGAATACTCTCACTGTTTTGGATGTCAGTGAATGTCGATTATTGGAAAATATGGTACCAACTACCGCTCCAAATCCTCCAGCTTGTTTCAAAAGATTGAAAGCCTTTGAAGCCAACGGTGCCAATGTTCTCAGTGAAAAGAGTGTTTCTTTCATCTTGTCTTCATCACCAAAATTAGAATCCTTGTCACTCATGGCATGTAACGAAGTGAAAGATGAGACCATTGCAAGACTATGCACCAAGAAAATTGTATATATGGATTTAAGATATTGTCGACAACTTGGCGATCCAGGTTTTTTAAAGCTTGTCTATGATCAGAAATTACGTCAATTGCAACATTTCAAATTAGCGCTTTCCTTCGATGTCACACAATTGTCCATCGAAGCAGTTTTAAATCAAGCGAAAATGCTCAAAACTCTTGAATTGAATAGTTGCAAAAAGTGTAATGCTGATCATCTCATTTCAAAACAATTTTTCGAACCAACCTCTCTTCCATGCTTGACTCATGTTGACTTTTCAGGAACGATCATTAGTGACGTTGGTCTATTGAGTATTTTAACAAGCAGTGAAAGAGTGAAAACACCTCTTTCTAATTTAGTTTCACTCAAATGTGCCGATTGTTATAATCTATCACATGATTTTTTGGATGTATTGGACAAGTATTTGGTTAAAATTGACAAACCTCAGGCAGTCATTCCTATCATGGTTGCTGATAAGAAGGTTGTTTACTTTAGATGTCCTTATTTGAATATTGATGAAGTGAGAAGTTCACTTCCACGACCGCAAATTGGTCAGAAATTTCACAGCATCAACAACAACAGCAGCAATGGTACGAATGCCTCGAGTAGCAATAGCAGCAACATGAATGGATCTTCACTGACTCCTTTCGGTGGCTCTGGATCATCTTTGAAAAAGTATCAATAAGATTCCATCATCAACGATTGATTTCACACTGAAACAGACAAAAACATGTCAATTTCTGTCACTTCTAGAATGGCAAGAGTTCCCAGTTCCATAAATGTTTACAATCACTCAACCAAGTGGTTGCTCACATTAAAAAAAATTCATTTTGTTGAACACACAAATATGACCAAAGTCATTATTCAACCCGACGAGTTAACGACTGCAGCCTCTGTCCTCTCCTTGAGCCCTCTCGATATCAAATTCTCTGCTCCTGCTCGGCTCTACCGTTCCCAATTTTCATCCGAATGGGAATACTCTGGATCCTATGGAATTGTTACCGTGAACGTTGATAAAGCCTCTTCTGCTGCTTTCATCCGATTGGTAGATTTAGTAAAGAAAAAGGTGGTCATGGAACAAGAATGTTATGAAGGTTTTGAATACTTGATCTTGGCTGATAACTTCCATGCGTTTGAAGCAGACAATCATTTTGTGGGTTTGTTGTTTGCGGAACGTTTTGATGCTGCTACCTTTGGAAAGCAAGTGAGTCAATTGATTCGTTTGACGAGTGGAGGAAGCATCAATCCACCAACCTCATCATCACCACAACCACAACAACAGTTACCTCCCAAACCTACAACTCGTATCACAACGTCCGATACTGGTGGTGAATCTGTAAAGAAAAGTGGTTCTACTTCTTCAGTAACAACAACTCCAACAAAAAGTGCAGAACCTGAGAAGAAAGAATCTGGTGGTGGTTTCTTAAGTAAATTCTGGTCCAAGGATAAAAAGCAAACACCAGATCGCTCCACGATCAAGATCTCTGGACCCAAGATTGAAAAGTTTAAACATGTTTCTCACATTGGATTTGACCCAAAGAAGGGATTCACTGAAATTCCTCCTGAGTGGAAGTCCATCTTTGAGAAGGCAGGTATTTCTGAAGAGGAATTGAAGGATAAGAAAACTGCCAAGTTCTTGTTGCAAACGATTGCCACTGTGGGAAGTGGAGATGGAAATGCAACCTTTGCAACTCCACCACCTCCAATGGATCATGGAAACTTGCCAAAACCTCCAAGCAGTAGACCTCCACCTCCTCCATTTAAGGGCGCATCCAGCAGTGCCAGTAGTAGTAGTAGCACGAGTACTAGTAACACTGGTGGTGGGTTTGTTCCACCTCCTCCAATGAATGTACCAATTGTCGCCAATAATATTCCTCCTCCACCATCTTTGGCTCAAGCTGTTGCTGTGACAAGTCCATCCATTACCGGTGATGAGAGCGGAGGCGGTGGTTACACGGGAATGGACATGTTGTCAGAGATTAAAGCAAAAAAGCTAAAGTCTGTGAAACAAGAGGATTTACCTGACGTTACTCGCATGCAAGAGAGCGAACAAAATAGTTTAGCTCTCTCTCTTCAAAAAGCCATGGAGCTGAGAAGAGCAAAAGTTGAAATGTCAAGCGAAGAAGAGGATGACGATGAAGACGATGATTGGGAATTGTAAATGTCACTTGTCAACAGTGGTGTGTATTGTTTCTTTTTGAAATAGACGTATTTTCCAATAAATTCTCAATTCATCTAGCTTCTGACCTTAAATAAGGTCAACTTTTTCTGTCAAATAGGAACAAGTCGACTCGAATGTCTTTATTGTTTCCAATTACAAATAAACCTCCACAGTCTTCGAAGTGGATGACTGGCTGTTGGAATCATCTTGCGGTGTGTTGCTAGTGTCGCTTGTGGGATTGTTTGGTGAATTCGTGGAGGAAGACGGTTGGGCGGAAGATGATGTCTCTTGCGTGACTTCTTTCTGCGTAGCAGTACCACCACTCGTGGCAGAGAAAGTCATGAGGGGAGGCAAGTGTTGTTTGCTTTCATAAATTAAGGAAGACAATGTAGCCAAATTATCAACACTTCTTTTCAAGTGAGTTTGAACATTTTGAACTGTTTGATATGTTCTTCCCATTCCATTGCCCAATCTTGTCAATTCAACATTCACATGCTCCAATGCACTGTGATACTTGTTGTGCAGTAAACTCTCTAATTGTTCATTATATTGTTTTAATTCCTTAATTCGAGTCGTCACGCGGATAGGAATTGCATTTGGATTTTTTGATTCAGGATGTGTAATTTCTCCTGTGAAGGCTTTCTTTAACTTCTCCACAGGTTCTGCCAGAGTTGCCACTTGTAATTCAGATTTAAGCTTGTTCAACACTCCAGAAAAGTATGTTGAATAACTTGGTGAACCACCTGATGCCTTTTCCGAGGATGGAGTTGATGGAGTGGTTGTGTTTGGAGTAGCCAATGGATCTTGCTGTACAACGGGTGAGTGTAATTGTGTTTGAGAAGGAAGAGATGAAGCGACATTTGATTCCAATTGTGGTTGTTGTTGTTGTTGTTGATCAACAAAAGGTGTCATCGGAGTGGCCTGTGGTTGAGTTACTGCCGATGATGATGCTGATCCAGTAAACGTTGTGGTTGCAGCGATTACATTACTTTTGAATGATTTCCATAAAGAAGAAAACGAAGGTGAAGAGACCGGAGTGGTGATGGCAGAGGAAGTAGTGGTATGGCTTGATGATGTGTTGTTCGTTTCATCATCCGCCTCCTGTTGTTGAATATTGTTTCCACTCTCTGTTTCTTGAAGAGTTTGTTGGTTTGAAATGGTTTGTGCTGCTGCTCCCGGTTGTTCATCATCATGGCTTGGAACAGTAGTTGCTGCTGCTGCAGCTGATGAGGAAGATGTCAGTGGTTGATGATTATTTGATGGTTGTTGATTCGGAACGACAGCAGCAACACTTGTTTCCGCTTCCTCTTCATCATCATCCTCTTCATCATCTTCTCCTTCAATTTCTTGTGGAGCTTCCTCTTCATCATCATGATTCCGAAGATCATCTAGATTGCTAAATTCTTCTTGCTCAGAGTCTTCTCCTTCCACAATTTGAGGATGTTTATTTTCAGTCATTTTTTTCTTCTTTTTTTGCATAAAATTTGAAAAACCTTACTTGTCATTTAAATAGTTTAAATGTCAACGTTGTTGTGAAGGAATGGAGTGTGAATGGATTCTAGATTAGAAGAATATTGAAAATGTTTTTGAAGAAGTGACGATGTGGGAGGATGAATGATTTGCTGTTGTGGTTGTTGTGGCTGCTTTGATTGTTCTTGAGAAGGTTTCACTTGTTGTTGATTTGTGTTATCACCACTACCACTCGTACTCTCTGGTTGTGTTAATAATTCTGAGATTGGAAATGTCACGTCTTGTTCGTAAAAATCGTTCAATAATTTCGATAATTGTTCAATCCATGCAAGAGAATCTGCTCCTCTAACATTCTTGTCAACGCCTTCAATGTCCATGACCGCTCTTGTTTTCATCACCAATAAAATGTACTGTAGCAATGTTTTCATATGAGGTGCTTCCTTGAGAACAATCTCAGCAATCATACGTAGAGTGATTGAGTTAGGATATTGCTTGTGTTGAGCCATTTTGTCTAATACAATTTTCATTAATTTCATTCTCGAGTCGACAGGACTCAAGTTAATAATTCGTAACAGTTGCGTGTAATGAACAACATCTAAAAAATTCTCATCATAGCTCTCAAGTAAGGAGATTGTTTTGTTGAGTACGTTCATATCAACACTACCTCCAGATATAACTGTCGAAAGGAAGAGTGAAATAAATCTTGGATTGCTCGCCATTAACTCTTTAGGATAATATGTTGAAATGATTGTTGTTAGTTTTTTCAACATGCTCTCCCTGTCGACGTTATTGACTTGCATAAATTTGACCATGACCGATCCAAGGTTTGAGAGAAGTTCAACTGTAGGTTCAATGGTTCCCTTTTCAAAACATATGTTCATGTTATCAATTATTTTTTGAATAGGATAATCAGGAGTTTCTTGATCTGAAAGAACTAAAGACCTCCAAATATTGAAATAAATGTTAAAAGTTTGAACTGAGTATGGAGCCAAATAACGGCTACTGGTCTTATCAGTTGTATAATATTTCATGAGTACAATAGAGTCTGCTTTTCGTTTTAAATAGAAACAAGTGGTAAGAGCCCAATTTAAAATCTCTGTGTTAAGTGTTTTTGCAGTCTTTAAATGTTTCCTAAAGTAGTCCAAACTAATGCTATTTCTACAGAGAGCCATCATTATCGATACCACAATGCGATCATTCATTGCAATATTCCATTCGTTCATAATAGCAATCACTGCCTTGACATCATTATCACTAATATCAACATATGGACTGCATGTATGTAAAAAGTAAAAGTAGCTTTTTAAAAAAGCTTCATCTGGTTTCAACTTCAATTCAGATAATACATTAATCAGTTGTTTGCCCTTTTCGAAAAGCATTATTCGAAGTTGTGGGTCTTTTGTTCTACCCACAAACATCGAGTATCCCTTAGTAATGATAGAGAGAGTCACAATATTGAAATGAGTGGGAAAGCGTTTCTTGGCCTCATCAAAAACGTCAATCGCTTGAACGTCTCCAAGTTCAATTAAATTATTTAACAAGATATTAATTGCTTTGGTATTTCTTTCCAAAAACTGAGAAAGTTTTGTCAACAGATATTTGGACATTTCTGATCTCTTATATTTAGAGCACTCGCGCAAAAAAAAGTGAAAGTAGGCTTTGAATATTTTGTAGTGGTTTCGTTTCTTGAGGAAGAACATTTTCAAAGGTCATCGAGGAATATCCAGGTACCATTTTTGTGTCGAATGCAGAGAGAGGGTTGTAGGTTTCGCTTGGTTGGAAAAGAGTTTCTATTAATTGTTTGAGAGGCTCGAGCTGATTCTCTCGAATGTATGCAAACAGTAAAACTCTATAATGTTTCCAATCAATCACCAAATTCAATTGGATCATATGCAATAAAACATATTGCACTTTGACATGTAGTGGTACAGTGTCATGATATCCTAGTTGTTCTGATAGTTTTGTGTCACTCGCAATGATCAATTGATCGAACGATGAGTCCTCAAATTTTAAGTCGTACCGTTCTAGCATGCAACATAAAAACAATTTGAATGAAAGTATATCGATTGGAATTTCGCTTTCAATATCTGAAGATTTTTCATTGTACAAAGTCTTTGTAGTTTTCTTTGAAGTGTTGATTAATGTTGCAACATGATTTGGAGTGCTTGATTCCAATGAAAATTCCTGAATTTTTCCTCCGGATAAGAGAAACTTCCATATGCTGTCTAAAAGTAAATATTCTTGGTGTAAATTATTGCAAAAGCACGCAAGAAAATATCGGTGACACAGTGTCGACATGACACCCAAGTCGTAATAGTATTTTGCCAAATTTACGGATGACGGTAAATGTTTGTGTTTCTTTGCCACAATATATAAAATAGAATGATAAAATGAGTGGGTGAGCAAATGTCTTTGGTGTGCATATCTTTTAAGAATGGCATGAAAGGCTCTAACAGCTGAAGATACTTGTTGAGTGTCCTTGTTTCTTTTCTTTATCTGTAGTAAACAATCTTGGACATCTTTCGGAAGTAAAAGGAAATCAGGTTGCAAGTCAGCTTTTTCTTCTGAATTGTATTCCGTCAATTCCTCCTCTTCATTCTCCATCCTTTTGTCATCATTCGAAGTGTTGTTGTTGTCTGAAGAACCATCGTCATCATTAAATTCATGATTATTCAATTTATCAAAGAAGGTTTTGTTCGAGTAATAATTGCATGGCTGTTCTGTCAAGTGAATTTTTGAGTTCTTGACAAGAACACAGTTGGTATTGCTCTTGGTCGTATTATGATTATCATTATTTGAATGGGTATTATTCTGGCGAGTGTTCTTTAACAAACTTGTCGGAAAGGCATAACGATGATCCTTCATCAGCAATGACGACGAATTAGAAAAATTCAAAACACACATGGTGAATGGCCTACATGATATAGATGTTGTTGGGCAACCATATTTTAAAATCCAATAACCCGAACATTTTGTTGTGCAACCCGATGAAGAAGAAGAAACCAATGATGATGAGGCAGCCTTCCGAACCCACTGACGCTTCTGCTGTTGGGACATTTTTTTTTTGCAAAAAATACGAAAACCAAAATTGAACGAAATTTAATGATGAAACTCGAGCCAAGTGGATTTCTTCACCACTCCAAGAAATTTAAAGCAACAGTAACCCTCACACTAAATACCGTCTTTACCCTTTTATGAAGGTGGTACTTAGAGCCAGAGGAGTGAGAATTATGAAACACTCAGCGCTTCCAATGCACTTCTGTAGCCTTATGATGCAGATTTGTCCTACATGGCCCTGACATTTTTGCTTATGAGGAAATATCTGGTGGACACTTGATGCGTGATAAATTTTCAAGTGTTATATAACAAGAACGTGTTTATAATATCGAAGAGATGAACTCTCGTTACCAATTCCTATCAATAATGAAAAAACTCTATCACTAATTACTAACAATATTAAATTAATAATAACAGTATTAAAATAAACAGTTACAGTTTTTCTTTAAAAAAAAATGCATTCGCTGAGCAAAGCCTCTTTCGCGAGATTTACCACGCGTTGGCTTTTCGTTTGCTTTTTTTTGATTCTTGTGCTGGTCTTATCGGAAACATCTTCTTATAATTATCATCGAGTGGATACGGACAGTGATGAAATCAGTTTTATGACAAATCAGGTTTTGGGGGCTTCCTCCAATCATCATTTGCGTGTGGAAGATGAAAATGAAAAAATAAGAGAAGAAACTAATCGATACATGCAACGATTGTCAACGTTGTTGAAAGAAAATATTCACAATCCAGTGCATCAATCCTCTATTGAATATTATATTCGAAATTGGTATCGACAATCAACATCTCCATTGGTGTTATTTGCAACTGGAAGACCTGGAACAGGCAAAACAAAAACTTTTGATTGTATTCAACAAGCTTTCTTTGGTTGTTCTCAACAATATCAAGGACAACACAAATGTTATTTGAAAATTAATGGAATGGATTATAGAAGCGAACAAAATTTAACAGTCATTGAGAATGAACTTTCACAACAAATTGTTGATTTTATCAACAATCGTTACAAATTATGCAACTTGGTTATCATTCTAACGGAATATCAACAAGTGATTCATTATCCAATGGCATCGCTACTTTTGTCCTTGCAGAGTGGCTCTCTTAAAGGATTAGATCCATTTGTGAATCTGGGAAATGTCATGTTTTTACTCGCTGGAAATAAGGCATATGAAGGCAGTGTGCCAGATGAGACTCAAATGAAAATGTCAGAACTTGGTGAAATGGTCCACATACAAATCAGCAGTGACGATAAGACACTGAAGAATCGTCCCAGAACATCAGAGGTGGACAGAAGAATTGAGAGCAATAGACAATATATTAATGAAGTTAATCCGTTCTCTCCATTTGATCAGAAGCTCAACCAATTACCGGAAGAGCAGAGGAACACATACCTGCAAAAAGCTCGTTCTTTGTTTGCATCTCAAAATACTGTACTTCTTATATTCAAACTTCAATCCGCACAATTACTGGAGGTTGTGAAATTGAAAGTAGGTATAACGTTATGCAATCTCATGTCGTATTTAAAATGATATTATTTACAGATACGCGAGTATATTTACAAGATCCATGATTTGAATCGAAACATTATTGTTGACATGGATATTCCCGAGGCATCTAGATTGTTGTTGGATCATCTCATTCAGACATCAAAATGTTTCTATTCAAGACCTGGAGGGGCAATTCAACATTACTTACAGTCATGGTTTGACAGTATTGTGATGAATAGCAATGTAGATGGGTTATTATTATCGACACATGATATTCTAACAAATTCACACACAACTAACCTGTCAGAATATAAATTTTCACAAATTGAAAACTTGACATGTGGCTTAAAAGAACAGGCCATATTGGCGAAAATGCTAAATGTATATAACAACAATCAAAGATTTTCAAGATATATTCAAAGCTCTGGATACAGCCATATTGAATGCAAGTTAAAAAAGATTGAAAATGGTGTTGAAATAGTTTACCTTCGTCCGGCAAATACCTTGGCTAAACTTGTAAATTTTGTTACTAGAACTCGATATTTCAAATTTCCAGAATCAACCATTGAACAGTACAAATTAAGGCAAAAAGAAATTGACTCTGCTCTTGCGCCTAGACTTTGTTTTCCAACAGAGCCCACTAATTTACATGCTTCAGATTTCAGGCAAACCTCTGACCTACATACGTACACACAAGTATGCTGAAAGGGAATGAAATATTAGTTTTGGAAGTGATCATTTTTGCATGACATCATCATTCTCCAAGAAATTATGAAATTATATGGAACACGAAATAATCTACTGTGTTTGAGATACACCATCGACAGCGAGGAGGTCTTTAAAGACCCATATATGGGTCACATTGCGAGCTCACATTTTGATTTCAAGATTTTTAATTGAAATCATTTTTTTTAAAAAAATGAAATCTCGGACTTTAGCTCGTTTGTTGATCGTTGTGATCCTTTGGATGATCATTCTCCTCTTTTTAAATATGTTGAATCATATCGATGTACGAGCACAAGAATTTTATGATCCAACCGTTGGACCAAGCTATGAAAAACCTCACTTTCAAAGTGCGGAAAAAGCAACAAAGAATTTGACTCAAGGATTAAATTTTCATTTGAAGAGCTCGGATCCGAAATTATTAATTGATGATTTCACTCATCACTCACTCGATGTGGCTTTATATATTGTGTTGGGTGGAGTTGCTGTCTTTTTTGGAGTACTTTCAATCTCCTTCAAAAAAGATGGAAATATTTTGGTAGCGTTCTGTGTGGCACAACTTATTGCGATCAATGTTGTTATTTTGGTATTCTTTGGATTCTCTGTGAGAAGTGAAATTATTGAATTTTCTTTGGAACAACGAGTAAAGTGCAGAGAAACGCAGATGCAATTTAATGAACAGTGTCAAATGCAAAACTCTCTTTCTCTCACTGATTATATATCAGGAAGTGCAATTTTAAAGGAAGGAGAAAAAATTAGTTCTACTTGTTCCAAACTCATTTCAAGTTATCTTTATTGCGATACTTCGAAACACTTTACAAATTATTTCCAGGTCCTCAACAGAGTGATGGGAAGAAGTGCTGCCGAGGTGACCAATGCATTCTTTGGAAATTTGACTTTTTCATCTTTGGCTTATCTGATCCTTTTTGCCAATATTATTTTTGCTTATGTGTTGCTTGCCATTTACTTGTTTGGTAAAGTCATTGCTGCAAATTTGGATAAATATCTCTCAGCAAAGGAGCAGGTTCGTAAGGAATCAGTTCAAGAGCATAGGCGAATTCATTACCAAAATGGAGTAGATAAACCAGAGACTATGGGACAAAGCTTTGATGATTCACAATCCACTGCAAATGCAGAAAAAGATGGTGAAGATGAATAAGTTCAGTCTTTGACGAAGGATATTGCAATCTCTCATTAACCATCATTAAGCAATAATCGCTTTCATTTCGAGATTCAATTTGGGAAAGTACTACTACACACTTGTTGACATGATTCATAGTTGCAACTATTTTCTGACTTTTGATATTTTCGTTTCAATCGGTTAATGATTATACATATTGATAATAAATTCCTGGTAGTATCATATTATATGAATCCAATAATTATCACTAATTATCTAATTTCTATCGGTTGATCATTCTCTGAAACAATCGATCATGTTTCTTAAACTCTTTTAATGTCAATCCAGGAGTCCTAAAAATTTTCAATAAATTTTCAAGTATAACATTCCTTAGCGTTGAAATTGTCCCATTCTGACTCGGTATTGATAAATCTAAAATTTCCTTCACAGTTTTTCCATACATGTTTGTTATCATTTCCAACATTTCCAAAGATGTGACTTTTTTCAAAATTATTTTCTTCATGTACAATTCCCAACTTTCTCTCTGATCTACTTTGTAAACTTGATGAAATAGTGCAATTAATCTCTCACTGAATTCGACAGAATCCAACTCAACAGCCATTTGAAGCACTTTCACTTGTTGCTCTTTTGAGAAGTCTTCCTCATTTTGAAATGCAAAACCAAATCCATAATATCGATTGAGAACCATTCTATTGAGACCCAATCTGATCGCTTCCACTGGATGATCCCACAAGTATAAATTAATGCAAGCTCTAATCACATAAAATTGTATGATCATGAACGGAATACAAATTCCGAGTATTATCATGAACATGTACAACACTTCTCGAATTTTAAGTGTGTATTGCATGTGTTTCTTTAGAAATCCATGAACTTGAAACCGTCTTGCAAGTTCCCGAGATTTCAATAATTCATCCATACTCGCACTCTCTAACATTTTCTCCACATACTGGTAGGACCTTTGGGCTTGTCGTTGATATTCTTCGGGAGTAATTTTTTGAACAAATCTCGGAGGAGGATAACCGTAAGAATGATCATCCTCTTCATTCCACTGCAAGCTGTTGCTGGCAGCTTTGGGATGAGAAGAATGAACGATCGTTGATGATGATTCCGAGGAGCCTTTTTCGTGGTTGTTCATTTTTTTTTGACAGACATTTTTAGGAAAATTGTTTTTACAGCAGTCAAAGGTAGCATATTCTCTCCACAACTCTTCCTTTATTTACACCTGATGCTCCGCTAATAGAGTGTTTTTCTTGTTCCTGTCCACAGTGAAATGTCGAATAATTGAGATGGTGCCACACAGAACTAGAAAGACAGCTGGAATGGCCAAACATGAACCAATAATCGCTCCCACTACCCATCCCTCCATCAAATTGTAAGGAATGTAACACATATGATACGAGGTGGCATCAAAAACAAAACCTGTCAACCATAACTCATTCGAAGCTAAAGAGGTTGAAAAGAAAAGGGAGGTATTGGAGGGTGCTTGAATCGACGTTTGGGGCAATGTTTGTGTGTTGGATTGTTGGAAGGGAAGAATGGCCGTTGATGAGAGAGTATTTTCATGGTGATACGTCACATTGATGGACTGTACTGGTATGCTAAATTGATGAGGCATTCGAAGGATGGTATGCTCAAAACCGGATGAGTTCTTGAAAAATCCGACTGGACCTAAAAGTTGATATTGCAGATTAATGGCGATGAGAGTATTCTTTGGAAGACTATCCAGTGCAGAAAAGCTCAGCAAAATGGACTGGCTCGAAGCTTTTGAGGTCACATCTGTTTGGTAAATTTTGAGTCCGTTCACTTTGAAGCCAACAGGAGGAACCGCAGAAATAGAGGCTGACACGGATTTGATCCATGAATACTTCGTTGGAAAATCAGTCGTCGGAATGACTCTCTCAAATGTGGTGACTCCGAACACCGAGGTATAGGCTGTAATATTTTCCTTAATTTTTAGCATACAGTCATCAAAAGACGACACGGTAATATCGCTCACAAATTCCTTGATCGAATCATATTGTGCCTGTACGGGTTCTAGTGGTGAACATGAGAGAATGAATAACATTATTAATGACAAACAACCGAACACGGTCGGCAGGAAAGTCCTTCTCACTGGAAAGAATGCTCTTCGTCGGACCATATTGAATAATAAATCTCAACAATAACAGAATCTATCCTAGTTGTTGGTTTGAGAAAACTACTCCCAAAAGATATTCGATTCCCGAATTAATAGTGAATGAGGGAAGTGGTGTCGTTGTACTAGTAATCAGAATATTTACGGTGGAGAGAGGATTGTCAGTACAGCAGCGGACCACTCGAAACTACAACTTTTTTTTTAGAAGATTCGAAATTGTAGAATTCAATTCAAAAAAAGGCGCAAATTTGACTTGATCTCTCGTTTCAAGTTGGAAGACAGTTTTTTGATGGTTTCTGCAACGTTGATGAAATAGAGGTTTGAAAATACCATTTGTTGAATTGATTGCAATTTGATGTGTCCACTGACTAAAAGGGAACATTGGAGATGGAGACAAAGTGGGAATGGAAATACTGAAGGAACCCATATCGGAGAAGAGGTATAAAGATGAAATGGATTCTAAGGAACCATTCTTGGCATCGCCTCGTATTTGGATGATAGATTGGCATAAAGGAGGCAATGATTGTGCCATTATTATTCCATTGAAAACCAAAAGTTTGCGACTTTTTTGAATTAATTAATAGGCTAGCCGTGAGTGTTGGCCAATGGTGGAGCAGTCAAAGTTTTAGTGAGGTCAGGTTTGGATGCGATCGAATGAGCTTTATCAGGTACTCTCCCTGAATAAAGTTGTCTCTAAGATCTAGTGAAGTTATATTTTGCATGTATGGGCTTTTAAACAGCATCATTAAACCTTCATGTCCAACACTGTCAGATCGCAGTGCAAGATATCTCAGTTTTCCAAATGAAGGAGTGTTTGTAATGTGACGGAGGCAATCGTCCGAGCGAAAAGAGGATGACAGATCCAAAGAGGTGAGGTTTTTGAAGGTGTTTTCCAGTGACATGGCTTGCATGCCATTCTCATCAATACTGTTGTTCGATAAATCAAGTGTTCTCAAATTTTTGACGTATTCTGTCTTCGAAAGAGCCTTAATGCCAGCAACACCAATTTCATTTTGACTGATGTGGAGGCACGTCAGATTGCTCATATATTCACTGCCTGCAATGGCACTAATACCATCGTCTCCAACTGAGCATTTACCCAACCCCAATATAGTCAAGTTTTTCAAATAGGCACATGATGAAATAAGTTCTGCTCCTTGCTTGCCCGTTTTTCCATTTTCAGACAAATCTAATTCTTTGAGGTGTTTCACATTTTCACTCTTCACTAGACAGGATATACCCTTGATGTCAATATAATTGTTGGTCAATATCAATGACGTTACATTTTTCAAATACTGACTTGTAACGATTGCTTCAATGCCCTTATTCTTAATTTTACAAGACATTAAATTCAAAGATGTAATATTATGAGCGTTTGGACATTGGGCAAGTATGGTTGCTCCTTCGGCCTTCATTTCATTAAACCCATAGTCCAAAATTCTGAGATTATGGATAAAGGTACTTTCTGTGACTTGACGAATGGCGTCAGTCTCGAGGTGTAGACCATCCACATTGAGGTGTGCTAAAGTTGACATGAATGAACTTTTGCACAGAGGCTCCACACAATCAAATACATTGTCCTGAAGGTGTAGAGCCGTAAGATTACTCATCCATTTGCTGGCACTAATGGCCCTGAGATCTTCATTGCCAATATCACAACAGTTCATGCATAATTCTCGGAGTTCCTTCATGTTGTTGCTATTCACAATAATTGCCACTCCTTCATCACTTAAAGAACAACTATTGAGAGATAATTTGGTAAGCCCTTTCAAATGTTCACTTGAAGAAATAGAACGCAAACAATTTGCAGACAAATCATTATAGTCCAAAATGAGTGTGTTCAGTCTGCTCATCTTTTTCGATCCAGCAATTAATTCAACAATTCTTTCATTAAAGTTTGGTAACTCGTCAATTTCCAATGATGTCAAATTGGGCTGATGAGTTGAACTTGAAACGAATTGATCGAGCTTTGCAAGAACAGTTCCTTCTTGATCAATTTCTTCTTCCCTGAAAAACTTGATAGACAAGGGAATTCGTAGTACCTGAGCGTTCCATTGTTTTGAAATTTTCGCACAAACTTGCACACAAAATCTAGAGTCTAAATACTCCAATATATGAAAAATCATGTCATTTCCTATTTGGTTAAAGCGAGATGAATATTCAGAAGGTGTTGCCGAAAATTGTTCATTGGGATGTTTCATTTTCTTGGTTGATAGAAATGGATCCATTTCATTCACTTCACTCAGATTGCGTTTATGGTGAGTGTGATCTTCATAAGAAGAATTCAAATGACAACATTCCAATGTTGAGTCCATCGATAGGCTCTTGTTTATGTCCGAATGGAATTGTCTTCTTCCTCTTTCCATCTTCCAAAAATTCATACACTTTGAAACATGTTCATAGAGTACGTCATCCTCTTCATGGTCCTCACGTTGTTTACAGTCGGAATGCTTTTCTTCATCGAGCATGGTTAGCTCGACCTTTGAATCAGCATGATAGGCAGTTTTCATCAATGAAACGCTTCTCAAACAAAAAGGACAAATACGTTCGGTGGAATTCCACTCATCCATTGATTTTCTAATAAATTCAACGGTAATATCGACATTATCTAATCTGTGGTGAGGCGATGATGAGAATGTGTTGTCATCTCTTGTCGAGTGTGCTCCGGAGTGAATGGTCATTTTTTTTCTGGAACTTTTATCAGCCTCAATTTTGAGACCTCTTGTTCAGCTCTTTTCTGACTGACCATTTCATTCGTCTCACAACAACGTTCAAACCCTCTCATAAAATTCTTTGTAAACAATTACTCAGTTTCTCAAAGATAACACTTTTTCATTTCCAATTTGGGATGTATGGTATTCTCTTTTTTGCACAACAAAATCGTCGCCTCTTTCAATTGTCTCAACATTATTTCCTTTCACTGTAATGGTAAATTTGTGATTGGCTTTGCTGTTTACAGGTCTCTTGAGATCTTTGAGAAGTTGTTTCGGAAAGTTTGAGGTCCAACGAACCACATGCTCTTTCAAAATATCAAAAGCCGTTTTTCCTGCCTGATTTCTCGTATATTGAAGGTGTAACCCCTTATTCAACATGAAAGCAATAAATGGAGTCAAAGGATCGATTTTTGTTCTCAATAAACGTTTCACAAGGAAATAGGACAAATCATCTCCTTCCTCGAATTGGTCATCTATTTCTCCTCGTTTCTTTAATACTGGAAATTCTGTTCGGTTCAAACGAAATTCCAGAACCTCTTGATTTCCTTGAAACTCTTTCAAAATACTCTGCACTGAAACCAATACTAATTTTTTGCATGAAAATGGTTCTGATTCTTGTTGCTTATTGATATACTCAAATCCTATTGAGATATCATCAAGATTTAAACTATAAAGTCATAACTTGGAACATGTGTTTTCACAAAATCAATCATAAAACCAGAAAGTACATAGAGTAAGGAGCATCCAAAGTTACCAATATAAATACCATACTTGTTGGTTAATGATTTCAACAGATCTGTGAGTTGATTGTCACTGATAAATGTAAGGAATGAAATGGTTAAATTTGGCATATGTCCTGGTGATCTAGAATGTCATATTCTTCCACAATTTTGAGTTGTTCTACTGAGTTAATACACAACCGTTTGATGACTACTCCTTTACACTTTTGCTTGATTTGAGCTAAAAGGGATATGGATGTACGGTATTGATCTAGCGAATAATGTTGATACGTTTCCACGTTTGCAATATTCCACACATATGAAAAATAGTCTTCATCAATGTTAAAGTTTTCAATCAAATAACGAGCTTGGTCAAACTTGAACACTTTTAGCAGAGCCAAAATATATGGTTCAACTCTAAGGTATTGTTTTGGAAATTGTCTCACGACTGAGAGAACATGTTCAACAAATTCGTCACTTCTTTTGGTAATAAAATCATATTGTCCATGGCTAAAGGGGCGTGGTCCGGCATGCTTTCCAATAAACTCAATATGATTCAGAACGATAGGATTGGGCTGGGAGAAATGAACGACCTTAGTCCCTAGAAAACGCAGAGTCATGTATTTCAATTTGGGAAACGAGGTAAACGGAAATTGAAAAGGTACTGCAATGGATCGACAACTGTTTTTCGCAGTATCAGAAAATACACCCACATGTTCAATATTTCGAAGGCACGTGTCTTTCTTCTCTTCACAAACTGCTTCAAATAATCGTCCCATTTAGACAAATTTAAAATTCTAAATGCTTGTTTCTTGATTTGAAGTTGAGAAAAATCGTACCATCGTGTAGCGAATAATTTATGAGCATAGGATACATCGCAATCAAATCCTCTCTTTATCGGAAAGTGGCCGTTATTGACAAGATCAATACATGAAAATCGTATCAATAAACTCACGAGTTGATACGATGCTATCATTCGAGCAAAAAGAGAACAAGTCAATGAAAGAGGCTCCAACTCACACAAGGCTCCTGTTCAAAATCAATACATTTTGGAGTCCGAAGTAAAAAATCAATCTCATGCTTTAGAACTGGAACATAACTCAGATATGGGTCTTGACAAATGTCTTTGACATAATCCAAAAAACTGAAAATGTGATGGTAAAGTTCCACAGGCAAGAGAAGAATGAGACTCCCTTCGTTCAATTTCATTTTGAAAAATCTTTGAAACAATCCTTTTGCAGTCGATTAGTATTTTCAATTTTTTGTTCTTCAAACTCCATGTCAAGCGTCAAAAAGCGTTCCACAGATAAAAAATGGCATCCTCTTGATGTTGCCGTTAATCCATGTTCCTATTGGTGCCAAGATGATCACACAAAAGCAGTCCGTTCATGATCACTTGAATCAATTCAATCAAATGTTTTTTTCAACTATTTGGAAAACCATCCCAAACCCCGCCAAAATTAACTACTATTTTCTCTCTTCAAAAAAAAATTACGAACTTGATCCACAACAACAACATGTCGGAAACCACTCGCATTCTTTCCCTGAAGAATGTGTTTGGTCTCAATGCCAAAGTTAAGAACAATATATGGTACATTAGTGAGTCTTGCGTCGTGTATCCATCGGGACGATGTCTCGTTTTCCATCAAAGCAATGGAGTGAGAAAGATTCGAACGGGATCCGATTCAACGGAAGGTATCTCTTCTCTTTGCCTCTCCCCCAACAGAAAATATCTGGCTGTGGCAGAGAAGACCAAGCCGCTCTCAGCCAACGTTAAAATTAATGATCTCAAGAAGAATCCTCCTGTCATCAAACTTTACGAAACATCGAATTATACAGTCAAAAAAACAATATCACATCCTGGAGTAGGATCGCATGAATATGTTTGCATTGCATTTTCTCAGGATGGTAAATACTTGGTAGCTCAGGGAGGAGGCCCTGAATATAACCTTGTCTTGTGGTCAATGGAGGGAAAGACCAGAGTTGTAGATACGTTTTGTACATCATCGGTAGATGGAGATCCTGTTTTTCAGTGTTCAATTAGTCCGGATAACAAGACCATTTGTGTTTCAGGAAATGGTATTTTCAAGTTATTAACGGTTGACGAAAGAGAAAAATTGAAAGTCCTTGTCGACGGAATTGCTAAAAGAGATCATGAACCTTATCTCGCTCATACATGGCTCGATGAGGAACGTTTAATAGTTTCCAATGCCAATGGAGATTTGTTTTATATTTGCCAAAATGAATTTAAACAAATACTGCCTTCGTCACCTTCTGACGGTCTCAGCATTACCTCTCTCATTCCGTATGGCACAGGATTTGTTTGTGGAGGAGAAAATGGAATTGTTTCAATTTTCGAAAAGTCAGCAGACGACAAGGAGATTTATGCTCGATCAAAAACATTGAGAATTATGAATAGCACTCAATACAAGGAACTTGGAGAGACCTACCTCGACCACAAGATTTTGAATTTCAATTTGAGCCCGTCCAACGAAAATCTTGTCCTATCTACGAGCTCTGCTCAAATATTTACACTCAATATTTCAAGCTCAGATATTTTACAGAAGGAGGATGAAATCAAATTTGAATACTTGACCATTCCTTTCCATTCGAAACCAATCACAGGTATCGACACTGCCATCAGAAAACCCATTGTTGCCACATGCAGCACGGACAAAACTGTTCGTATTTGGAATTATATCGATAATAGTTTGAACATTGTGAAACACTTTCCTGCTGAGGCCTATTCCATTGCTGTACACCCCAGTGGTCTACACATTGCAGTGGGTTTTCAAGACAAGCTTCGATTCATGGATATTTTAGGTGATGACATTAGGGAACAAAAGTCATTCCTAGTTAGAAATTGTGCTGAGGTAAAGTTTAGCAATGGAGGACACTATTTCGCCGCTGCTCACGGAAACGTGATCAATGTCTACAATACGTACACTTTACAATTAGTGTCAGCCCTCAGAGGTCACAATGGAAAAATCAGAGCACTGCAGTGGTCTGACGACGACACTCGCGTATTGAGCGTTGGCATGGATGGAGCAGTCTATGAGTATGTTATCAAGACAGAAAAAAGGACCATTCATCATACGAGTAAGAATGTGGCTTACACTTCCGTCGTTACGGATGGTAAAAACATTTATGTATGTGGAAGTGACAACAAGATCAAGGGATTTAGTGAAGGAACCCCTCAGCTAGAATACGATCTCGGAGAAAATACTCTTGTATGCATGGAATATTCAGAGGGTCAAAAGCTAATCTTTGGAGGCATGGATAACGGAGTGATCTCTGTTCACTCATTTCCCAATTTAGAATATATCGAAGACAAGATTATGCTGCATTCAGGAACTATCAATCGAATTGGAAAATCATGGGACGATACCTTCTTGTTTACGGCTGGAGAGGATGGCATGTTGGGAATTATTGAAATTAGAGATCGTGATGGTGGAAAGGCCAAAAAGGAAACAAAGTATTCTGAGGAAATTCTCATTTCAGGAGCGGATTGGGAAGAGAAAAATGCAACCATTGCTGAGCTGCAAGCAAAAGTTGCCGAGCTCAAGTCCGACAACGAGTACGAGCAAAAAAAGAAGGAAATTGAGTTTAACAACACCTTGAGAGAGCAAGCAAAGAATTTTCAATTGGAGCTCAGCAAAAAACAAGAAGAAATTCAAAGTATTCTTCAAGAGAAAAAGGTCGTCACAGACGAGTATGAAAAGAAAATTGACGAGCTCATCGAGAAACAACGAGAAAAAATTAAGGCACTTGAGCAAGATTTCAACGAGAGGCTTCACAACTCGTTAGAACAGATCGCTGAGCTCAATAGAGAACGGGAAAAGGAAAAACGAGCGATATTAGAAGAGGCCAAAACAAAGGAAGAAATGCACATGCGAGAACTCACCGACATTACAGAAGAATATGAAGACGAAATCAAGAGAAAAGAAGCATCATCGAATGCCCTCATGGATGAAAAGGCTGAACTTGAAAAGAAATTTGCTGAAATTAAGAATCAAATGGAAGAGGATCAAGATAAGGAAATTAAAATCCTGAAGGAAACCTATGAAAAGAAGCTGCTCAAAATGAATGAGAGCTACAACGAGGCAAAGAGTGAAGCAAACAAATGGAATGACCGATTCATTGCTCTTCAAAAAACACTTAAACAAAAAATGGAGCAAATTGAAAAACTTGAAGAAAAGAAGCAACGTGCAGAGAACCTGAATAAGCAATATCAGGAAGACATTCAAAAGATGACAGAAGAGAATAAGGAAAGAGAGGAAACCATCATTGACAAGGAGAAACGAATCTTCAAACTGAAGAGGCAAAATCAGGAACTTGAAAAGTTTAGATTTGTTTTAGAATACAAAATTTCAACCTTACAAGAACAAATTAAGCCAAGTAAGGAAGAAATTACCGCTCTGAGAAGAGAAACCAAAAAGATGAGAAAAGAGTTGGAAAAGGCGAAAGAAAAGAATGACCGGTTAATACTCAATATTAAGGATTTAGAACTAAAAATTGATGGACGTGTTAAGGAAATACAACGACTCAACTTTAAAGTGAAAGACTCGGATACTCTTCTCAAGAGAATACGTGCGGATATTTACAAGGTTGCACAACTGATCCAAGAGCCAAAAGAACTGAAAGAGGAAGTTGCAAAACTGTATCAAACCTATGTCTCTGAGCAAATTGCAACTCAAGAAATGGACTTTGATATTCAAAAAGAATATGAAAGACAACGGTCCTATTTGGAAAAGACAGTTGAATCCCTCAAGAAGAAGCTTGTAAAAGCGACTGAAACTTCAAAGGCAGATAATAAGCGAATCATGAATGAGAATGTGTTACTGATCAAGTAAGTACGATGTATTTTTTGATCATGGTTATGAATCATGTGTTATTTTTTCACTTAAATAGAGAAATTAATGAATTGAGGAAAGAAGTACGATCCCTCAAGAGCAGACTGAAAGATAAGGATGTGGAATCAAAAATCGGAAAGAAGAATTCTGTTGAGAACTTGACAGCATCTGCTGAAAAAGAACTTCCAGGCATCACTTCCCTTGAGCAAGCTCTGAAAGAAATTGAAATGCAACGACACAAAATACAAACGCTACGAGAGAAAGTTGAGGAGTATGAAGCCGAGAAGAAGGCACTCTCAAGACCCATTTCCAGAGAACGGCTGCCACCAGTCATTGTATAAATATTCGAAACTATTTTGTTCATGCAAGTGGCAAATGACATTTTCGCGTTTTATTACGCTCTTTTCCACACAAAAAAATACCCGAACCTGTTGTCTTGGAACTGTATTGGTGTCATCATCATTAATCCATTTTCTCGAGTATTATAATTTAATATTATATATTTATCATATAGTGAACTCTCATCATGGTGAAATACGTGTTGGGTCTTGGAGCCCTCCTTCTTCTCTTCGCTTCCTATATTTTATATCCTGTATTTCTTCATCCGGACTTACCTCTTCAATTATTCTTCAAGAGTCTTGTCTTTAAACTTTCTGTACGATTTTCTGATATTATCAAATTCAGACACGAGTTATATAAAGTCAGAAACACCACAATGGAATCTCCTCTCCTCATCAAAACAACCTTTCAAATTCACTATATCACTCTATCATCGGAATTGTACTTACCCGAGAAGGACAATCCCTCCCATGAATCTCACTATTCTCTCCGAGTCTATCAACCCAAACAATACAAATCAGGTGGATATCCTGTCCTCATGTACACTCACGGAGGTGGTTGGGTTTTAAATCATTTGGATGTTTACGACTTGTTTTGTAGAAAGATGGCTGAGAGAGGCTTTGTAGTGGTGAGTGTGGGTTATCGGAAAGCACCCGAACATGTATTTCCAGCATGTTTGAATGATGTCTTGAATGCATTGACTTGGATTGGAAAGAACTTGAAATCTGAGATCATTCCGCAACAACAACAATCCTCATCATCATCATCATCTCATCAATCATTGGAAAACAAATTCAATGCCAATGTGAATCAACTCACCATTTCTGGTGACAGTGCTGGAGCTCACTTGTCCATTCATGCCTTAGTGAGAATCTTCATGTCGGATCCAGAGATTGTGAAACGAGAACAAATTCCAAAAGTTTCGTATCAAGCTCTGTTTTATCCTGCCGCTCACTTTTATATGGCCAACAAGACACGATTTGAGTCGTATAAATTATTTGCTTCTCATGGCTATATTTTGGATGATCCTGTATTGGAAAAGTTTTGGAGATATTTGGTTGGAAATGATGTATCGATTGAGGAGGCAGCTTTGAATCCTTACTTGTCAATATTGAGCGCCATGGATCCTCGATTGGTAGAATCTAAATCACTCTATGCAAAATTCCCAAGTGGATTTGTCATTTCAGCAGAGTATGACATTCTGAGAGATGAGGCTGCAGAGTTTGCAAAGGCGGTGACGGAGGCCTCTAATGGTACCTCTGTTTTGAAACATTTGAGAACGCCCAAGGTCACTCACGGATTTGCTCAATTTCCAAGTGATGAAATGGCCAACCACTTTGCTGCCCTTATCAAGTCGTATTTTGCATCTGCAGCCACGACGACGACGACGACGACAGGAGGAGTTTCACAGCCTCAACAGCAATACGAACAAAAATAAACAGCAACAACAGGGGCACAACCATGTCCACGATGGAGAGGAGTGGAATCCGAACCCTTTGATTCCCGACTGTGACGGTACTGTTTCTCATGCTCGGAATCCGAAATGATTCCACAACCGTCATCACAAAAAAATGTTTCTACACGAGCGAGCATGGGCTCTCTTGAACTGGCTCTTGCCGAATGAATGCAACATTTTGGAATGATTGATTGGGGTTTAAACTCGTTGATTATTAAGCCTCTATGAAAAACATGATGATTTCATCTTCTTTTTACCTTGGCGATTACTACTACTACTTACATCCTCGAGAATTGATCATTTCAATGATAATCATGAGGAAGAACTTTCATTGATCAATGAAACGTTATGAACCACTTCATTAGGGTGGATCCCATAAAGGCCCTTTGTATACAATGACGTTATGAGTTGGACATTCAGACAATCGGAAGTGCTCTATTCTTTTTTTATCTCTCCATTGAGGATTACAAAGCACTTTTAAGATCTATCTCACTCTCTCTTCGGATGATTGGACCTGCTCAGAGGACCATAGGATTTCCTGCTGCTGATCGTTTGGTCGAAACCAACAAGTCAATCATTTGAGTCCTTTGATATCCAATCACAAGATCAAAAAAAATTATTTGAAATAATACACTGCAAGTCAGGATGAAACGATTGGTTGAAGGATTATTGAGTAGTTTAATGCTCATCTCTTTATGCACCATCATGATTGAAGTTCAAATGATCCATAGCTGGGATTTGTTGTTTAACAAGAGAGGAGGAGGAGCAGAAGTCGCCGATCGATCGGTCCTGACAAGTGCTGTTGGTTCTTCTCTTCATGCAACCTCACAGTCTCCTGTGATTCATGAATCTCACAACGGACTCTCTTCAGTCCATCATCATCATCACCTGCACTGCAAGGAAACAATGAAGAAACGAATGATGGCCATTGCTCGAAAGGATCGATCACAAGTAGAATTTGTAAAATCCAAATTTATATCTGGTCAATGGCTATGGGGAGATTTCACTTACATTGATTTTCCAAAGTCCACGAATAAGAGATCAGGTGTTGTCTACACTCTCCATGCCTATGATGGCAATGAGTTACACATTACTGGATATTTTGATGACTACTCGTCTCGCTTGACCGATTGCATGACATTATCGAATAACGAGCGTTCCAATTATCATTTGTGTGATTTAGAGATCAAGAAGACCAATCAGGAGAATACTCCTGATCAAAAATCGAAACAACTAGTTTGTATTCGATTTGAACAAGATCAAGGTGTCAAGTTAGCCATTCATTTAAATCCCTTAGATTGCTTTTCGAGCACTATTGATTTTGCTCCAACTCTTGTTGGTGACAAGTCATCGGCAACACCATCAGATTCAGGTTCAACCTCGAACACCATTGCTGCAGTGTACATTGCACCAGGACAAACGTCGTCTCGCATCAGAGATTTCATTGTTGTACTTGGTGCTTCTTGTGCATTTGTGTGTGGTTTTGTGATTTTATGTAGCGTGGCATGTGGTGTCGAATTGTATTATAGAAGCTATCGAAAGAGAAGACACGAAAAATTGGCAGCAACTGAACACAAGATGGAAGGAGTGATGCTTTTGGATTTATTGAACCAATCAACGCTGTCTCAATACTATGGATCTGATCAAAACTGTTGATGTGAGCACTAAATGCATTATTTCCATGTACAAATTTTTAATGTTGTATAAATTGTTGTGTTTTACCCTTATATGCTTAGATGCGATTCAATTTTGGAAATATCACTCACGCTACCAAACGAATGACACTAACAAGATCAGTTAATGGTTCTTAATACGGTAGTATAAAAGTGAATCAATATTCTTCCTCCTCCTGGTTGTCATTCACAACAAAATCGTCATCCTCATCCATGTCGTCTGAAAGAGATTTGGTGACATCAAAGGCTGAATGATTGGAATCTTCGGTATCATCTTCACTTTCATTGTCCTTCTTCTTCTTCTTCTTAGAGAACCAATTGCTTTTTTCAGTATTATTCTCAAAGGCAATAAAATCTGCCAATGAATCATCAGACATGTATTCATCATCCTCATTATTGTCATCATCATCGTCAAGCACAGAAATTAACTTCTTTGCTTTTGATTTGGAACTAGTTTCCTTGTGATGAGATGGAGGATATTCAGGACTATGTGGTGCCAAACTTTGTTCAGTTGGAGCCTCTTGATCTGACAATCTTTCATCCACCAAAAAAGCATCTTCCTCTGGATCGTGTGATTCTTTTGATCTCATTTTCGTGTTGGAATTGGAGGGTTGCTTGCTGGATTTCTTTTTTATGGCACTTGAAGACTCTTCATGAGAGAGAGAAGATTCACTCTTCTTTTTCTTCTTTTTCTCTTGTTTTTCCTCAATCATCATCATTGCATCGTCTTCAACATCTTCTTCCTCATTCAATGGCTTTTTCCGCTTCTTTTTGGAAGAAGATTCTTTTTTATCCTTCTTGGTTTTCTTTTTTTCTTGTTCTTCTTCACCATCATCAGCACCTTCCTGATTGTCATCAGTCTTCTTTTTTGTCTTTTTTGTAGACTTTCGTTTCTTTTTGGTTTGTTCTTTGTCAAAGTCTTGATCGTCTTGTTCTTCTTGATCACTGGATGGATGTCCTTTTTTCTTCTTGTCAACAATTAATTGTGAATAATAGTGCTGACTTGATGCTGCATTTCCTGTAATATCTTTCTCTGAAACGACTTGAATCACGAGGGCTCCATCAATGCCATTCACTTTGAGTGCAGCTTTTGTTTTACAATTGCAGCTCTCTAAATCTTTCTTCACTTTGGGAATAATTTTTGCCAAACTCTTATTGAGAGCTAACTTTCGATCAATGCAGATGGATTGCAGTTGTGAATTACCATTTCTCAAGTGTTTGAAAATAGTGAGTACAATTTCTTGATTTTCCTTAATGTGTTTTCCAAGAAATCGGATTAACTTGAGAAAGTTAGCCAAGAAGGTTTTTGCTCCAATCAGAGTGGCTTGTAATATTTGAGCTGTACATGAAGTATTTCTGGTGAGACGTGTCAAATTCTTGTAGAGACACAGAATATGGCTGAGTTTGGTCAAACTTTTGCTGTTCGATTTTGCGGTCAAATCACACTGCATTAACTTTTTAGCCAGCACCAAATAGCATCTTTTAAAGCAAATTGGCATGGTTGATTTGGTAATTGTTGGAAATTCTTGATCTAATACATTGCTATTGTCTCCAAAATGTTCATCACTTAGCTTTTTTCGAAAGAGCTTCTACCAGAGGTGTCAAACCACCTGGCAAGGTAATGTATCCTTCAATCAAATTTCCTAGAGCGTCAGATTTGACCTGCGAGAATGGAGTTTGGAGTATCTGTTCTGCAACTCCTTGCAATGCTTTTAGGAGGCTTTTGATATTAGAAACTAGTGCTATTGATTTTAGCAATTCATAGAGTTTGTAACAGGACTCAAACGATTTTAGAGAGTCAAGTATTTTTCTGATGGATTCGAAAAGTTTTGTGCATTTGTCTTCATCCTCCATCGAATGATCTTCATCAGGAAAGTCCACACTAAACATAATGTCAATTATTTTACAAAATTCCAACTTGTCGCTCGAAAAATATTCCAACGTTTTGGTAATAATGTCAACCAATAATTGAAATGATGGTACTATGAAATCACCGTTCTTTGTTGACTCTTCATCTTCGTCAACTGCTTGTGAACTACTGTCATTGCTAGCACTTTTGTCTGATATGGCTCTTATTTGTTTGTAAAGTTGAGGCAGTAATTCAAAAATTTCAGAAAAGAACTCTTTGGTAGATATTCTTGATAAATTATACATGTTTTCTTTTTCTTTGGAAGTAAAGAAAGAAACCTTATTTCTTGCAATCACACTCTTCAATTTTTGGTGCAAATCATCTAAAATGTAGAATAAATGTACGGGCTCAATTTTCTTTTCACAATTCTCGTTCTTTGGAATGATGTGAATGACTTTCAGGTCGAGCTCTCTGTAGTGAGGTTTGAGAGGTGATAAATGCTTGCGTTTGGTTGGTGTTGATGAATACTCGGTGTTCTTTGTACTCGAAGATTTTGACGTCATCTCTTCGTCGTCTTCCATTGCATCTTCTTCCTTGTCTTCTTCATCTTCTGGGACAGCAGAGGGTTGTTTCTTTTTGGATTTGGATGATGTCTTTTTTGAAGTGACGCTTTCTGGAACCTCTTGTTGTGTTAGCAAGTTGAAATGTGGCAAATGGAACGTTGGATGCTTTGAGAGACACAAATCTAAATGTTTTTCAAGAAAATTTAGAGTTTCAATGCGTTCCAAAAGAGCGCTATTACACCTCTCGTCGTCTACAAACCCATTCAACAATTCTCTGAACCAATTGATTGCAAAAAAATAAGGAAAGGCATACCAAATCCTTTTCATTCTTAGTATAGTCTCTAAAGTTGGTAATCATATCCTCATGATCAAATAACACAACTCCAGAAGAAACCAAATCATCAGACAACTCCTCTCCCAGCTTATTCATCAACACTCTCATGAGCCTAAATTGCGAAAATAAATTCCACACACTCTCGTGGGTGTCATCTCTCTTATTATCGAGTAATGGTAAAATATTGATGAGATGCGTTGGGTCTTCTTTGTTTTTTCCTTGCACAATAAATTGAGCTCTATACTCGAGGTTCCTTGTTTGACTTTTCTGTTTTTTAAGGTCTGGTTTTTCAATGGTACATCTTTGGTAAAAATCATGGAGTAATCGATTCTTGATTTCAGCTGTCAATTTAGGATCTAAGGAATCTAAAATTACAAAGGTCATTTCATCGTAAAGAATGGTTTTGAAAATAGGTGTACGAAAACAGCACTTGAGAGCAAACTCCCACAAGTCTTTGGCTTCCTCAAATTCCTCATCGGATAAATCTTGTTGATCACTCACTTGTGACAGCGCTTGAAATTCGGAACTTCTCGAGCCAAGCATTGACAGCACCGAGCATGCTCCAATGATTCCCATCTTCTTATATACAGTGTTGGTATTACTGAGTTGTTTTCTGATAATTATCATTAATTCGTCCTTGGTGGATTTAGTCACACCTGATTGGGTACTATTTTTCAACGTTTTGGTATATGCAAGCATACTAAAAAGAGTGTAGACTTTTCTCACTTGACCATCAGTGAGATTGGTCAGAGAGTCTAACAGAACCTGGAAAAAGCTAGAGTAATTTCTCAATAAGGATAACTTGGAGTTTGCAATCATTAAGAGAACATCAAGTGCCAAGTCCTTTTCGTTTTTCGAGCTACTTCCTACATGTGTAATGAGAGATTGAATGACCTTCTGTTTGTTGTAGTCTGCTTTGAAAGAGCAAAACATGCAAAAATACATTTCCATAGCAAATTGTGAAATGGAGGTGTCAGTTGTGTTTCTGAGTAAGCTACTAGCCAAATCATTGAGGGAGGAAAAATATTGTTCCAATGCTTCTCCATGATTCTCGATTGAAGATTTTAAGAGTTCATATGTAATTCGTTTTGTTTTGATCTTTTTCTTTAGTACCTGCTCTGCATCTTTTCTATAGTTTGGCATTGAATAAATTGAAAAAAGAATCCACAAATCCACAATGGTATGTTCTTCTTCGCAGGCTGATATGGCTTGAATAAAACTCTTCTCAATAATTTTTCGATGTCTAATACCAGTAGCCATGGCACTAATAATGAGCGATTCACAGCGCGATTCTGATGAACCTTTGCCCTTATTCTTTCGACTCGAGTGATCATGATTTTCGTCATTATCTTGAGTGTCGTCTTGCATTGTGAATGATGAAACATCAAGATCCTTCCTTATTCCATCAACCACATTTGATATATTTTCCTCATTTGCAGATTGAAGTAAAAATTTGATAATTACAGGTAAGTCGTCGGTCGAGGCTGAATTTAAATTTCCCAAAACTCGTTCTGTTGTTTTGTCCATAACCTCTTTCTGTAAATTCAGATTTGATAAGGCATCGATCACACAACTTGTCATTTCTGTTTTGTCTTGCATGACTTGATCGAGCTTGTCGACGATATGATCATGTTCCGAGTCATCAATAATTTCAGGAATTGCAGTAATCATTTCTTTTGCAAAATCAGTAGAGGCAACCTCTAAAATGGTTCCAATGTGCTCTGTCAATGACTTGGAATCTGAAATCATGTCCAACCAACGCATTTGTGAAAGAATGAGCTTGGGTAAATTTCGATCCCATTGTTCGAAGGAGTCTTCCTCGTAATTGGGACATCTGGACATGAGCTCTTTGAATAAGACATCAAAAATACTACTCTGAATGGTTGAAATATTGAGAAGCATTTTGAAAAAGGATTCATTGGAAGAGAAGCTGACATTTCCTTCTCCACTGATTATTTATAATATCGATATGTATCATTGCAGAATTGTTTGAAGTGAGTATCATTATCATCGTTGCACAAGACACAATCAAATATATCAAAAATCAATTAGCTGAAACTTACCTTTCGAAAGGAATCAAACACAAGGAAAAGAAATACTCATCGGCAATCATGGACTCGAGTGCAAAGCAAAAGTTTTCAATTTCTCGTTTACTGGTCCGAGCAACTTCCTTCTCAATGTGCCTTCTCAATTCCATCGCATCCTTCACTCGTAACGCTTTAATGGATTCAAATGGTGATGATAGATTCATGGTGCTACTACTTGACGATGATCCCGATCGGTTCTTCTTTGAATAACTATTGCAGCTACTAGTATTATTTGTTTTGATGATGACGCGGTTGAATTGAACCTTTTCATAGGGTGGTAATCCAATCAATCCTCCATCCCGAAGCAAATTATAAAACTTTTTCAAGTGTTGGGAAACATTTGGTTGTGATGATGACGACGAAGATGAAGGCATTTTTTTTGTTCGATTCGAAACTTGAACAACAATTGGGGAAAGCTTTTTCTTCACTCCAAAACATTTAATTCCTCCAAAGAACAGGAAATTCAACCTCACTGAATGCAAAATTGATTGAGCAAAACTTGAGAGCAAAACCTAATGGATAGTTTTAATAATGAATATGATGAATTTTAAAGTTTGGATGTTTTGGAAGCAAAGCTTGACAAGTCCTTGTTTTCCGCTTCAGTGAGTGCTTGATCCACACAATCAATCAAGAATTGTGCATCTTCTTTGGTCAAACATACTGGACCTTTGATCCTCAACACATTCTTGTGAGGTCCTCCACTTCCAATCAACACTCCCAATTCCTTTGTTCTTTCCCAAACGTATTTTGTTTCTTGAACAGCTGGTGTTAAGTCGCCAATGTGTGCATTCTTTACGAGTTCAACTCCCAAAAAGAGACCTCTGCCTCTGACATCTCCAATCAATTTGTGTTTTTTCATGAGTTTTGTAAGTCCATCCTTTAGGAATGTTCCAACTTCTAAACTATTCTGTTGTAAATTTTCATTTTCAATGACTTCCATGACTGCCAATCCAACAGCACAACTCACTGGATTTCCACCAAATGTATTGAAATATTGTGACTTGTCGAAGGCTTCAGCAATTTTACGAGTGGTGACTACACATCCCAATGGATGACCATTTCCAAAAGGTTTGCCCATTGTGACAATATCTGGAATGACTCCATCGGCCTCAAAGGCCCAGTAATGGCTTCCAACACGTCCAAAACCAGTTTGGACCTCATCAGCAATACATAAACCTCCTCTTCCTTTAACTTTTGCATAAACTTGTTGAAGATAGCCAGATGGGAATGGAAGTTGGCCTCCTACTCCCTGAATACTTTCATGAATGAATGCTGCAATATCATGCTTTTGCTCCTCACCACTGGATGATTTATGACAGGAGGATGAGCAAACCTTTTTAGTTCTCTTCTCAAATACACGATCGAAATCTTTCACATATTCCTCAACTGCTCGCTCTGGCTTATAAGGACCTCGCAACATGTCAGGCATTCTCACATACTCTACATCACGAGCATAGTAATCCCAGTCAGGACACTTATCACCAGTTCCAGTAGAAATTGATGAAGAAATGCCTGATGTCATTCAAAAAGATGGTTCATAAAAATATGGAGTGTTTGTAACACCCACATGTAGGGTGCAATGGAAAGAAGCATTATTGCATGGTTGTTGTGAAAATAATCCAATAATGTAAACCAATAATTCACATATTAAGGTAGTGAATTGACCAAAAGGAAGAATTGTGTCATCATAATTCAATAATGAGGAAATTAAGGTGATGAATGATAATTGGTTTAACTTGAGAAAAATACAAACCTGTTGAGGTTCCAGTAGTTCCATGATATGAATTTTCCAATGCAATAATTGTATTTCTTTCAGTATAAACACGAGCTAATCGTACAGCTAAATCATTCGCTTCACTTCCTGAATTCACAAAGAAACACACTGATAAATCGGATTTTTGTGGCATTTTGGATGTTAATTTCTCCGCTAATCTCACAATCTTGTCATGAAGATAACGAGTGTTTGAATTGATGAATTGCAATTGGTCAACAGTTGCTTGAATGACATGTGGATGGCAGTAACCGACTTCAGCCGTTCAAGAGTGAGAGAGATCATGAATGATACAAAAATGCAATCATTTTCATGATGATGATGAACGAAATGATAAATTCAGAATTATGTCCATTTAAAGGCCGGAATATTTTGCGACCATTAATAAGTGTGTAATTAGATGACAGGGTAGGACCGTTCGGACATCATGATGTGGTTGGTGGTCATGGGTTGCATGAGAGTTGGTGCACCGTCATGATGACGACGAGAAGGATGGTATTGGCAAATACATGAAGAAGGTTTACATCATGCATATTATTATTTCAACAGCAATCATTTCAAATGGTGATGAAAATGCATTTTGTGTAAATTCACAATTATTTCATCGCCATATTTCAAATTTTTAGAAAAACAAGAACATAAAACCATCCTGACTGACTTACCATGAGCAACATTGGCATAAGCATCCAAATATTTCTTTCCAGTTTCATCAAAAGCATATTGTTTATCACCTCGGACCAGCATGAGTGGACTCTCATAAAAGGTATACTGAGCCTTGGCCAAGTACTTTTGGCGATCTTGAATAATCTTCTCCTTCGAAAGAAGATGTGTGGCTGCCTTTGATCCAGCCGTGGATGTAGTGGTGGCCACACAGGATTTGAATTGATGGGCCGATGACATTTCGCGAATGCTGCAGAGAGAGAACGAGAAGGAACAATTAAAACTGTTGTAAAGGTCTGGAATATACAACTACTGTGATTTTGAAGGTTCAAAAGAGCTGGTCGTTACAAAATTGTATTTTTTTTCGGTTTTCTTTTTAATTCAAAACACGATGAATTGGATGTCGACCCTTTTTTGGACTTCTTCACAACGAGCTCGTTGTGATCATCGCTTGATTTTCTTGACACTTTCACATGTAGTGGCAGGATGAACAGGGGAACCTTTTCGTTTCTTCCTTTGAGAAATTAAATCTTGAACAATTTGCTTCTCAATTAGTCGCGCTCGTTCTAATTGTTCTTCCATATTTCTAGTGCAAGTTTTGGATCGAGGTTGTGTTTCTGCAATGCCAAGTTTTTCACACTTTTCGAAAATGTCATTCATTCTATTCTTTATATCGATACACTTCATGATCATTTGCTGACGAATAGAAATGTCAGAGGATTCTATTAATTCAACACTTGTCATTATTCGCATCCATTCTTTGATTTGAGGAAGATAGATTTTTTTAAGGGCATGTAAATTTTCCTTACAAATTTCGAATAATGCCTCATTATCGACTGTCTCATTATCTTTGAAAATATCCTTCAAATCAATCATAATTTCATAATCGTTCGAAAAAATTCCAACATCTCGCATCATTTCTTCTGCGCTTGAAAAGATCATATCCATTTCATCACTCTGATTGTCATTCTTTTCAATCATTACTTCTTCCCATTCATTTTCCTCATTATTCTCTGGATTGTGGTCCTCTTCTTCTTCTTCATATTGGTCATATTCTTCTAAAAAGGAAGACTTGACGGCCTTATTTTCATCATCATTGTTGTTATCAAGGTCATTACCATCACTGACGCTCTCCATTGTTGTGGTGTGAGAGCTAGTATTCTCCATTTCAAATATGGTTGCTACTGCACTTGAGGATGACGAATGGTCAGCATCAAGAGTCACCGTTGAATCGTCATTGACATGTTGCAACACGATAGTATCCTGTCTATTATTTTTAACTTCTTCCTCAGCCTTCTCTTCCTGTAGCAGAGCATCTTTCATCATGTTCTCAAAGGTTGGAACAATTTGATTCAAGCAAGCATCGAGTTGCCTCAAGCAAACCTCAATATGAATATATTGTTCATCAAATTCTTCATCTCGAATCTTTTTAAACTTTTGCATCAGTATGATTTGAGTGTGACGTTTTCTTTCGGCCTCAATTCGAGCCGTATCCAAACGATGTTCTCTCAATTTTGGAAATTGAAATTTTAAAACCTTTTCCACATAGTCATGACCTTTCTTAAACGAAGGATACACATCACCATAAACTTCACTCCACTGCTCAATATGTTCGAGAGCTTTTTTCCTCAACAGCATGGCTGATTTCTCTGGAGGAGGCAATACATTGGGCATACAGGCTTCATCGTGGCTATATTTTGAATTTTTACGTTTCAGATAAATTGAATTTTTTCCATTGCTTGCATTTGATGTTGCTTTATCTTTTTTCGAGGAGGGGCTTCCTTGCACTGTAAGAACAATAAATTCTTGAAAATCTTTTGCCAATAGAGATCTATATTTGAGTGCACGCAGTTGCACACAATTATGTGCATGACATTCATCACAAAATGCATGAATATGTTTCAAATATTCAATGGTCATTGATAATGAAATAAAAAATGTACGATAATAATAATCCATTTGAATTGGAATAGATATTGGATTCAAGAAAATGGAAAAGCTTTTCATCATACCAATACACCTACCTAAAGGTTTTACTCCTCATACATTCATGAATAAATATAAGTGCTAAATATCGTCTCGTGGAGTTCTTCATTGGTAAAATACTTTTCATCAATTGATGATAGGCTGATTCGACATAGACATCTCCTTGTTTGACAATTGATTTAAACGTTTGCAGTACGGAATCTTGCACATAAAATTCACTGTTTTTACAACATGCGGTATGTAATAAATCATTGAGTTGATATTTTGTTTTTTCATTAATGACCACGGTGGTAGTATTGTTGTTGCTTGATGATCCCGATGATGAGGTTGCTATCTGCGACGATGATGATGAGGAAGTTTGTTTACGTTTTCTCATTTTTTTGTTTAAAAAAAACAATTCTTGCGTTCATTTGAATTTTATTCGGGTGCTCGAGAGAAAGGAATGGTCATCTCTTTTTAAAGTCCACGAGTATGGGTTCAGTTGGACGCAATGTCACTTTCATGTCCACATCTAATTTATAATTTGGATCTGACAATTGGAATGAGTAGTTTCTTGCAAGATAGGCCAACGTAATTACCCCTTCAACTTCTGCAAAGCTTTTTCCAATACCTAAAAGGTTGAGACAAATCAATGGTAGATAGTAAAATTTCCATCCTCTATAATGAACTACTTACATATTCTTCCTCCAATTCCAAAAGGTGTATAAATAAATGGATTCGACTGGGGATTATAAATTTCTCCAAGTGTTGGATCATCCTTACTCTTTGAATCCATTTTCAGGAATCGAGTGGGCTTGAAAGATTCTGGATCCTCCCAATGTTCTTCACTCATCATGGAAAGAACCCATGAATATACTAAAAGAGTTCCTTTTGGAATTGTTTTTTTGTGCCATTCAATATTCTTCACCAATTCCCTTACAATTCCAATGGCCACAGGATACAATCGAAGAGTTTCCCTAAAAACTGCTTTGATGTTATCCAATCTTCCAGAATGAAAGTCTTCATAATCGAAAGTTTCCTTTTGATAGGTTTCACAAAATTGATCCACAAAATGATGAAGTTCTTTTTGAATGTGTGGATTTTTACAAAGTAAATAGAAAGCAAATCCAAGAGTACGTGCAGTCGTCTTTAAAAACGTGAAATATATGGTTCACCGAATAATTAAGTGATATTTCCCAAAATTATTATTGTTTCATAATAAAATTGAATTCCAGAGGTTGCAGTTTGTTTTTTCAACATTTTCAGAGTTGTCCTATCATAATCAAAAAACACCTAACACCTACCTCATGTCCTGCCACAAGCAAGACAAACGCATTAGAAACCAACTCATCATCCGTGAGACTTCCTCCGCTACTCTCTTGCTTACTTTTTCGGTCACGCAATAACAATGACAAGACGTCACTCTTGTCCTCCTTTTCAGCACGATTTTCCAACGAACTCTCTTCGAGCTCTCTCTTTCGAATAATATCCATAATCACATGTTGGAAAGATTCTACCGAATCATGTAGCTTGGCATAGAGTCCCACTTTGAAGTGCTTTCTCAAAAATCGAGTGGGCAGTATTCTCAAAGCATCCACATATTGCATGAAAAAGTTGGTCTTTTGTTCGAGCGTATCTTCTCTTGAATGGAAACTATCAAATCGATACGAAAAGCCAGCTTTTCCAATCACATCCATGGTGAGTTTTGCAAACTCGGACATGACATCTCTCCTCTTCAAGTTTTCATTCAAGTAGGGAACATGTCGTTCCGTAAGGTCTCTTCAGTCACACATGAGACCATACGCAATGATTCAGGAGCAAAGCTTGGCTCGATCAAGTGGCGTTGATGCGACCACACCATCGGATCATCCTCTGCAAATATATTGCTCCCATTGAAGAGTTCTACAAAGGTACGTTTTGTTTGAGTAGTCTTTTTGTACAGTTTGGCTCCTTTCGTGGCAATTTCTTTTCCCATCTCGGGATTAGTATGAACAACAAAGGCCAAATTGATCAATCCAATAATCACCTTATAGTGATCGCTTTGAAACTGCTGTGCAGAAGCCTTCATGGTGTCCATGAGGAAAAATCCAGCAGGATTGATGATGGTTCCTTTCGGTAACCACCACTGCGGAAGAAAGGCTGCAATCACTGGAGGAAGGAATTGAGTGTAGCCTGGTAAATGTTGATACTTTTTGCAGAGTTTCCGATAGGAAAGAAACCTCTCAAACAGTAGAAGGCCCACAACAAGGAAAAACAGAAGCAATAACGATGATGGAATAACGACCCACAAGAGAAGGTCCGAATTGAAGTTCAGCAAGAATGACATTGTTTTTTTGTGATGTGCAGTTGGTTTTGACGAAATTGGTTCAGAGTTTGTGGAGTTGAACCCGATCAATTTCCAAAAGCAAGATCAACTTCTTGGGTGCGTTATTTTGTAATTATATTCTTCATAATTTGAAAATAATTCGAGCAAAAGGTTTACACTATGGAAGTTAGGAATAAGGTGTTCTAAACACGCTTGATCTTTGATTTGATTTTGTGCAGAGTCATTTCAATATTTCGGTAGGTCAATCTTTGAATGTTGTTATGGTTGACTTGTGAAAAACAGGAATGATTTGTATTTTTGTTGTTTATTGAGAACACAGTCATTGATCGCTTCTTCTCTTACAACTACCACCTTAATAAGTATCGACCTGATGAATGATATCCAAAGGATGATGCTCTCGACTCGTGCTTGGAATTTCTTCATCGGCATTCAACCCAACTCCAGTGTCACCGACACTCATTCCCTCCGTAATATGTTTCTTATCAAAGTCTTCCTCATACAAGTGATATTCCAAATACATCTCAATATGTCTCTCTGTGAAGAGCAGTTTCGTATCGTCGCTCAAACTAAAGATTGGAGCAGTTCCCAATAGGTTCATCTTGGTCATGGGTTGAGCTGGAGTCGTGCTCTGACTGGCAGATGCTTGTGCCTCAAATGAAACTTCCTTCTTCTTCTTCATAATACTCTCAGAAACAAACGACACTTTGTACTTGCTCAATAAGTGAATCAGGAAGAGTTTTTGTTCTTGGAGAGAGAATTTCTGTCCCAAACACACTCTCGCTCCAGCACCAAATGGAAGAAAGGAACAAATCATGGAATGAGGAGATGAAGTTTTCAACAATTGTTCACTGGTGGAAGCTTCTGAAGAGGCAGATTCTCTCTTCATCTTGATCTTCTCATCATCTTCTTTTTGGGAAGGAACACTTGTGGTGACAGCTTCCTTTGAAGATTTTGGAAGATGAGGAATATCTTCTCCCATATTGAATATTTCAGAAGTTTGAGGTAATTCAACATTCACTGGAGATGTGGAAGGTGAAGTGCCAGCAGCACCTTTCACAGTCGAGAATACGTGACTCGAGACGTGTTGCTGTTGTTTCATTCGAATCCATCGCTCTGGATCAAACTTTTCACAATCCTCTCCCCAGATTTGTGGATTGCAATGAATGGCTTTGATCAAGAGTGAAACTGAGTAGTCTTTTGGGATCTTCAAACCTTCCACCACTTGATTCTCACAACTCAAACGATTCAACATTCCTAAAGGAGAAACCACTCTCAAACTTTCATTCACCACGGCATCCAAGTAAGACAATTCCTCATTCATGCGATGAATATCATCCACAGATCGTATCAAGACATGACATGACTCATGAGCGAGATGAGAATTCTTTGAGAATTTCTCTCCCAGAAAACTCTTTTTCAATTCATCGACCAATCGTTCCTGTACATGAGGATATTGAGCCAAATGGAACAAGAGAAAACTCAAAGCCTCTGCAGTGGTGGCATGTCCTGCAATGTACAAGAGCAAGACATCATCTCTCAAGTTTCGAAATGAAATTTGATTCATGACTTGTTGCTTGGAAGGAGTTTCAGAGGAGGTCCTCTCAAATTCATAGTATTTGAGGAGAAGTGTTTCAATGGCACTCTTCTCTCGATGAGGAGTTCCGATAATTTCCTCAGATGTGAGAGTGATGGTCGTAGAGGTGGTTGTAGCAGCAACATTGCTGGTTCCAAGTTGCTGATCTGTCTTGGACGATGGAATAAACTTTTCTCTCTTCTCCTCAATGAGGGAATAGATGAAGGAATTTAAGGTATTCATCGCTTCTGCCAATTTGGCATTATCTTCAATGGGAAGCATGGAGTAGAGTGTACCGAAAATTCCTATATTTCTCTCCCAGGTATTCACATGTTTGAACAGATAACGAAAGGCCTTCAAGACTTTTTTCATACTTTTCCACTCGATTCATGTCGACTGGTTCCAAGTATTTGAATTCACAATCGAGAGCACTCAGTCCAATCACATCCAGAGCGAGACGTGTGAGCATGTCCTTAATCTTAATCTTGTAACTTTTTTCAGCTTGAGGTTCATAAGAGAGTTGAGTCCCATACATTTCAATATTGGAGACACATTTCACAATACATTCACACATATCGGCCCAATACTTTTCTACATGTTGGAAGGAAGGATTCAATACGGAACGATTTGCATGCCATTCCTCACCATTCATGAACACGAGTGCATTTCCAATGAAAGATTTCTGCATGGGATTCAAGAGTTGAGTATTCTTCTCAAAACTTTTCCATTTCTCAATGAGAATGGTTTTTGCTGCATGATTATCCGAGAAGACGACAGTGGGAATGAAACCTTTCATGTAAAAGATGAAAGGTTCAAAATGGAAGGTTTTGGCAATTTGAAACAATTTCTCTGGTAAGGGTTGATCATGATTGAAGAGGAGTAATTTGAGAGATTGCCAAATGGTGAGCGAGTGTCGAATGGCTTTTCTTGTTTTGGTATCTCGAACAGTGGCGACACAAACACCTTCATAGAATTTGATCAGAAAGAGGCAAAGAATGGGTAAGAAACAGATATAGGCAATGATGGAGAGAAGAGACCACATGTTGATGACAAGTAATTTGTAATGTGAAAAGAATGAATTCTTGATCAAGTGATCACTAACAATGAATTTCAAATCCAAATGGTAAATAATGAATGAATGGTAATGATAAACTCTGTGTTGTAGTAGTGAATGGTGTTTTTTCTGAGTGAAAGTGTTTGTGTAGGTGCTTGTTCATGGATTTATATGAGGAGAGATCGAAAAATGGAAACATGGAGAGATTGGAGTCTTTTTTGAAAAATTGACTCTTTTAGAAAATAACTTTTTCAGACAGTTTGTTTTTTAAAGAAGAGGAATTTGAATGTGAATATTCGTAAAGCAAATTCATCTTGATATTATCAAAGATTACAGCTTTCAATGGATCTCAAGAATTGAAAAAGGAAAACATTTATTTGAAAAATCTTTTTAAAAAAAATTGAATTTATTCGGAAGACCATGAAGCAAACCCAAGCTCCAACACACAGTGGAGAAATTTATAAAGGATCAGTACCAACATTGGCCGATTCTTCCGATCGGTTTCTTGACCTCGACACAAAACAATCAGTTGTGAATTTGTGTAACATGTGGAGCTCGCATATTCATCATGTAATGAATGAACCAAGTGTAGGAATGTATCGGATTGTGGAACACGTGAGATCAAAAGTGCCCTTTATTGTGGAACAAAAGGTAGGATCTCAATCCTATGATTTGAAATATGTACATTTACTCTCTTTTATTTTGATGGCATGTTCATCTCCGATTGATGAAAATATATCTTTTCAATTGAATGTTTTTGCGACATTCATATCATCATGAAAATCCAAAATTCAAATGTAAATTTTGTGATCTATAATTTTCAAAAATATAATTGCCACCTTGATGATGATCATTGCATGAAATCATGATATTCATCACAACAGAATTTATTGAAAACTAAAAAAGTGAACGAAAAAATCTATGATGCCGATTATGCCTTGCTAGCTTGTAAATCTATCAATTCCAACACACCTTGGATTTTCTCGGAGAGTATTCGATTATTGAAAAACAATTTTGTGAGTGTTCCACTGGCACCACCATCAACCACAACAACAAACAAAAGCAAAGTCTTCTCCTTTCATAAATCGAATGCAACTTCAGCACAACAGCAAACAGAAACAACAACGACATTGCCAAATGATGTTTCTGTCAGTGAATCTCTGCCTTCTCAGAATCCAACAACAAACACTGTACAGTCTTCAACAACCTCCGACGATCAGCAACAACAAGAAAATCCTTCGGAGGAAAACCAACCCAGCGTTGACACAAAGAGTTCTGTTGAAATTTTGACATCTCCATCCTATGAACAATCATCTGCAATTGATAATAGTGACACACATGCAAGTCTGAACCCCACAATCAAGGAAACAACAGAACCATTGTCACCACCCAAGAAAGAGGAATCGACTCAAGACACCATGACACAGACAACACAAGAGCAAGCCCATTCAGACACCACAACAACAAGTACACTCACCAATAGTAATGAGGAAAACATCATGACCACCACCACAACTCTTACTGAAGCTTCACATCCTGTCGTCTCGCCACACGGAGAAACTCAAGATGAAAGCAGTGTCACGGAAGTCACCGGCATTCCTTCTTCTATGACCACTGGAGGTGGCGATGACGAATGGTCCTCTCTTGCCATTCAACCTCTGCCTTCGTCTTCAACCAAGAAAAAGAAAGCCACAAAGAAAAAGAAGAAACAACAAGCTTCTGAAGAGGAACCTGCTGCTACAGAAGAGGAGGAAGCTCTGACACCAAAAACCTTTTAACTACAAAGTCCGTCACGCAATCCGTCCAACACATTTGAAATCCGTATTGCAGATCTGGTTTCCATTTAAACAAATGTTTTCACACAGTCACATAAAAAAAAATATTGAACATAACATCCACTCATCATATTGTTTTTGAAAATCGGAGAGCAAGATTTCATCCTTGCATATTTATCTCGAAAATATATTTTCCTTGGTTTAATTCTCATCAGTCAGAATAATTACAATACTTTCAACACACACATTGCCAAATGCAATCATCAACGAATACAGCGGCCATGATTGAGCCTGGAAGCATCATTCTCAGCGAAATTGCTTCTCTCATTGATTCGTTTTGCAATCCCGATATTCCATCATCGAAAAAAGAAGGAGCAAAAAGGCTTCTCATTGATCATGTACAAGGCGGAAGACTCTCCATCAATGATGGAATTAAATTATTAGGCGAATATTTAAATCATGCAACCGATGAAAAGATTAGAGGCTCAGCCTATGCAGTCTTACATTTAATTTTGGAAAACGTTCCCGATCAAAGCATGGACGATGATCAGCAAACAAAATTAGTAACAACACTTTTGAGGTTTATAACCGATCGATTGTATGACTTTGATTGTTTGGCAACACTGGTACCTTGCTTATTTGTGTGTTTCAATCGATGGTTTAGCCTCATATCGACCGAGCAATGCACACACATTGTTCTTCAATTTTTCGAGAATGTTAATGTTCAATCCATGGCAAGTACATCAGGTGTACAGAGCGCAACAAAAACACGAGGCATGTGTTTTGAATGGTTCAATCTGCTGATTGACAAATTTCCATCCATTGTCAAGTCTGTGAATTTTTTGAATGGTTTTATTCAATCGATTGAAGGAGAACGAGATCCTGCAAATCTCATGACTTGTTTTGATATGGTTCCTCGAATTATTGAACTATTCGACATTCATTCTGAGAACACTGAAAAAATTTTGACAGGCATTTCTGATGATTTATTTGATGTCACCAGTTGTTATTTCCCAATTACATACACTCCTCCTCCAAATGATACAAGAGGTATCACTAAAAACGATATTTCAAACAAGCTTTTGAAATGCTTTGCATGCAACAAGTACTTTGCTCCAAGCCTATTTCCATTTCTTTTAGAGAAGCTTTCAAGTGATCTAATTGAAACCAAACTTGAAGCATTAGAATACATGTGCTATTGTATTGAAAGATATGGATCTTCAGTGGTAGAGGAGTATTTGACTGAAATTTGGGCATATATTAAGGCGGAGGCTGTGAAAACCAGTTCCATGGAAGTCATGAGAAAGTGCTATGAATTCATAACGAGAACAACACGAGTGGTTGTCATTCCAAACGATCCTAGTATTAGACAATTTGATGTACCAAATATTGAAGCTATTGTGAGAACTGCCCTCGCTGAGTTACGTTCCAAAGAGTGCAAATTGGCTGCACAATATGCTCGAATGCTCTATGCCTGTGGAGTTGCTTCCAGAGAAATTTCTGTAATTGTTTTCAATAGAGTTTTTCCAGAGCTTATTACCGTTCTTAGCGAATCAGAGAATTACGATAAAATCTATGGAACATTTATCATGATGACGCAAGTATTGCAAGCGTTGGCAGAGGCATTCACTGCGTCACACTTGAATAGCATTCCACAAAATATTATTCAACAGATCGGACAAGCACAGACATTATTTATTTCCATGTACGAAGAGCAATTCAACAAAGATGACAAGGAAATGATTCTTGTCATTATCGAATTAATCTCAAGATTTGCCGTTTTCAGAATTGAGTCCACACTTTTGAAAGACGTCTATGTGAACAGAATTTTATTGAAATCATATGGAGAGGACAACAAATCGTTTACACTCTTACATGCTACATCTTTAGATGAATACAAGGATCGTTCCATTAAGGATATTTCTTGGATCTACAAATATGCACCAGACATTATTCAAAAAGATGTAATCATTCCACTCATTCAAGTGCTGTACGAGTGTCAAAACCGCTCAGAAATTATCCACCGAATTTTATCTGTCATTTCACAAATAGGCACTGTTTGTTCAACTCTAACACCATTTATTACTGAACAATTATTTGAGAGAATTTCCTTCAATTTAACACAGTCGAATGAGAATAGGGAAATCGAGAAAACGAAAATATTTGAGACCATCAGTGGATTAGACCTTACCACTATTGAAGACTCTCAGAAAATGAAGTATATTAGAAAAATGATTGAGCTTGCCGAAATGGAGGAGGACGTTGTTGGCAACAACAAATACAACAACCATAACAATAATGAAATGATGACCGACGAAGATCCAGTGGAAGCAGAAATAGAGGATTCATTTGGATCATCACAGTGTGGAACTGGATGTGGGCACAATCATTCACACGACCATCGAGGAGAAATGTCACATATATGCCTCTTACTAAATCGCTCACTGCCATTCGAGAAACAACAACAAGTATTAGATGAGTTACTACAGCGAAATATTGGTGTTCGACTTTCTGGTCCTTCCATTAAGAAGTTTGCATCTGTTTTTTCAGCTCTAATTGTTTCATGCAATCCGCAAGTGAACATGACAAGTATTGTAGAAATGTCTGGAAATTTATTGAGTTTGTCCTTGCAAAATTTACATCCAATTAGTGTCACCAGTTCCCTCTCCCAAGCTATTGCCTCTCTTCTTAACAAAATTCCTATCGAATCGGACGAGTTTAAATATCTGACTTCCCTTTGTAACACTCTCGTTTTGGAACCTCTTTCTCAAGTGTTGAATGGAGTTGCTACTGACACAGATCATATTTTATCATTGGACCGATATTTAGAAGTCTTGTCTTGGATTTTGAAAGGACTTGTCATGAGAGGCGCCTACTTGTATGCAGATGCATATTCCAATATTTTGTGTTCGTGCCTCGTCTTTGACTTTCCTCAACAACATCATTCATCAAAACTCAACAAGAAAGCTGCTGATTGTTTTTTGACAGCCATTGGAGAAGATGAAAATTCACTCCATAAGGATAATCACGCTCTTGTGCAAGTTCTATACAAGCAACGATTCTTTGCAATGAATGTCAGAAAATTAATGGACTCCATAACTACTACTAGTCATCAACCACATATTGTTGGATCCATTTTGTTGGCCCTTTCAAATTTGATTCACAATGTTCCAACTAGTGTGATTTTGAGTGAAGTGAAAAATATTTTCCCAATAGTTCTGAAATTCTTAGAAATGCGTCCTTCCTTGGCACAAGATGAAGCTCAAACCGAGGAATTAATTTACGCTGCCATTAAGACAACATTAACCTTGTTGACAGATGCAAAACAGGAAATGGCTGTACATTTGAGTGCCATTGTGCCAATACTTTTGGAAACTGCGAAGTATCAACGGTCACAAAATATTCGAGTGCTGTCGTTGGAGGCGCTTCATGAAATTACTATTGGGTTTCCTTATCATGAAATATTTCCACTTAAGAAGGAGATTATTAGAGGTTTAGAGTCTTGTTTGGATGACAAGAAGAGACGAGTGAGAAGAGCTGCAGTGAAATGTAGGAATGCTTATTTTGTCATGTCAAAGAATTGAAGATTCTAATTGTAACTACCAATGAAAATTGTCTTTCATTAAAAATTGGTTCCTTTACTTTCCTATGGTGGTCAAAATATTCAGCTCGGGTCCATTAAAATCGAGAACTTCCACTAGCACGTGCCTTAAATAACGCACATCAGCATTCCATTGGAGAATTTGATACTTGCTTCCACTTTTAGGTGCCTCCACACTTGAAGACAAAAGATTCAATGTTTCCTTACAAATACGGTCAATCCAAAAGGCAACAAAATCGTCGTTGGCCAAAATTTCAAGTTGCTCAGGTAGCTTGATGAGATATTCTCCTACTTGTGACACGAATTTAGAGGGTGGAATGGAGTGTTGCAACTCTGGTAAATGAATGTCATCCACATATTCTACAGTGTTACCGGGATCTATGAGCGAGAGATAGTACGATTTACCTGTCAAGTTCTTCGTGGATCCAGTAATGAGAGAGGAAACAAATGCCATGAGTGTGCTTTTTGCCAAATTGTGAGACGGCTGCAACAAATTAATATCCACCGATTTGAATGCCATCGTAAACAATGGAATTGCACTTCCTGTAGACTGTTATAAAAGTTGTTCAACTGTATGAAGATTTGTTCGTTTTGAATTTTCACATAATATTCATCCACATTCTTGGAAAGAACAACTTCTTTTAGAGCTTCAAGAAGTTTGGACTTGATTTTTTGTTCCAAATCTTCGAGTTTTTTCTTGACTCCATTTTCCTTATCATGAAGCAATTCATAGAGTTTGAGAGCATTTTGCACATTCTCTCTGTCTTTGGTAGTGAATGAAATATCTGTCTGTATAGTTGTAGGTTTCTTTGCTTTGACAGCCTTGTTCATTTCAGTATTGATTGTTTTGCTTATTAAAACTCCAAAATCTTCAAATACTTGATTAATGACACGAATGAACATTTGCGACTCTATGCCATAGGTAAACGTAATACATCGATCCAAAGCATTTTCACACTCCACAAATAAAGCATTGAGAGCCTCATCGACACATTCTACAAAACTGTCACTCATTGATAAGTGTGGTCTAACTTGTTTCATGAGATATTCCTTTTCGAGATTTCTCAAATAGGAAGACTGAGTTACGGCGAAGGGTTCAAATAGCAACTTTTGAATGGATGGGTATTTTGAAAGATCTTCTAGCTGCTTGGCAAAGAGCTTGGTCGATTTGTACTGGATCATTACCAATTGTTGTAAATCTTCTGTTTTCACAAGAGAGCAATTCTTGTGATTGAAACAATATTCGACAAGCTTAATTTTTGCCTGATTTCTAAGCTCGTCCTGAGAAGTAAATCCCTGAAATAATTTTCGATAAACATTGTCCTCTTGCTTGAGCATGTATAGTATTTGATTGAAAAATTGTTGTTGTTTGGTTTGCTGCTGAATGATTTCCTTATAGTTTTTGTCATAATACAATTCAAAAATTGTAAAAATTCCATTAATGTTATCAATTCGAAGTGTCAAATAAATTAGCTCTCTGCAAACTTCAATATTTCTCTTTTCAGAGGTTTCCATCATTTCAGCCACAAATTTTCCTCCAATGAGAGATTTGATGAGTTTTTCCTTATATTGTAACAACTTGGGTTTTGATTTTGTTTTCACTTTTTCGCTGTATGGTTCCAATGTTCGTACTCCTTCTTCGACACAACAAATTTGATTCGTCATTTCTCTCAAGGTTTCCATTGAAATATCTTGCATGTTTGATGACTCTCCCGAAAAGACATTCAAGTTCGGACTTTGAGCTGTTACTATTGGAGATTTAGCTCCAGAGCCAGATGACGAAGATACATTGTTTGGAGAGAGGGAAATAGTTGATCCAGAATGAGTGGGATGAAGTGAAACGTTGGAAGCACGATCTCGGAATAATAAATCCAATTGCTGCATGGATTTTGTCAGCGATTTAGATTGTTCCAAAGTTAACAAGATAGAAGAGAGAGCCATCTTGAGTTGTACCAATTGTTTCAATGTTTCAAAATGTTTGTTTCCTTCATAACATTCCGAATCAATGTTTTCAATCTTCTTATAAAGACTCGTTACAGCAACAAATAAATTAATGGTTTGATCCTGCATCTTTTCAATTTCAAACAAGGCATTAGGAATTTTCTGAATAGATGTCTTTACTTCTTGTTCCATATATGATCCCAAATCCGAGAATAATACTTGTAATTTCAACATGATTTGATTCACCTGATAACTCATATCCGTCGTCATGGATGGTACATTGAGAGAGGTTAGAGGCGGTGTTGAAGGACGAGTGTTTCCTCCCGAAATCACTTGATCCGAACTCGTGTTTCCCAACAATGATGAGGATGACAACATTTCATTAATCCAATTCGTCGGATCAAAGTCATCAGCGAGAAACTTTGAAATGTCCATTTTTTTTTTTTTTTTTTATCACTGTCCATGCGTTTATTTGTTCGAAAATTCAAACGTTATTCATGGCTGTGTGTGCAATTAGTACAGTTAAAGGTGGTTCATGTCATCAAAGTTAGTGTAATTATTGTTGTAAATTTCAATTATTGTTTGTCATCAAGGTTAGTGTAAATTTCAAATATTGTTGTAAATTTCAATTATTATTCATGGTCGTGGGTATTTCATGTATAGTTTAAACTTGTTCAAATCAATGAAATTAGGATTAAAATCGTATTGTTGTTCAAATTCATTCCAGGTGAGTTTCAATTCTTCCATGAAAAAATGATTTCGTTTCATCCACATTTTAGTAATAGATCGATAAGCTTCCTTAGTAAATACTTTGTCCCATTTCTTACCCAATCCAACTTTAGCACCTGTTAGGCTATGGATATCTTGTTTAGTCTTGATGAGGTACAATAGTCGTTTGGAGAATTTCTTGTTATTCTTTGCATATATTGAGATATTATATAAATTCCTAAACATTTCTTTTCTTATATCACTATAGTATTTACATTCAAAAATAATGTGTTGCATTGTCTCTCTACTACAGCAAGGACATAGCAAGTTCGTCTTGGATATCTTGTTTAAATTTTCCAAAGTCTTCATCACGTTCATTCTAATTTTAAATATTAGATTTAAGGTTTTGAAACCGATTCCTATTGAGGGGTAAATGTTGGTGAACTTTCTGTTCTTGGGAGGAAGGTTCTTTGGCGTATATGTTCTTTTGTGGAGGCGTTGAAATAGAAGTTTGTACATTGTTTGTCTAATGTTTTGAGTGTATAATACATTGTTGATAATAATATACCAATTATTGGATGGAATATTAGTAAGAATATTGTTACAATCAGCACCTTTCTTAGCAGCCCTATCTGCTAATTCATTTATGCGGCTATAGATATCTTGTTTACCTGTATGACTATTAACATGCATAATTTTGATCTGATCCTTCATTTTTAAATAATTACGAATTTCTTCAACATAAGGATCTCTAGATTTTCTGAATTGGAAAAGTTGGTCATAAATACTTTTCGCATCTATGACTATTGTTCTAGGAGTGTTGTTATCTAGCAATCTAACAACTGTGTGGAGCGCTTGAACTTCACTGTTGTAGGAAGTTCCTTGTCCTAAGGTGTGACTTGAGATGGAAACATTCTGATCAGTTACGATACCGTATCCAGCAATATTATTGTTACACGATCCGTCAGTACCAATTAGTGTAGCTTTGTTCAAGAGGTTTGACATGGATGTGTTGTTACCAACATATTTGTAGTATTTGCTTTCGTCTTTGATTTTTCCAAAATCCATGCTATTGAGAATGTTGCGAATTTGGGTGACATGATTGGAATGTTTGATGTCATTATGTAATTTCACTTGTAAATTTTTAGGGTCAGGAACCCACATACTTAATCTGTTCCAATCTTTATAGAGCAGGAATTGTCTTAAACCTTTAGGGAATTTTCCATAAGGGATGAGAGTTTTTTCATGCCATTGGTCACTCGAATGCCACAATCTAATATTGGAAGATTTGTTCATGAAAATTATTCTCTTGAGATATTGAGGAATCCATGGGTCTGGTTTATACCAAGTAGGGATTGGATCATTGAGGATGTCAAAACCATGCTCCTGTTTGATTCGTTCACAAAGGAATCTTGTAGAAGATCCAAGACAAATATCATATTGTTCAAGGAACTTTCTGACTTTACACATTAGGTCCGAGTAACTCATTTCTTGAACAGAAATTAATCCAAGTCCACCTTTGTCTTGATGAGTATAAAACCACTCGAGAGCTAATTTTCTCTTGGTTCTTAATCTTTCACATATAAAGTTGCGAAAGAATTTATCAATTTGTTTCTCTAGATGGTCATTAGCAAGAGGAATTAGGTGGTACAGTGCATACGGAACAATGTCTGTGTTGATAATTTTGACAACGTTCTGTATTGGAAAATTCCAGCCAATAGAGTTAGTTCTTCTTTTAACTTCTTCAATAATTGAAGTAGTGTATTTCTTTTGTTCCTCAGTATTATTGGTAATATTATTACCAAGTATAATAATAGAATCATTACTTTTGATCGTACTTCCAGATAATGTCTTGATACTACATTCCTTATCAGAGAAGAGGTTAGTTTTGGAATGATCTAATTCCATGTGATAGCCATGAAGATAGGTTTCAATGTCATGCAAAGAATTTTCAATTTCAGGTAGTTCGTTGGAAAATGAGTTCAAATCATCAATCCATGCGCCTGTACTAATGTTCCAATAATTTGCAACACTAGCACCATTATATGTTATTTCTAAAAATTGTAAGAGAGGCTCAAGCGCAATTTTGAATGCAAGGGGAGAGAAGGTGTCGCCTTGTTTCAATCCATCTTTCACATTGAAACATTCAGATTTACCATTAGGTATAACAAACTTTGTCGTAGATTCACCTAATATTTCCAGAATTCCATCAGCAGTAATTTCATCAATCCCTAAGAATAGCAGTCCATCACGAAGCATAATTCTCGGTAATGAGTCATAAGCTTTTTTGATGTCAACAGCCAAACCATAAAAAGGTTTCTTGTCCTTTTTGCCCAAGCAATCATATTGTAAATTGAAAGGACTCTGTGAATAGTTTCTCTGCCGTCTTCACCACCAAATTGAGCTAATGATAATCTTCCCTTTAACACTTCCTTCAATCTTTTGGTGATTAATTTAGTAGCTATTTTAAGTCCTGAGTCCATAAGGGCAATAGGTCTATAGTTAGCAGGGTTTGAGTGGTCCTTATTCTTTTTGTGAATTGGGAGAATGCTGACACTTTGCATAGATTCAGGAGTAAATCCAGTTGTAATGATATTTTCAATAATTTGAAAAATTTCCTCCTGTAATTCCTTACACATGTATTTGATAGTTTTTTGTCTTAAACCTAGTTCATTGGGTGCTGTGGATTTCAAATTCTGAATTATCCATTCTTTCTCTTCCGTGGTAATTCTACCGAGTATTTTGTCATTGCAATTATCAATTAATGGATGTTTGTACTTGAAAAACTTGGTAATGTCAATTTGATGATTTCTTCCTCTAAAGTTGAGGTTTTGTTGATATTTGTCCTTGATCACATTGGCAACTTCATTGGGGTCACTAATTTCAGTTCCTTCGATAGATAATTTGTATGGTGGTGATGACGTTTTGTAAATTTTCTTTCTCAGATGTTTAGAGTTGGTTGCATAGTTTTGTTCCCACCATTTCATCTTTCTGTTCAAAGCCTTATCATGGCTCCATTTGATATGGTTCTTGATTTTCTCTTTGACACTTGCAAGACATTTTGGAACCTGTTCTAAAGTTTTACCAATAGTGGTCAAAAGTTTGTCACAAGGATATCCGTGCTCATTTCTATCAAGTATTAACATGAGCTTCTTATATTGCTTATTATATTTGTAGATTTTAGGATCAAGTTTAGGTGGATTGACCTCCACAAATTTGTCGCCTAGTTTATCACAAATGAAAAGCCATTTGTCGTTATCAGATTCTAAATTCTTAACTTGAGATACACATTCTTTGCTAATGGCCAGCACTTCTTTCTTATTTTTGGGATCTTGAAAGTTACGCTTCTTCCGAATTAACAAAGGTGTTCGTTGACATGAGAGGTCAAGTAGAATTTTAACCATTTTGTGATCTGATATGAAGTTGGCATTCAGTACTTCTCCAGATGCAATTGGAAAATCTGTGGATATGTAATCTATTATAGACTTGGATTGTTTGTTAATAGTATAATGAAGGTGCCATGATAAATGAGGGAAAGGATAGTAATTAAGATTTCTCTTGTTAATAAGATCTAGTATGTTTTGATCAGTTCTTCTAGATTCGTTTGAGGAGTGATTCTCGGATAAAATCGCATTGTAATCACCTCCAATAATGATTTTGTAGTTAGGATATTTTTCAATTAGGTTGTCAAGAATATATGTGAATTCACATCTGTCAGCTGGTTGATTTGGAAAGTACGCAGAAATTACTAGAGTATTAATTGAATTGATTTTACATTTCACGCCAATAATTCGCGCGTTATTCTTAATGATCGGATCTAAGATGATTTCTTCAATATCTTTGAAAGTGCTTTTGTTGAGGCAAATAGATACACCACAGGAATCTCTTGGATTGTGATAATATGTAAATGAAGAATAATATATAGAGGGAAAATCTGGACCAATGTAGACGCTTTTAACTTCCTGGAGCATGATTATATCAGGAGTGATTGAGTTGAGGTAGCCTCTTAGGGCTGATAATGGTTCTGCTCTGAGACCATTAATGTTGAGGGTTAGAATAGATAATTCTGGAGCTACTGAAGTGAATCAAGTAGTTTTAGCTTTTTGTGACACTCATCAATTTCCTCTTGATATATCTTCCTCTTGGTATTATCTTTTGTACAACCAGACAGAAATGTTAGAGTAGCAATTCTATTGGTAATCATTAATTCTTCATTATTTGCTCTGATAATATTAGCCATTTCCTTAAATCCCATAGCCAATTTCTGATTCTGTCTTGCCTCAAGTTCTGCAATTCTTTTTATCCATAGAAGCTTCAATTCTCTTGATTTCTTTTAGGTGATCTTGTTGCACTTTTTCAAGAGTAAAGGAAACGTCTTTCGCTGCAATTTTAGAAGATCTGCCTAAATTTTGTGAAATTTTGTGAACTGTATCAGGTTTCTTTTCCAGGAAATCTTCTAGCATTGGATAATTGAGAGCAAAATCCAATGTCCATTCATTCATTCCATATGCAGCATGGTTTACCAATCTGATGGCATTAGATAGATTGTTGAGTCTAATCAAACATATTCTCTTCTCTTGATTGATGATAAGTATGGATACAGGTTGGTCATTATTGTATTTTCTGGCAAGAGAGGATTCCGTTTGTATTCTAGCTCTAATCAAATCATTTCTTTCAGGCCATCTACCAATGATGTCAGAGTATTGTACATCCATTGCATAGTTGAATGGTATGTCGATTTTCATAGTGACTGTTTCCTCTGTTCTAGGAATAGTGATATCATATGTTTTTGCCTTACATAGATTATTTCTGGCTTTCATACTTTTGACAGTGATCACTGCTGCCATTTCTTTACCAATTCTAGCTGTAGCAATTTCAACAATGGGTTCACCAGTATCGCTTTCAATAGCATTCCTCCAATCTGCCTTGACTGTAGTTTTCCATAGTTCTCCTATTGGAATATTATGGACACGTATAATTTTGTTGGTGTCGTTTTCACATGATGAAGTGATATTGACTTCTTTAAATTTTGTACGTAATGTTTCAACTGCCTGTTCTACTTGAGCGCAATCTTCAATAGTGACAATTATGGTATTATTGAGCTTAATAATCGGATTGATGGTGACATATTTGCCACTAAGTTTGTCCTTAATTAATTCAATTACCTCATTCTCTTCAAATATTTTGCTATATCTAACAGCAATATATCTGGGAGGAGTGATTTCCTTCACTGCTATGTCATTGATGTTGAATTCTTCATTGTCTTGTTGGACATTACTACTTTTCTTGTTCTCAGATAATAGTTTGTTAATATTCTTCATTCTTTCCTTCCATAACTCCCAAACATGTTTTCTGTCTTTATGGTTTTTAAAAGCCTTTCTTTCTGTGGTGATTTCGTATTTAATGTCATCAGAGAGTATTCTGAGAGTGGCTTTTACAACATGTTGGAAATTTAAGGTCATAGGGTTGTGTGGGCTAGCAATAACAGATACAATTTCTAAAATCTGATCAGTGTCAAGAAGAGTTCTGTTTGTATCTAGTTTAGCATTATTGTGTTTGAGAAAAGTTTTACCAACAATTTCATCAACTGACATGTCTTGTATGTTGAGGTTATTAGTCAGCTCATTATCCAACAATTCAATGTTGTCTTGGTTACTCATGCTCATACTATTAGTTTTAGCGGCCAATTCCTCATCAGCTATTGGATCAATAGTTGGGTACAATCTAGTGTCAACACTAGTAGAGCAATTGTGAGTAGGGTTGAGATTATTTGTCAAATTGGGCTCATTATCTACAGATGAACTAGCAGAAGCAATGTAGTCGTTTAATGATTGAAGTGAGCTAGAGTGCTTGGGTCCATGATTGGATCCATGGTTGGGTCTTGTTTTACCGATCTTGCTGGGCATCCTAATTGAATTATTCTTCTTTTTTTTTAATTTGTATAACGAATCTGATCTTGTTAGTCTGATTAAATACCATTCAGTCAATAGCGCTTTGATCTTAATAACTGCCATCGTAATAGGGTCTTGATTACAGTTTGATCACAACGGTAACAATCTCAGTACTTATAACCGGTGGTAGTTGTACGGTACCAAATCAGTACAGTACTTCGTAGAGAGGGAGAGATAAGTTTTAAATTTAAGTTTAATGATTCGGAGATGGTTCTTTGGGTGGTGATAAAGGGTGCTCAAGGTGAACACCTAGCGGAGGTGTTGTGTTATTTTTTTTTCCTCGCTTTGAAATGTCCATTTTTTTATTTCGAATATTTGTTGTTGTTGAATGTACATTTATGATTCGCAACAGGTGTGTATATTCGTGATGGGATCATGAGGTGTGGTGAGGCTTACGTTTCATGTGTGTGAATGCGATGAGTGAGGATCATGAGGTGTGGTGAGAAATCACATACAATGAATCACTTCTTGAGAAGGTAAGGTCCAAAAAAAACATCGATGATTCAATTGGTGATGAATTGATCAATCCAATTTCACAACTTTTTATAATAGTGATCGATTTGATTCTTCTCTTTACGTTCCTCGAGTCGTTGAATCATTTCCTTAATTCGTGTTCGATACATTTCCATGAGTTCAAATCGTTGATTCAAAACTATTCCTTTTGTGGAAATGGGTTCCCCTATCACAACAAACGCCTGATTGCCAGAATAAATCCTCCAATCGTCGTAGGGCCAAATATCATCAATTCCATAGTGAATGACTGGTACAATACTCGCTTGAGTTTCAATGGCTAACATGAAGAGACCCATTTTGTAAGGTAATAATTCTCGACTGTCAGAGGTTTGTCTGGCACCTTCAGGATAAATATAAGTTTGAAAGAGACCTCGTTTCATGGTCTTTCTCATATGATCTAAAACATTCCAGGATTGATTGGGAAGTTGACGAATAATGACTTCACTTCCCACACCATAACTAATCCATCCAAAGAATGGAAAAAGTGCCATTTCAATATTCATAATGGTGACAGAGTTTTGTGTTTTGTAAGCTAATTCCACAATACCATCCGCCAAACTGCGTTGATTTCCAATGGCGAAAATATAGGGCCCATTCTGTTTAATGAGCTGCTCTTCTTTTAGGGTCAAAGACTTGGAAACCTTTACATTTGGATTTTCATTATTGATTAATTTGTAATATTCGAACGCATTGAGTTGTTGCAAATTCCTAGCTATTTCACTCTCATAAAGAACTGTCAGCTTGTTAAAAAGTGCCCAGAAAAATAATTTACAAAAGAATACAATAATTGGATGAATAAGGTACAAGTGTGAAAGAATGATATAATCCTTGAAGAGTTGTTCTTTTTCAGAGAGAGAATAAGAAGAGGAAATTGGCATTATGGAAGGATGATTTGAGGTCATTATGAATTGAGCCACAAGTTGATCCTTCAAACGCAACAATGGAAACAATACTTGCTTGACTACAGCAATTCCTAAATTCCTAATAATTCTCGATGAAAATGTAATAATTAAACAAGGAGTAGCTCCTGTAACAATTAACATCCACTTGGAAAAGTGAAATAAATTCAGTAATAATTCTCTCGAACTTTTTTGCTGCTTTTTTGGTGATGATGATGACAGTGAAATTTTGATTTCTTTAGATGATTCATTTGGATTGTTATTTTGAAAGTCTTCATAATGGTTCTTTTTGTGATCATCATTCCCGAAAATCCATTTCGGAATGTTTAAATGTCTTTTCAATAATTTCAATCTTCTTTCAATGGTTGATGAATGGGATGATTTTCCTTTACACGGATGCATTTCAATCATCATCCTATCGGTTGTTTTTTTCATTCTTCTAGTTGAAGATGGAGAGTAGTGTTGTTGTTGTTGTTGATAATGCATTAATGATGCTGATGATGATGGCATCTCTTCTTCGATGTACGGAAACATTTTTTAGTCCGGAAAATTCCAAAATATAACGGATTGACCTTATTGTTTTTCTGTGTGTGGGAAAGAGGAACAAGAGTACTTCCAATAAATTCTTTCATTATATATGTTTATTTAGTTTGTTCAACTGTATTTAAAAGACTTCCAAGCAGCATGTAATAAATTTCAAATGAAAAGTTTCGCCTGCTCTGTTTTCTCGTCCATCAAAGCGGAACATTGTTGCAACAGTTCTTTATACGAAGCCAATTTATCAGTAAACTCAAGAACCTGGCTTTTCAACTGATCTAATTCTTAACCTTTACCTCGACCTGGCTTTTCAACTGGTGGTGAAAAGTCGATGATTTTGTCCAAACTATGTCTTTGTTTGCTATATCTTCTTTAACAAGACCACACATGTCACTTAGTAATACTGTGGGTGGATGTTTCAACATATCATCCTCATCATGGTGCGGCAGGAAAAATTATAAGCACGACATGACATTAAGTCAAGCACCTTCTTTAAAGAATTGGACTGGTCGTGACCCTGTATTGGGTTTTGAGGGTGATATTGATTATTTTGATGTTCTTCTGTTTAAATATCAAAGCCGTTCCCACAACTTCAAAAAATTATTCTTTGTACCATCTCCAGAAGTTGTTCAGGTTAATGATTCAGTTATTACCTTTCACTATCCAGGGTTAGTAAAGAAGCCATTCTCAGAAACAAAATGCTGTCCTAAGCTACTTGAGTTATGCGCCAGAGAATATCTTTCATGGATATGGCTAATTATGTGCCAGCACAGGGAAGGCCCTTCCTCCATATTCCATGAACTCTGAAAGCAAAGAATGGAGTCCTTGTAAGACCCATCTATACACCGTTTCCAACCAACATTCCATAGTTTCTAATGACATGTTACCGAACAGTGACGAATTATCTAGAGAGAGAATTCAAAGTAAAATTGATGCAATCAATGAGGAAATTAAATTCATTCGAGCACATCCAAAAACAATTATTGGAGGAAGTGGATCGAAACGAAGCTCCATAACGAAATCCAAAAGATGGTCTCTTCCTTCCATTGTATCAGGAGATGCAATGAGCTCTGGTGGAGCCACAAGCTCAAACTCAAATTTGATTTTGGAACAAACAGTTCTTGGTGGAGGAAACTCCAATTCAAATCGAAGGTCACAAAACGAAGAGGAATTTTTCATGGATTTACAACAACGATTGAATAAGCAATATGGAGGAATGCCCGCAAATTTAATGGACAATCCTTAGGAGGTTGCAAACGCCATCAATATGTTAGAACATTGAACTATAGAGGCAGAAATCACAATATTGACCTTTGTAAATTTTTTCAGAAGAAAGAAAGACCTCATTCCAAACTTCAATGAAAAGCAGTGGCTTTTGGCAAACTTGAAATCCGAGGCTCCAAACGAAAAAACAATGAAATACTTGTCAAAAGTAATCCAAGAGGAAATATTCAACATTGTGGATGAAAAAATTATAGACCTATCACAATGATGGGCTCTGGATTGAAACTGGTGCCTAAAATCATAACGAAGAGGCTAACTGACGTCCTTTCTTGAAGGAGTGTCCAAGGCTCAATTTGGTGGCTGCCACAATAGAGGGACTTTTCACCGGATTCTATCAATTTACAATATGATTGGATGGGCGGAAAAAAGGAAAATCCTGTTTTATGGCATTGCAGTTGACATTTAGAAAACTTATGACATGCTTCCCAGAACAATGTTAAGGGTTGGAATGGAATTTATTGGAATTGACGAAGACTCAATTGACCGAATACTATCATTCTTGGGAACTACTCTGGAGAAATTTGTGGTACTATCAGGTGATTCGGACACTCTTTTATGTGAAACAAAAGATGGAACGTCCGTACATTCACCTACCGCGATTTTTTTGGGCAATTTCCATTTACATTGAAGCAGATGTGTTACCTTGAAATGTACACTATTCACGCAGGACGACGGACTCAAATGAATGTACTCTCCCCATTGGTTTTTAAAATATCACTAGAACCATTAGTGCAATATCTGGAACTATGTGAAGGAGCAAGTATCGCTGGTTGTTGGCACATTAGTACAGGAGCTTGGTTTGATGATTTGAATTCCTTTTCTAACAAGTTGGCAAATATCGAAGGAATGTTAAATGACATTGAGCTGTTCTTAAGAGGATACTATATGGAATTGGACCACTCAAAAACAGGTTTCTACAGTAACCGCCAATGCTCTATCAGAATATAAAATGGAACTCTAATTAACAGTGACATAGATATACAACACTAATACTCAAAATTTTAATCAACAATGCAAACATTGTGGGTACAGATGATTAGGACAAGCGTCTGCGTTCAACAGTGAAGTCTAAGCGCTCCACACAGTCATCAGACTCACATACAAGAAAATACACTCCAAAACATTTACCTCCAAAGAACAGGAAATTCAACCTCATTTACCCTAGTTTGGGCATTGGGTTTGGGTTTAAGAAAGGGTGTAAAAACCTCTTTAATGGAAAGAATAATCAATTTACCATCTAGAAATGGAAAATATATTTTTATTACACCTCTCATGAATTCCTATCAAAATGGCTTTAGAATCCACCTTGAAACCGAACCATATTTATCCAATGAAGATGTTATTGATTCAACTTTTCTTAAAGATGTTATGGATTAATTGAAAAAAGAAATTGTATCTCTAAAAAAAGAAAAGGAGAAGGAGAAAGATAAAGAATTAGATGAATTAAGGAACGAAATTGAATCTCTAAAAAAAGAGAAAGAATTGGAGGTGTTGAAGATAGAAAAGGAGAAAGATAAAGAATTAGGAGAATTAAAGAAGGAAAAGGAATTGGAGGTATTGAAGATGGAATTATTAAAGAAAGATAAAGAAAAGGAATTGGAGGTATTGAAGAAGGAATTTAATGATTTTAAAAAAGATATAGAGATTACTAATTTGAAAAAAGAATATGAAGAGTTGACAAAACTTCTCAATTATCGTAAAAAAATATCATCTAACTATGAGGCCTTGGGACTAAATAAAATTCATGTCGGTTTTTCAAAAGCTATTGAGCGAAGAATCTGCTTGTTTCGAAGACTTAAACAACAAGATCGTTTGGTTAATGTAAAGGAACAAATGGGTTTGTGGTCTCTCCAAACACCCGACCTTGATAAAGGTCCGGTGTTTGTGGGATTTTCTGCATATTTTGTCAATTGACTTTATTCAGCAGAGTCCCGAGCATTAATTAAGATTTGAGAAGGTAAAAAAAACTCCAAAAACCGCTCAGCAGAAAAAAAGGAGAAAACCAAAGTAACGCAAGGAAGCAGGAAGGATGAAGGAAGAAACGAAGATTCTATGATGTGAAGCGTAAGAAGTCACATTTAAGCAATTGCTTGATAAATCCATGAAAAACATGATAACATGATGAATTAAATACATGAAACTAAAATAATATGGTTAGCTCAGTAAAAAATCATTGCCGAAAAGATTCTAATCAAGGTGGACCTGCACTGTCACAACGTTCTTCCTGACCACTGTCAGGAACATTCCGATCAGCGAAAAAGGTACCTGAGAAAGCTAAAGAAAGCAAGTGGATGGGAAGTCACAAAGCAGCGCAAAGAGAGACTAATCATTAATAAGCAGAAAATTTTTTGAGCATGAAAATGTTTTTCGTTGCTCAACCAAACTCTTTTAATGTTTACATTCGAAACATTCATACCCTTCACTACGGTCAGAACATATCAGGTCGCGATTTTTGGACAATAATAATAATTGGCATTTCAACAGCTAGTTGAAGCGATCAAGATTTTTTTCTGTGGTAACACCTGCAAAGTCAACTTTTCAGTCCACACATTGAATACTTGTCAAGAAAAAACCAACAACTTTGTCTTTTGCTAAATGTATTTAGAATCCATAGTCGGAGGAAGAAATTTAAAAGTGGGTGTTATGCTGTTGAAAGCTTTGGAGAGAAGACGTTTCCATGAGGTTGATGATCAAAGAAGATTTGACCCATGCTGGATCTTTCTGGTTCATGTAGGCATTGACAAAATATTTGGTGGCAGGGAATGTTCTCACAGTCTTGTCATGAAAGTTGAGATGGTGCAAACATGCTCCAACAGCTTGGAACTTATTTTCAAAGATAGTGCCACGTAATTGACACTCTGGGAGTCTAACCCCATCATCGTCATGAACAAGGGCATATTATCCTTGACATTTTGTTCAAAGCATTTGAGAGAGGTAAACTGTTGCGTCATGTGAACGATTCCACATTGGAAACACGCACCTTTGGAACCGTCACATTCTTCCAATGCAATAGAAACATGTCGAGAACACATGATACCTTCTTGACGCAGATCATTATAGGTCTTTAGCTTGTAGGATGCATGTCGTTGTAGGCATTTCTTGCATCTGGGACGTAATAGATCTGGACGAACTTTACCTTCCTCATCTAACAAGGTGTTTGCATCAAATTGAGAAAAGTCAATTACATGCTTTTCCAATAATTCACCACAATCTGTGCACCTTCCATCCATGGCAAGTTTCTCTCTCCGTTCTTTTGATCTCTGTTTATCCTTTTCTCTACCCTCATTGGTCTTTTTCAAATTATTGACCGAATTGTTGATAAGGCCACACATTTCTTTTCGATTTTGGGTATTGAAAAAAACATGTCACGACCATCATGTTTCATTTTGGCTTGGAGAGTTTCAATGTTGCTAGCACTTTTCTTATTAACAAAGAGTCACTGCATACACTTTTCAATCTCTGCAGTGCTCGCTCTCGCAATGGCTGTATGAGTTTTTGGAGCTCCAAAAATACATTTTGCAACCCTTAGGTGAATCTGATAGGAATTTTCCCTCCACAAATACTCGCTAGTTAACACGAGTCTACTCTACTCTGCTGTATTTCAATGTTATTGATGCAGAAATTCAAAAAAGGAAGTTGGAGGTAAAATGAAATTTTTTATTTTCCAAAAAAAAGGGAAATTTGCAGGAGGTGGGATTTGAACCCACGAAGCTTGCGCAGTAGAACTTGAGTCTACCCCCTTTGACCGCTCGGGAACCCCTGCTTCTCATCACTTGTGAAAATATAGCTTATATTATAACTTTACCATCCATTCCAATAGATGTTCGAAAGACAGGATCTTGACCAAGAATTCTCCTCTTCAATGTCAATCTGATGAATGACGTATTTACATTTATTATTGGACCAATACAAGAGAGAATATTGGAGTGTGTGAAAATGATCAAAAAGCTTTTTGGTCTTGCAAGATTTAAAGGACGGACAATTTCCTTTGGCTTCTGTTGGTTGTATTGGGTTTTTTCATTCACTCTGTACTCGTCACAATATTGAACCTTTTCCAACAGGAGTTGAGAACCAATGATATGGGAAGTTGTGGATCCAACAGACCCATTGTAGACCCGACCGAACCACCCATTCAAGTCTCAATGCCCAATGTTGAAAATGATCTTTTTTCACTCCGTTCTTCCACTCCGGCTCCCATTGTAAAACTTTCCATCACCCAATCATTTCTCTCTAAAGGTCTGTCCACTTCTTCAAAAAATGCCATCCGTCAAACACCACTCCTCCTCACAACAACAACAAAAAAAATGAAAAACCTCTTCCTTGCCACCGTTCTTGCTCTCCTCGCAGCAGCATGCTTGGTCTCTGCCCAATCTCATCTCGACAAACCAGTCCACGATGCCTTCCTCATCGAACGTATCAATCGTGATTCCAGCGTTGGTTGGACCGCCACCAAATATGCCAAATTCAGCGACATGAGTCTCCGTGATGCTCGTAAAATGTTGGGTACCGTTCTCATTGATCCAGTGCATAATCTTCCAAAGAAGAGTGTCTTGAGTGCTCGTGCTCCAGCTCAATCCTTTGATGCTCGTACCAAATGGGGTAAATGTGTCCATGCCATTCGTGATCAACAACAATGTGGTTCCTGCTGGGCTTTCTCTGCCTCTGAAGTCTTGAGTGATCGTTTCTGTATTGCTTCCAATGGAACTATTGATGTCATCTTGTCTCCTGAATACATGCTTCAATGTGATACTTCTGACTATGGTTGTGATGGTGGTTATTTGAACAATGCTTGGAATTTCTTGGCTACTACTGGTATTCCAACTGATAATTGTGATCCATACACTTCTGGAGGTGGTGATGTTGGAAGCTGTCCAACTGCATGCAACAATGGTGCAGCAATCAAATTGTACAAGGCCAAGAATCCACAACAATTGAATACTATTACTGACATTCAAAATGATTTGCAACAAAATGGACCAGTGCAAGCTGCCTTCTCAGTCTATCAAGATTTCTTTTCATGTAAGTTTGGGTTATTTGAGTGAATGACGATGATCAATGTATTCATGATGATCAATGTATTTATGAAATGACTTGTCCATTTTTGGAAAATGTTGGCGCTTCATTTACAACTTTGTGTGAACATTTACACACAGACAAGAGTGGTGTTTATAGACACGTGAGTGGATCATTGGCTGGTGGTCACGCCATCAAGATTGTTGGTTGGGGAGTTACTTCTGACGGACATAATACTCCATATTGGATTGTTGCCAACTCGTGGGGAGTTGACTGGGGTTTGGATGGATTCTTCTGGATTTTGAGAGGAAAGGATGAATGTGGAATAGAAGACAATGTTTGGAGTTCAGGAGTTTTACTTTAAAGCAATTGATTTACTTGTAGATTTTGTACACGATGATAGAATAAATCCAAGAATTTTTACGTCAATGACCAAACAGCGCTCATTCTCTTCTTCATCTAAGGCTTCATCAAAGCCTTCCTTGCTCAACAAACAATCAGTCTCTAACCAAGTTCCGTTTCAAAACAATGATGAAATGAAAGAGAATGTTTCTCCTCAATACACTACAAACAGTCGTCTTGAAAATAGTCATAATAGGGTTCTCATGAAAGACGAGAATAGAATTGTTCAAGTGTACGTTGCCCACCGTCTTGAATCCTCTGCTCTAGTGAAAAGAAAGGTACCAACCACTACAAAAAGAAGGTACTAACAAAATATCTAGCCATGTTTTGGGTGAAAGCATTGACAAGGTACAAGCAAGAAAATGAAGTAGAATATAGGAAATACATGCCAGAGATTTTATGTCACTCTTCTGTTGTGTATGGGTGGGGTCATGATTTGCATCATTGACGCGTATTGAAATATGTTCATGATTAAGATCCCTTGTTTGTGACAACTAACGAATTAAATGTTTCTCTTGGTTGGGTGACCTAAGTGTATCATGTTTGGAAATAAATATTAATTTTAATTGAATTCAACGCTTTATCACACAGAAATTGATCCATACATATAGACTTTGTACAAGTGTTTAACACTTTTGACTAGAAGATGGCATACAACCATCATATCACCATTTTCTGTACAATTGCTTCTCAGTAAGCATTTGAACGACTTGGTCACCCTACATGCCCTACATGAACAAATCTTTACAGTAAACACCAAGTCCAAAACCAAGTCCGAATACGACAAAGAGAGGATTCAACGATCCCATAGAGGTCATCCAAGGCCCAGGACAAACGCCAACCATTCCCCAGCTCACTCCAAAAATAGAGGCTCCCCCAACAAGTTTCCAATCAATGGAATTCGATGTTGGCATGTGATATTTGGCAGAAATTGGTGGTTTTTCATGATGGGAAGATTTTGGCAACACATACTTTTGGAAAACAAACATGCTTGGTAGAATGGCGAATATGGCTACACAGAATAAGGATGGATCGTAATATTCACCTCCAATATCAAAGAATCCAAGTACTTTCATTGGATTGGTCATGCCACTCAGTGCCAATCCCGATCCAAACACCAATCCATTGTAAAAGGGCAAATAAAAGTCCAAAGTTTGTTTCGCATGGTCACTCCATGAATTGACTCGTCTCAAAATGAAGGCATAAATCGAAATGAGTAATAAAAAGTAAATGAAAATTAATACTGCTCTCTCCATATTTGGGAATGCCATGAACGGCTTGTCTAATTCCACTCCTTGACCCACATGAATCAAATTCTGAGCTATAAACTCAATACTTTTCAAATACTTGACAAAAACAAAAGCAACTGAAGAAAACACCATGGTAGAGACAAAGCCTCTCACAGAAAGTCGTGCAATTCCACAAATCATCATTCCCGATGTACATCCACTTCCTAGCTGTGTTCCGAATCCACTCAACACTCCTGCCACCAAAAACAAGATCCACACTGAAGGAGAAGAGAGCCAAACAGATGAAACATGAACAAAATGATCAGGAGCCATCTCTAGAAACCACACTGTAAATCCTGCAATCATTAAACCAAAAATGTAGAGAATTTTGTGAGCCAACTCTTCTTCCGTAACATGAGGCGATGATGATGGCAGTATCTTGTTTTTGAGTCCACGGAATGCACATCCGGCAATTCCACTCATACCTGAAATTCGTCCTTGAAAATAGGCATAGGCACTTACGGAAGCACCAATCAATAAGCCTCCGATGCTCGATTCAAAAGGTGTAAATACCATATCCACTGCGAGGAATGTGCTATTATTATTGGAAAAGAATCACCACACTTGTAGAGGCAATTTATAATGTCGTTAAAAAGAATCGGATCGATGGCGTGGCGAGCGATTTAATGGGAATTTGAATTGAGGTATTTTTTTTCAGAGTGTCGGCGAAATAATCTGCCGCTAGAGATCCTTCTTGGATTTACAACTTCATTGAGGCCCATAAATATTTCAGAAATGCTTCTTGTGGTGATAGATAGACATTCATTGATGAGGATGTGAAACCATATTGTGTCCATTTGCTTTTGAATATTTACAAGAGAGTCAAAATGAATGGAGGGGTCATTTTCATCAAGAGAAAGAGTTGTAATTCTTGGCATTTGCAACATGAAGGACTTGCCAATGTGATTTTCTTAAAGTGTGGCTGTTCTTTTTGTTCTTTGGGTGTGGGAGGACGTTATGACGATACAACTTCCTCTGCGACTCATAGTGATTCATGGGAAGCGAAATATGCTCTTGTGATCCTTTTTCGAAAAAGAAAACACAGTAGTCGGAACGTTGAATGGCCTTCACATAACATTGACAATTATTTTGAGTCAGTTTTCAAACCATCCAAAAACTCCACGGCCAACAAATTCACTCCCAATGCCTTTGGTCAAGAGTGGGTCAGATCTCACGTCCCAAAGGTAGATTCAATTTTTTTGACTCCCATTCAAGAGAATTCTAAACTTTGTCATACTGAAAGAGATGGAATTTGTATTCCACGTGGAGTGATTACAAATGAGGCCAACATTGATTTAGGTTTTATTCAGCAAATATGGCATTGCTGTGGAGAGAATGTTCAGAAAACGAGAGAAGCATTGTGATTTTCCAAAAAGTGCGAAAAAAAATCGAGTAAAATCGAAAACGACTTGCTCAAATTCGGTCAACCGAGAATTCAAGAAATCCATGACACCTTTTCACCTTCAGGAAATTGTGGACAAGATGCAAGAAACAACTATGGTTAAAGCATTCAAGGGCATACAGGATTTAATGGAAGATGGTGAAACTAAGGATGATGATTTCATGGATCCCGAAGATGATGATGATGATGATTTGAAGGATTATGAAGAGGATGACGAGGATGACGATTTGATCGATTTCCAAGATGGTGTCGACAAGGAAGAACAATCATCGAACAATGATGGTCATTCTAATCCACCAGTGAATACTAAACCAAGTCAAGTTGAGAGAAAAGTTTGTGGAACCTCCATGTTGAGAAATAGTTTTCAAAAACATTTGGCTCAGCACGCCATGGCGGTCTCCAAAATCCACAAAATGTATCGTTGTGCGATCTGTGATGAGTGTTTTAAAACACAACAAGACTTAGGAAGTGAATTCACACAATTCTTTGCTTGTCAAATGTCAGACTTGTGAAATGCTGGATTTAATTGAATCTAGTTGAGCGCAGGTCCAATGGAAACATTGTTTTATTGTCAAAATCAGGTTCACAAAGAGCCATCTTCAATGCTGCCATGATTTAAAGTAAATCAATTGCTTTAAAGTAAAACTCCTGCACCCCATACGTTGTCTTCAATTCCACATTCGTCACTTCCTCTCAAAATCCAGAAGAATCCATTCAAACCCCAAGATGGTCCCCAAGAGTTGGCAACAATCCAGTATGGCTTGTTGGAAACACTGTCCACACCCCAACCAACAATCTTGATAGCATGACCACCCAACAATGATCCAGAAACGTGGTGGTAGACACCAGACTTGTAGCTCATAAAGTCACGGTAGACGGAGAAGGCAGCTTGAACTGGTCCGTTAGCTTCCATATCAGCCATGATGGATGGAATGTCGTTCAATTGTTGTGGGTTCTTTGCTCGGTACAACTTGATGGATCCACCGTTTTGACAAGTGCTTGGGCATGCAGCAACATCTCCATTTTGGGAAGTGTAAGGGACACAGGAATCAGTTGGAATACCAGTAGTAGCCAAGAAATTCCAAGCATTGTTCAAATAACCACCATCACAACCATAGTCAGAAGTATCACAAGAGACCATGTATTGAGGAGACAAGACAACATTGTCTTTACCAGTGGAGGCAATACAGAAACGATCGGACAAGACTTCAGAGGCAGAGAAGGCCCAGCAGGAACCACATTGCTCTTGATTACGGATTGGGTGGACGCAATTTGGCCACTTGGTTCTAGAATCGAAAGCAGCTGGAGTACCAACGAGAGGAGCAATAGTCTTCTTTGGGAGCATGTCAGCAGTTCCCTTTTGAATGAGAACAGTTCCGAGCCTCTATAGATAGGTGTGTCCATGAGGAGAAAGGAGGATTCGTGAATAATAACATTCAATCAGCATCACAGAATCATTCCACATTTCGCGAAAACGGAGAATATGGACGAAGACCACATGTGCAACACAGGTTAATGTGTTGTCAATAGCGAGTCAATAGTCATCATCATGGGAATAATTTCAAATATCAACAAATGAAAAGTAGAGAACGAACGAACAAAGGAACAAAACCAACACGAAAAAATCAGTACGATTGAAACCAATTCAAAACATTTCTATCAACACGACAATAAAAATATTCATCATCAACCTACCTTTCTGAATTCACCCAAAGTCATCTTTTCAAATTGTGAGTAGGAGGTAGCCTTCCATGCAACCTTTGGGCTATTGTTGATCTTATCAATCAATACTCTATCATGGACTGGTTCGTTCAAAAAGTCAGAATCGAAGGCCAAAGCGCTGGCAACAAAGGCCAACAACAAGGTGATGAACAAGAGGGATCTCATGTCGTCGTGCACACGTGGGGAATATTTTTTTGTTGTTGTTGTTGTGCGGGTGTTGAGGCGTTTCTAAAAGAATAAAAAAAGACCCAACTCCGGAGTTTCAAGTTTACAACAGGAGGTGATTTTGTCTTGCCAATTGTCATGCGAGATTGAAGATCCGGTTTGAAAAGCATTAAAAATAAATCCAACGTTCTTTTCATCACCTGTTTTAACCGTAAGTCGGCGGAGACGGAATGGCCCACCCAACTTCTTGTTTCAATGGGCCAATTTGGGAACGGAGTGATTACAAAACGGCTCTTGTTTAATTTCTCGATTTGTTGGATTGATCCCATTCGCGTCTTTTGCTATCAAAACAAAAATTAAGGTTCCGCCACTCAGTGGACTTTTTATTCACCTCAATATACTCTCAAACCTTTCTCACAAACCCATCTCCCTCATGATTCAATGAGGCACTCCACTTCATTATTCTGTGATTGTTTTTGGAGCATGCGCCATCCTTTGACATTTCTGAATCAATCTCTCCGTTGGTAAATCCATCTCCTCACCGCCATGATCATCATGTTGCAGACTCTCCTTAAATCGAACCAACAATTGGAGAGCCATCTCATAGTCTTTTGCAAAATAGTATTGCACTGCTTGATTGTACAAATTCCACTTGCCTTTCTTTTCTTGATCGGCCAATTCATACATCCACTCATTCTCAACACTCTGTGTCGATTGCCCAATTTCATAGACACAAGTCTCACGATGAGTCACAATGTCTGATTTTTCTGCAGTTTGCACTCCATCACCACTCTCTTGCACAAGCCAAGGTTTTGAATAGCAATTCTCCACAACCAATGATTTTGTATCCACATAACGCGTTTGAAAATGATCACATCGATCGTGCAAACGCTCGCACACCACAATGGACAGATTCAAATCTTTAGCAACCTGGAGCAGTGTGTCCAAATTGTATCCAATACTTCCAATCACTGTAAAATTCTTTGAGTATTTCGTTCCCAAATTTCCGGCAAATGTTTCTTGATAGCACGCAGAAACTCTCACTCTGAAATGTTGCTGTAACTCTTCGTATTTTCCAGCATCCATTTGATGTTTCCATTTCGTGTCCTTAACAAGTTGTAATTTGTGAAGGAGTGTGATGCATGCAGAAATGGCCTTATCTTCATGATTGGATTGATCCGAAGTGGCATTGAAATAAATAGCCAACGAACCATTCTCAAATGTGCCCAAGAGACCTGACGACACTCGACACACATTTCCACTCTGCTCAAACACATCAGACAATAACTGAACCACCTCATGCTCATTGAAATGAGTCAACCAATAATTGAGACCTTCCAAATGCACACAAAGAGCACTCACAGCTCTCTTTTCTAGGTAGAGCTTGAATCGAGCTTTAGGTTGATGACTCTGCGACAAGTGATTTCCATCACCTTGAGCACTAGCGGTATCACTGAAGGAGGATCCGAAGGCTTGAATGGAAGTGGACACAGAGGGTGCATCGTTCATGGATCGTCTCAGAGTGGATTCATCCTTGCTTTGACGAAGGCCTGAGGAGGTGGAGGAGGATTTGGTTCCTGCTGCGGTGGTGGTTCCTCCTCTTGGACCTTCCAATTCCACCAGCAAGTGAGACGGTAAGAAGGATCTGTATTGTTTCATTCGAGAAAGCATGCTTAAAAAGTGACTCTGTAATTGCTGTTCTTCTGCGAATCGACTCTTTGTCAATAATTGAACATTTTCCAAGTCCATATGTGAAATACTTTCAAAAGAACTGATCAAGTTTCTAAAGGGTGAAATAATTCTCACGGACAAGACAATGGCAAGAATGATTGAAATACCAATAATGATCAATCCACTCAGCCCTGCAGAAATGATAGCAATTGCCATCGAGCTCAAATAGTTCCACTGTGGAACTGAAAAGACAATGAACCAATCAATACCTGACTCGGTGCAATATCGATGAGTGGAGACATATCTTTCACTGGAAGTGAGTACCGAATTGGAGTTACATTTCACACCTGAGGTCAAGTTATTCTGATAAGTGTCGTACACAAATCGTGCCACTTGTCGAGTTTGTTCATCCTCAATGGTGAAAGGTGTCGTTCTCGTGATTTGACCCTTTTCATTCCAAGTGGCAATTTTTGCATTGAGAACGTTGGAACTAATGATATAGCCCGTTTCCATCTCAACAATGAAACCTACAGCCCCTTCGATGGCATTTGTTATTTTTGCCAAGTGTTTTGAAATGGATTGAACACTCATGTCATAGCCCAAGTGGTAGGCGTAGTTTGGAGTTGAGTTCTTGGTTGAGTTGGCAAGTGCCCAACTCGTCACATAGGTGATAAAAGTGATGGAGGGTAAACTTTGGTCAGCGTAGGACAAGGTGAAAATACCGTTCCCTGGATTCTTTTTGGCAGTATTGGGCACAACAGAGGAGCCATAAGGGGGAAAGACATAGTCTGGGGAGGGATTTTTCTTGCACGATGCTTCAGTCGAAATGTTATGACATTGGTAAAATTCTTTTCAATAATTTGTGAAAAAGAGAGATTTTTTTAAAATTCAACAATAATGAAATCCATTCAATTCAAATTCCAAATTTCAAATCATTGAGAGAGAGAGTTTAAAAGAAGGTTTGGTTTAAAAGATTAATGAATGATAAATTCCAACTTACTCATGGGTAAGCCTGATGTCAGATTAATTGCATATGGTAAACCATCGACCTTAACAATTCCATTCACCCATCCATGGGGATTACCCATGAATAGAGTCACCACAAGCTCACTATGAAAATTCAAGAATTCGGATCGATAGACCTTGTACATCTTGTCTTCGACTTGGGAATAATTGGTTACTGAGAATGAGTCGTCACTGAGTTGAGTTTTAACAGTTTCTACAATCATGATGACTTCCTTCATGGTTTGCTCGGAAAATGTGACAATTTTCGCAAATTCACCATCTCGAACTTGAGCAGATATTTGAGTAACGGTGGGTGAGAAACAACATATCCATATGGCGGATAGGATGCAAATACTGTCGAGAAAATCCATTCAATTGTTTACATTGTATTTAGTTGATTATAATACAGTGGTCATTAATTCGACCAATTAATTGAATGCAAAGGAGAGTGTGTCATGACATACAAACCTTGAAAAGATGAGTAGGGATATCATGATAATTAAGCAAGTCTTGATCGATATTGAGGATGAAGAGGTCTTTTGAAGGGATTCCCCATCAGCGTCTTCCTCCTCCTCTTCCAAATGTTCCTTTAAACCTCGGACGGTGATACTGTCGTTGATATTTGTTAATTCGAGAGGTGAAATTTTCATTCTAGGAATGATGATGATGATGACGGTGATGTGTGCGTGCTTTGATAATGTAGAGGTGGCGAATGAGCTGTTTCACCAATGCTGGATTGTTTTCAAATAATACCAAGTGGAATGTGTAAGGGTCCTCTTTGTAAGATAGAGAAAGAGACTATTAGGAGCTATAGCAGCAACAACAACTACCTTACTTGTAGATGGTGCACGGTGTTTCGTTTCGGGTATAAGAAGACAGGAAGCAAATTGGTGGAGGTGGCGACGAGTTTGTTTTTTTTGGATCCAAGGCGCGATAACCTTAACGATTATCTCAGAGGGGTCATGACCACCATTGAGCGCTTTGGTTGTGTTTGCCGCCATGGATATATGCATCACTACCTCCTTGCTACTATACTACCTCTTTAATTTATTAGGGTCACCATAAGAGAGAGATCGAGATCATGGTTTTGTCCCCCTTGTGAATTTTTGATGTGTGAGACTCCTTGGTGAGGAGAGGGTCGATCGCTTTCAGAATTATAAAGCCAAACACCACCAGTTCGCGAAACAACAACCACTTGTGGACCAATATTCGAACAATGGTCAGATCGATTTGGATAACTGGTTGTTCTCAAGAACTTTTTGGACCACACCCATCATTCAAGTTGTGAACTTTGAAAAAAATGTCATCTTCTTCTTGGATGCATCATCGCAGGTCGATCCCGGGATCGAGAATATTCTATAGAGGAGAGAAAGGTAGGTCAATCTGGATAGATTTAATTATGAGTATTAACATGTTTGTTTGTTCGTTATTTTCTTTGAATTATACATGTCGGACCAAATGGTATTAAAAAATTGAAAATCATTTATGATGAAAATGATCTTTCATAATGTGTTCATACCTCTCGATCACGTTTCTTTTCCATAATGATTGATTCAAATCCTTACTGAACTTCCAACGTTGTGCATTGTTGATCAACCTTTAGAAGAGTCCGAGAACCTGGGATTTCAATGCTCTTCCAATTGTCCTCACTTTGAGGAATTAACAACGTTGGAAGATGTCCCAAGTTTTGGAGCCGAATATAAAGAACAAGTCAAGTATTACTTATTTCAAGATTTGGATAAGACTGAATATTTGAAAATAATCAACAATGTAAAATTTCTATCTTGTGGGAGATCTCATACCTTTCTTATTACTAACAATAATGAATGCTTTGTGTGCGGATATAACGCTTATATGCAGGTGTGTAGTGATGTTCAGAGAGCCCTCTAAATTCATCATGACTTGTCGATACTTAATTGTTTATTATATTATCATCTATTTTTTATGATATGATGTTCAATTTTACATTGGTATACTATTGTGATTTGTATGATTTTCATGGTCATTATCACCCTTTTGATTGATCTTGATTCCTTTGTACCCCGTATCATGTGAACAGTGTGGATTCATTCCTTCTCATAGCAAGTTAACTTCTATCGTGAATGGTAGTCATGAACTTACGGTTCCCTATCTTTCCAAAGTTAATCTACATGATGCATTGAATCCACTGATTGAGAAAGGAGAAATTGAAGCAAATTATGAAATCACTCATGCATGTTGTGGTTGGGTTCATTCGGTCGTTATTGTGGATTCCAAAATCATCATTGGTGCAGGACATAACTTTTTTCATCAGTTGGGACATCCACGGGGTGGATCTTTTGATCACTTTGAAATTATTCCTTTTGATCCAGAAATTGAAACTCCTAATTATGTCATTACACATGTTGATGGTGGAACGTTTTTCACAGTCATCTGCCTCAATTCCAGAGTGTTATATGGAGCAGGTTCTTCATCCACTTGCAATTTTGGTAAGTTGAATGTTGTGTGGTGCTGGAAATTTTTTGTTACATAATAGTTCATGTTCCTCTATCATGAATGAAAATATATCAATTCATCGTTTATTGAACGATGGTTTTATGAATGGAATGACGATTTTAAACCATTCAATTATTAATATATTAACAAATGCCACACCTCTTAACGACAGGTTCTCAGGACAAGTATACATCTTTAGAGTTTAACAAAGTTCATGAGTTTGATTGTGATGTTGCCAAAATTCAATGTGGCTACGACCACACAATGGTTCTCTTAAAGGACAATAGAATATTTGCAGTTGGAAAGTTGCCAGGTGCTAGCTCACAGTTGAATGAATACACACTCATCACGTCTGTACCGCACTCTCCCTTCGATAGAGTCGATATTGCGGTATCCAAATTCAACTATCCCAGTTATATTTTGGGTAAGTGTGAACATTTTTATCACAGAAAGGTTTATGTGTCACGATCGAAACTTTCCAACATACCACATGATTGCTCATGATCTGAAAATTTGAAATGACAACCCACACATGGCCTCTCCTCATACATTTCACAGTGAATGATATCCTGTATACTCTGAGAGACACTCAAGCAGAAGTAATGGTACAACAAAAAAGTCTAATCGGAGCAAGTTTACATACAACGAATACACACATGTTTGTAATCAATAGAGATAGAAGTAAGTACATCCCATTCATGAAAAACCTGGCATGACCTTAATTTTCCCACACTCATTCAAATACCCAAACTCTATGAACCTTCTTTCAACCATATCGATAGCCTCAATTGTTTACTCGACACTCGATACTTTGGGACATTTTTCAGCTCCGCAAGGATTTTATTTTTCAGAGATTAGTGGAGGCTACACGGCATGCTATGCTGTTGTGAAACCTAAGATTGCGATAGGATATTTCATTCGATTGAAAAATGCCTATCTTCATGCAAGGGTTTCAGATATCATGATTGTATGTCATTGATCGAGTGTGATCCCTCAGAGTGAACATTGAAACGACAACCACACATTTTTCGAATGCTTTTCACACACATTAAATAACTCCAAATAAACAACTTCAAATAATTGTCACTTGTTGACCTTCTTGTTGCATGCCAACGATGAAATACCATTCATTATTCTCTACATCAATTCGAGGAGGATCCTGTAGGGGTAAAATCGCTTGATGATAATTTCTGAATACGGTCAAACGATGATTTGAATAATCCAACACTAAATCTAAAATGTCACCACTCTTCCACGGAAATGCTTCTTGAGGTGGGGTGGCACTAATTACCATGGAACCATGACGAAATTGATTTTCTTTCAAAAAGTAAGCATGAGATTCACATCCCTGTACATTGAGGAGTGGATTTTGTAAAATTTGACTCACTGGAGTTTGTGCATTCACAATGCCAACAAATATTCCACTATTATTATTTTCACTCTGTTCCAATAAGGAATCAAGTTTGATGGAGAGAATGTGATTGGTTTTGAGTGAAGAAATTTCATCGTGCTGATGTTGTTGCAACAATGGAGGTAAAAATCCTCCTGGAGGTGTGACAGGACATCTCAGTATGCAACAAGCCCAACCCATTTTCTCACCAACATGTCGAATGGTTCGATTCTGATTTGAAATACAAATCTTTTTTGGATCGATACTCCTCGAATCGAACACTTTAAATGAAAATCTCATTAAATATTCCCACTGATGTTTCTGATATAATAATTCTTCCAATTCAGACTCCAACCAAATAAGATGTGCTTCAAAGTTCTTTCCTCGAGAAGAAGATGTGGAATTTGATTCTGAATTTGCATTTTGATCACCGGAATGAACAGGAAAGAGAGGAATCACAAATTTCATATTCGAATCAAGTTTGGATGAATAATAGTGAATTATGAAAAAGAGAATTTTTCTCTCGACACTGGAAGGCAAGGGTCCCTTTGTGGTGTTGAGCATGTGAACATCCAATGGATCTTGCATCACTTTTTGGACGAGTTGTGTCATTTCATGTGAAGACTTCAAGGACAACCCATCGTGCATGTCATTTTCATGTTGTGAATTTGATGGCATCTCTCTGGTGGAAAACGCGAATCCCACTCGTAAAAGATCATTGTGACCACTGGTTGTTGTTGTTAAAGAAGTGACATGATTCAGAGCTCTTTTTCGTTCCTCTAAATCACTCTCCAATGCTCGTCCAATAAATGAAACAAAATGTTGAAAGGATTTAAATTGAAATCCATAATTGCAAGTATTCTCTACGTTGTTCATGTCATTCATTGAAGAGGAGGAAAATTGTTGTGAAATTTGATTGAGAAAATTAGTTAACAGTTGGCCACTCGTAGTTGTTTTTTCTGTTAAAGTGGTTGTTGATGATGATGGAATCGTATTGCCATCAATTGTGAAATCGTTAGTAGTAGTGTAATAATGTTCTTGTTTTCTACATTCATTTTCTAAGGATAATCGAAGTGTCCACATTTGTTGCTGAACATGTAAATTCGAGTGTTCTCCAGAATGAGCTCCATAAATAAGATCCACAAGTTTGTTATGAAGTGTGTGATCAATTTGGTTCTTTGGAATGAAAGTAATTTGTAATTCGCGTTCTTTCTTTGTATGATCATTCATTTCATGGTTATTGCAATAACTGATTTCAAAAATCAACTTGCCATCAATCATGGGAAATGACAGCAAGGTATGATTGAAGGTAGAAATTCCTTGTGGAGGTTGTTGTTTCAAGCTGTCATTTGTCATGGTATAGTTCATAAGAGTATACTCGGTGATGTGTAAATCATATAGATTTCTATCATTCATGTCCAAAGAATTGCAATTTTCAGTCCTATCATGTCGATGACTAAAATGTGACACTGTCAAGTGAGGTTCCATACTACTTTTTTCATGCACAGGAGCCTTTGGTTCAAATGAACAATTATTTTCATTATTCCTATTCATGAGAGATGATGTTTCATTTCTCTTCATCAGTGCATGAATAGAATCACTTTTAAATTGTACCACACGTTTTCGAGGAGGTGCATCGTTTCGATCAATTTGTTGTTGAAAAGTAAAAAATTTGTTTAAGGTTGCATGTCCAATATTTCCCAAATTATGATCAGGAATGACAATTTCTGGAATGGAAGAATCATTAGATTCTAAAACAATGGTTGGAGTTTGAGTGGAATTTCTTCTCTCTTTCCATTCTAATTTTTCTGAATGTACATTTGAATCAAATTTTAAATCTTGTTTTTCATCCTCCATTCCACTACATGAACTTTTTCGATGAGGTGACAACAAGATTGATTCCTTTTCATCCATTTCAGTCATAAAGGCCAAAAATTGAGCTGGATTTCCAGAGTTGGTATTATTTCTTGGAGATGTTTTAAGAGACATGTTTGCTGATGTTGTGAACATGCTGTCATTGTCACCTTCTGTAGATTTCCAAAGTGTTGACACTTCATCACTATGTTCCGAATAAGGTGACGTGGAATCCATCATTACCTCTCTCGTAGTGATCACACTTCTTCGAGGACTAGACGACATGTTGAGCGACTGTTGTAACATGTTCGAACATGGAACCTCTTGATCCTTATTTTCAGAATGTTCACTTGAACTTGTGGTTTTAGTTGTCCATGTTAAATGAGAAGAATGCTCATTTGAGGCAGAAGGGAGAAGATTTGAATGATGATGATGTTGTTGTTGTGATTCATCAATGGCCTTAATGAGTGAAAATTTTTTCACCGTTGGATCCAAGAGAGGTGGTGATCGAATGTCATTTCTTGACATGACAAAAGAAGGAGTCTCTTTGTAAATGACCACTTTTTTTCGGACTACCAATGTCGATGCACTTCGTGTCTTTTTCAAAGGATTGTTATGTTCAGTAGAATTGTGAGTTGTATGAGTGGTGGTGGCGTTTGACAGCACATCAAGAGTCGAATTGACTTGTGATGAACTTTTTGAAACATGATCATTCAACATGTTGACTTTCTGTTGGACATCCTTGTTTAAAGTCCTGCCACCATCGTCAGAAGACATAGCAATCATGGAAGATGGATTTGAGTGAGTGTGTTGTTCTTGTTGATGAGATGTGGTCCAATCTTTGGAAACTCCCGATTCTGAGACTTCGATTCGACTTGATGAATTCTTGTTGTAGGTGGTACAATTTTCATCATCATCACGAAGAAGAAGACGACGACGATGAAAATTCTCTTCTTTACACCTTGAAAGTTCCGAGTTTGAAGAGGTCGTCGACGATGACAAAGGAGCAATATTTCTCGTGGATGAGACAGAACCAAAATTTGAAGGAGAAGAAGGAGACGATGAGGATGAAGATCCAGGTGGGTTGGAGATGGAGGAGGAAGAACGGCGAGAGAACAAGGACGGCAGATGGACCATCTTGTGTTTTCTTTCTGAAATTGCAAACGGTTGACGACACTTTGATATTTTTCTGTTTATGGACATTGACTTTCCACGATTGAGTGGACTACATGTAAAACATGACTCTTGAGTGAACAAGGTTGTTTGTTGAAGAATATATTCGTTCGAGCGATAGACATGGCCATGAGAAAATGTGTGTGATGAATAATGATTCATGCAATATTCGATTCTACAATTTAATATTGAATGTGATCACACATTCATGCGAATGGAAAACAAAAGCCGCGAAAAAAAAAATGGCGAACAAGAAAAACAAGAAAACATCGTCATCTTCTTCTTCGGTAATATCTGCCGCTTCCAATAGCAGTGGCAGAGAAGGAGGTGGACCACATTCACAACAACAGCAAGAACAATCAACAAGTCGTTTGAGTGGAAATGTTCAACAACAACAATTACCAACAAATAACAACACTCAGCAGGCATTTAACATCTCCAATACAAATTTGGTAAATTTAAATCAAAATAATTTAGCATCCATGAGGAGTATGTTTGCAAACGAACCCGTAAATCTTGATAGTTGTTTTTTGTGTGATGATCACAAGCCCAAAAAATCATTATCGGGAAAGAAAGGCTCCAGATCTGGTGCTCATATTCCAGCCAGCGTGAAAGACTTTTGGTTAGAAGCTCCACTCAAAAAGAAGCTTCAATTGTTGCAAATGGATTGTAAATTCGTTTTGGACCAAATTCGGTGTTCATCACCGTATACCACAAAGGAAGGTGATAAACCTGCTTTTCTGAGCAAACCATCCTCATGTTTATGTCCTGCCTGTCGGAAGAAGAAGGCAATTTTCAATGCAGTGATTGCAGGTTTGTATTTGAGTTTTGGATGAAATATTGATACATATTGATGATAATATTTTTATTATTGTATCATGTTGAACCTATAATGTCGATACATTTACACTTTTACTGTGTACTCCCTTTTACTGATGATATCGTCATGTATTCATTTACTTCACAAAATTTGGGTTTTTATTGAACCCCAATTCAATCAAATTAATTTTGAACAAACGGGAATATTGATTTTCAATGCATTACGATGATATGATTTTTATGCCGTATAATGTACACATACTTGACCGCACATGATTATTCAAACATTTCACCAAATTCGGTCACCCGCACCACTACTCCTACCCTTGTCCCATTCATATTGCTACTATTCACCACCAATGAAAATTAATAGTTTTTGAGGACTATGTAAACGAATTGGAAGGAAAACCTCCTTCCGCTAACAGTACATCTCACCAAGTGGCAGCATCATTTCCGCAACAACAACAACACCCAAAATCCCAACCACAACAACCAACAAATTCTCATCATCATCAACCATCTTCCACAACACCGTCTTTACAAACAACAACACTCCCCACAGCAGCAAGCATCACAGTTTCTATTGATGCAGAGTCAAATCCAAGTGCATTCAATCCACAACCCACAGCAGCAAAAACAAAATCTTCATCAGGTGCCACGACAACTACTAAGGGTACACATACCGTTCCAAAATCATCTCTGGTCAGTAGTGAAACAATCAACAAACAACTCTCGAAAATATCCGAAAAAGCACAACAATTCATTATTGAGGATGAGCCATCATCATCGAATACAAGCAGCACGAGTCATGAAAAAACACCAAGTGATACAAGTAGTGGAGGAGCCGCGAACAACTCTTCTTCTGCTTCCTCTAATAATAACAATAGCATCACTCAATCTGCAGATTCAAATTCGACAATCATCAGTAACAATAATAATCCAACACTAGCTTCACCTAACAACGACAATCAATTACCGTTTGGGCGATATTTAATAGCAAAAAATGGTAAGATTACAGTTTCAGAGGAATATTTAAAGAAAGACAACGGAAGACACTTTCTGCGGGTCATCAAGAAATGTGAGGAGGTATTTCCGAGCGATTTAAAACTTGGCCCCAATAACTTTCCAGCTCCCGAGAATATTCACATGCTCATCAATTATTGTACGATGAATAGCGAGTTGAACATTAAGAAAATAATGTTAAAGAATGCAAAGAAGGCTCTCTCGAATCATGCATCTCATCATGGAAATACAAACTCTACGCAACAACACAAACATCATGCATCTCATCGTGGAAACAGCTCGAGCACCAACTCTTCTCAAGCAAAAACTGCTGTTGCAACGAGTGATGTGCGTGAACAGCAGCAAGTTCTCAATTTGTTTCAGCAACAACAAGGTAATGCTACAGCAACTCTCACACTTGGCTCTAATAACAGCACTACCGTTAACCTTAATAACGTGAATGTACAAATGATCCACTCATCTGACAATGTCGGAACAGGTACCTCAAAACCTGTAAAATCTTCACATGGTGGTAGTAGTAGTACTAGTATTGGTACTTCACAAGTCCCTGCTTCAATATCGACACATTTACAGGTACAGGTACCACCAACTGTTACGATAACTGCTACTTCAGCTTCGCTGGGATCTCAAAAATCATCAGGCCAAAATCAAACAGCACTCGTTGTGAGTGGAAGCATTGACATGACCACAACAGGTGGAAGTTCCCCCAATATGAAAGTTGTGAATGGTTCCATTGCGATGGTTCATTTGGGAAATGTTAAAGATCTTATTCGGGCTGGAGATGCAGCCTCGACTGCTGCAACTGTCATGTTGAATAGTTTGCAGGATGAAGAGGTTGTCGATGAGGACGACGAAGGGGACGTCGAAGAAGACGAAGAGGACGAAGAGTATGACGAAGAGGATACAATTGACGACGAGGAGCATGATGAAGAGGACGAAGAGATTGAGGATGATGATGACGATATAGAATCAGATGAAGAGGAGGAAATTGATGATGACGAGGACGATGAGGGAGATCTTGACGAAGACTATTCAACATCAGAGACCGATGAGGAGGGAGACACTCACGTCAATAAGGGAGATTTGAGCACTTCATCTAATCTCGGTACTCCAGGGGCTCAAGGAAATAGCAATACAGCCAGATTACAGCAAATGCATTCAGATCATCATCAAGAACAAAACAGCTCCAAGAGAAGAGTATCTAGAGAAAGCAGTGGAAGGAGACATGCCTCACAAAAATCCTCAGATCCAAAAAGAGAGCAAGAGGAAAAGAATGAAATTTTGGCTTCAAACATGCGAGAAAGCAAACTACTATTCCAAATTTATTTAGCTCGTTTATTCGCACACAATATCCGAGTGGCCTATAATGACTTGTGTGCATCTGAAATGCAGAAATGTCTTCTCGAAGAATATGAAAGAGAGTCAGAAATGAAAAATTCCACAAACTCCAAGACCTCAAAGAAAAAATCCAAAAGCAAGAAAGATAACAAGAAGAAGGATGAAAAACAAGTTGCAGCACCTTCACAAAAGAAGGCACAACTTCAATCAACAACAGAAAAGAATATTCCACAACCATCCTCAAAAGACAAAAACGAATCTAAATCGAACACGCCCCAACCGTCGCTCATGGGCACATCACCTTCAACAAGTAGCGTGGCCTCTTCTCATTCCCTAGCAAGCGCCAATGACACCCATGACGTGGAAGCTGCAGAGTTGTCTGAAAGTGGGGATGATGAATCGAATAATGACAGTGAACATGATATTGAGGATAGTCTTCATTCCAATGAAGAACATGATTTTGATCCATACGAGTATGCTCTCGATGAAGACGATTCTGTATTCAGCTCGAATAAGTCTCCACCACAAGATTGGAATGTTGTCACCAAGAAGCCTGTTAAGAAGCAGAAAGCAACATCATCATCTACTCGAGGTGGTCATGCTCAACGAGGAGCTCGAGGTGGTGCTAGTGGTACGAGAGGTCGAAGCAGTCACTCCGGAGTCGCTCCACATGGTCATAACACACAGAGTGGTGGTGGTACTTCTATTAAGACGACAAATTCTCAAACAACATCTACAAGCGGTCTCAAATCTAATAACACACACAAAGCATCTACTACCTCACCACGACCAAGCCCGTCCTCATTCCATTCAGTACCTCCTTCTTCTCAAGTGAGCGTTCAGAATGTAACAACCGCTCAAACCACTGCTACTAGTAGCCATCATCCATCTCAGCAGTCAGCAACAGACAAGAATAACCCTCAAGTACATGTCTCTAAAAGTTCTCCGTCCGGTTCAAGCAGTGCCACTACTAGCACTCACCAATTTCACAGTCAACATGTCAAGCCTGTTTCTTCAACTTCTCCAACAAATATGAGTAATTCTCATCCGTCTACATCTTCCATTTATTCAAACTCAAATGATAGTCTCTCGAGACCTCTTCCCACCGTGCAATCCAATTCGATTGGTAACAATAATTCTATTGTTGGAATGAGCAATAATTTCAACTCGCCGACCCTTAATACTGGTGGATTTATTCTCTTACCTAGTGCTGTGAATGGTGCAAACATTATTCAACACTCGAGCAATGTTGTCAATAATAATTGTGTTGGTAGTAGTAATAATAGCAGTGAGAGAGATTCTAGTTATCGTAACAATGCTAGTAATAGTAGTAGAATTCACTCCCGTCAGCAAAGTACAAGCAGTACAGGAAGCAACTTGGATATTTCACCTCTCACTACTACGACCATTGGAGGCAATAATTTATTCAATGCCACACTCACTTCTGTCTCAACAACCTCAAATGCATCCACATCTGCTACAACTCCTGGCAATAGCACTGTTTCAAGTGTTGTGGATGAGATACTTAATGATGACGATTTTAGCAACATCATTCAGCATGCTCATGGTTCAAAACGTTCACACACACCATCCAGTACGACCTCCAATAGCAGTAGTGTGATTTCTAGTGGAGTTCAGCAAGCTGTTCCACCGTCATCACCTTTTGCAACAAGCGTGAGTCACTCAATTTTTGGAATTGGAGGCAGCAACATGATTGCTTCAGGAAATTCGAGCGCTATGGGTACTATGGGTACCGCCACCACGTCAGTAGCAACTGCAAGTAGTGGATCAGCCCCTCAAACAATGAAAAACAATGGCGGGGTAGTAGCCTCCTCCTCTCCAAGGCAGCAGCACGGAGTGATGAGTGGCACCAATCCAATCATGGATGTTGCCACGAGCACCACTACTAGTAACCTGAGCTCAGCTGGTACTTCCTCTTCTTCTTTCATTAACCAAGGTGGTAGTTCATTCTTTTATAGTCCTTTCACTTCTCTTGATATAGGCATGCCTTACAATGCTCCTCCACATCCTAATCATCAACCCATGACCATGATGGGAGGCAACTTTTCAAACATGGTGATGATGACACCCAATTCAAATTCATACCTCTTTTCCAGTCATCATCAACCACTCTTGCCCATGACTTCATCACCCTTTTTGTTGGGAGTCGGCCAAAATAATTCAATGAACGGTGGCAGTACTAGCAGCAGCAATAGTACTGTAGCAACTTCGACGGCTCAACAACAACCCTCAACCTCATCACCCATGACATTACCTTTGGTGAGCTCACAGGATCATCATGGTAACAGTGGCAGTGCTAGTACTTCGTCATGGTCACTATTCCAAAGTCCATTTGCTTGGGGTCAACCAACGGTACCGGTTGGAGTGCACTCGAGTTCAAACATCATCATGCCTCTTCACATGGGACTCTCCACAACAGAGAACGCAAGTGCCACTCCGTCAACTACCACCACGGAACAAAATTGAAAATCAAAAGTAAACGGGTTAAAAGAAAAATTTTTTTAAAAAGCCTTAATTCACACATCCGTTACTCTCAAATCCCTACATCAGCAAACACCTTCTCTCATTCTTTCGCGCCTTCATTTCGATAGAACATCCTCTCACAAAACATGAGGTTGAAGCCCTATATTCTCCTCAAGCCTTCTCTCCTTCTTTCAGGATTGACATTCATCGTTGTTATACGTGTTTTACTATGTTGCCTTCTTTCTCAATATTCAATTCCGATCTCATCGGAGCCATCATCCCTTCTTCATCTTGAACAATCTCCTCGAGACAAGTACGAAAGTATTACATTGAAAATTCTACTACCATTCCTCACTCTGCCTTTCATTCATGCACAAACCACTCCAACCTTATATACTTGCTTTGGCAAATTAAGCAATGATACTTTAGTATGTTCGGGGAGAGGCAACTGTACCTCCAACGATCACTGCGTTTGCAATAATCCAAATGGATATTACGGATCCAGATGCGAGAAAACCTATTGTGCCGATCAGAATGATTGTTCGGGCCACGGGTCATGCTTTGTTCAGGGTGTTTGTGATTGTGATTATGGATGGGGCAACTCAAATTGCTCGGCCTTTCACTGCTCCGATATTGGAGGATGTGCTTCCTTGACAGGATCGTGCACGGGTCCAAACACTTGCACGTGCTTACCAGGTTATCTACCACCGAACTGTAGAGAATACTCATGTTACGGTATTTCCTATCAGAATCAAACAGTATGTTCTGGAAAAGGCACCTGTACGAAGCCCAATGTCTGTGAATGCAAACCATTTTACAGTGGCAATAGATGCCAGATTACCACTTGTGCAGGAATTGCCAGTAATTTATCCACCGTTTGCTCGTCGCATGGAGATTGTCTCGAGTATGAAGTGTGTTCATGCCACACTGGCTACACAGGACTCAGGTGTCAATACCCATTATGTTTTGGTTTACCTTCGAACAATAAGAATGTTTGCTCGGGTCAAGGTAGTTGTATTTCACCAGATAATTGTAAATGTACAGATGGTTACGCAGGAACAAAATGTACCCTTGCATTGAGTAATGTCTATCGAAGCGGATATGTGCTTGCAATTGATGAGACAAGCTCACTCGCATTAATCGATCTTAATGCAAATCGATTAGTTCAGTCAAGTGTGTTATTTAGCAGCATACCACTTTCTGAAACGTGTTCTCCAACATTTTACGATTTTTCATCAGATTCCATTTACCAAATTAATATGGTGACATCAACGGAGCAAGCCTCTTCTCTTTATTACTTGTCCAAAGTTTCATTGAGAGAATTGTCAGCAAGTGATCCATTGACCAAGACTGTGTTCTCTTCCAATTCCCTGATTCCAAGTAAGAATGGAACATTTGTTGGTATCTACTATTCAGCTCTGTTTGATTGTATGTATATTTTAGAAAAAGACATTAATACCAATATAATGTCGTGGAAACGAGCGAATATCGATGGTAACTCACTCACTCCCTTTCTCAACAATTCCATTCTAAACAGAATGAAATTTTTTCCTAATAATTGCATCTTGAAACAATTACCTAGGTACTCTTCAGAGGAATTGGCGTTTCGGATAAACAGAACTACTGACGAGTTTGCATGTATTGGTGTGTCAAAAACTGAAGTGGCCACTACTCGCCTTGTAGTGTTTACAGTTCATCGAAATTCCAGCTCTACAATTTTGGTTAATGTTGAACTTCCGTTCAATGGTTCAAACATAGACCAGGAGCACAATGGGTTGTTTCTTTTCCCTGGGGAAGAAGGAGAATATAGAATAGCTTTTTCCCCTGCTTCCAACTTGGGTGTCGTACAATTTGCGAGTGTGAACATTTCAACACAGACAGTAACGTTGTTAAACAGCTCGCTCTCAGACTTCACCATTTCAGGCAAATATGATTTACAAGAGGATTCTCTGTTTTTTGATCAGACAAGAAAGAAAATTTTAGCGGTTCCTCGATACTATTCTCTCTCTGCATTTGTTGACGACAGGCCTCCATACATCACGCATTCTGTACAGGGCACACCATGTCGAGTGTTTTTACGAAGATTCACTCCCTCAATCACAAAAATCGAATCTCAATATCCGAATATTTTGGATGGTGGAATTGCGACAAGGGTGCAAGGAAAGGATCTTTTTATTGCTGACTGGTCTCGAATTTCATACTCTTATCTCAATCTGTATCAAGGTTCTTCAAAGCTCACCTTGTGTGACGACTCTATGAATGCAAATTTTGGAGAGGAGGCATGTTTTGAGTCTCCAGTTCTTAACAAAAATGGTAATTCAGACTTGGTTGGAGTGAAGGTTGAACATTTGGTGGGAAGTGGCCTGATATATTCAAATGTCACCACCACGGTCAAATATAATGGTGTATTGGGTTTAAATCCAACAAGAGCACCAAATGGAGAAGCTCTCACAATTGAGGGTGTTTATTTCGATGCGCTTAATCACAAATTGAAGTGTCAATTTATACTGTTGTCTACTGGTGAACAAATTACAGTTGTTGGAACCTTTTTGAGTCATCGCTACATGTCCTGCGTTGTACCAGCGCTAAAAGCAATTCAAGACGAAAAGATTATGGTTAGAGTCTCTCTCAATGATGGGGTGAGCTTTCTAAAAACATCTCTAGCATTGACCTATCGTGTAGTTAATTTAAGGAACAAGAACTTGGTGGCTTTTGAAACAATGAATGATGTGTTGGATGTCATGAAAACCGGGAATGCGACTCTTCCAAACAGTTTAGGGCAACCGAACATGACATTAATTAGTGATGGCATTGACACTGTTCTTTCAATTGCTAGCACTTTCACTACCGAATCCCAGAAAGCACGATATTCTCTTGAGACTGCAAATACTTCACTCATTACCGATTTGCAAGCGATTGCTCAATTCAAGATTACTACCGCATCGACTGGAAATGTGCTAGAATTGTGGCTGATCAATGCTATAGATGCCAAGTACTACATTCAAAGCCAACTTTCAGTATCCAACGGCACCATACCCAAAATACAATTGTTCTACAGCTTACCAGGAGATATATCAAACGAAGGGCTCCAATCTGAATTAGCTGCCAACAAATTAGCTTGCAACATTTCATCGTCTCAATACTACAAAATGATTCTTGAGTTGAGAAATCCCTCTGATTTAACGAATCCTGTGTGGCATGCTTCTCTCAAAATAACTGACATTTCTCCAAACGAAACGGTCATTTGCTTGGTGGAACGTGTTACCAAAATGACCTTGAATGATTTCGGTTCAATTCAACAACTTCCATTTAGTGTTGGCATTTCTCAAAGCCCCATTTCAAATCTGTTCCCCAGTACAAGATCTCTTCATGAATTGATGATGACAACAAGCACTGTGAACCAAAATGTCATCATTCTCCTCAAATCTTTTGGTGTCAGATGTCAAACAGAGGATTGTAGTTTTCAAGCTCCAAATAATCTTGTCACTGTTATTTTGGCTTCCGTTCTTCCATCTGCATTTGTCGTGATTGCCATGCTTTTGGTGGTCACTGTTGCATTATTATTGGTCATTTTCAAGCCTTGGAGAAAGCTCGATACGGTCCAGAAGCGTGAATTAGAAATACGACGCAACCTTGATCGAATGATGCATCTTCAAAAGTCCATGAGTAGCGGTGCTGCCATGAAACCTGTTCGTTGCGGAACGTACACCACTACACAAAAGCCTGCCAATAAGGTTTAACTGTGTTGACGATTGACTGCAATGAAAACCTTAATGCAATTCATCTGAAAGTTCCAAAATTCTGAATATTCTCCGTTTCCTCAACAGGAAGGACTAAATATAAGGGGTTCTGCTTCATTATTTTAATTGACGTATTATCCACCGCTGTCAAACGCACAGGAGCGAGTGAAAAAAATGTCGAAACAACACCAACAACAACGTGCTAGCATCCCATCTCCTGTGAATGCCTTTCATGGAGAGCTGCCTTTCACCTTGAAAGATATCAAACAAGCCATTCCAAAACATTGCTTTGAAAGACCACTGTTAAAGAGTCTTCTTCATTTATTTTCTGATTTAGTTCAAATTGTGGTTTATACCGTTGCATACTATTACTTTTCACAAGTGGTTAGTGATGTGTGGAATTTTCACCACGATAATGTTCATTCACATCAATTAATTACATTGTCTCAAATTGTTTACTATAGCATTCAAACTGTGTTGTTTTTGAGTTATGTCTTTATTCAGGGAACCACTTTCACTGGTTTATGGGTGCTACAACACGAATGTGGACATTATGCTTTTTCCGATTCTGCGTTAGTTTGTGATATTGTCGGATTTGTTGTAGGAAGCGCCTTGTTGGTGCCATATTTTGCGTGGCAGGTGAGTATGACAACTTTATTTCAATCAACACTTTTTACAAATCGAATACGATGATCATCACAATTCAAACAACTTTTGTTTTTGAAAAACATTTCGTTACATTTTTCTGAACCTCAAAGAAATCTCATGCCATTCATCATGCCAATACCAATCATATGGAAAGAGACCAAACCTGGGTGCCACAAACGATTCAAGAAGTACCATTTGAATCTGTTGAAGCCAAGACCAGAGGCCCCACCACACCAAAACATGCCACTACTCAATCCGATTTCAGAACCTTTATTGACATTTTGGTCATGACTACCGTTGGGTGGCCACTTCATCTTCTCTTCAATGTGTCTGGACCTATCAAGGAAAATGTTGTTGCTTACTATGTGAAAGGAAAACGATATGAACCCACTCATTTAAAGGAATGTGACAATACTGACAAGGCAATGACGATCGATGTGGCTAATGATTCTGTTGCTTCCAATGACATCAGCGAATACAACCCTACCAACAAGAAGAATCCGGTCACTTTTACTTCTCACTATATTCCATCCTCTCCCATTTTCACCAAAAAGGAGGCAATCAAAATCCACTTGTCCAATTTTGGAGTTCTCGGCATGCTTTGTCTGCTCTACAAATTGTTTATAATTTACGGATGGCAAATCATGATGACTGTCTATGTCCTTCCTCTCTGTGTGAACTTTTTCTTTCTCACTTCCATTACCTTTTTACAACATGTAGATGATTCCATTCCACATATGGATGAAGATGAATGGACTTGGCTGAAAGGAGCGCTTTGTACAGTGGACAGACATATGGGATCTTCATTCATCGATTCAAAATTGCACCACATTCATGATACTCACGTGTGCCATCATCTCTTCTCTAAAATTCCATTCTATCATGCAAAGGAAGCCACTGAGGCCATCAAAAAAGTAGTGGGAACGTTTTACAGAGAAGAGACTGAAAAGACGTTCATTGTTTCATTGTGGGAAAATTTGAAGAATTGCATTGTATTGAAGAGAGATGAAAAGTATCCTGGATTGTTGTGGTGGGATCATTAAAGTATTTGATTCACTTGTCGTTAACAACTTCTGCTATTGTACAATTTGATCTAAGTAAATTGCTTCCATATAGAAGACAATTTTCAAGCTTTCAATCCATCATAAAGATGAAACAAAGTAACTTGTAGGCAATAAAATTGATTCTGTTGTGACTAATTCTGGAATTCAACGTTTTGTTTCGTTTAAAATTTGTAGCACTGATTTTGGATGGAAAATGCAAACATGGAAAACCTTACAAGATCTAAATCTTCCTCACTTGTTACATTTCAGCTGCCATTCTCCTGCTGGTCGCGGCAATAAGTTTCTTTGAGAGCAGCTCAGTTTTCAAGAAAATGATTGAAATTGATTTAATGGAAACCATACCAGTGAAAACCAATCTGCAAACAGAATGCCAAAAAAAACGATTGTTACGGACTTTTTGAAATTGGAAGCGTTAGAGCAGAAAACAATAAATCCGTCCTGAACCATTCGTTCAGCAACAAATTCCAACAACAAAAAAAACACAATCATTGACTTCAATAACAAATTGTCAGATCGAACAAGACATTAATCACTACCTACTATTTCACACAAACAACATTCCAAATGATTTCATTTCTTTTAGGAGTTGCTTCAGGTGTCTATCTCTACAAGAATTATGACATGGATCGAATGGTTCAAGATGTGAAACCAAAATTATTGACATGCCAACAAAATAACAATTCAGGAAACAAACAAAATTCCTCTTGTTGGGAAAAATTCAAACATTGGGAACAACAATACAGAAAAGTGGACAAATCCACTTCTTCAGTAGAATAGTAATTGCAGTCTTCTTTCCCTTTTACATCATTGAAAACATGAACAGAATCGATTTGATCATTCTCTTCCCTATCTTCTTGTAAATATGTCGTTCCCAATACTCTGCTCTCTCATTATTTCTCTGAATAAAATCCTTAAAGAACTTCTAAGAAGACAATTAAACTGTTATCTGAAGAATAAGAGGCTCAAAAAAATATCTTCATCATAAAGGATTGAATTTATCATCATGATGCAACTGCGATCCGAATTTACATCTTGGACTTTGATGCAAACCATTGCAATGAATTGTAATCATCTATTTGTGGTTTCAACATCAATATTTTTAGCGATTAGCTAAAACGAGTAAAAACTCTCCGTTCTATCGCAACTGGTGCTGAAAGAGATGTTGAAAAAAGTTTTTGATCAATCTCTTCCGAAAAAATCATTTGTACTATTAAGATGGCGCAAAAGATGCTTTTGATGATCAATACAAAGACATCCACTCGATTCTGGGAGAATAGATTTTTGCGAACAACGAACAACGAACTGCAGCAGGGTGGCCCTGTATTTTTTTCCGGGTGTGTCAAAACGAGCTATTGGAGATCGTAATGCCAATTTTTTCCCACGTGATCACGCTATGCACTTTTTTGAATTTCAAAGAAGATGACAGACGACAAGTTGGGAATGCCAATTGCATCTAGCTGTTTATCCCGCTAATAATTCTCCCCTTGTCGCCCCAACAACAAGCAGAAAAATGTTTGCACTACTCCCTGCAAGAGGACTCTTCTCTTCCAACAACATCAACTGCTTGTTGTTGATGATTTGTTGGTTCTTGTTACTCGTCTTTGTTGCTACAAACGGTGTGGTTCAATCCTCATCCTCCTCATCTTTATGGAATCAACCACAATATTTAGCAAAGAGGATGACTCGAGACATCACTGCCACAATTAGAACACATGTTGTTCAACCCTATTCTTGGAAGACTCTTCAATACAAGCACACAAATTCTAAGAAGAGAAAATACTACTATGATATTTCCTTTTTCAATGGCAATTTTGACAATGATGTATGGAATGCCGCTCGTCTTTCTAACAATGTTTACTATGAAGACAAAAACTTTGAAAAGCCTTTTGGTAAGTATTCCTTGAAGAAGATTCCATCAACTCATCCTTGTTCGTTCATGCATGAATTATCAACATTTCTTTCATAAATGTGTTTTCTTGCCTCTCATGATTGACCAGAGTGGACAATTATTGAGGATTATAAATCAGTATCAGCAGTGTTTAGAATTTACAAGCACAAGTATCAAAACAAGTATGCCATTGCCTTTAGAGGAACTGAAACATCTTGGGACTTGGTGGATACAGTTTCGGACTGGTTCACCAATGTTGAAGTTGTTCCAGTACCTACCCACCTTTGTCCTCCTATTCTTAACGGTGATTGTGCTTGGTTTCACTCTGGCTATTATTTGGAATACATGTCATACAGATCTGAATTGATATCTATCATTCAATCAGCGCTTCAAAGTGGTACCAATCCACAACTCATTGTTACAGGTCACTCACAAGGTGGAGGTTTGGCTCAGCTCTGTGCAGTGGATCTTGCACTCGTATTCAACATTTCCACTTCACAAATGAAGTTAATTACATTTGCAGCACCAGCACCTGGATACTCCTTATTCCAATATTTAGGACAGAGATATGTCAATCATCTTCGAATTGTATTGGGATGCTATTGTAAGGATTTGTCATGCATATATCTAGATATGGTTGAGGGAATATTGACCTCCAACCACTTCGGTCAGTTGTTTGCACTTCGATATGAGTACGATCCATGGCCATTATATACCACCCTCCACAGTCTAAAGAATTACATGGACCATGTAAATATGAAAACTCCCTTGCAAGAAATCATCAGAATGTTTGTTTTCAACTCCATTATCACTTCTCCTTATCAACAGTTACTAGTCCAAGATTCTGATTGGTTTCGATGTTCCATGCAAGTGAGTATCTTTTCAGTTTCGAACCCACAAAGATCCTATCTAGTAGCCAATGGAAGTTGTGATTATCAATATACTTGGGTTACTTTTACCTCAGACATCCCATCAGGAACGTATGATATTTATGCAACATTTACCATTGGATATCTCAACCCTTTCACTATTCGAGCATATCCCAACCAGATTCAAGTCAACCTGACCACATCGACATCTATGATTGCAGCCACTCCATCCTTCACATGTCCCTCTCAATGCACAAGTTGCAATCAAACCACTAAGACCTGTAACTCATGCAAACCAGGTTATTATGGAAGTATCTGTAGTTTTACATGTCCAAGCAATTGTGCCACATGTACGAATGGTACTTTCTGTCTTACGTGTGCGTCCAATGCCACAACACCACCTCTATGTGCTCCAAAATGTACATCCTGTGTGAATGGTGTTTGTGTCGATTCGGAGGTTTGTAAATGCGACGACGGTTGGACTGGACGGAATTGCACTCAAATCTTGTGTCCAGTTGGATGTTCGTCATGCTCCTCTCCCTATCAATGCACAAGTTGTAAAAACGGCTGGTATGGACTTACATGTTCCTCACCATGCGTTGCAAATTGTCTCACTTTGTAGCAATAGTGTGAGTTGTTCATTGTGTGCTCCTGGATATTACGGCCCAACTTGCAGTAGCGTTGGATATTCTACGAATCGTAATGTATACACGTATCCAATTCCACCTAACACAGCCGGTATTATAAGTGCTGGCTACGCTTATTGCAAAGTTGAAAAAATTGCTTATGACAATGATCGTTTACTCATCATTGGAGACGTAGGAAAGACCTTGTTAACAAAAGACTCTTCCTCATCTTCTTTCGTACAAATTTCGAATGCATCCTTTGCTCCTTATACGTTTACAAATGTTGATATTTACAGCTCAAATGGAATTATTACCACGTCTACTCCATCCATTGTTTTTCAGTTTGGAAACACTCCAAGTATTCCATTCAAGTATTCAACTGTTCCAGTACCTTTTAACACGACTCTACCTGAAGTGATCGTGGATGTAGCAATCGATAACTATTACAGTTTTTATTTGACAGCATCTGGTAGACTCTATGTTTATGGTGATATGAACGGTTTTTACACTTCTGGACTCTGCATACATTCAGGAATTCAAGGAAGAGCAGTATTTACCAACCTCACAGAAATTGTTTTTCCAAACAATGATCGAATTAAGGTCTTTGACTGTCGCCAACAAATCTGCTTTGCATACAGTTACTCTGGAAAACTTTACGGATGGGGATTTGTATCAAAGAGGTATTACGGAATTAACAACAATCTGTGTGAAATGCAACCAATTCTACTAGATATATCTTCTTTTAATGGAGATGAAATAACTTCTATTGCTGCTAACAGTAATTACTACTCCATGTTTTTAACCAAAAATGGAAGAATATTCTTCTCCGGTATTGACAATTCCTTTTCATACACTCTTTCACGTCCTTCAGAACTGTTCACTTCTCCTTCTGGGGAACCATTTGTTGTGATCAATACCTTTCCAAGCGGCTCGTTTTATTCTTTAGTGACCAGAAGTAGAAAACTCTATGTGCTGGGAACAGATTCCTATATTTCCCAAATGACTGGTGCATCTCGAATCGTTATGTACTATGTTTCAGGCTACGATGGCTATCTAGTTTATGGAAAGTATCTCATCTCCCAAACAAGCTGCTTTGGTATTTATGACTTTGATCCAACTGTATGCAGTGGAAATGGCAAATGTGCTAACACTGATCTTTGTGCTTGTAATTCCAATTATTCTGGACAACTTTGCGATAAACCTGTATGCTTTGGATTACCGTCCGACGATCAAAGAGTGTGCTCAGGAAAAGGTCAATGTGTGGCTCCAAATGTGTGCTCCTGCCAGCCACAATTCACAGGAACCCAATGTGAACTATTCTCCTCTCCTTCATGTTCCAATCTCTCTTCAGTGCCATATCAATGTCAAGGATGTGCCGATGGAAGTTATAACACAGCCAACATGTGTAGAGATAAGTGTCCAGTGAATTGTCTTTCATGCAACTCAAGTACTACCTGTCAACAATGTAAATATGGCTATTCGGGAAGTTTATGTTCGCCTGCATGTCCTGACAATTGTAGAGCATGCAGCAGTGTGGAAAGTTGTAGCCTCTGTTACGATGGCTTTTATGTTTCTAATAATGGAGACAAGTGTGAAAGATGTCCAGAGAATTGTAACACCTGTCAAAATAATCAAACCTGTACATCGTGCAAGCAAGGATGGACTGGAGCGACATGTACCACTCCTATTTGTCTTCGAAATTGCAAAACATGTACCGATTCTCAAAATTGTACCTCGTGTATTGATGGATTTAAGGGAGATCAATGTTTTACACCATGTCCTATTAATTGTGATTCATGCAATTCTACTCAATGCATTCGTTGTAAAGATGGATTTTATGGTAATAATTGTCAGTATAGAGAGGAACGATGTGACTCTTTATCCTTCAATATGTTCCCAACCATGAGTTCCAAAGATGTTGGAAATGATCAGATTGAATACACCATTAGTGTTTCCAAATTTTTCCAACCCGATATGAAGAACACATCACTGAGAGTAGCCTTAATGAATATTCGGAATTGTTCAACCCAAAATGTTCCATATCAGAGTGAAATTTCAATTGTGACAACGAATGAAACAAATTGTGAATGGATCTATTCATTTAGAGTGGACATTTCCTCCATGATTAGCACTCCACTAGTCACTAAAAAACTTGATGCCTCTGGAAATATTTATACTTTGACCATTCCATTTTATGTGGCATTTGAAAAACCACAGGAAACACCTGGAACGTGCAGTATTGTGAATTACAATATTAATCATGAAATCAAGATCATTCTCGACTCACATCAATACATTGAAATGGGTTACACCGCAGAGAATTTGACATCAGTGACCTATCGCCGAGATGTGATCTCAATTCAAAACAAAACCCTAACTGTTGAAGGAAGACTATTCATTTCCAATGGAGATTTAACACGAGTGACATTTGTAGGATCCACACCAATTCGTGATTATGGCTTTTATGCAACCTTTTATCAAGTTAAAACAGGTGAATATTATCTTGCATTGACATCGACCAAAGCTGTCACCGTAGTGTCAGGTACTTTTAGATTCAATATTCAAGTGACCATTAATGGAACTGATGTCACTCTTGATCTGGTTCTTGATCTTCAATATTACATGCCCTATGATCCTCCATCTACGAATTTACAACTCACAACTCGACTCTCCTTGTACGGCGATCAGTTCCAACACTCGAAAATGTCCTTTTCTACCTCAGAGTCACCCAATGTTTTAGTTCAACTTGTCTCAGCATCGAGTAATGTCATTCCAAACGGAGTAGGCATCACTCTTAAAAACGCTTATTTATGTTGCATGAAGAGTGGATATCGCATGCCTCCGTTTGATTTGAGTTCAGGACAATTAGGATGTACTGTTTCCAATAGTACCACTATGAATGCATGGTTCAGAATTGTTGACAATCATTTGCCAGTTTCTGCACACAACACTCGACTTGTCTCATTCCCAAATGTTAATTTCCAAATCGGATTGACCTTCACACCAGCACCTTCATCGATTCCAGTCGGTACTCATACGTGTTTCATTCATACAGAATCTCAATTAGTAATCACTGCTGCCCGATCATTGGAAAGATCGACTCGTGAGTCAGCAAGTTCACAACTTCATAGTTATGAAGTGATTCAATTCACACAAAAAGAAGTGATTATTCCTGGAACGAGCTCCAATTCGACTCGTCCTGTAAGCAGTCATGTGAATGGAACTTCACAGAATTGTGTTGCTGTTGTAATGCTTCTCTTTGTGTCATTGGTGACGATGCTGAGTAGTCTTTTGTAATTAATTGAATAAATTATTGTTATTATTTCCCACCGTTGCTACAACCCCGTTTCAGAACTTTGTAAAGAAGAATAAATGATGTGAGTTTGAAATCTTGAACAGGACTTGGCTTAGATATCTCTTTGTGGATCTTAGTTTTTCATCCAGATGATTCAAATATCTGGCTCTTCTTCCACAAAATTATTAATTTCATTGTAGTCTCCAATTAATGAACTTAGTTTCTGTAGGCGTTGTGAAAAATCATCTTCTGTCAAGCCATCCTGAGCGAACCAATGAAGAAATGAGTTTCTCTCAAACAATAACTTGGCTTGACGTTCAATTTTCTTGAAAAGATCCACGACCGACGTCGAATTGACCACAGCACAAACAGACTGGTCTGGATTGCCCAATATCGAACGCTCTGTTTCCAAAAAGTCTGATGCTTCATGCTGAGGATAAAGCCCACATTTGAAACCTGTTGGCATCCATCCAAAAAAGCGCGGCCTTCCACTTTGCTTCACCGCTTTAATCGCTTCCTGAACTGTTTTTGTTTCCCAACTCCCCTTAAAATTTAAACTGCAACTCATATATCTTCCGAGTTGATGGTCACATTTCGTCATCAAATATTCATTTGAAAAGACATTTTCAATCATGCGAAAGGCATTGGCTAATTGTTGTGTCATTTCAACTTTTGCTGTAAAAAATTGTTGAATTTGTTGAAGTGAACGAGTATCGTTGTCGTCATGGTTGATAAAATCAGGAGAGCAATATGAACTTTGAAAAAAGTGAAACCGAGGATAAGGAATTATTCTCACCACATCACAGAGATCAGCTCCATAACCAGAATAAAATCTCTTGGATGAGGAACATGATGCTACCACCTCAACAATTAAATCATTCATATGAACAATATTTGGCACTTGGTCATTCAAACGATGAGGTGATCGTTTGCAAATATCATATAGAGCTTGATTGTCAAATGTCATTGTCACATCAGCATACTCTGTAAGCTCATTCATTGAACACATTGCATTATAAGGCTCCACAACATGTTGATTATTTGAAAGAAATGAATAGTCTCCATTACATGAAGTCATCATTGGAAACAAGGTAAAACAAGTTCTTATCTTTCTTGGATATTCCACAGCAAGATGTTCCAAAAGTTGAGAACACAATCCTGATCCCGTTCCTCCTCCACATGATGAAAATAAGAAAAAGCCTTCCAAAAAATCACACACTTCCACCAATTTTCGTTTTTCAAATAATTTACTTGATTGTTCTCCATAGAATCCTCTTGAAAATGTACCATTTGATGAATCAATATCTTGTTCAAATATAAAACATTTCGGATCATACAATTCTCTATTACAAATTTTAGCTGAATAAAGTGTTGAATGATGTTCCACATCCACAAACAGTGTTCTCGGAATAAACTTGGTTTCATCATCATGATGAGCCTTTTCAGAGTGATGAAAAAACGATTGTAAATTTTCCTCTGAATATTCATCATCATTTGTATGATCGTTCATTCCAAAAAGGCTTTTCCAGTGCTCTCTACATAATCGTTTCCAAAACAAATCTCCAATCCGAATACCAGCTTGTCCCAACTGAATACAAATAATTTCTCGCATTTCAGCTATATTTACTTTTTAGGTATTTTTTTCACTAGAGATTGCCAGTCCCTCTGAATTGGCTTGATCAAGCGAAGGTGCAAGGAAAATGATTACGAATACCGTTCAGTCAGTATTGAAAATGATCTGTCATTGATGAGTTGTAATAATCGTTGGATTCTGTGTACAAAAGTGTTGTCAATCTGCATTCCTGTCATCATATTACTGAGTAATAAAAAATTCCTTGTTGTGGTGGTATGGAGCTGCTTTTTCAATACTCTCTGTGATGAAGGAATGAATGTTGAATTGATTTCTTGAATAGAGAATTGAGTCAATGATTGAATGGAATCGAAGGTAATCATGGCAAAGAAGAAGAACACAATTCTCATCCTGTGATTTTGAACTAAAATTCGTCAAAAACAATTATTTCAACCTTTCTTCACTGGATTGAAGTACCTTCTCGGAGTGAGAGGAATCATTGAATTCTGAAAGGTTTAGAATTTCTGTGGCAATCTTTTCAGTAAAGTATCGATCATGAGTTGCAGCAATGATGATTCCAGGAAAATTCAATAATGCTTCTTCAATCACCTCCAAACTTGGAAAATCAATATGATTGGTTGGTTCATCTAAGAGAAGTATCGAACATCTTCTCATCACAAGTCGATCTCCGTTCACCGATGTAAAAGATAAATGACGAAACAAAAGTTTCTCCTCAAAAGATTTGGCCAATTCAAATACTTCCAAACAAATGTTTGATGAAATCGATTCATCCTCAAATTCAAAGGAAATTTTGGTTCTCTCTGGAAGAATGTCCACTAGATTTTCAGTGATCTGTTCTTGCTTTCGAGTAAATCGATTAAAAGCTTTAGAAGTTCCCTTTTGCACTCATTGTTCTCTATTGTTGTGGCTTAATTTATCTCTGTCCCAACTCCCTCGAATCTTCTTTTCTTTCATGTTGCATTTGAGTTGTGTAGATTTTTGTTTGACTTGTTTCAATTCCTTGTCTTGTTGTTCACGTTTTTGGATCGACTTTTTACGTTTCTTTTCTTCCTGAATTAAATAATTTTCATATCCTCCCTTAAAGTGCACAAATTTCTTAGTATGAGGAGAAAGTTCAGAAATTCTATTAGAAACTGCATTAATTAAACTTCGATCATGTGTCACCATAATCACTGCTCCACTGTATTCCTTCAAAAAGTTCTCCAGCCATTCAATTCCTTGTCGATCCAAATGATTCGTCGGTTCATCCAATAACAAAATATCCGTTTCAATCACACTCAATGCACATAACATGATTTTTGTTTTCTCTCCACCACTGAGATGATGAAATGGTTGTTCCAGTAATTGGTTGGATAGTCCGATCAGATGTGCTTGTCGAAATATCTCATGTCCTCCGACAGCATTCAATTCCTGATACCATTCGGAAGAGAGTGGTTCAAGTCCTTGTTTTAGAAAGTGATTCATTGTTTCATCATGTAAACATTGCAGACTGGTCATGATGGCAGAAAGATCTTCCTGATCTTTCATAATGATTTCCTCAAAATGTTGTGGCAAATAACCAATTCTACCCTCGACCCTCACCGATCCGGAATAGGTATAATCCGAAGTGGTGGTAGTGGCAGTGGTGGTTTTCGAAGTAGAACCACCGTCACTCAATAAACGTAAAAAAGTGGTTTTTCCAGATCCATTCTCTCCTACAAGGGTAACCTTATCACCTATTGAGAGGGAAAAATCCAAATCTTCAAAGAGGCACTTGTTGTTGATGTGTAGAGTGAGTTTGTGCACAGAAATTCCAACGTTTGGTGGTTTCATGATTGGTGTTGTTGTTTGAGTTCTTTTTTTGTTGGAGCTCGATTAGTGCGCAGCAGATGCGTTTAAAACATACCAAATATAGTACAGTTGGAAATTGAAGTAAAATCAATGAAACACTCTCGTCATGACTGTATCAATAGTATCAATAGCAAACTAATATAAATTTGGATTATTTTTAGTTTCGTTTGCGTCGTAGGGATTATGCATTAAATTTAATCGAACCTCCAAATGATTACAGTTGTGTTGTTGACATTAGAAATTTGAGTTGAAGAATTTGAGGTTTTTAAAAACAAATCGATTTTCCACTGCACAACATTGAGGTCATTTTTATCGGCTGAGTAATGAAAGGGATATTATCTTCTGACTTGTGTCAACCATTATCCTGAGTGTGTCATGTTTAATATTAATTAAGACTGAGTAGTCTGAGTCTTGATCTTGTGACTAAATAATTAGTTCTCAAAATTCCAAAATGAACTATAGCATACCTTTGTGTTTTTTACTTCATTTTGTGTGGTTACGTATCACACTCTCACTCCATGAACAATCGAAAAATGATAGCAAGGAGAAATAGTTTTTTCTTCATGGACGGATTTAGGATCCGAACCATTCTCTACTACTGCGTCACAATGACACAAAAATCGTAAGTGATGATTCAACACTAAATCCCTTGCTTGCTTGTAGGTCTCATTTCCTGATACTGGTAATTTCTTGTTTTGCTTGGTTGTTTGTTTGTAGGCGAACATTTGTTGAATGGCCAAAGTGTCCAGAGTAAGCACAACATTGGATCCAACTTTAACTCTGAAATAAAGCTCAAATTGTGGCTTGGTGAATGTGGTGAAACATTGCATGCACATTCTGTGTCCTTCCTCTGTTTCTCTCCAATTTGGAAAATCATGATGATCCTGGAGAGATTGATGACAATGTGGACACAATGAAATGGTTGGGCCTCGATTCGGCTCTTCCAGTATCTCCGTGACATATCCTTCAACCAACCCTATTGAATTCTTTGTACAGGTGTATTCGTATTCGAGAGCTTTGACTGCTGTAGAATCGTTCATTCGGTGAATATGTTTCTTTTGTTGATCCATTCCTCTCGGTTTCACACAGTATGGTAGAAGAGTTTGAGTCAAATCCAAGATTTTGGTGGTATTATAATTCCCTTCTCCTGCTGACGACGTAGCATCCGTGTTGTCATCTTTTGGCAGATACAGTATCGAGAATTTATCAAGAATTAATTCTGTGTGAATTGCTTCTTTTTCGGTCGAATGTCTTCTCACTAAAACATTGTGTAAAATAATCTCACTGTTTGTTTGAATGGATTTAGCGATGGAGTACAAAACGGAAGATCCTGTTGGAACGATGCTGTCCAATTTCAATATCATGCTCGAATGCTTCTGAAGTAAGTACAAAGTGAATAAAGTATTTTCGTGCTCATTTTGAATCAGGGAGTTCTGCGTTTCGCTCCAAGGTACTTGGTCTGTTTCCTTAATAAACAATACCGTTCCTTCAATGTCACATCGATGCATTCTCAATTTGCCTCCTCTCTCATTATCCTCATCAATAATCATGACATCCTCCACTCCACCATTGGATTGTTGAGTGTCGCCTGAAATGGGTTGTTCAAAACTATAGAATAGTTGATGTCTGTAAGAGGAGTAAGGAGAAATATTTTCTAATAATGGATCAAGCAATAGAGAAGATGGTTCACTGTCACAATAACTTGGTTGAATGATTCCTCCTGCATTATGATGTATTGAGTAATTGTTTGGAATGACATATTTACAGGTACTATGTTGAGAGTTTGTAGTAAAGAAATAGAGAGGAATGAGAGGATTTGTTGATGAGCTTTCAGAGCATGTTGATCTTTGACTGTGTTGCGGGTCTGTCATGATTCCTTGTTGTTGCTGATTGTGATGATACATTGGTGCAATAATACTGTACAACTCATCCTCTGGACCAATATATACACGGTCCTTAAAGGAGCATACATTGAATTGAACGACCTTGCCTTGTGAAATGTTGTAATCAAATATTGATCGCCAGTATGAATATTCTGTATCTCCTGATGGTAATAATAAAATACAGAGACTCTTTGTGGAGACGCATTGGATGAGTACAGTATTTGAGAGTTGAGCTTCATCGCTTGTCAATTGCGGAATGCTAACAGTCTTGTGATTCGTTACAACAGCATGCTTGATGAAATCAAAACTCCAAACTCTCTGAATGACACCTTCAATATTCAAATAATAGGAAGGGAAAAATGAAGAGTGAAGATATTTGTAGACAGATTCAAATTTCTTCGTGAGAGGTCCGGTTGCAATTCTTGAAATTAGATGATAATTTCGTTCAAAGGTTGAGGAAGTATCTTGATTGTCTCCACTAAAGTCAAGTCTCTTTGGCGTTGCAATGGCGTTTCTTTGACGAACATGAGAGGGCGTGAGAAAGTCAGGTGGTGTGTTCGTTCGTGATTTGCTGCTTGATCTGGGAGGAGTTGAAGGTAATGATGATACTGATCCATCCTGTTCATTCTCTACCATCATGGATCTTTGTTGTACGTCATTATGACTTGGCAACGATGAGGACAACATTGGATAATTAAATTTGGTTTGAAGAGCCTTAATGTCTTGAGCGAGTTCGTTCATATCGGAGGTCTGAGATTTACATTTCATCTCAAAGAAATAGCTCAATACAGGTCTAGGTCTGTAAATGAAAATTGGTTCATTGTATTGAGAAGGTTGACCTAAATTTGACAAATCTTGTGGAGGAGTGATATGGAAAAGAGTTGAAATTTCGACAACACTTCCAAGTCTCAAATTCCATTTTTCCTTCATTTCCTTTGCAAAATAGACGTCAATGAAATCATTCTCATATAGAACTTGATCCAATCGTTCATTATCTGAGGAGTGAGGTCGGCTCAATATTTTACAAATACCAATCACAAGATGAGGATATACCTGAGATGCAGCTTGATTGAACGTGAGAATCTTGAGTACAAGTCCTTCTTTGACAGGTTGTTGACTCAAATTAATTTCTGAACTGAATCGTTGAAATACTTTCTCATTCATACCTCCATTGATAGCTCTTTTAAGTTTGGAAACAAAGCGACCTTGTGAACGTGTGGAGAGAATTTTTTTCAGATGGTCCCACTGAGAAAAGAATTGATCATTATTACCCTGATTCGATTGTTGTGAGAGAGAAATGCCTTGTGCTGATGAAGAGACATGTTGTTGCGGTTGCTTTGAGGATTTTCTAATGTTATCTAACCAACTCGTGCCACTTTGGCTTGGATGAGAGATCACAGAAGTAGCAGTAGTCGGATTTTCATCCTCAATCATGTCATCAGTATTCTCAAGAGAAGACGATCCTCTTCTCTGTCTATTGTTGTTACTGAATAATAATCGTTCAACTTCGTTTTCATGGATTGATTGACGAACACTTTTCCTTCTAATTCCTTTCAATCTTTCATCGAGATCAAAACCATCCTCCCCTGACAAAATAATGTCCTTATGCACATTATCGGTGTTGGTCTTCTTGGAGGTGCTTGTGTTTTTGGAGGCAGAGGAGGTCACAACTGATGAGGTCCTAGCAGGGGTTGTTTGCACCGGTTGTTGAGAAAGGGGAGTATGTGCTGCTGCAACCATTTGACTGAAACGCTGATCCATTTCTGAGCTTGTGGTAGTTTCTTCAGTTGTTTCTTCTTCATTGTCACTGTCACTTGCAATCAAATCATCGACATTAATGAGTGACTTTGACTTGGAAGTGGCTGTAATTGTTGAGAGTTTGTTGTTGTTGTGAACATGTTGCTGCATTGTGGAGGAGTTTAAACTCGAATGTTGAGGAAGATTGGAAAAAAAGGCACCATTCGAAGATCCCCCCATTGTGACATTCTCCTCATCAGAAAAATCACCAATATCATCTTCATCTTCGATTTCCTTTGGTAAATGGTAAGACAAACCAGTGAGTGTGGCAGCTGCTGATTTTCTTTTGGCAGATGATGTCTGTGCGGTTGAAGAATGAGGAGTGAAGTACTTGGAAGTGTTTAGGGATGATTTGCTTTTGACGGAGGCTTGAGAGGTTTGTTTTTTCTTAGTTGCCTTGTATGTTCTCTCTGGTGGAGTAAGGGGTTGAGAAAATTCGTTTGAATATGAATTAGTCGACTCGGTAGCGGTAGAGGATGACGAGTCGTTCTCAGTTGTGTTGACCACTCGCGGTTGAGAGTCCTCATTGTCAAAATTCATAATTTCATTAAGACTTTCAACATCTTGATCGATTTCGTCCTCATCAGAATGATAAATTCCTGAAATTTTGTCTGGAAGCTGCTTGGTTGTTTTCTTTCGTCTCTTCGATGAGGCTGAAGAGGTCTTCTTTTTCTTCGTGCTACTACTTGAATTTAAACTTGGTGAGCTTCCAAAATATTTTTCAAAATCGTCATCATTGATGGAAAGACTATCTGAGCTGTTGTCATCGTCATCAGTTATTAATTTTGAAGTGGAGCTCGATTTTTTGTTTTGACTGCTCTTTTTAGAGGGTGGTGTGAACAAAGCTTTACTTGATATCATTGGAGATGATCGCCGAGTATTGTTGTGGTGTCGTTTATCATTGTCTTCATCCTCATTCTCATCAACCATACGGTCTCCAATCTTGATGGAAGAAATTTGTTGCGAATTAGCAATAATTTTGTTAGAAAAGTGTTCAATAATATCTTTCTCTTGACTGTTCAACGGACTGGTTTTATCCAGCACTAAATTATTACTCGTTGATGATGGTTGTAATGCTTTGTCTTCATTGTCATCATCATAGAAATCTTTTTGTGAGTTATCTTTCTCTAATGAGATGAAATTGGCAAATTGCGGATTAAACACAATATCTTCCTCATCATCATCATCGTCATTATCATCACCGTCATTATTATAGCGGGAGGGAAGTTGTGGTCGTTGTTGATGAATATTCCGTTTTGATGAAGTATTATTGATCGGATGTTGTCGGGTTGAGAGTGCATTCTTCAAAATTTGATGTTGCTGACTCTCAAAGAAGAGAGGATTTTTTGGGCTCGGAGCCTTTACTCCGGTGGGAGCTAGTGCTGATTTGGTTGATGATTTAGTGTTGTTGTTGTTGTTGTGCGAGTTCTTTGCTGTAATTCGGGAAGACCATGTTTGCCACATGATGACGGAAAAGAGTTACGCCTTTCGGTTGAGGTATTTTTTTTGAAATTATGATTTCTCTGGATCACTGGAATTTGCAAACGGGACATTTTCTCTTGTTGTTTCTTTCACGTCATCAACAGTAGCTACTGTTTACTTTTCAAACCAAAGTAAATTGAGTTCTTTTATGATCAAATTTCTGTTGTCCATCTCAGTTTAATGTTATTTTCAAAGGATTTCTTCATTCGGAGCGGAATCATCAAGGTGTGTGTTCTTGTTGCTGATTGAATTGGAATGGTGTTTGAGTTCTGATAATAGAATAGACTCAAAAAATGTCTTCTGTGCCTATGGATCCGAAAAGAGCGTTAGATCATCACACACAATTTGAATTGGTTGAAAATTCGGAAGAGTGTTTAGCGTTGAAAGAGAATGGAGTAGAGGGAAGTTGGTTTCCCATGCATTTGCATCGAGTGAGATTGCCTTTAGAAACGATTAGCAGCATTCTGCAAAACACGACAATCACCAATGAAAAGCATCTTGCTTCAAACGCTAAACCAACACCACAAGAATTTATTGAAATTCAATTGGTGAATATTCATTTGAGACCACCTTTGAACGATAATGGTTCTGCAACGCTTTGGACAGCCTATCTCACGAATAAGTATCGTTTGAATGAGGTTCAATATTTGATATCACATTTTGAGAAGGAGAAAATTTTGATACCGATCCATTCAATACGACGACAACACGATAACATTATTTTCAAAAAGCCAAACATTCCAATCATCATGTTAGGTGATTATAATGAGCATGATCATGATTCAGCATTAACTTTTTTGACAAAAGAATGTTTATATAAACATGAGGAAGGCACTCAAACATTGGTTCCATTATTTAGGGATGCATTAAATGAATTTGTGCCTCAGACATGAGAAACCCACAGATGGCCTTTGAAATTATTTTGGGGAAAAATAACTTATTGGTCTCATAAGCGACTCGATCACTGTGTATATTCTGTGAATAATTTACAATGTACAAATTGCAGAGTTATTGATGGTTATGAGGAGAATGCAAGTGATCATCAACCAGTGTTGTCCACTTTTGTTTTGAAATGAATCATGCAAGTCGAGATGGCGATCTCAACTGCTTTGTATAGTTTATGAAGACCTCATGTGGATTATTTCGACAATCTATATATTGTCTTTTTTTTAAGAAATTCAGAAGTTTCATTTTCTTTGGATGTAAGAGTGAATTGTTCAGATGAATTTTTCACTCACTTTTCATTAGTACTTAATTCACTCTTGTCATCATCATATTCCTTGTTGTTTCCAACGTTGGGATCTTGGGATCTTGGGGTATTTTCAGGGTTACTTGTATTGTCAGAGTTCAAAGATATTGCACTGACACTTAATGACCTTTCTAATGCGATACTTCGTACTCTTGGAGATGACATTTGAGTCTTCTCAAACAATTGTCTCTCTCGTTCCTGTTCTGCATAAATATCCATATTGAACTTGTCCTGTGCAAACAGTGGATTGTAAAGCAGCACCACACATACAGCAAATAACAAAATTCCAAACGAGTTCAGAAAGTAAGAAACTGTAATAGTGTCATTAGAAAAGGATGAAGATATCACCGCTGCAATGGCTGACAAAATTTGGATAAATGTTGACAAACACATGGCGATGGTCAGGATTAACACTTTGGTGAATGGTTTTTGAATGGCATTAATGAATGCATTTCTATTCGTTTCTTGTTTCAAGTTGAGGGATCGTTGATGAATGGTTCGCATGACTTGAATTCCATAATATACAAAAAGAATGCTTTGCATGGAAACGAGAACAAGATAGATGAGAAGAGATGTTGCATAGAGAGGGGTCTGATCTGTGGTGAGGAGATTGAGTTTGACAAGAAGGTTTGTGACAGCAATGGCGATCACAAGGGAAATTGTTATGAAAGCAAAGAGAAAGGTTGAGATATTGGAAAAGTATACAAGAAATTTGAATACTCTCTTTTTCATCGTTCCTGCACGGTAAGCTGTGTTTAAGCTGAGACAAAACGAAATCATATAATTATTTCAATTAGTAATGAGTTGCCAAAAATTCCAAAAATGTTGATCACGTGAAACATTGGAAATTATAATCCTCTTCAACAACAAATATTCATCATTACACTTACAACACATTTTGAATGAAACACATGATGACAAATATTGTCACTGTCTGTACTTCAATCAAGAAATTCTCAATCATTCCAAACACTTGTGTCACAACAAAATATCCATCAAAAGCAATTTCTTGTTTGCCTAAATTATAACCCAGTGAGAGTCCATTGTAGAGAACTCGAAAGGTTAATCCACAAATTTGAATGAAAACCAAAGCGAATGTCAAAAAGAGAAGAATCTTTTGATTACGTTGAATATTTCGTTTCATGACAAAGGTTGACTTTTTCGACGATGAGTGTGCCACAAGAAACATTCCAATGACAATGGCAAAAAACAAAAAGAAAGAAAAAATAAAGAAAAAGGAATTGACAAGAGAAGAGACATTGACTGCAAAAGATGGTATTAATGATTGAAGAGTAGTTGTTGTGTTGGTGGGAGTGCTGCTGTTGTTGTTGACATCTTTGAAGAGTTGTTGAGAAATAATTAATTGGAAAACAAACGGAACGTGATCTCTTCCATTCTTGAAGAACTGAAGGAATTCTAGAGGGATCGATTGTGGTGAAGTTATTGTTTTTTGATGTGAAGCGAGTTGTGTGAAAACGCTTGTGGTCATTCGAAGGATGAATGTCGTTTTTTGCGTAATTTTTGTGTTGGTGAAGTCTGCTTTGGATTCAAACTTCCGAATTGTCCAAAATGAAAGTTAGGATTTGGACCTTTCAACAACACAAAAATTTTAATGTTGACATTTAACGATTCGGAGCTTGGTGAACCACAAACAGTTCGTGTGAGCAAACCTTGTGTGAATGGTGAAGATCAGTGTTTTCATCAATAATTCTCAATTTATCGATAGGGTGTGGTGCACCTTTATTTACAAATTTCCTCGACTACTTTCGATCTTTCTTCTTGTAACACTTTTTCAACAAATAGACAGCACAAGCATCTTCCTGAGGAGAAGAAGAAGCAACTCCATGCAAATATTCTTCAAAATATTGAATGGCTTGATCGTATTGTTTCTCCAAGAAATGATTCACTGCAACATTATAACTCTTCCATTTCTCTTTTCTTTCCTTATGTTGCAATTCATACATCCATTCATCTTGAATGTCATTATTATTCGATTCTCCAATTTCATACAAATTAGTTTTCAATAAGGAGATGGATGAAGTGTGATGCGAGTTCGAGGAAGAAGAGGAATCCTTGCATTTCACAACTAAAGGAGAATTTGAAAACTCTGGAGGATAAATTTTCTTAGTGCCAACATAACGCATTTGAAAATCACGAGAACACCTGTCATGAATGAGATCTGATGCAATGATGGTAATGTTCAGTTTTAAGGCATGTTTCAAGAGAAGTTCTAAATTGTGAAGATAACTTCCAACTATGGAGAAGGATTTGATTTCTTGAGTTCCGACATTTCCTGATTTACACATTTGTGACACGATGGCAGCTTTAAAGTTCATAGCGCTCAAGAGATCCCTCTTGGTAAGACATTCCTTATTTTTCCATTTTGTGGATGTGAGTTGTGTCAATTTCTCCATCATTTGCTTGGTGGATGTCACTCCTTTTTCTTTATGATGTGGAATGTCACTTGTCGAATTCCAAGAGATGGTCATTTCATTATTTTCAAAATTACCTAATTGTCCTCCGCTCAACCGAGCAACTTTCTGAATCACATCAAAGAAATCTGACATGATAGGAACCAATTCAGAGTCACTCAATGCTTCCATACAAGCATCCAAACCTCCAAAACGAATACACACAATGGTTAATGCTCTCTTTTCCAATCCAAGTCGAAACAATGATTTCGAAACTGGTTTCATGGATGAAGAGGCTCTCCTCGAACATTGTGAACTATTCGAAGAAGGTGCATCTTGTGACATGGAAACTCGTACACCGCCATTGATCAAACGGTTACCAGATTCTGCAGTTGTAGATCGACGAATGGATTCATTTCCAGATTCGGATTGAAGTGAATCTAATTGAGCCAATAAATGTGGTGGAATGAAACATCGATATTTTCGAATTTTTCTCACCATGCTGTGGAAATGCTGTTGTAAAATATAAACTTCCTTAAATTGGCTCATATCGGTGGGATCATTGGACACTGTGTCTAAATCCATATTCGAAACACTTTCGAACAAGTAGATTAAATTTTGGAAGGGTTTGACAATACGTAATGAAGCAAAAATTCCCAATGCAATTCCTACTCCAATAATGAACACACTCGAAACAGAGGCTGCAATAATCGCAATGATCATGGTTTGAATGTAATTCCATTTTGGAACACTGAACACAAAGAGCCAGTCGATATTTGCAGAGTTACACATTCGATGCATGTTGATGTAACGATCACCATATTCTTTGAGGAGAAAGACGCCGCAAGGAACTGAGGAGAGATTTTGAGAGAGTTCAGAGTAGACAAATTTTCCAATATCATTCACTAGAGGAATGTCAAAATCGAGAGCTGTTTTACGTTTTTGATTTCCTTGTTGGTCCCAGACAGCGACTGGAATGGTAGGATAACTTGCTGTGTTGATGACAAGTGACATTTTACATCATGTGGAAAGTTATTATTGAATAGTAAACTGATAATAAACAGCTCACTTACATGCAACGATATAATCAGTATCAATTTCAATAGCAAATGCCATAGAACCTCCAATATCATTTGTAATCTTCTTGAAATACTGAGAAATGGTTGACACTGAAATATCAAAACCAAAATACCAATCAAAAGAAGGTTTTCCTGGTAATGGATTTTGAGTAGGTTTTGAATTGACCAAACTTAGAAAAGTGATGGTAGGTAAAGTTGGATCTGTATAAGACATGGTAAAAGTTGGTTGATTGACATGCTTTTGAGCAATTTCTAAAATACCACTCATGTCAAAAGGAGGTAAAATGACATCTGGTGTGGATGACTTGGTCACACATTGTTCATGTGCTTGGAAATTGTCACAGTAGGTCCAATACTGCCCACTATCATTGACATACAAAATACTTGGAATTCCATTCATCATCATTATTCCCTTATTTCCACCTGTGGGATCACCAACGTATGAATCGATCATTAAGGTCGATAAAAATTGATAAGCAGATTTAAAGATTTTAAAGGTCGTTCGATCGATATAATCTGTATCGTTATAATTCAGATCGAACCACATGGTGTTTTTAGCACTTTCAGAGGTCATAATGACTTGTTTAAAAGTTTCATCGGTGAATGTAATAATTTTGGTAAAGTGTTCAGACATTAATTCTTGACCCATGGTCGATACACTTGTACTGAAACATGAAATCCAAATGGAAGTTAGAAAAGCCACAGCTGCAACAATGGCTGTGGTTACAAGCAAAATGAGCATGCATTTAATGGAGGAGATGGGTTTCTTGGATGAGTGATGACGAGTATTATCGTGGTGAGACATGGATGATGAATTTGAATCATCATCATTCTCTTCTTGAGGAAGATGACTGCTATTGAATGATACTGAAGAACCATTTTCTGAGGAATGAGAGGCGTTGGTAAGAGGAAGAACTCTACGAGAAGAGGACAATCTCTTCATTATGACTTTGATCGAGTGGATTAGCGTTTGGGTTGTTTTTTAGTTGTCTGCGCCAAAAATTTTACGACAGATCTCAATCTCTGAACAAGTCGAATATTACCGTTTACGGATCTCCCTTAATGTCGGATTGTTTCTAAATTGTCAACTCGTGAGAGATTTGTAATTCCTGTTACTGCAACCCTCAATTTATCTCTATCTGAGAGATTAATTTTTCCGTCGCCAGATGTCCGAACATGTTTGGACAAAATTACTTGAAAAGGAATTTTCTCAATAGATGATCTTTTTACGAGAGCTATCTCTCATGGCTGTAAATCACGGTAAATTGGCAGAGATTAATGAGTGATGATGTGGACAGGAAGTGATTGCTATGATAAATCAAAACTCATCATTTATTCATGAACATCTATCTTCACCATTGTTATTCATTCGTTTCAGGTTCATTCGTTGGAATTTATAGGGTTGAAACAGCTCTGGAGAACATATTGTAGAAACCGTTGGATGCGATTCAATTTGTTGTTGGGTGCATTCCACCATGAGGAGGAGGAGGTTACAGAGAGAGGTGGTTGGAATAACAAAGTGTTATTCCTGTCAGTACCACTCTGATTTGTCACATTTTCCACAAGGGAGCATTCTTGCATCTCTTGTTGACACGAAGAACTTCCACTTGGCTCCGGTAAACAACCATGCAAATCTTCATCTACAAGTTCATGAATTGTGGAGCACTCTACGACTATAGATTGGTTTAGGAATGAATCTTCTATTGATTCGGAATCGATGGATTCGTTGAATCGATTCAGAACAGGTTGTGAATGAACTGAATGTAAAAACTTGATGTCATCCTCATGCTTTGCATCATTCTCTTGAGCATGCTCCAAATCAATATCATCAAAATGCAACTCACAAAATATGGACTTTTCATTCTCATTGACATCCCCAACAAATAATGGTGATGAAGATAGATCTCCCTTAATTGGTGATACATGTAACAAGGGATTCACCGTGAGACTTGATGTCTTATCTCCTCCAATATCACATTCCTCTTCTTCTTTCAAATCTTCCGAAATTTCATCCTGTTGAGTTTTTGAAAAATCAATTTCTTCCTCAAACGTTTGTTCAATAGGATCTTCGAAATCCATCAAATCAGAAGCACAAGTGTTAAATTCACTACTTAATCTGAGAGAGGCAGAAACTCGCTTTCTCCGAGTGAAATGAGTTTCCTGGTTGTCCAAACCATTGCCAATGTCATCTTTTCGATGTGCATGCAACTTGTAGACAAGGATAGACTTGTCGCTACATGCAATCCAAACTGAATCTCCAACTGTAGAAATACATGTCACAAATCCCTCAATTCGATACTTCCCTAATAGTTTCTTCTCGCTGACGTTCCATACAGATATTTCTCTATGAGTTGCAATCCAAATATTGTCGTCTGCAATGTGCATACAATTCACAAAGGAAGGAAATTGAATACATTTCTCGCACTGAATAGAAGAGGGAGTAGTGCTCCAAATTTTCACACAACAATCTCGCGAGGAGCTCCATACTGTGTTTGTCTTTGAGCAGTAACAGAGTTGTGTCACTCCATACATGTGACGTTTCGAAGTGCCTGCATTTTCCGTCACACTATTCTGGCTTGCACTCGCCTCTGCAATTGACTGTGACTCATTGGTTGTGAAAGTGGCCTCTTGATTCAAAGTGGTCAATGTCGTTTGATTGGACACCTCATTCATAGGTGATGTCCTTTCCTCCAATACATTCCAAACTCGAATGGTAGCATCATCAGATCCACTCCACAACAATGGTCCCACCGAGCACAAGGTATTGACCCATGATTTCAATCCCACATAACTATTTTTACATGTAAAAGTCAATGTATCCCACAATCGAATGGTGAAATCTACAGAGCAAGTGGCAACCAGACCTTCGTTCAAACCAACGATGGCTGTCACTGTTCCAGTATGTCCCACCAGTGTCCTCAACAATCTTTTTGGTTTGATGGAATAAATGTTAATCGTTCCATCTGCCATTCCAGCCCACATGAGTGGCTGCTGTTGAGAACCATTGGAATGCATGAAAGAACACATACAAGAAACGTAAACTCGTTTCTCCTCTCGAATGGTTTGAATGACGTTGCATGTCTTGATGTCAAAGATCTAGTGTGACCACGAAAGAATTAATGGAAAGCATGTCATTATAACAAAACTTACCACAATAACTCCCTTCTTTTCTCCACACCATACCTCTGTAGGCGTTGCTGTGGCAAATGAGATGGCTTCAATATTTGTAATTTTTTTAAAGGCTTCATATTGAGAACTTTCATCATCGAGTTGTTCCATCTCGTCACATGAGGGCAACTTGTTCACAAGATCAACCTGTTGCTTTGTTTGTGATGGGGTGGTTATTGTTGTTGAAGATCGAACAGGAGTTGAAAGTACTTTCGAAGAATGTGACGACTTGTTGTTGAGTCTTGTCAACGCAGTGGTGTTTCTTCTCTTCAATGAATTTGGTGTTAATGGGCATCCTCCATTCATATTGTCACCTACAATTTCCTTCTTTGGTGTGCTTATTTGCGAGGAGGGCTCTTTCTGTTTCGAAACGAGAAGAGCCGCTTTTACAAGTGGCATTTCGTCCTTCCATGTTGGGCTTAATAAATTTTCCTTTTCTTCATGAGCGTTTTCTTTATCATGATGAGAACGATATCCATAACATGGAGACGTATACATGAGATCACGGTTGTTAGTATTCAGAGAACCTGTAACTTTTTGCACACCGTTTTGAGTGAATGCAGTTCCATTCGAAGAAGAATTCTTTAACATTGTTGTCGAAGCTTGGTTACCTTTCATAGATTGTCTATTCTTACTGGTGAAGATAATTTCAGTCGTGGAACCAATGCCACACGAGGAAGCACTCACATTGATGGTGGTATGAGGTGAAGGATGATGAAGGGATTTTGATCGTGCATGGGAAGGAGTTCTTCTTGGAATGGGCTGCTGAGGATCATCATCACTTTCCTTTTTGCTGCAATATTTTAATGGACCATTTGTCGACGAATCGGGATGATGAGTTCTTAAAGGCAAGTTGTTGTTGTTGTTTGATGATATTCGTGCCGTGCCATGAAAGGAAGATGTTGTAATCGGAACCCGAAGGCTGGATCTTACCGGATATGGCAATGATTTGACGGCGTTGGAAGAAGAAGAACCCTCCTTATGATTAGTTGGTTTCAATCGGTTGTTCATATTCCCTGTTGTGGCAATTCCAACATTGCTGAATGAAGACTGTTGTTGAACACTACCACTTTTAAGGTGAGAATGTTGTTGATGATGATGATGCTTATGAACGGACAATGTTGATAAGGGCTGAACATGAAAGGATTGATTTAAAGACATTTTTTTAAATTTTGAAATTGTGAAACAGTAATTTAAGGCGGCAATCAAGAATTTAACGGTCGTAATGAAAACAAATAATTATTAATTTTTAACATCAGCAATAATAATAATATAACAAACCATTTAGAGAAATTGACGAGAGTTTCATTAGTGATTCATCTACAGATCTTATCTATGGCCTCTATTGAACTAGAATGATTGGCAATCCAAATCTTCAGTACATGCATAAAATTTTCCATTTCCTAATGAATAGAAACCAAATTGAGGGAGTGAGGTTGCTGAATATTGTTTTGGAATTTTCTTTTCAATAACCTTATTCATATAATCTACATATTCATAGGAATGTTGATTAGAGAGAGCAATAACAGAATGATCATTCGAAACTGACACCAATGGTCCAAAATAAACCATTCTTGATGGTGTTGAAGAAAATTCCCTTCTTGTTGTTGTATGTAAAATTTCATTCTCTCTGAGGTTGTGTAAAATTCCATTCTTGAGTGACTGGTTAAGTTTTTTCTCTTGTGTGAAAATTAAATCTTTTTTCACTTGGTAATGGACATAGGGTTCTCCAAGTTTTGGAATTTGTCCAACTCGAGCTGCTCCAATCGAATACGAAATGAAATAAACTCCTCCAGAATTAGTACTCGATGAATAATTGGAACACAGGACACTTGACTTAAAGAAATATCGATCCGCAATGGCTACGTCTAATTTTCCAATGGGTAATGAACACCAATTCATGGAAAGAGGAAAATGTTTTCCAACTACATTTTTCAATAAATCACCAGATGAGAGAATGTACTCAAACTTGTCAGTGACAATCAAGACAGTGACATAGCCTGGAATTTCCATATGTCCCACATGCATGTACATGGTATTTAATCCATAAAAGGAAATGCTCGAAGCAATGGCACCACTTTGCATGTTGATTCTATAGACCGTGTAGTAGAGAGAAGCGTAGGCATAATCGATTCCATTTCCTTCTTCATTGGGTACAAGAATAACATTTCCTAATGAGGTTAATGGTGTACTTAATGTGCTGTGTGAAAATTTAACGATCATGTTCTGTCAATTCCATAAAATTCACTGTTCGTACTCACAAGAATAGTATTGAAAGAAGTGGACAAGACGAGACCTCTCACCATTTTCACCGAACTGTCAAACTTGAACACATTCGTTTCTAAATTTTGTAATGAAATTTTCACCAAGCACACAGAGTCCGATTGACACATTCGCAACACAAAATAATTATTCTTCTTCGAGTCGTACAATGCCGTGAGAACATTATTCATGGCACTCATTGGTCGATCAGTAGTCACTGGCAATTTTAAGAGAATTTTCCATAAACCAGTTTCAGCTGCCAAAGAAGCTAAATAGGATGCATCGGAACGAGTAGTATTGTTTTCATGTTGATGGTGATCCACAATCATTAATAATTGACCTTCTTGATTGGTTGTTGTTGTTGCCGTTTTGGTTGTTGTGGTGGTGGTGGTGGAATCATTGGAGGTCGCTACAGCAAAGAGAAGACTATTTGGATCCAATGAAAGTTTCAATGCGGAAAGAGAAGGTGAGTTGAGAGAGCCATGCAGCGTGATTGGTGGAATAGCCTTGAATGGTGTTGGAGAAGAAGGGATCAGCAAATGCTTGGCTCCATGAAGAAGGAGTTGCAGAAGTGGTGAGAATGTGGGGAATGTGGTTCGACGACGTTGAACAAGAAGCAGCAACTAGGAGGAGCATGAATGAGAAAAGAAGCATCATCATCATCATCCTCACTGAAACTGGTTCGTGCTCTCGTGTTGACATTTTTTGTGTCGAGACGATCAAGCTTGATGACAACTCGGGTGTTGAGGATCAAGATAATGAAAGAAAAATCACCTCGGAGATGAGTACGCGAGATTTTGACACAGATAGCTTTTATTAAAGTTCATCCTTCTCTGAAGGAACCTCAGTGGCTTTCACTTCTGGTGGTGAGGTCTTCTGTTCAGCTTGAGCATTCTTATAGGACAAGCCAGAGGTCACAACATTGACAAGACGATCTGTGAAGGCCTTCTTATCTTCCAAGTCATAACCAGAAATTAAGGAAGCAGTGTCATACAAAAGAGTGATGGCTTCAGTGAGGGTATTGTCATTGACATTGTTCTTCAAAAGATTATTCATGTTTTGAATCATTGGGTGATTAGCATTGATTTCAATAGTTCTCAATTTCATCATCCAATCCATGTGTGATTGTTCTTGTCCCAAAGCTTGAGCCTTCATGATACGAGCCATGTTCGCAGAGACACCAAATGAAGAGGCAACTAAAACAGCTGGAGCATTGGAAGTTCTTCGACTAATGGTGACCTTTGAAACCTTATCTTTCAATAATAGGTTCATGACAGAAATGAGGCTGTCATATTCCTTTGTCAACTCCTCTGTTTCCTTCTTCTTTTGCTCTTCATCTTCATCTGGGAATTTGACATCTTCCTTGGCAATATTTTGCAATTTCATGCTCTTGAATTCGTGGAGTTGTTGAACCATGTATTCATCGAGTGGATCAATCATGTAAATAACTTCCAAATCTCTCTTTTTGAATTCTTCCAAGAGTGGAGAACTTTCAACATCCTTCATATCTTGACCAGTGACAAAGTAAATTTGTTCTTGTTTTTCCTTCTTTCTTTCAACGTATTCTTCCAAACTAATGGCTTCATCGGTTGACTTGGAAGTAGTGAAACGCAACATGGAGACAAGCTTGTTACGATTTCTGTCGTCCTCAATAACTCCCAATTTAATATTCTTTCCAAATTCCTTCCAGAACTTTTCATATTTGGTGAGATTCTTGTCTTCCTTCTTGTCTTCCTTCTTTTGCTCCTCCTCTTGTTGTTTCTTTTCTTTTCGTTCCTTTCTTTCAGTTTTATCCTTCTCAGACAATTCATTCATAATTTGAATGGCCTTTGCTAACAACTTCTTTCTAATCATGGCCAACAATTTGCTGTGTTGAAGAGTTTCACGGGAGACATTGAGGGGTAAATCTTCACTGTCCACCAAACCTCGAATAAAGTTCAAATAACGTGGTAACAATTCTTCAACTGCTTGATCGGTAATGAAAACTCTCTTCACATACAACTTGATGTTATTGGCTTTTTGAGTAAAGTCAAACATGTTGAATGGAGCCTTCGATGGGAAATAGAGAAGTGACTTGAATTCGACTTGACCTTCAGCACTGAATAATTCCCAGAACAATGGATCTTCAGTGAGACCAGTCATGGCCTTATAGAACTGAATATATTCCTCGTCGGTGATGTTTGATGGTGATCTCAACCACAATGGTTTTTGTTCATTCATAATCTTCCATTCCTCGACAGTCTTCTCGACCTTCTTGGTCTTCTTTTCTGGAGTCTTTGATTCTTCCTCAACTTTAACTTCTTCTGGTTTGGTTTCATCTTCAGGTTTGGTCTCACTCTCTGTGGTCGTTTGAGCAGAGGCAGTTTCTTCTTCGACTGGCACTTCCTCAACTTCAGTTCTCACTTCATGCAAATAAATTGGGAAGTGAATAAAGCTGCTATACTTCTTAATATGATCCTTCAATTTGGACACGTTGGCGTAATCCTTTGCGTCATCCTTCAAATAGATGGTCAACTCAGTACCACGTCCCAAAGTGTCACCTCTTGGATCCTCCACAATGGTGAAAGTGTTGTCGGCAGTACTGGTCCAAATATATTGCTTGTCATCATTGTGTTTGGTAGTGACAGCAACCTTTGAGGCAACCAAAAAGACACTGTAGAAACCAACACCAAATTGTCCAATCAGAGAATTATCGGGAGAGGTCGCAGCTGCTTCTTTTTGAAGCTTTTCAATGAAGGCTTTGGTGCCGGACTTGGCGATCGTACCAAGGTTCTGCATTAAATCTTGCTTGGTCATTCCGATACCTGTGTCGCGAATCTTGAGAATGTTAGCATTTGGATCGGCCCAAATACGAATTTCAAGATTTGGATTGGATTCGAGAGCCTTTCGATCGGTCAAGCTCAAGAATCGAATCTTGTTGAGAGCGTCCGAGGCGTTGGAAATTAATTCTCTCAAGAAAATATCCTTGTTCGAGTAGAGTGAGTTGATAATAATACCTATCGTTGTCCAATTCATACATCAAGAAAATGTTGATGAGAGCAGGAAAATTTTAATTCATTGTTGGTTTCCATGTGTGAATTCGTTGTTGTATCCCATTGGGAGAGAATGATTATAAATGACATAAACGAGCACAGGTTTAATATAAAAATATATATAATTTTTGTGTTGTTATCATTCATTCAGATTTACACATCAAGATGACACTTACCTAGTAATTGATTAATCTCAGCTTGGAATTGATGTTCCTCTCTAGCACTTGCTTGCGAATTCAAAATTTGTTCCAACTCATCGGTAATGGTCGAGGTACCAGTACCAGGTGCGTTTGCTGAAGTCGTAGTAGTTTCCTCAGCGTGAATATAAGAAGACGAGCCTTCCATCAAAAACAATTGAAAGCTCAAGGTACTAATCAAAAGCAATAGCAGGGTTGCTGCCAAGACTGAACTGCTTGTTTGAAACTTCTTCATGATGATGAAGGTTTGTTCTTGTTCTTGTTGTGAGAGTAAGATGAGTAGGCTGATCGGAACGAGATGATGACTCAGAAAATTTGGTTCCGTGTTTTTCAGTCAATAAAGAGAGTGGGTGGTGTTGTTGATGATTTTTTCAGAGCCTGAAATTTAGGTTGTGGTGTTGCTGGCAAACCGATGAAATTCCGATCGAACACGTGTTCCTTGTGGAGCAAAAGGAAGGAGGCTCCTCTTGTCCTTCTCTTGTTGGAAGACTTTGCAGGCTGAGCCACATTTCCTATTAAGAGTTTGAGGAAGTCCCGAGAGGAGATCTATGGGAGATTGGTGTCCTTTTGACTGCAAGTTTGAATTTCAGTGACCCTTGATCACGCTGTCTTCCGAGTGGGCTGAAGACATGACGCGACATTTCAACACATGACGAGTCATTTCATTGCTGAGTGATTCGTTCAGAATTAAAGGGAGGAGCCACTAATTACCTCAGGTCTTTGTGAGCGTGATGCTTCATGGATCCTAATAATGAAGGGCCCCTCTATTAAAAGTGTAATTTCTGTCACCCCCAAACTAATGCAAACAACATCACTTTCAAATCAACAGACAAACCATGCAGTTTATTCATTCAACGTTGATTTGGTGGGCGTATTCGAAGTGTGTTACTATTAGAATCATGTTTAAATGATTATTGTTGTTCACTTGGCCAACCCTTCTTCATTCTCTCAATTTAGAAGAAACATGGCCACCCTTATCGTAGTTAAAATTGCACATTACTGCTGTTGCCACGGATAGGTGGAACAACAATACTCAATTTAGGACTTGTACTCACTGTCAACACTCTCTTATTTCTATTGGTTGCACTATTCATGGATGGATTCTTCTTCTTGTTTTTGAATGAGGATGGAAGTTTGAGCAGAGTTGGCATCCTTAAACATGGTCTTAATCGAACGTACTCATCCTCCAGATAATCCTCCAACTCTTGTCGATCTATGTAATCATCTTCTGTATGATGAGGTATAATCATATGGTTGACAAAATTTGCAGCTGCATTTGTGGCGGATACAATATCTGGAGATTTGTGAAAATAGTGGTACTTCGGCGATGGAAATGGTGTTGCAGGAGATGTTGGTTCAATGATGAGAGGACTATGGGAGTATTGCGGATTGAATGGACTTTTGTGTCCACCACCACCACCGCCTCCGCCTCCACCACTGGAGTTGCTATTCATACTCGAATTGGGTGAACGCTCAATAATGATTTGTGGATTCTCAGAATAAGGTATATGCAAAGTCAAGCTGGTTTGATGCATTTTCTCAAAAGTGTTTGGGAGTTTGGGAGAGTTTCGCGAGGGTTGTTGGAGGGTGGTTACTCGTTGAAGATTTGTGTATCTATGTACAAATATGAAACGGCGGATGTGTGTGATTTTTCTTCTTGTTCAAAATTTAGAGTTTGAGCTGGTCAAAAAACTTTCAAAATATGAAGCTGCAATAATGTTAACGTATTGTTTTTGTTGAAAAGTCACATACAGGCCATGAAGAAATCGGTTACTTGTTGTTCATGGTGTAAATATAAAACCATAAATTTAGACATCCATACATGTATTGCTTGAGGATGAAAGATAACAATATTCATCTGGATAACGCTACCTTGGCCTCAAACATGTCCTTTTCACATTTTTGAGCATACTTAATGCATTCTTTTAGAGGACAAGTCTGCTTTCAAAACATTGCACGCTTTCAATGCCTCGCCATAACTCTTGCCTAGATGGGATTCGTACACTGTCAATGGTTAATGATGGTACATTTGGTCATGTATGGAAATTGAACAAAATTAGAATTGTGTGGAGCTCAAGATACTTGTCCATTGTATCAAGCAAGTACTTTGAAGGGAAGTTTTGAAATTGTACAATGCTTGATTTGATAACAATTTTCGGAGAGTAATATGTGTTGTCGTCCTGTTGTATTGCTTTGTGGTAGTCCATATGATCGACCGCAGCAACTTGTTGATATTTCAATTTTGATATCTTTGTGAAATATAATTAGAAAATCCATTAACACACAATCCACTACTGTATGTTTTGAAGGAACTCAAAAGATCATGTACAGAACAGATTGAGCTCGTTTCAATCTTGTTGTGCTGCACATGGTTCTTGAATTTCAATTTGAGAAATTTCTTGATCTGTATTGCGCCAAAAGGTCAATACTAATGGGATGCGTTCAATTTTGGTGAGTACTATATTTACATTCAATACTATCCTCATTATGATTGAAGGAGTAGGTTGAATCATCATTGTCACATACGTGTCGCTGCTGGTGTGGTGACGAAGAATTCGAGGCATCGCTGCTCTTTCTCGCTGCATGCACTTTGTTTTCATGATGATGTTGATAGAATGTACTCGTGTCTTCATGAAGAACTTCTTTCTTGCCTCCTTTGGAATGACAAAATCCGAAGCAGCTTGTAAAGAGAGTTGAGTAAAATTGTTTGATACAGAACCAATCAGAAAGGAAATAAAAACGATTACAATAGGAGAGTAAAATAAAGATATGTGTAATGACCCATGGATACACAGTCATAAATCTATCTCCAATATTGTAAAATGTAAATAAAAAATAGGGATACGAAACCATAAAGTAAATAGTGTAGAATGTAAAATAGAGATAAGTGATACTTTCAAAAATTAAGTATTTTGTGAACTAAGAATACAAAGGTGTCACGCAACAACGAAACAAACATTTCAGAAATACCAACACTTACTTTGAATTGAAAAAATCGAATCTCCTTATTCTCCCTTAAAATTCTGAAATAGACCTTAACGCCATAAATCACTAGCAATGGAAATATTGTAATAAAGTAGAGAAATAGTACCACCATCATGATATATCTTGCGAGCAGTACTCTCGAGTAGCCTGTGACAAATAGCACAGTCAATACGTATCCAATGAATAAAAATAATGTACACAAGAAAACGAACAGACTCAAAAGTTTGATGTTGTTGCTTGCACTACTCTTCTGTGAAATGGAATCCTTACTTTCCATGCTCCTCAATACAACCAACCACTGAAATACAATTGGTATTAGTCCCATCAAGGATAGAATGCAGTCAACACTGATCAGTACCAATCTTGCATCGTAGGGCAACACTGATATTAAGCTAATGAAACCAAGCACCAAGTTGCAAATGGATATTAAAGTTGCAATAATTCTGAAATCAGCGATTGATTTGGTGATGGAGATTAGAGCTTGCTTCACACGGCTAGTTTTTGTTTTTTTGCTCGAATATATTCTTTCGCTGGCGAGCGACACGTGAGTCAAGTCCTCATCGGTTTCATGCTTTTCATGAGCAGTACAGTAGTGTGGCACTGCTCGTGTATGTAAACATGTTGTTTCTTCATTGTGTGACGAGGGAGGAACGGGATCGACGGTGGTGTGAGAAAGCTGCTGTCGAGGTGATGCTGGCGATGTTGTATTGGTGGCAGTGGTATTATTCGCTTGTGGTGGTGATGGATCTGAGTGAAGATGTGAGTTCAAGAGAAGAGAGTCTGACAAGGACGAAAGACCTCTCGATCGAGTTCGTGCTCGATTGACATTGCTCTTCTTGGTGGTATATTTTCGAATGTTCGAATCATCCAACCTGAATGAAGTTTCCATTGCAGGAGTAGGATTGCCACTAGTGCTCTCATCTCCATGTATTCCAGCATCGGAACTGTTCTCGTCAATGCTGTAATTTGAATTATCTGTGAGAGAATCTGTATTGTTGTGGGTAAGAACATGATCATGATGAAAGGGGTTCTGTTTTCGTTTTGCAAGCTCTTTTGCAAGTTTAAGCTTTTGACTACTGTTCCATCCCATAACATGCTTAAATTCGAGAGGTAAGAGCACCATCAATATAATAACAATCAGCTCCACAATATATAGAGTAATAAAGATTGATCGAATTCCATTTTGAAAAGGTTCCCTATAGTAAGTCGTACTCCAATCGTCACACTTGGAGGAAAAACTTTCACTCTTGTAACAATAACACATTCGTACTGGAAAATAATATTGTAAAGTGGACTCGCTCACTAATGACGCATAAATCATGACATTCAAGAGAGGAAGTGAAAATCCATTGTCTCCACATGCATCAGATGCATCAGTGGAGGATGTTGCTGATGATGAGATGGTTGTTGAGGAATAGCTTACTTGCTTCAACAACATGCTCTCCGAATTTTCATTATTATTATGGTTACTGTGAGCTAAGGAATGAGTCTCAACAAGATTATTACCTCCTCCAAATAAAACATTGTATGAAAAATTCAAAGTACAAATTCCTGAGTATTTTTCCTGGTGATATAATTCAAAAGATGGATTTTCCTGTTCACAATATTGACAATAATTATACAGAGAAACCAAATGGTTTAAATTCACTAAATATCGCTTCGTCAAATTGTTCCCTGACTCTGACTCCTCCAAAATTAATTTCACGGAGAAATCTGTGGTGATCGAGGTTGGAAAAAAAGATCCGTCCATGGAAGCCTTGCTAAAGTTTTGAAACACTTCTTGGATGGTGAGGTCGGTAGGTCTACAGAATAACTGAGAGCAAAGATTATTCAATTGGGAGAGTGTTGGTTGTTGTTGTTGTTCATGTTGTTGCGATTTTCGTGGAATGGATAGTTCCAAATTTCGTTTCCGATATGAATTTTCATGATGATGAGAGTCTGGTGCTGCTGATGTGGTGGTGGTAGTGGTGCTTGTTGTGGTTATTGGTGCTACTCGTTGTTGTTGTTGTGATGGTTGTTGTTGTGATTGTTGCTGATCGAGCCATCTCCGAGTTGAAGCACAAAATGAATATTCCGAAGAAGACATGATCATCGGAGAAGCATGAGCGAAAATTGCATCAATTCCTCCAGTAATCCTCACCGTGAAGGGAGAAAAGGATGAAGTCGGAATGGGTAATGCATTACATGAAATATTATGAAACATGATGGGTATACTTGAAGAAGTTATCGTCCTACTCGATCCAGTATTCAGTTTTAGGAAGGCACAATCCAATGATGATTCAGAAGAGACCACCGATGATGCATGATCATCACTCGGCATACCATTCACATATAGAGCCATGGCAACATCAATGTGATGAAAATGTATGAATGAAAGGAATGAAAGAAGAAGGGCGATGGAAATTCCGAAGATCAGTATGTTCCTTGTTGCTCCAGATACTCGTCCCGTAGTGAGCCAGGAGTGGTGGTATCGAGCTTGCCTTCTTTTTGAATATTTAATAGGATGATCGCATAATCCATGTGTAAATGATCGTGTGATGATGCAAAAAAAGGGAACCTCTCTCATGATGATGATGACGGACTGTATTATTTCTCCAACACACGGAAGAGGATTGTTAATTTTTTTGTAAAGGGAAGAGATTTCGCGTTTCAACAACGCGATGATAACACTATTCAATTAGTATTTAGTGAAACTGAAATGGATCACACTATTCAAAGAGTATTTAGAGTGTCAATATGGGCACAAGTGTGTATTGAGGCATGTTATAATTTTATTTAGTTGTTAATGATGAAACACACACAACTCCTACTGTTGAAAGGGATGACTGTCAAACACATCAGCATCTTCAGAATGCGCCAACAGAGGATCAAAAAATCCGTCACCATAATAGGGTTGATTCATATTCAAGGTTGTTGAATGAGTTGCATTTAGACCATGATGATGAACTGCATGTTGTTGTTGTTGTTGTGGTTGTTGATAATAATTGTAGGATGCATGATTTTGCAAACCTAGAAAACTATGTGGTGACATGTATTGCACATGATGGTGTTGTGGTTGTGAATGTTGGAATGAGGCTCTTGGCGAGGAACTTGTGTTTGTCACATTTCCACTCGAAGATGATCCTGTACTCGTACCTTGACTGGTTGGTGTTAAAGCTTTCCCATGATGAGTACCAGTGTTCGTCATGGTTGGTGAAAGATGTTGATTTTGCATGGAACTAATTTCAGACAACAACAATTCCAAGTCTGACAAGGATTCCACATTGGCCTCTCTCAATTTTCTTTCCAAATATTGAGTTCCATTAAGAGGTGAAATGGCAGGATGAGAACCATTCGATCCTCCTTCAAATGCATCTTCAATTCGATTGTTAAATTTCAATAAAAAGTCTCGCATTTCATTGTAAAACGTTCCCACTCGATTCATCTTCTTTTCTTGAGCTGTATTGAAAGAACAAGAACTGGAAGAATCAAAGGAATGGAGGGAGGATAATGAATTCATCCACTGATTTCCAAAGAGTTGTGAAATTTGCTCTGAATATTCATTGTTTCTTCGACTAAGGAATTCTTCGAGTTCTTTGGTGTGTGGAGCGACATAACGATAACGTTTGCTGAGAACTTGGAGAGCTCTTAAATCTTTTGCCACCACTGCATAATAATCAATTAACTCATTCTCTTGATATTGTTTCACGATATTGGGAATGGTAATTCGTTCTTTTTTGATCACCACAGGTCTTAAATTTTCTCTCTCTCCACGATCGATCATTTTACAAATTTCCAAATTGGTTCTCACTGCTACTAGAATGAATGATATTAAATAAGGACTCACAAAGACGAATAACTCATCTTCAGTAATTTTGCTAATGGCCAATGCTGAACTTTCCAATAATTGAATATGTTCTGGATTATTCTCTGTTGCACATGCAATATTACATCCAGCCAACAACAAGAATAAAATTCTCAATCCATTCATGAGTAATAAATAATTCAAATGATGAATTTTCACAGAAAATTCGGACTTGAATGTAGGTTTCACAGAATAGTGCAACAATGAAACAAAGACTTCAAAATTTCTTAACATTTCATCAATGTCATCCCGTGAGAAGTGTTGACGTTTGAAGAATTCTTTGATTTTTGGTGGAAGAGAGGAACCCAATAAATCGAGAGAAATCTTTTCAAAAGTGGCAATGTCTGGGACTGGATGTGTTTCACATGAAATTAATTCGACCACCATTTGTTGAACTCGAAGATTGGAAATACTTAGTGAAATACCGTGAGCATGTGATTCAACGAATGGAGATTCAGTAGTGACCATGGTGACCATGTTTTTTTGTTTCCAATTAGCAATGAATTGATCGGTGAGATGAAGATATCCTCGAGCTTTGGAGGGTTTTCCAATCGTTGCATTAAATAAGGCAATAATGCTGTAGGTGACAGCTGCGAATGGATTGTCAAAGTCATCAAAGTAATGCATGATTAAATTTCGAGACTTGATGAAAGATTCCTCTATTTGTGGTGAGTGTCACAACGCGAAGAATCAATGAAAATATAAGTCGTTTCATTATTATGCAAACAACAAGAATATTATACAATACAACATTCAATATCATTCAATACAATATATTCAATACAATATATTCAATATAAAGTAATAATAACATGACATTGTGTGTCACCACAGATCGAGAAAAACTTACCTGCAAGATCTGAAAATCCAAAAACCATTTCCACAGATCCCTGGATGGCCAACATTAATGCTAACACGTCCTTTCTTCTCAACAATTCTTGTGATCCTGTCAATAGTAATTTCGTTAAATCTTCTTGTCGAATGGGTGGACTTCCATTGCAAACGATCAAACAATAGGCCTCAATGGTGTTTTGTTTGATCGATTGAATAGCTGTTCGTGCACTTTCGTCAAGATCTTGAGTCGCTGAATTGAAGATTGAAATGACATCGATGGATTTCTTTGAGGAATTATTTTCAGTATTGTTGGAATTGTTGTTCAACAATGAGGAGGAAGTGTTGTTGTTGTTGGCAGTTAAATTGATCAAACCAGCTTTTTTAAAAACAGGTTCCTTATATTCACAATGAACTCCCTTGGTTAAGCAACGTGTGCAAGTGGGAAGTTTCTTGTCTGTGAGCGGGTAAAAAGTACAAATTTAGAAAAGGGTTGAAAGAAAACATGGAACAATTCCATTTTTGTAATCGTTGGTGAGCTGAGTAATGTCGTAAACTTTTCATTAATACTGAGATGTCATTGTGATTGAAATACATGATCATAGGTTCAGTCATATGTGATTATTGTCATGTTATTACATAATACACAAACTTACCATACCGCAACGTTTGTGGATTTTACGACAAGCGAGACACGCAATGGGATGAGTTAGTGGAGCAGTTGTTGGTTCCTCGCTTGTCTTTTGGCTTTCTTTCTGGGAATTGTCAGATGTCAAATTGCCCTTCGATCCCAACAGTGATTGGCCAGAAGGTGTCGAAGGAGGTGGATGAGCAGAGCTCGAGTTGGTCACCGTATTATTATTAATGTTATTATTCAGAATGCTCAATGATGGATTATTCATTAGAGAATTTAACACCAAGTTATTCTGTGTTGCTGATGAAGTGTTCGGACCAGATATGTGATGATGATTGTTCATCATATTTCCAAGTTCATGGTTGTTAACCGTTTGGGTTGGTGATGACAGTAAAGATGAAACCGTAAAGTGGTTATTGTTGTTGTTGGTGTTGATATTATTATTCATCATCACAGTATTGTTCAATGAAGAAGAAGGCAAGACTGAAAGATTTTGATTTCGGACCAGCAATGAATTCAACTCTCCATTCTGCATCAACAATTCCAATAAATTTAAAGTTTCCTGATTGGAAATCATGGTCGAAATGTTGTTTGTGGAATGGTGGATATGTTGCAAATCATCATGGCTGAGATCATTATTTTCAACAAGAGGATGATGGATTGGATGTTGTTGTTGTTGTGAGGATGTGAATATAGGGCCAGAACCATGTGGTGAGGATGTTATGGATGACAAGGAGGATGAGGAATGGAAAGAAGAAGGAAATGCATGTTGAAATGATGGTTGAATGGTTTGTGATGAAGAGAGAATACCATGATTGGAATAATGAGAAGAATTATTGGGTGGATTTGTGTTGGACAGGTGTGTGTTTGTGTCCGTAACAAGAATGGCCGAAGAGGAGTTGGATCGGTGGGTTGTTGGTGGATTCATTTTTTCAGAGTTTGATGGAATAACAGATGACAGAATGGTGAAAGATTCGTTGGTGCTAGGAGAGATATGGAGATGGAGTTCATGTACAGTGATTGGTTGTTTTTTTTTGCATCAAGCCAATTCATTGGTTGTTGAATTTGAGAATTAGTTTCTTGTTGTTGGATTAATTACTATTTCAGACATGACAAAGACAAGAGTGGAATCAGCAGGTGTGAGAATGAGACGAGGTAAGAAAGGGGAAATGGTGGGGAAAATCAAACTATCTCATACATTGCATGTCATTAAAAGCTTCCAAACACGATATCGCTGTCGTTTTTAACTCTTTAAAGACGAGAAGGTCATTCCAATGGGTTTCAATGATTCTTTTGAATTAAAGAGCCATTAACAAATCGAGTTCTTACATTTTGTCCATTTGTTTTGAATATTTAAATATGAAGTAAAATGCATGATTTACAAAACAACTTGTTTATTGCAACGAACTGTTGAAATAGCCACTGAAAAAAAGAATGAGCGCTTGTGCATTCCTTCAGAAATGAGGTGACCTTCGAGTTGACCTTTTTGATCGAAATCGAAAGATATTTTCACTTTTCAAATCGTCATTCAATGCTAATCAAACACAACACTCCCAAGACAATGGACAATGTCAGACATTGCATTTCTCGCATTACTTTTGATTTTGTTGTTCATTGTAGAGAGCAATCTTCTTTTCCAGTAAAGCTTTCACCTTCTTTTCCGTATCGCTCTCTCCAGAAGGATAGAATTGATACAATCTTGCCTCTCCAATCAAGTAATCATCTAAAGGCATAATGACTGCACCTATTGGAATTAAATAAATGACCACATTGCCATAGGTATCAATGGGAGAAAGCACCACGTTATAACCAGCTTTCTTGCACCGATCCACCAAGCCCGATATTTTGGTACTCGAGTGAACCGGTGGACTTCCTCAGCAAGCAGTGAGGCCATATTCTAGAAGAACTGTCGGCTTCTCTGCAATTTGTTTCTGATGTGAGGAGGTTGATTTGGAAGATCGAAACATTTTTTTGTTCTTGTTTTTTAGAAGTAGCGCGATACTAATAATAGGAGAGATCATGAAGACGAGTCCTGAAATGGTTTCGATTTGAAAACCGGCGTTTCTAATTTCGCCGACGAAAGAGAGAGATGCTGCTACAAGTGGCTCTGGACGGGCACTCACATGGATTCATGTGTTTTGATGTGTCCATTAGTGAATTGCTTTGATGTCGTATCCCAAATCCCTCAACTCTTGGCACAACGATTTGCAAACAGAGTCTGTTTTTGCAGTTGTCGAATTCAATTCATTCCTTCTGTTTCTGAGTTGTAACAACTTTGAAGCAATGTGTTTCTCATACGCTAATAAATTGGTGATTAAGATAAGGTGCTGTTCAAAAGCTTACCGTTTGATTCTTTCAAGTACTTTTTCAATACATAAACATTCATTTCGCTATATTTTTCATTGCGTAAGGTGGATTGGTATGGAAGTTTTTGCAGAAAATAGCATAGAAACATGTGTTGCACTTTCCTGTAAACGTTTTCACAGAGTACCACTTCATTGTTTCCGCATTGTTCAAGAAGAAGGTCACCAACAGCCACTACCTCTCCAAAGCATGCGATATTAATTCTCGAGTTGATGGATCCAATCAAACCAATATCTATGAATCCTGTTGCAATTGCTGTTCTAAACGAAAGATGAAGTGTTGGATGATTCCACTCATGCTTTATCATCTCAATACTGTCGTCAATCATCTTGTTGATTTCCAAAGTTGCTGCTGTTGCTCTAATCTCATGGTTTTCAATGGGAGCAGACTCATCGTTCCAACAAGCAAATAATTTAATCCCATTCTTAATGGACATATCCAATACGAATCCTTCATTGTAATGTATTGCGGTTGTAACTTCTGTTATGAGTTTCCTTAAAACGTTGCTAAAAACAGCGTTTCCAACATGTTGTTGAAATTCATTAAAACCATTCAGTTCAAGAACTATCAAACTCATAAACTGCCTTTTAGGTGAAAACAATTCTGATTCATCTTGCACGGTAAGAATGTTTCTCACAATATGCTCAGGAATAATCAAGGAAAAATACAACAATGCTTTTCGAAATTTCTCCAATGCTGTTTCCATGATTTTGACATCACCGAGCAGTGAAGAGGGCTCAACTTTCACAGATAAAGCTCGATCCAAATGGAGCATATTTGTCATTTTCTTTGACCAACCAACAAAGGTAATTGCATACCATTCACAAAGAAACATACCTTACTCAACCGATGTAAAGGATGCGTAATGGTCTTCAATACAATCAACAAAACCACAATACAAAGACTTAAAATCAGAATTAAAATGATCCATCCTGTGACACTATTGTTAATGGTAGATACAAAAAATTGAAAATGTTCAGTAATTACAATGGCTTTCAAAACAATATTGTCGGAAATAATAATACTGATCGAGTAGTCGTATAAAACTGTCGTTCCGTTGAGTCTATTTTGCACAGTGAGTTTCACATTTGTGTGATTGAATCGAAACGATTCTTCTTCCTCTTGTATTTCATGAAATATTTTCTGGAATAATGAATGATTATTGAAATCATGTGGAAAGGTTTGAATGGTGGTTAATGATGGCTCAAAGGAAGAAAAAGCACTTAGTTTTAAAGATGCTGCCAAAATATGGTTACATTTGTCAAGCACTATTACTGCATGAGGTATGTCTAAAACACTTGACATGTAGTCGTGTAATTCAGCAAGGCCATACTCAAGAGCGGCCACCCCCACAAATGAACCATTCACTGGATCTCGTACCAACAGCGATACAAATGTAGAGAGTTCTTTAGAACTTTCAACAACATCACTCCACATGGAGTACTTTTGTCTAAGTGGCAAATGTATCACATTTTCAAAACCCTTTTGGGATGAAATATTGAACGATTGAGTAATGAGTTGATACCACTCCATGCTTGTGACATCCTTAAGATTATCATTTTCATATATAAATTCTGACGAAAGGATAACTCCAGTGTTGCTGACGTTATACTTTAAGTGTGACAATTGGCATTCTGTAACCTGGGAGAGTGAGAGGAATGAATTGGGTCCAAAACAGGGAATAGTCACAAAGCTTGAGCTTTCTTGCCCTCTCTGAAATTGTGACCAACGTTTCTGTTTATCCCCAAAATACATGTTTTTGATATGTGGATCCTGAATGCTTGCCAATGCGAACAATTTAGCCCAAGTGGTGTGGCAGGAAGGGTCTAGCCCAAACGAAGGAAAATGATTATGGAAGGTTGTTATGACCACTTCCGAGGGTGCTATAAAATTAAAGAGTGCATTCTTTACTTTTTGGAATGCTTGTTCGTGAGCCATTGCTTCCGCAGTTCGGATCCACTTTCGAATACATGAACATATATTTAAACATTGTTTTTAGCTAGTCATATCATGTACTGATCTTTTTCAACACTTACCCTTGCACCTTCATTACCGATCACAATTATTACTGTACCCACACTAATGAAGAGTTGAAGCAAGAAAAAGACAACCAGGACATTCATGATGGTAACGAGAGGAGGCATAGATTTACATGATCTTACAACACCATCCTTAACTGACGATAACGAAGATTGAATCCATATCCACAGAGGGAATGGACATTGTATACATGGCATCTTGTTTCGAAAATTTTGCTTCTCTTTTGGATCCATATGATTTAATTTTGGACTGATTGTGGCTTTTTCCTTTGAGAATTGTGTTATGGACTGTTTATTGTGTCCATGAGACTCCGACAAATTTTGTACAAAGATATCATGATGAAGGTGAGACGACGAAGAAATTGAAATCGCTTCTGCTGCACAAGCACCTACCTCCGGAGGAAGGTCTTGGTGCTGCACGTTCATGGAGAGAGAGAAGCAAAATTTTTTTAGGTAGGTCACTTTGCCTTAAAGGGGGCAACAATAAAGTTCTTATTTGTTCGTGCACCTCAAGGAAAGCCTTTCATCTTATACCAAAATGATCATCCTTTTTTTATTGCAGTATTTTGTAATTCTATGCCGAAGATTGTATTATTCCCCTAAGTAATCGTATGCTTCATCATTTCAACAATTTTGCTGTCGAATCTCCATTTCCTATTTGCAAGCGTGTTCAGCAATATTGAGTTAGAAGTTTTTGAATATGTAATAATAAACAAAATGTCACAGTAACAAAGCTTTGTTGCCTGTTTTTTTCAAAATGAAAATGCTCCTGAGCTGGAGAGGACTTTCTATGAATTTCTGAACAATGTTTTTTGATGAAGCCTCTTGTCTGTCATATCAGCCATCACGACAAAAAAATTTCAGAAAGTCAGAACGAGTCTTGGCCCACAATCATCAAAAAAGAGGCTTCTCTTTCTCGCTGATCTGAAACATCACAACCATCATCATCAGCATCCCATAACATCATTCATCATCATCGAATACCACTATCAATCAAACCAAACAAACGGAAATGTTATCTTCTGCTTCCTCTTCCCGACTATCTACAACATCCACCACCAAAGCCTCCTCATCATTGCGATCTCACAATAATAGCAACAACAACAAAAAACAACCCTTCTCCAATGTTTTTACCTTCTTTGATCATTCGAGACTTGATGGATGGCAAAAGAAGAGCAAAGTCTATTATCATCCTCAAGTATCACCCCTTCTCCTTCCACCGGGTGTAACTCCGTATGGATCATCATCCACGAATGGAAACTCAACAGGAGGATCATCAAGTGGTAAGAACAAGACCTCTTCGGATACTTCTTCTGGCAGAATTGGTTCTCTCAATAATAATAATTTAATTTTGAACTCACCTCTCCTTCAAAATACACCACTTGCCAATCTCTATACAAGTACAACAGCTTTGGACTCCCAACGATTGGATAAAACCAACATTACAAGTGTGGCAGCCAGCAAGAATATTCTCTTCTTTTCAGATGATCACGGAAATATCCATACTATTGATACTCACAAAAAAGAGCATACTTGTGTGGTGAGTGTCTTCTCAAAAGCGGTCTTCTCCATACGGGTGGTCACACCAAAGAGTGGATCTGAATATAAGGGTGGATCCAGTGGAAAGCAATCTAGCACTTCTGGTCAACACGAAGAACAAAAAGTGAAAAGCAACTATCTAATTGCCATTGGAAGTGATTACAACATGTCCATTCTTCAGACACTCATTCCCTCCTCAGAGAAAAAATGAAGAGAGTGGCAACAACTCACAAAATACAACAACCACTTTGAAAGACCTCACCATACAAGAGGATGTTAAAATTAAAGTGTTTGAATGGAAGGGAGCATTCAAAATTTCAGATCTATTAACAATTCCAAAAGCTGAAATTACTCTTCCAAGATACGACAAAGAGGACAAACTAATTACCTCCATTGATCAATTTGAAGTCACAACTGATTTGAAATATCTTGCAATTCCGAGAGGAAAATATGTTTACTTGTACAATGATGTTGGAAAGAGGAACACAACAACAAATCAATCTGGAGTTGTATCAGCATCAAAAACGTCGAACCAAACAGGATTCTTTAGTTTTGCATCTTCGAGTGACAAACGAGCACCAAGCATTCAAGCTCTTCCATCGAACAGCCAAATTAATTCCCTTGGTTTCCTTTCAAATCAGGATAAACAAGGAAATTGGGTACTTTATGCTACCGACAAGAACGATGTCTATAGATGGGACTTGGCTCGATCCTTAGGATCAGGTTTTGTAAAAATACCCTTCTCATCCTCGTCACTTGTGTCCGCAACAGGAAGTAATACCTCAAACGCCTCTCAAGACACGACCTCAAACGGAGCAAACTTTGTTGGCAATTTAGATCCAATAGAATTTGGTTGTGCGTGTGTCTCTAGCCCATTTTATGCTTCTTCATTTTTGGAACATCAAGAGGCCAAATACAATTCACAAAGATCCTTACAAAATCAAAACCTTCTCTATGATACAACGATCGGAAAATATCACTCGGCATTTATTGTGTTGAAAGGTGACGAGATTCATGCTTTCAAATACAATCACAATCCAAATATCCTTGTTCCATCGAGCAGTAGTTCTGGTGACAATGCATCGGGAGTCAACGATAAGCTTGTAAAACTTCCTCCATCTCATACCACACATCACAACCACAACATTGTTCGTAGAAAATTATTCTGGTATCAAAATTATTTGGGTATGGTTCGAGTTGAAAATCACTCATCATTACCAATTTATGGCAGTGGTGTCACTAATAAGAAGGGAAATGTCATTCTCAATATGTATGATGTGAACAACGCTTACATTACGTATGATTTCCGAACTCAAAATCTTCATATGGCAAACAATGTTCCACAAAATGGTGTTGCTAATCAACAAGGAAATAATTCATTATCATCAATTGAAAAGAATAGAAAATATCAATTCATTGACGTGGTTCCAGTTTATCAACAAGGTGTAGATACTGGCACTATTTTCCTCATTGTAAAGAGAGAAGGTCCAATGGGTAAAGAGAGTGGAAGCGAAAATTACATTTACCAACTCAAAGAGAAGCCTCCTCAAAGCAAATTAGAATTACTCATTAAGAAGTATCAGTATCGTTATGCAATTGAACTTGCAAAAACAATTCAACAACTTGACTATGACGCCTTCAACTCTGAAACCCGTCGTAAATATGGTGACTATTTGTTTTCTCAAGGAAGATATCAACAATCTGTTCGTCAATATATGCAAACAATTCCTTTGGTAGAACCGTCGTATGTGATTAGAAAATTCCTGGACTCACAAAAGAATGCCTATCTCATTCAATACTTGTTAAAACTCCATATTGAGAGAAAGAACAATAGAGATCACACAACACTATTATTGAATTGCTTTATGAGATTGGATGACTTGAGTGAAGAACAAATACAACTCATGACCAATCCATCAGGTCTCAACATGTCCAACATATCCAAAGACAAAGACATAGTAGGTATGGACATGTTAATGGATGGTGATGATGGCCAAGAAGACGCAGAAATAGCAGAAGAAGAGGCAGAATCTCAATTAATGACTCGATTTATGGAACTTGTTGAGATGCGAGATAAATCAAAAATATTTGAAGAATTTATTCATCCAAGAAATAGCAAACTATTGAACTATGATGTAGAAACAGCCATTAAAGTTCTTAGGGAGAATGGATTCAGGGATGAAGCACTCAAACTTGCAGAAAGTAATGCTCCTTTACTTGCCAATAATCCAGAAAAGCAGAAAATACTCAATGACTGGATTATTAGAATATACATTGAAGATTTTGCAAAATGGAATGAAAATCCAAAATTGCTCGAATACAAACTGAATTACAAGAAGGCCCTTCGGCATATTGAATCTCTCAACTTGGAGCAAGCAAAAGAGTTTATGCGTAAATATGGAAGAAAATTAGTAGCTAACATACCAGAGAGGGCAACCAACTTTTTGATCAGAATGTGTACCAACTATAGACCAATTCCATCTAAAAAACAAGTCACAGGAGCTATTCCTCAAATATTTGAAGTAGCTGACAATATGGACGATAAGAGAAGAATTTTCTTGACACAATCAGCATGTGAAGAACTTCATATCACGGATCCTGATTTGTTGAATATTTCAGTGAGCTCCTCCTCCACTCAATTCGACCAATCACCAGAGGATTACATTTTCTGTTACTCTGCCGATAAGGATCATACACAAAATCAATACTGGCTGATGGTTTTATTGGAGGTTGTGACAAGTTATCACAAGGATGTTCATTTCAATATGGACAAGGTGGTATACAATAGCTTACTGGAGCTTTATCTTTACTTCTGGTCCAAAGACAATGCTGGAAATAACAGAAATAGTGCCGATGTAGATCACACTCTCGAAGAAGGTTTCAACATTTCGAATGGCCAATATTATGAATATAAGGGATTGCTTGATTCAAACCCTAACACTCCAACTCCAACCTCACCTGCAGGTGCCACTCCATCTGTTGACACTTCGAGCAGTTTATTACTTCCAAAAATTGATGATGGTAATGATTATTACAAAATTTATCCTGTTCACTCCTCCGATATTACCACACCATATAGACTCAAGATTATGGATATTTTGTCCCAGAGATCTCATGGTGATGATAGCAAGCCAAAATATGATCGTGAACATGCACTTGTCCTTGTTCAATCTGCAAAATTCAGAGAAGGAATTTTATATCTTTACCAAGTGCTTGGTCTTCACTATGACATTATTCAGTATCATATGGACAAGGATGGAGTTGATCCAGATAGAAAATTCCAAGATATTCTCTCTCGATGTAGAGAGAAAGAATGTAAAGATGATAGAAATGTTTGGATACAAGCCCTTTCATTTTATGCCAAAGGTCTTGGAAGTGAAGAACCAAATTCTGAGAAATATCTTACTTCTCTTTTAGAAGAAATCAAGGACAATGATGTCATACCACCTCTTATGGTTGTAGACATTTTATGTCAAGACAGCAAGATCAAACTCTCGACCATTAAGCAATATCTTCAAAGTAAGCTAAAATCTGAACAAGAAAATATCAAAGATCAAACATCCACAATTCGAGAGTTACAAAAAGAAACTCAAAAATTGAGTTATGAAGTTGAGGAGTTGAGAACAAGTGCCAAAATTTTCCAACTCACTCAATGTTCCCTTTGCAACTCTCAATTGGATTTACCTGCAGTTCACTTTATGTGTATGCATAGCTATCACCAACGTTGTCTTGAGAAGGATGAATGTCCAAAATGCGCCGAAAAGAACAAGTCTTATTTGAATGAAATGGAAGTTTTGAAACGAGCCAAGGAAGCTGGTGGACGATATGGAGCTTCAGGTGGAACTCTCAGCAAACAAGAACAACGTGACAATTTCTTCAAACGTCTCGCAACCAATGGCTTTAGTGTCGTTGCTCGAGAATTCGGTATGGGAACAATCAATAGTAGTTTGACCAGTATTGGAGGAGAGTTAAATCCTTACGACGATTTTGATGACAAGTTGTAAGAAGTTGTGTGTAACCTTAATTTTTGTTGTGTATATCATGGACAATATAATTTGCCGTTTCAGGAAAGATTTTTCATCGCTAATTTATTAGGTTTTAATTCAACAAAATCGCAAAATTTCAACCAAAAAATGATTCACTCCTTCATGACCTCTTCGTCATCGTCTCTTTCGGAGCGAATCAAACAGGACAGACAAGGCTTGATCAGCAATCCACTCTCTCTCATGACTGCTCTTCATAATGAATTCAAAATCATCTCTGACAAGGGAAAGCAGATTGAACAATTATTTCATCAAAAATTGTTGGATCCAAATACTGGCGTGTTCCGAGATGTTTCTCGTGTGATGGAGTTGACTAATGCTCGTACCGATGCCAGTGAGAATATTGAGGCGTCGGAGCCAGTCAAGGTCGTTCATCCGAGCCAAGTTGATATTGCTGTGGTGGAGAACAACAGTTCAACATCTGCTCCCTCATCGACTACTGAGTCTGATCCAGCAACATCACCATTAATGATGATCAAACAGTTTGTAGAAACCTGTAGTAGTGAAAGTAAGTATATACATTCGTGTCATTTGAAACAATAATATTCATCGTGTTCACACAATCCTTATTGCTATGAATCACAATAATCGCATGAACAACAGCACAAGTCTTTTCTTCGGAATCCATTTCCTCTATTAAGGACATGACACAGAAACTTTTATCTTGCTTTGATCAATTGAAAGATCACATGAAAGATGATGGCGATTCGATGATTCCTAGTGGATGTTTGTTTAGCTTGGTAGCATGTTGTGTGGCAGCCTTATTGAGGGAAATTGAAAATAATGCTAAGAAGGAATGGCAAGCGTTCTATGGAGATGTCAAACAAACCATTCAAGAATTTTATACTGAGTTAACGGGATCAGTCATGGAGGCCTTTTCCAAATTGAAGGAAATCACTGTGGCAACCTTCAAGGAAATCCAACAAACGATTCTAAAAACCATGGAATGTGCAAAAGGATTCACCAAAGAAGTGATTACTGAGACAGAACAAATTTCAGAGAGACACTTATTGGGCCTCCTCAGTATGAATAATATTCTGAAAAGTCTAAAAGAAAAGAATTTTTTAACCTCACAATTTGAACAGCTTCATGTGGAATTCAAACAAGTCTTAAATCACTTTTCCACTTCATTTGTGACTGGACTGGTACAGGGCATGTTGAAACCTGTCGTTAAATTTACAAAAAATATTGGAGACATTGTGAAAGAGTTGTTGAGCTCTTCATTGAATGCCATGATTCAGCTTTTTGAGAAATTTGTGGAATTGGTAAAATCGACTCCGGACCGTGTGAAGAACATTTTCGACTTTTCCCATCATTGTGTGGCTGCATTGTGTTTGAGCAAACCTCAAGAATTGATTGATCAAACTGTAGATTCTGCTAAAAAATTGCTCTCGTCTGTGCCTCTAGAAAATATAGTCGGTGCACTCAAAGCTTTGAAAGAGTTCGTTGAGAAACAGTTTTCGAAAGGGAACGTTGTGAGTGAATATGCAGAACAACTGAAAGAGGTTACAAGTGAAATTTCCATTGCCATTCATGAACAAAACTCTTTGCTGACAAAATTGGATTCTAATTTGGATGATATCAAAAAGATCGTCGCTGAGATTGAAGAGAAGGGAGTGAATTCTATTGTGGATAAGGCAGAACATGTGATTGACAAGGTGACAGATGTGCTTCATGTACCATCACCGATCCCCTTAATCAAAAAACTTTTTTAGATTTGTGGTTCTTGTGAATGCGTTCGTTAGTATGGTTTGATTAAAGCTTGCCCAAATTGAAGCTCTTTAATATTATCATTTACCATTACAGATTCAAAACTCGCGCCACAAAATAATCTTCTAAAAAATTGAAAAAAAATAATGACCTCCGACAACACGAATCCAAACAACAACATGATAAAATCCGATCTTCAGAAAATAAAAGATGTATTATCGGAAATAGAAAAAACAGCAAATGATAATCATTCAATAATAGATCGAGAGCCACTCTTTCAACAATTGGTCATCTTGTTAAAGAAAAATTCACAAATCATTTTACAATTCGTTTCGGAAAAGTTGAGCTTGTTTTTAAAATTGCTCGAACATCAAATTCAATTTGGAGAATTGTAGGTTTTTAATTCTGAGTTTGTTGTTGGGATTGTATTGAATAGATGACATCACCATGTATAAAACAACTCTAAAAACGTTGTTGAATGATCAAGCTCACCTTCTGCTTACACAAGTTATGGATATTTGGCACATCATGAAACGATATCAAAATTATTCACCTCATCGAACATTCAACAATTCTTTCAAATCATGTTTTCACAAACCAAAGTCTCAAAAAAGTCACTCTCACTGGCCGTGTGGTGTCTCGGAGTTCAACGATTTGTGACCTCAAACCATTCAAATCATCCTTTGAATACTTCAAATGGTACAGCATTGAATATTTCACAAGTAGCGACATCAAATCCAATTGAACCTTTTGCTTCAGAAATTTTCAAGTCTATCAGTTATGGAATTAATAATCCATATCAGTCACACACGACCACAACAGAAGCACTCAACACACTGCTTGTGATATTGAATCAACTTCAGGAAGTGAGTGCTAAACATGCCAATGTGTGGCTGGTTGACGTAATTGAAAGCCTAATTTCACCTCACAAAAAGTAGGTTGCTGAAGAATTTACCTTTAATTGTTCACATCAAATGTGAAAATCACCACAAAATATGTTTCTACATGTCAATATCACAACAGTATTTGTATTGCTGCCGAAAAAGTTATTGATCTCTTCGTATTCAAACAAATGCTTCCTTTCCACAACAATAAGAAATATCAATTTTCTGAAGACATGTTGAAAAGTGTTTCACAAACCTTAATGGAACATCATGAAAAGAATTATTCAGCTCTAAAACACAATTTAAATATTCCAATTTACGATTCATCGATCACGTTTCCACAACAAGCGTCATCTTCAACAGCTTCAACAGTTGGATCTTCTCATTCGTGGCATCACTTTTTACCCGAATTTTCCAATAGGTATGTTAAAAATCACTGTTTCTATCTTTGTTCTATGTGTTTGTTGTTTGACTTTAGGCAAAGTATTATTGCAATGAAAGCATGGGGATTAATTGTTTACTTTATCGGAAAGAATCTTGCCAAAGACAATATTTGCACTCAATACCATGACCTCTTAAAGTCCAAACTTTCTATTACACGCAATATTGATAATGAACCCTCATCACAATCTTCCTCAGCCAGTAATACTTCATTTACCCAAAGTAGCAACCAATCTTCATCACAGAGACATAAATTGAATGAAGCAATTATTGGAGGTATATTATTTTGTGAGTGTGTGGATTATGCTTGGTCTATGCTCATTCAAACTTTTCAATCTCACAAACCACTCTATTTTCACACTTCGAAAGGAAGACTTTCTTTACTGATGAAACCTCTAATTGCAGGTATGAAAGTTCTTGCAAATAGTCCAACCAGTACGTTAGGTCTGGTGGATAAGCGAATCCATGAAACATGTTATCGTAGAATTATTTTCCAAATTTTGCCAGAAGCAGCAAAGAATACCACACTACTGTTTGAGCTCGTATTGAAACCTTTTTATGATGCAGTCTCATCAAAAGAATTAACTGATCATGCTTTAAGAGAACAATTAATTTTGTTTTTGAGTCAATGGTGGTATAATGATCAACGAGAGACAGTCAAAAGGAAAAAGAAACGAAAAGATTCACTATTAGATGACGATAGCGATGACGAATATGGGGAGAAACGAGGGAATAAGCTGATGAATCCTAATACAGCCTTGAATGACATTTCATTCCTTGTGAAGAAACAATATTCGAGTTGGTTTGAAGCTCCTTGTCTAAAACAAGAAGCCATATTAATGTGCTCTCAGCCCTCTTCATCATCAGTGAACAAAACCAATACTTCAACTCAATCCTTCAATGAAGATAACCCAATACTTGTCCCACTTCAAAAGTTGGAATTTATTTCCACAAATTTCAAGTGGATTTTTGAAAGCTTTTTAGAAAAATTATTCAAACGATTTTTAGTGTCATTCAAACTAAATACAACAGAAAATGAAGAGGTAGCTAGTCGATTTGGAAAGGTACTGAATTGCTATTTTCGGTCGTTGTGTCAGGTGGTGATGTCATTCATTCGATTTTCTCCAAAAAACTTGAATGAAGAAGAAAAAGAAAAGTATGACTCACTTGTACGTCAATTAATTGCTCGATTGGCCACGTTTTGTTTAGAAAACGTTGTACAAAGTTTTCAACCCTTCTCAGAAATTGATTCAATTGGAAAGATACTTCAAAATTGGGCACAACAAATGACTCTCCTTTTTTTGAAAAGCTTCTTTGAGTGCATTCCGTTGAGTACCTTAATTTGTGGACATATCGAAAACAACATAATCTTAATTACTTTGGACTTGAAGGATCTTTTCACCAAAGTGTTTAAAACTACAAGTGTAGATGTACACGAGAAGAAGTCGCCACTGTTCGCACTTCTTCATGGATTATTTGAAATTTCCTTAAGAGGAATTAAGGGAAATTCAGCCAATATTTCAAAAGCGACCGATATCATGTTCGAAATACTCTCTTCATTAGCAGATCGACTGTTTTCTGATTCGATGGAAATGCCTGACTTGTATTATGATAATACGGTAAGTTTTTCACATCATTTTCGAGTATCATGTAACCCTTCTTCTAATCACCAATAATATTTGTGAATTCAAATGACTTTCTGAATTACATTTATTTTTTAGAGAACATATTTGGAATTAATCTTCTCAGAGTTGTTGTTCATTCAACAAAAGGTTTTTGGCACAATTTCACATGGAACCATTGAGATGGTCTCACTCACCAAAGTCATCGAATGCCAAATGTTGGCATGGCAAAAATTTTGTACTCTATTTAGAGATTCTATGCGAATTATTGATACATGTTTCTCTTTGATGACTGTTTCTACAGAAGATGATGATCATCAATCACGTTTTGCCCATACTTCTTCTGAAGTCATTCAAAAAAGAAGATCTCAATCTCAATATCTGAAAAGCTATCTCTCAAAACATGTTTCTGAGACACAACGAAGTACATCCGACTCAAGCTTAACAATCAAATCCGTGAAGCCAGAGTTTGTTCCATGTTTGATGAAGTTACTACTATTTCCATTTGATTTATTAGGTTGCAAATTGGAAATGCAAGTACCTAACGAACAATCCTTACAAAATGATATGAAAGAGAATATGAATTCACATTTCACAATGATGAATGAGATTTTTTCGAATGATGGTACTCTACTTCACACCCTCAAAGATATTATTTTAATGTATGGAAGTATTCATGCGTCAAGCAATTTACCTCCATTCAATTACATTAGCAAACATTTAAAAACAACACTTACTCACTCTCATTTGCAACATATTTGCGAAGATTTATCTGATAAGATTCAATATCAATACGTTTGCATTTTGAGCAATTTAAATGTTGACAGTGCAACCATGAACGATGGAGCGATATACTCTTCATTTACCTTGATGAGAAACTGGTTTGTATATGGAACCAAACTGCTTTCATTGATATGTACATTGTGTCATGAATCTCAACGATTTAAAGGTTCTATCTTAACATCACCTTCAGGAAAAACGGCAGTTCATACTTTACAAAATTTACTGAAACATTTTGTTTGGATGATATTTGATTATAGAAGACAACAACAATATGCTCCTCAAACAGAATCACTCTTTTCAAATGTTGTGCAAATAATGACAGAGTTGAAGAAATTACTTTCACTTTCGAGAAGTGTACAACATGCTGTTCAATTTGCAATTGAATACTCTGAAGAAATTCTTTTCGATAAGGACTTTACAAATTTATTTGAATTTAAGGGAGCAATGAAATTCAAATCAATGCCCTATTCAACCGACGAAATGTTACAATTTGCATCTCTTTGTGAAAACATTTGGGAATGTGTATTTTCTCAATTGTCCAAATGGGTTACTCAGGATGGTGTCATATTTGATCAAATATTATTGAATCAAATGGAAAACGTCTTTGTTTTGGGAATGAATGGACAACGTAATGCCAAATTGAGAAAGGTAACCATTCAATTTTGGAGAAACACTTTCGCAAAGAGTTCCAGTACTTTGACATTGTCTCAAAAATTGCAAGAAACTTTTTTGAATTTGCTACTACTGAAGGAGATCACTACGGAAGAATTGATGTTTCCTGTTCCTCAAAATACTACCATGCCTCTGATTGGAGATACATCAAAAACTTTTGAAGAAAAACAAAATAATGAAATCAATGTTGGAGGTGCAGAGTTAAAGAAGAGAAAACGATCTGTCGATGATGGAATGAATAACAGTAGTCACGTGTCATCATCGACCATTCAACAAAACCAAACAGCATTTGAAAGCAAAGACGAGTCACAGAAAATCAAAAAAGTGAAACTCACCAAATCACAAAAAGAAAAGTTTAGAGAACGGAAAGAAACACGTCTTGTAGTTCCAGAGATGAATCCAAGCTTGTTGTCTTCATCAATGCTCTCAACAAGTGACATGAGCGATGATGATGACGATTTTGAAGTACATCCTCCTTCCAATATTTCCATCAATAAGGCAGAACAATCCACAAATCTTGTCAATATTAGTGACATTGTTGCTGATCATCCAAAAAACAACATTTCCAATTTAGATGACAGTTCATTATTGGATATCAAGAGAGACATTGTTCGGATGACGCCTGTCAAATCAAGCAACAAAAATTCTGTTATCAATTTGGTCACCCCAGATAATTTAGAAAGACCATGTACAACACCTGCATTGCAATTGTCACCAATTCATCTTGAAGATGAAGAAAAGAAAAATAACATTTCATCTGTGGAGGATTTATTCGCAAAATTGGAGTCTGGCTGTACCCCCCAAACCAACAAGATGAAAGCATCTCACGAATCACTTTCAATTTCTTTTACAGTTGTGTCAGAACCAATTGTTCACAATCAGGTATCAAATGATGCACATCATCAACAGGCCACCAAATCTAATCGTCATGAATCACCATCATCTCCGACTGGAAACCACCATGATGACGATAATACTCAAATTACGCCGATCCTTAAAAAGAGTCCATTATCACATACAGAACAGAATCATGAAGCAACTGGAGGAATTGTGAAAAATGTGGCTCAAATGAAGAAACATGTTCGATTTGAATCATTTCAAAATGAATTGACAGAAACTCATTCTCCACCTCCTCCAACTGAAAATGTCGCAAGTAGCTCTTCATCTTTTTTAAAACAGTTGGAATTATTGCATGACATGCTTTCATCGTCCTCGAATGGATTGAACTGTGACGAAAGAAAGTTAGCCATTCAAAAAGTATATTCCCTTTTAGGTTGTTTGTTACATGAAGATGAATGACGATCGTGAAGACATGTGACATTGCTGATTTATTGTCTTGGTTCGCGTTTGAGAGATAGTTCGTAGAGGTAGTCCTCATTGAAGGTTGCACTGAAATGGATGGCGTTGAGCTTGGTTGACAATTCACCACATGTCGGAAAGTTGTAGGAAATTTTTTGATACTTTTGAATTTTCTTAATGATCGATGCTAGTTGCCTTCTCTTGAAAAAAGTTAATCTTGGTGTCATCTTTCATATCACAATTCCCCTCTTCACAAAATGTTAAATAGAAAAATGCCAATGTAGGGCAAACTTGGTGGATAGGTTTGTTTCATGCATTCTCGTAAAAATTTAAAATTTGACTCATGAGAGACCAGCTTTGAGAGTTCTTCAAATTGCTTTCGTTTCTTTTCTGGAACCAATTCCCATGATTTTTTCAACCTTAAAACACTGTTCGAGTTGAGGGCCATCATGATCCCTTTCAATGTGGGTTTGGGTTTGGGTTTGGGTTTGGGTTTGGGTTTGGGTTTGGGTTTGGGTTTGGGTTTGGGTTTGGGTTTGGGTTTGGGTTTGGGTTTGGGTTTGGGTTTGGGTTTGGGTTTGGGTTTGGGTTTGGGTTTGGGTTTGGGTTTGGGTTTGGGTTTGGGTTTGGGTTTGGGTTTGGGTTTGGGTTTGGGTTTGGGTTTGGGTTTGGGTTTGGGTTTGGGTTTGGGTTTGGGTTTGGGTTTGGGTTTGGGTTTGGGTTTGGGTTTGGGTTTGGGTTTGGGTTTGGGTTTGGGTTTGGGTTTGGGTTTGGGTTTGGGTTTGGGTTTGGGTTTGGGTTTGGGTTTGGGTTTGGGTTTGGGTTTGGGTTTGGGTTTGGGTTTGGGTTTGGGTTTGGGTTTGGGTTTGGGTTTGGGTTTGGGTTTGGGTTTGGGTTTGGGTTTGGGTTTGGGTTTGGGTTTGGGTTTGGGTTTGGGTTTGGGTTTGGGTTTGGGTTTGGGTTTGGGTTTGGGTTTGGGTTTGGGTTTGGGTTTGGGTTTGGGTTTGGGTTTGGGTTTGGGTTTGGGTTTGGGTTTGGGTTTGGGTTTGGGTTTGGGTTTGGGTTTGGGTTTGGGTTTGGGTTTGGGTTTGGGTTTGGGTTTGGGTTTGGGTTTGGGTTTGGGTTTGGGTTTGGGTTTGGGTTTGGGTTTGGGTTTGGGTTTGGGTTTGGGTTTGGGTTTGGGTTTGGGTTTGGGTTTGGGTTTGGGTTTGGGTTTGGGTTTGGGTTTGGGTTTGGGTTTGGGTTTGGGTTTGGGTTTGGGTTTGGGTTTGGGTTTGGGTTTGGGTTTGGGTTTGGGTTTGGGTTTGGGTTTGGGTTTGGGTTTGGGTTTGGGTTTGGGTTTGGGTTTGGGTTTGGGTTTGGGTTTGGGTTTGGGTTTGGGTTTGGGTTTGGGTTTGGGTTTGGGTTTGGGTTTGGGTTTGGGTTTGGGTTTGGGTTTGGGTTTGGGTTTGGGTTTGGGTTTGGGTTTGGGTTTGGGTTTGGGTTTGGGTTTGGGTTTGGGTTTGGGTTTGGGTTTGGGTTTGGGTTTGGGTTTGGGTTTGGGTTTGGGTTTGGGTTTGGGTTTGGGTTTGGGTTTGGGTTTGGGTTTGGGTTTGGGTTTGGGTTTGGGTTTGGGTTTGGGTTTGGGTTTGGGTTTGGGTTTGGGTTTGGGTTTGGGTTTGGGTTTGGGTTTGGGTTTGGGTTTGGGTTTGGGTTTGGGTTTGGGTTTGGGTTTGGGTTTGGGTTTGGGTTTGGGTTTGGGTTTGGGTTTGGGTTTGGGTTTGGGTTTGGGTTTGGGTTTGGGTTTGGGTTTGGGTTTGGGTTTGGGTTTGGGTTTGGGTTTGGGTTTGGGTTTGGGTTTGGGTTTGGGTTTGGGTTTGGGTTTGGGTTTGGGTTTGGGTTTGGGTTTGGGTTTGGGTTTGGGTTTGGGTTTGGGTTTGGGTTTGGGTTTGGGTTTGGGTTTGGGTTTGGGTTTGGGTTTGGGTTTGGGTTTGGGTTTGGGTTTGGGTTTGGGTTTGGGTTTGGGTTTGGGTTTGGGTTTGGGTTTGGGTTTGGGTTTGGGTTTGGGTTTGGGTTTGGGTTTGGGTTTGGGTTTGGGTTTGGGTTTGGGTTTGGGTTTGGGTTTGGGTTTGGGTTTGGGTTTGGGTTTGGGTTTGGGTTTGGGTTTGGGTTTGGGTTTGGGTTTGGGTTTGGGTTTGGGTTTGGGTTTGGGTTTGGGTTTGGGTTTGGGTTTGGGTTTGGGTTTGGGTTTGGGTTTGGGTTTGGGTTTGGGTTTGGGTTTGGGTTTGGGTTTGGGTTTGGGTTTGGGTTTGGGTTTGGGTTTGGGTTTGGGTTTGGGTTTGGGTTTGGGTTTGGGTTTGGGTTTGGGTTTGGGTTTGGGTTTGGGTTTGGGTTTGGGTTTGGGTTTGGGTTTGGGTTTGGGTTTGGGTTTGGGTTTGGGTTTGGGTTTGGGTTTGGGTTTGGGTTTGGGTTTGGGTTTGGGTTTGGGTTTGGGTTTGGGTTTGGGTTTGGGTTTGGGTTTGGGTTTGGGTTTGGGTTTGGGTTTGGGTTTGGGTTTGGGTTTGGGTTTGGGTTTGGGTTTGGGTTTGGGTTTGGGTTTGGGTTTGGGTTTGGGTTTGGGTTTGGGTTTGGGTTTGGGTTTGGGTTTGGGTTTGGGTTTGGGTTTGGGTTTGGGTTTGGGTTTGGGTTTGGGTTTGGGTTTGGGTTTGGGTTTGGGTTTGGGTTTGGGTTTGGGTTTGGGTTTGGGTTTGGGTTTGGGTTTGGGTTTGGGTTTGGGTTTGGGTTTGGGTTTGGGTTTGGGTTTGGGTTTGGGTTTGGGTTTGGGTTTGGGTTTGGGTTTGGGTTTGGGTTTGGGTTTGGGTTTGGGTTTGGGTTTGGGTTTGGGTTTGGGTTTGGGTTTGGGTTTGGGTTTGGGTTTGGGTTTGGGTTTGGGTTTGGGTTTGGGTTTGGGTTTGGGTTTGGGTTTGGGTTTGGGTTTGGGTTTGGGTTTGGGTTTGGGTTTGGGTTTGGGTTTGGGTTTGGGTTTGGGTTTGGGTTTGGGTTTAG